TCCCAAGCTCGCGATGCGAGAGTAGCATCAACAGCAGGACCGCCCTGGGCGGCCGTCAGCCAGGTGTTGACAACGACGCTGGTGCTGGCATCCAGCTGGTGCGGCTGTGATGAGAGATAGATGTTGTGGATGGCGTTGAGCAAGGTGGTCGTCGTGACCTGGGTGGCCTGCGGTCCGCCAGCTCGAGCCTCCGAGGCCATGGAGAACATGGACAGCCGGTTCGCCATGACGAAGGAGTGGGCGTAAAGGCCCTCGAATCGACGGCTGGTATTACGATGCTGCGTAGGATATGATGCGCGTGTAGATTAAGCAGTCGCTAAGGTATGCTAACAAGCAATATTATGGGGAAAGGCAATATACGGCGATGTATAAGAAAAAAAAAGAGACAAAGCCAGAGTCTGCCGATGCACTGCTGAGCGAGGGACAATGGAAACGCAGAGACGCGGTTGCCAGTTCAACTCCTTTCTTCTTCCTCCGCAAGCGAGATGCAGAACGGGATGAACAGACGATAGATGATGCAGAGCGAACAAACAAATGCTGCGATTAACGATTGAAAGGAGGGCTGCCAAAGCGAATGAGGCAGTCACACCAGGGGAGGTTGGGGGGAAAACAGCAGAGGAAAAGTCTCCCAGCGGCTGCGTCTGCAGGATAAATCGACAGACGATGGAGTTTGATCCCATGGGCGGATTTCCAAGAACGTCGTGCAGGCAAAGCAGCTTGGTTGCAGCTAGGCCAGGGGGAGAGGGCGTGTGCTTAGCGAGTCCGGCGGGCGACAGCGAGCAGTAGCGCAGCACGTACGAGCCAGGGTGACCAGCGCTACAGCACCTAGGACAAAGAAAACAGCTGGTAAACAACGCGCTGTAAGGGAGCACGCTTGCAGCTGGGCGCTAGCGGGCGCCGCTGTGCCGGGTTGGCCTCACTGAAGCCGTTCCCGCTGGGGCTTCAACTTTAAGGGCTAGCGGCCATCACCGTACTGTAGCAGCGCCTGCTGGTATCCGTACGTGGTACGGCGATAGCAGCGATACGACGTGCTGCCAACTCATGGGCTACATTAGAGTTTTCGCCGCGTAATGCGTCAGAAGGATAAAGCTCAAGCTCGTATAATAACTGCACCGCGCAAATCAAAACAATCAACACACACTACGCTTGAAAACATGCGCATAGAATCGGGCAGCGCGTTATTGATACTGCCGACTTCTGGCATTCAGCTGCGATCGGGACAGCAGACATGGATCTTCTGGGGATAGCCGGCCAGAGATACTCCGCACTGTACCGTCCGCCTGGGCACCGCAGTGGTACCATGTCCCCTGTCTGTTGCTACCGCTCTGGGCAAAGAGAAGCAATTTATGACTATGGAGCGCAGAATATTCCACACCTGAATTCGAAATTTCAATCACACGTCAGGTCTTTCCTCCGCCCGGAAAATATCAATGGCTTAATACGGACATTATACCTGTACGGAGCGCTCCCCAAATACGCTCCTCGAGGAGACCCAGCGTCAGCGGGTATGCTGGTGGCCAATACGAGGTCAAGCGCATGAATGCGACCACCGTGTGTCTTGCGTGCGACCTGCGAGCCCGTCTTTGCACGATTCTACTTGTGGCCAATCACGGCGCTGCCCGAGTACCTACTGGAGTAGGGCTCGTATTTTTCTTTTCAACGGATCAATGTTCCAGAGGAGCGGCTGTGCTAGGAGCCGCTTGCACTACCGAAGTGCGCAGCCTCGATCAGTTCGACCAACGTTGGGTCATCTGCAGAAACCGATTGGCTAAGAGAAAACAAGCCATGAAGAGAAGAGGAAACGAGATCAAAGAGACGAGAGACACGCAGAGATGAGTCTACGATTGATTATGCGGCCACGAAATACGTGCAAAGAGGGAAGCACTGGCACCAAATCGCCCGCTGGGCATGGAGCTTGATACCCTGTAGTACAATTTCGAATCAGCGCCACCCACACATGAGCTTCGTTAATCCGTCAGCAGGGAGAGAGCGCATACTATTAACCTTTTGGCGATGGCACCTCTTTTTCCTGCTGTTGGCGATGATCGCGATGATCCCTGCAGCGGTACTCCATACTCCTCCGTGCTAGGTAGTAGTCTGTGAGTCCATACAGTTGTGGTGCTGCGACATCCAAGACACTTGGCCCCGCCAATACAAGCGAATAGGTTGAAAGAAAAAAAGAAGAATAATAAAAAAGAGAAAAAAAAAAAAGAATCGCACGAGTGTTCGTGTCAGGAGGGGCCAAAGGTGTTGCGCAGTCAGTCATGCACGGAAGCCTCCCCGAAAATCATGGTGGATGTACTTGTAGTAGCATCAACTCTCATGTTCGACCAACAGGCATCATCGTTGGCGCGGACCACTTGTGATCAGCACGATCCATCCAAGCAAACATGGACGCCTGGATGCATGACACAGAGCGCCTCGTGTTCCGAAAATTTCTCTCCGTACTGCGACGACAATCGGATCTTGTTCTGGCAAGATCTGGCTAAAGAGGTTATAAAAAGAACGCCGAGCTAGTTTCAGGCTGTGCCCGTCAGGCCACCAAGCAGGTAAGCTTTTCTTGGCGGCTTTGTCAGGATGAGCACAACACTGATTTTTTTTGGGAAAATGGCCCTTTTCTCAATGATGGTTGTTGGAAGATGAGTCGGGCATAAGAATGGATCGAAGCTGTACGAGGTGGCCTCAGTCTTATGCTACAGTAATTCTCCCCGAGGCATGGACAGCTGCGCCAGCTTCTCCATTGTATCAGTTCCCGCGCACGTCGTTGGAGGCGATGGAGCTGGCCGCTTTCACCGGCAGCAGGGCAGTTTTGCCAGGCCGGCACAGGTAGACAAGGGAGCAGCTGCGTGTAGTCTCGCAGGCCGAGGTGCGGAGGAGCAAGAACCGAAAATTCGATCTCCGATGCTGGGAGAGACACGAAGTTATGCTGTGCGACCGATTGTGTTCACAACGGGACAACTCGCCGCCACAGAGAGCAAACTCCCCTTTGCAAGTACCTTTTATGGGGCGTGGAGCGCAGAGTACATGGCGGCAACTCTAGGCACCGCTAACAGCTGGCGGTTGTCTTGCCGTCCAGGATCCCTGGCATGGATCGGATCGCTTGGCCCACTTCGGCGACGCAAAGTAGCCACGAGGTACATTGAGCTGTGTTGGGTGCATCGGGTGAGACCAAGAGACTACATGTACCTACATCCACCTACTAGGCCCTATAACGATATCTGGCTTGTATAGCACGATAGAAAATCGGGAACTCGCATCCATTTCACGCTTCTTCGTGTATCTTGTTTATCGCAGCACGTGGACATTCTCTCACTGTTTCCTCATTACTCGCACAGAATTAACAAATATTGTCAAAGAATGGGTTATTTCTGTTTATATCATGGGTATAGACACTGCCTGAAAACAGATATACTTCAGTCTCGGAGCTACAAGCTTCATTACCTGTAATCAAAGCGGGCCAGACCTCTCTATAACGCCGCACGCCGATAATCTGGACATAACGATACCTTCGTTATTTGTACAACTAATCAAGCCAGTATTTACTCTACCTCCCCGATACATGTGGTTGTTTACTACAGCGCACACATGAGTGGACGCCTGGCGCTGGAGACGCCTCGGCCGCCATTTTAGCTCAAGCTAGCAGGTATTGGTCTAGTATCTTAGGGCTTGAGCTACTGGTGCTGCTTGAATTGAATTTGAACTCTACCTGAATATAGCAACGGGTAAAGGGGAAAAAGGGGCACGAGCAAGAGATAGCGTCCCCGTATAGCACATGTAAGCTGATTCTGGACGCATCAACCTTTTTTTGATGCTGCTGATGTAACGATCCAGAACGGCTGGTTTTTTGCGCACTCCGCGCGGTTTGATGCGGCTCCGTGAGATCCGGATGATGATTTCTGTTCATGTGAGAGCTGAGAGAGTGCCTACAAAGTCTGAGCGTGGAGCCAACATGAATGCTGTACTGTATGCACTATCAAGGTGGTAGCGAATGTCGCGTCAATCAAAATCCACATGCCTGAGCCATCTCAAAGAATGTATTGCCAGTTCCTCTTGTGTCTGTGGGCTTTGTTACCATGTAAGACAGCCTTGGACTCACGATGGATGAAGCTCGATGTATGCAATGAATGTACGTTGCTTTTAAATATGGTGCATTTTCCATTGCTTGCTAGATGTAGAATTTGAAGTTTTTCTTTTTTTATCACAGCCTCGTGGAATTCGGTTATCAAGTCGCGCCTTCTTTGTTAAGAGCGCCATCTGTTTAGAATTTTGCCGTTTCAACTGAGAGAGTAAGCCTCAACTCTCACAAACGCGCGTGTAATAAATAAAGAAGAAAAGAAATAAATAGAAAATGGCAATGCATTACAACGCATCGCAACGAATGGCGGGGAGGGCTGGGCAGCGCTGTTGGTTCTCGCAAACATCGAAATCAATTTTCAATTCTCATCCCCCTATCCATACCCCATACCCCCTACCCCCTTCATGAATCCCGGCGTCCACAGCACAGCAGGACAGGCATGCAGACGGCAGGGCAGTGCTCACGAATGCTAATAATATTTCGAGCTCGCATGCGACCCGCCGCACCGCAGTGAGGGTCCTGGAGGCGTGCAGCTTAAGTGCGCCACTATGCTGTGGCGCCCGCCGGACTCAACCGTAATGCCACAAGTCAGCTCTGCTACGCCGCGTTCGTGATTCCAGGCACGGCGCTGGCAGCAAGAAAACAAGCAAGACCCCTTTCCTGCCCGCAATCGACTTGGAAACAACATCTTCGAAGCCTTCTATTCAGCCATTGTCCACTTGGCGTTTTACTCTCCCTAATAGACTCGTTTTCAACATCATTCTGACACAACATCTCTCGCTCCATTATCGTCCAATTGCGATACTTCTTGTTTGACACCCGTTCGTTGATTATACAACAAACTTTTGCGAGTCGGCGCCTGTCTGTTGGCCTCATTGCTCTCCGGCGGGAGGTAATTGCCCGCCTCTTGAGTATTTGAGCCCCCTTTGCCATGAGCTTGCCAATAGGAGCAGCCGGCAATGGAGGAGCACACACGCAGCATTCTCTACCGGCATTGCCAACCCATCAGCAGTCCGACACGCAGATAACGGCGCATCTGGCAAGCCGATTTCACGTTAACCTCCCGACGACCTACTTATCTTCCCATGGAGTTGTCGCCTTAAACACATATACGTCGTCTGTGAAGGGACCAGATGGCGGGAGAGAGGGGAGTGCCATGGCGGCGGCCGAAGATGTGGCCGACCGTGCATGGCTAAGACTTGGAAACCGATCTGAAAATCAAGCCATTTCGTTTCTGTAAGAACATTTCTAACCCCTGCTTTTGTGTTTCCATTTATGCTCCCCCTTCTCTATATTTGTGTGTGCGGCACCTGGGAGAAAAAAAACCTAGTCTGCTCATAGTGCAAGTCTGCTAGAGCTTAAACTACCTTTTCCCTTTTCAAACAAACTTTCCTTTTTCAAACAAAGGACGTGTAAACGCAGAGTTCCTAATGTGGCTGGCATAATTTAGCGGAGAATCCGGGGCCGGAAAGTCTACAATTCGAAATCATATCGTAGCGGCATTCCTCCGAAAATCGTCGACGCCGTTATCGACCAAAGCGTCCCACGCTGTATATGTATTCGACAGCCTTACCACGACAAAAACTGCCACGACTCCCAATGCGTCACGAGCCGGCCTCTTCCTCGAGTTACAATATGACACATCTGCATCTACACACCCGACTCTCCTTGGTGCAAAGCTGCTGGATCATCGGCTGGAAAGAAGCAGAATCACTGATGTCCCTACTGGCGAGCGCAACTACCACGTCCTGTATTATCTTCAAGCCGGTACGAGCGATGCTGAGAAGGCCCATCTCGGATTTGACAACGAAAATGGCAGCAAAAGGTGGAAGTTTCTTGGGCACCCCACCCAGCTCAGAGTGGGAATCAACGACGCTGATGGCTTTCAGCTTTTCAAGACCGCCCTGAGGAAGTTGGAATTCACCAAAAGTGACATTGCCGAGACATGCCAACTTCTTGCTACTGTTCTGCACATTGGCCAGCTAGAATTTGAGGTTTCCAACAACACGAGTGTCACTGGGGACGACAGCGGTGGCTTTTCTCACGAGGGAGGCAATACTGTTACCGCCGTCAAGAACAAGGACGTGCTTGCCATCATCGCTGCCTTCCTCGGTGTCAGCGCTGCTGATCTCCAGACCACTCTGGGGTATAAGACCAAAGTGATTCACAAGGAGCGAGTCACCGTTATGCTCGACCCTAATGGTGCTCGTGCCCACGCCAATGAGCTGGCCAGGACTCTTTATGCGCTTTTGGTCGCCTGGATCGTGGAGAGTATGAACCAGCGCCTCTGTGCCCCTGAAGAGAACATTGCCAACACCATCTCCATCGTCGATTTCCCTGGTTTCGCCCAGCAGGCAGCCACCGGTTCCGCGCTTGATCAGCTCCTGACCAATGCCGCCACCGAGGCCATTTACAACATGACCCTCCGCAACTTCTTCGACCGCAAAGCAGAAATGTATGAAACCGAAGAAGTCACGGTATCGGCCACCAGCTACTTTGACAATACCGATGCCGTCAAGGGTCTGCTGAAACCTGGGAATGGTCTCCTGAGCATTCTTGATGACCAGACGCGGCGCAACAGAACCGACTTGCAGCTTCTAGAAAGCCTCCGCAAGCGCTTCGAGGGGAAAAACCCTGCCATTGAAGTTGGTTCTGCAACCGCCAAGCTACCGGGCAGCAACTTCCACACCGAGAATTTGGCCGCAAGCTTCACTGTCAAGCATTTTGCTGGCGAGGTTGAGTACCCCGTCAGAGGCTTGATCGAAGAGAATGGCGAGATCATCTCGGGTGACCTCATGAACATGATGAATAACACAAAATCCGACTTTGTTGCCAAACTCTTTGGCCAGGAGGCTTTGCAAACCGTCACCCACCCTCAGGAGCGCACAACCGTGGTACAGGCCACCATCAGCTCAAAACCGATGCGCGCACCTAGTGTCATGGTCCGAAAGGGCGCTCGTCCCAAGCTTAATGCTGGAGGCCGACGTCAGACGCAAGATAACTTCGACTCGATGTCACAGGACAGCGATTCGCGCGAACCTAAGCGCGGAGCGCCCAAGGGTGGATCAGAGCAAGGTGCATCTGGCCAATTTTTATCGTCTCTTGAGAACGTGCAAAAAGCCATCTCGGACGCTGGAACCAATGCCTACTTTTTTTTCTGTCTCAAACCCAATGACCGACGGATCGCCAACCAGTTTGATAGCAAATGTGTTCGGACGCAAGTCCAGACATTTGGTATTGCCGAAATCAGCCAGCGGCTGCGGTCCGCTGACTTCAGCTTGTTCGTGCCTTTTGGCGAGTTTTTGGGTATGGCAAACAGCGAAGCCCTCCTGGTGGGCAGCGAGCGCGAGCGAGCAGAAGCAGCCATCGATGAAAGACAATGGCCTCGTAACGAAGTCTCGGTCGGCGCTACAGGCGTGTTTCTGAGCGAGCGTTGCTGGCTGGAGATTGCCCAATTATCCTTCGCCAGTGGAGGATCAGGTCGTGGTGCCATGTCCGCATTTGACAGCGAAGGAGGCGACGGTCTCACTCCCGGCGACCATCACGCCTTTGGCGCCTCCAAGGAGCGCCTCTTGTCTGCTGGCCAAACGCCTCTTGGCTATGGTGAGAAAGGCCGAAGCGGATACTTTGGCGACGATGCTCGTTCTGAGGCGGGCGCCTCGGCATTTGGTACTGGAGATATGTTCAAGAATCATGACACTCGCGCGCAGATGGCTGAGAGAGGCAATGAGAAATCCATGGTCGAGGTTGAGGAGTACAAGGATAGCTCCAGCCGCAAGCGTTGGCTGTTCGTTGTGTACGCTCTCACTTGGTTCATCCCTGATTTCCTCATCAGGCTGTTAGGCCGGATGCCTCGAAAAGACATACGCATCGCCTGGCGTGAAAAGTTTGCCATCAACTTGCTGATCTGGTTCTGTTGTCTTGTCGCCGTCTTCTTTACTGCAATCTTTCCCATTCTCATCTGCCCTACTCAGCATGTGTATAGTGCCGCCGAACTTTCTTCATATGACGGGAAAAGTCATAGCAATGGCGCGTATACTGCTATTCGTGGCATTGTCATTGATTTAGGTGCATTTATTCCGTCTCACTATCCCCAAGGGTTAGTCAAGCAGGAGACTCTTGAGAAGTATGCCGGCCTAGATATCACGTCCTTATTCCCTGTCCAAGTCAGTGCACTTTGCGATGGTGTTGATGGCGCTATTGATCCGTCGGTCACTCTTGATTATAAGACGACAAACTTCTCTGGATCGCCAGCTCTCATTAGCAACACTGATGCAAATGCCAAGTTTCATGACTTCCGTGCCTTTACCAATGTTAGCCAGCCAGACTGGTTCTACGAGCAAATGTATTACCTCAAGTCAAGATTTAAGAAGGGCAATATTGGTTACACCGCCAAATACGTGTCGTCGCAGGGCAAGAACTCGCAGAACATTGCAATCCTGAACAGCAAAGTCTATGACTTGACTACGTATCTCGCTGGAGGTCGCCACCTACGAGTGAAGCCGGGTCAGCCACAACCAACAAACCAGTCTCTTACCGACTTCATGGACTCGTCAGTCACGTCCCTGTTCCAGCTCAATCCAGGCCAGGATATCACAAAGTACTGGAACTCTCTCAGGCTTGACGCCACTGGCAAGGCTCGGATGAAGCGCTGCCTGGACAATTTATTTTATGTCGCCGATGTCGACACCAGAAACTCTACCAAATGCTTATTTGCCGAATATCTGATTCTCGCCATTTCGATCATGCTTGCCTCTGTCATTGGATTCAAATTCTTCGCGGCTTTGCAATTTGGTGGCAAAAACTTGCCTGAAGGTCTCGACAAATTCGTCATGTGCCAGATCCCCGCATATACGGAAGACGAAGAATCCCTACGCCGTGCCATTGACTCTGCTGCTAGGATGCGGTATGATGATAAACGTAAATTGTTGGTTGTTGTTTGTGACGGTATGATTATCGGCCAGGGTAACGATAGACCAACTCCTAGGATTGTCCTTGACATTCTTGGTGTGTCCGAATCTGTCGATCCCGAGCCCTTAAGCTTCGAATCGCTAGGCGAAGGTCTGAAACAGCATAATATGGGCAAGATATACTCGGGTCTCTATGAGGTGCAAGGCCACATTGTTCCATTCCTGGTCATTGTGAAGATTGGCAAGCCCTCCGAGGTTTCGCGTCCTGGCAACCGTGGCAAGAGAGACTCTCAGATGGTGCTGATGCGCTTCCTGAACCGAGTCCACTACAACCTTCCCATGAGCCCCATGGAGCTTGAGATGTATCACCAAATTCGCAACATCATTGGTGTCAATCCGGCGTTTTATGAATTCATGTTCCAGATTGATGCCGATACCGTTGTCGCTCCAGATTCCGCCACTCGCATGGTTGCCTCTCTCATCAACGATACGAGTATCATCGCTGTGTGTGGTGAGACGGCCCTGACTAATGCTAAGGGATCGTTTATCACCATGATTCAGGTTTACGAGTACTACATCTCCCACAACCTGGCCAAGGCCTTTGAGAGTTTATTCGGCTCAGTCACTTGTTTGCCTGGTTGTTTCTCAATGTACCGCATTCGTGCTGCTGAGACGAATAAGCCACTCTTCGTCAGCCGTGAAGTTGTTGAGGCTTACTCTACCATTCGAGTCGATACGCTGCATATGAAGAATTTGCTGCATCTGGGTGAAGATCGTTTCTTGACCACTTTACTGCTCAAGTTTCACTCAAAGTACAAGACCAAGTATATCTTCACTGCTCACGCCTGGACTATCGCCCCCGACTCCTGGGCTGTTTTCCTTTCTCAGAGACGTCGATGGATCAATTCCACTGTGCACAATCTGATTGAGCTCATGCCCATGCAGCAACTCTGCGGTTTCTGCTGTTTCAGCATGCGTTTTGTCGTCTTTATTGATTTGCTCAGTACCATTGTTGCGCCAGTGACTGTAGCTTATATCGTATACCTGATTGTTCGGGTTGTTCAGCATCCAAGCACGGTGCCCATTACTGCTTTTATCCTTTTGGGTGCCATTTACGGTTTGCAGGCCATCATCTTTATTCTGCGACGCAAGTGGGAAATGGTTGGCTGGATGATTATTTACATCCTTGCTATTCCCGTTTTCAGTCTTGGTCTGCCCCTGTATGCCTTCTGGCACATGGATGACTTTGCCTGGGGTAACACTCGTGTCGTCGCCGGCGAAGATGGCAAGAAGGTGCTTATTTCGGATGAAGGCAAGTTTGATCCTGAATCTATTCCAAAAAAGAAGTGGGAAGAGTACCAAGCCGAGCTTTGGGAGACCCAGACCTCACGCGATGACACACACTCGGAGATTTCCGGCTTCAGCTATGGTACCAAAGCTCATGGTGCCATGTCTGAATATGCTTATCCCAGCCGGCCTGCCTCTACAACGGGCTTCATGCAGACTGCCCCCCATATGCAGCCATATGAAGCCCGCAACATGTCCCGCATGTCCATGGCTCCTTCGGAGATGAACCGGATGAGCCAGTATGGCGGCTCCCAGTTCTTCTCTCCAGAGGACATGGTCGGGCTGCCCACCGATGATCAAATTTTGAGCGAGATCCGAGATATCCTGAAGACTGCGGATCTGATGACTGTGACCAAGAAGGGTGTGAAGCAAGAGCTGGAGCGTCGCTTTGACGTCCCTCTTGATGCGAAGAGAGCCTATATCAACAGCGGTATGTTTTAAACTTCCCTAACCCCCCCCTACTCCTACCCTTGGTTACATAAACGATGGCTGACGAAACTTTTAGCCACTGAGGCTCTTCTTTCCGGCCAACTTTAAAAGTACCCCCTCTCTTGTTGTCCGTTGCTATGCTTTATACGCCACTTTGATTTAACGATCCACTCGGACCTCAATGGAAACGCGTTACTTTTTTGCATGTTTGATAGATTTTTTCTTGGTTTTTGTTGCATCTCATGACGTATTTTGGATCAATTTGCGTTACTTCATAGCCGCCCCCCTTTGGCATATTTTCCTCATTTACGCATCATTACATTTATTAATAATTCTTGACGGGTTCGGGCGAAGAATTGGGGAGGAAAGAAAAAAAGAGAAGGAAACTACGGCGTTGTAATGTCCAGGGGGCTTTGTAACCATTGGCATTCATGAGCGTCCTTTAAGCCAGCGGAGCCAAGCGAACGAATTGAAAAAAACAGAAGCGATGAGCGGATGATATCCCTTTTCTCTCCCTTTTCATTTCTGTAGCTTTTATTTAATAGGGCTAGAGGTGGAGGAAAAAGGATTTTTTTATGTATACATATATGCATGACGAGTCTTGAATTCACCAAACGCATCTTATCTATATATCTCCTTATTTGCTCTTGATGGCTGTGAAATGTCTGTTGTAGTATTGATATACAGTGCAGGTAAGCGCAGATGATAGAATGGTAACAGTATGCATGATATATATATACGCTTAAGAAGGCTTGTATCAACCTTGACCCATTTATCCGGGTATCTATTATCTATTACATGACAAATTTGAACGGGATAGCCCTTCATATGCCTCCCCTACTGCAGTTGTACATCCCCAAGAAGCGTTTCCACCCCGTTTTTGCTCCACGTCCTGACTCTTGCCTGGTCACAGGTCTTCCATGCCCTGCCCATGAGCGCCTTGTAGAGCTCCGAATCTTCAGGAACGTCACACGCCACTCTCTGCGCATCCAGCCAGGTAAGCAAGCCAAATCTGGTGATCAGCGTGGTGCTGCCGGCGTCGATGCACGTGGCGCGATAGACGATTCTGAGGATCCTGGTGCGCAGGTTGACGCGGAGATAGGGATTGCTTCCCAGGGCGAGAATCTTTTCGAACCAGCGCTTCTTGTGGAAGATGCTCAGGTCGAAGGGAGTCTTGAGAGCGTCGAGGATGTAGGTCAGGAACCAGGCAATCTCGGTATAGTACTTGTCGTCCTCTGAAGGTTCTCCGTGAAGGATATCGTGAGCTAGAGGAAGCTTCTCTGGCGACCAGACAGGGCTACGAGTCAAAAAGCTGTTGATCTTGGGATAGAGCGGATGCAGAGGGTTCTTCAAGACGTCTAGAGCATGGATGGAGAAGGCGATGAATGCCGATGGAACGGGACCGCTATCGACATGTGGCCGGGAAGACTCTGCCAGCTCAGACAGGAGCAGCCAGAATTGCTTCTTCTCTTCGTACGCCGAGTCATCAATCTTGGCGGCCATCTTGAGGATGTTGGTAAGTGCCTCTTTGCGGATGTTGGTGTGTTCTGATGCAAGGAGGCGAATCAAGCTTGCAATTAAGCCATCTTCGACCAGATCCTCGACGCCTTTGGCGTGCCATCTGAGGAGCACCGCTGTATCCTCTGGACTTGAGAACGGAATATGTAGCGCCTCCTCTAGCTTTCCCTCATCCACGGTTGTCTGCTTTTCCCCATCATTTTGACCCCCTTCTTGATCGTCGTTTTCATCCTCCTGGCTGCCGCTGGTTAAAGATTTTGATATTTTTCGCTTCCCTAGACCCGCAATCTTCACAGAGCATGAAGCCAAGGTCTCCTCGATTTTGCTGTAGACGCGTTTGAGGGCATCGCTGTCCTTTTTCTTGTACAGGGCGCTAAAGTATAGTGATATGAAACTGGATAGCGAAGCGAGCCCCTGGGCATCAGTGGTCTCCATGATAAAGGGAAGCTGCTCAGCTATGGCAACAACAAGTAAATTGAAGCTACGGTCTTCAGCTGTTGCTTGTACGTCGACATTCTCATCGGCGAGATAGCTCTGGAGTACATCAAGATATTTGATTGGCGAAGTGGCGCAGCGACTAAGGCAATTATCCAAGAAAGGCCAAACTTTATCCATGTCGTCTGGGCTGTTTTCATCTATGCTCATCGTAAGGGCTTGAAGGAAGGGTTTTAATCTGGTAGCAGCAGAAACAAGCTGATTTTCCACCGCAACATCTGCAAGGACCTTTTTGAGCTGATGAAGGGGAGCAGTTCGATCGCTTCCGGAAAGAAGTTTAAGAAGCGCGACAAAAGGCGAACAGGGACCTTTGCCGCTGATAATTTCGATTCTTGAAAACCATCTCATACCAGGAGAGTAGCCAGCAATCGACACCAAATTTTCCAGCTCCATCTCGCGGAATCCATCGTGCTGGTGATCGGAACTTTCATCTTGTAAGCTTCGTAGGACGCTAACAAAGAAAGGCGAAACGTCAAAGTTTGCAGCCAGTGCAATCTGAGGAATTATCTCATAATACAGGAGAAGCAGCTTGCTGGCCATTGTTTTGTGCAGTGCATTCTCACTGGGAATGCTTTTATAGCTTCGAACAATCTCTTTCATGTCCGGAATGCGCCTGCAGAAGGCATCAATTAATCTTCGCGATGCTTCAGTCCATTGTGCGTCTGTTGCTCGAAAGGCTTCTTCGTGCAGTTTGATGGCCATTGAAAGCTTTTCCAGCGCCTCAATCAACATTCTTGTCGCAAAGAATGATGTCAAGTTTGAATTTGGCGAGAGACATCGAATTATGACTTTTTGATTCAACGGAAGCGGCAAAATGTTATCCAAAAGAATCTGAGTGGGCGGAGGACCACGAGAAAAGCGCGTTTTGTCGCCAAAAGAGGGGGGAAGCGCGATTCTCATTGTATCGAATAGGAAGGATGCATATCCGATCCAAGTCATTGTTAGTTTTGGCTCAAAAGTGAAAGACTGGTTGTTGAGAAAGTAGTTTGCTATTAGTTCCGGAGCGGCCTCGAATATTGCTGTCAGTAACTGGCTGTGCTTCATGCTGGACCAGGGACGCAATTTTGCAGCAAATTCAGACAAGACAAAGTTGTAAACAGGGACTCCATCACGGTATGTATCATCCTTGCCTACGCTTCCATGCGCTGAGCCTTTCTGCTTGGCAAGCTGGACTGAGAATTCCTCGTCCGTCTCTTTGGGATATAGGCCTGTGGATGGGTACAAGATGCCCGCGCTCGGCTTCGTACAGACATACATGAGGAACTGATGAGCTTTCTCGCTCACTCGCTCAACCTCGCTCTCTGCCTCTGTACTATTGGTATAGGTGTACAGAGCCAGAACTCGCATTAGGGTCTTGGTGTTGAAGCATTTGAACTTGATTTCTCGGGAAATCTTGCTGTCTGCTAGGACGCAGGTTTTTAAGGTATCCAAGATCTCCAAGACAAGGAATGGGGGGTCGCTCTTGATCATGAATGTCAAATGTGAAAACAGTTCCTTCTGAGAGAGGAGCTCTTTTCGACCATCCGAGTGCAAGTACCTAAGGCAGCTCAAGAAGAACCGAACAGCATTTGTTCTCACAGATGCTTTGCCAGAGTCCCCTTGATTGTCGCCAGCAATACCAATCTCTAAATTTCTGCCTAGAGACGCAAAGGTATATGCTCTGGCACGGACAATCTTCCTTGCGTAGGCACCTCCGTCTAGGCTCACAGCTTCTCGAAGTAGGCGCAAAGTCGGAGATATAATGAAGCTTTTCGTCTTGTCTGAAGATAGATTTTTCGATATTGACTTGAGTTGGCGATCTTGGACAAGCGACTGGCAGATGCCAAGACCATGCTTGACCAGGTCTAATGAATCGGAGACGATGTTGAGCACAAGCGCCAAGACAACGGCTGCAGAGGACATGACGCCTCCTTCGTTCACTTGGGCAGCAAATGACCACATCTCCATGATATCACCCAGGAAGACGGCATCTTCGCCGTCGTGCCTCGGCTTCACTAGTTCGAGGTACTCCCGTAAAATGCCGAGACTCGTAGATCGATCGCCATCGCCGGAAATAATGTTATCAAGGAGCCTTTTGAAGGATTGAAGACCTAATCAACGATATTTAGCGTCGTGAAAACCTGGCATTGCCATATGCTCCTTATAATTGACATTCAGCTCACCATGTCTTGCTCGGCGCATGTCTTGGTCGAAGGCGAGCAGGCGCTGGAGCTGCTCCCCGGTGTTCACATCCTCGCCAGTGGGAACATCGTGTGTGGTTTTCTGGCGCTTCCGGAAAGCGGCAGCTCCGTCAGCGTCCACGGATGTTCGTTTCCCCATCTTGAATGGCCCTCTGCGGATTCGTCCAACGTCAACTGCAGAGTGCTTCCTTTGCTAGAAGTCTCAGATATTTTGGGATACTGCCGGGGTTTACCGCCTCGCTACCTTCCAGGATAGGCAAGCCTGGCAGTGTTATCGCATGCTTCTAACGATATCGGCTACACTCCGGATATATCCTTCCACCACACACAGCTCTGCTACTTTGGCACCGCCCGCACTTCATTCTTGGCACGACAATCCCACCCATGCACTGGCACTTCCAACGGCGTCTCCACCCGCGAGCTATTAAAAAACAGCGACAACAGGGCACTTACACTGATATATCCGGCCTGGCATAGGTGCGCTTCCTCCGGAAAGTGTGGAAGAAACTGAGACATGCATGATGGCTTCGCTCGTATCCTCAGTTTCTGTTGGCGAACATGCAGTCTTATGGGCCGCTCAGACCTCTCTGCCTACGCCACCGGCCGCAGCAGAACCGTGCTACTAATGCTAATACAACCCATCTCTTCCATTGGGTGTCAGGTGGTTTCTGGCCCCGGGTCTTGAGTCAAGTCTTGAAGCCGTCTACGCCATATTTTGCGTGCCTGGTTTTTTTCATGTCATCATGACCGACCAGATCATCACCACGCGATGCTAAAGATAGATACCGCTTTCTGAGAATATGGAGGACCTCTCGCTTTAGGAATCGCGACAACAATGTGTCAGCTCTGGAACCTGGCGTTCCTGTAACAATCAACCGTCATTGATCTGCTCGGATGGTTGAAAGAAATTAAGTGAGGATCTAGTCGGGTGAAGAGCGCGCGCCAACAGTGCTGAAATGGCCCAAAGAAGCAAAACAGCAATCCCAATATGGGGAAGTTTGCCTTCGTGGCGCCGAACCAAGTTTCGCAACAAGCCTGGGCACGTTTCTGTTTTCACAACACGCAGTATCTGACCTATTCTTTTGTTTCCCCTTTGCTGCCCTGCCGCCACCGCCGAAACAGAAAAGCGTTGTCTGTCAGGGCTGTATCTCGTCGCCAGGGGTGCCCGGCCAAGCAGGTATGGTGGCGGGCCAATGCCAGCAGCCCACGAGACCCCTCCTCGGGGTCTCAGTAGCAGAGCCACAATAGCATCAGTTGCCAGGTGTGGCGGATGCAAGACATCGACTCGCTGTGCCAGCCCGGCCGTCTGACGCCGTTTGTGGATCCTGCAATCTTGTGGGTAGCGCCAGCCATCGGAATCCAGCGTTCTACGCGCCGACTGGACGGTCTCATTTGTGGCCCAGCCTATCACCGTCCCGGGCCTGCTGGCTCACCATCAACGCTGCTCAGCCGCCACTTATTGGGTCATCCAGAGTATGAAGGTGTTCTTGGTAGCTGTAAACCGGCAAACAATGGCTCCAGTTCCCTGGTCAAGTGAGGCGCTATTGCAGATGCGAAGTAGTATTTACGAGCCCGCCCGGCCCTCGTCTTTTACTTTCTATCTTGGGCGCCGGATCTACTTTTTTTTATGTCATCGACTCGCTGGACGGTCTTTCATTCGCTTTTCTGTCGTACTTAAAGTTATATGCCGGCCCAGTCGGCATGAAGCTGCTTTTTTCTCCCCATTATGAAAGCTTCGTCGGGTGTTTTTGGTGAAGCATATGCGTCATGCTTGTCTTGCCTCACGTGTTGGGAACCGTTGGCTTTTCGCATCGATGAGCGATCTGAGTCCCGTATGTAATTTTTTTTTTCTCCGAGCCTTCTTGGATTATCGCCCCCTCTTACTATTATGAGATGCTGGAGCAGTTTGTAAGGTTTCATTGACTGATTGAGCCCAAGGCGATAACCAACGTGCATTGCCCATTATATACGACCAACCAACATCTCACCCGCTCCCAATGGCAGTATCGGAGGCTGCGCCTCCCCGACCAAGTTGGAAGCACAAAATGCAAAAGACTTTCAAATCAAATCAAGCAAATACCTTAACAAAGGGCAGAGCGCAAGCAAACAGCTCACGGCCTCGGTTACAGATTTCAGCGCCGTTTGAATTCCGCCATGTCGAATCAGGCTCATTTCAGTTCCCATTCCCTCCTCAACGGCCATCTCGTCCCTGGGAGAGTCCTGTGACACCGGATACGCCCGAGACTCCCTTTGAGCCGCTACAGTTAAACATTTCAAATTCAGGAAAAGAACTGTCTCCAATACTTCCGGACTTTTCCTTTCCTCGTGAGATGACGCCGCCACCTTTAGTTCATCTTGCAGGCCGGCCCTACAATGAGCAATCGCCATCTCCGAAGAGAAGTCATTCATCCACGGCATTTCATATTCCTCGGAAAAATGTTGCTACCGCTTCATTCTCAAGCAGCCCAGAGGTGTCACCATTAAACCTCGCTTCCGAGAAACAGCCTCGTGTGCGGGATTATGCGCCATCTGATATGGAGGCTATCAAAGAACGTGTAGCGTGCGCCATGAATGAAGTGGAAGAGCTACAGAAAAAAATCAACGACATTATTGAGCGCCAAAGCATCTACACTGCAAGCAGACCATCGACAGCTCACTCGATGGCTCGTACAGTGCCTGGTAAGCTTACAAATGGACCCCTTCGTGGTAGACTTTCCCAGCTTACCCATGCAGATGCAGCAGAGGTTCCGATAATTCCTGCTCTACCGCCAGCAGCGCCGTCATTTGCTGAGCGCCTAAACACTGAGGTGTCGCTGCCCAACACTGGACCCATTACTGCATCCATCCACATCAGCCAACTAGAGGCGTATGAGGAAACGCTCGACAACATTCGGCAGTTGTCACAAATAATGCCGATGCAAGAAGAGCGGTCACCCGCACCGCCTCCACCACCACTGCCTCTCGTCCTACGGCCACCGCTGCGGAAGAAGAAGTCGTTTTCACGAGTTTCAACCTGGCTGTTCCAAGAACCAGGGCGTGCCAGGAATCAGAGCATGGACTCTATCACAAACGCCCCTCTCCCTATCAAAGGAAGCGAAGGGTTTTATCAGTGTGTAACGCCTCCCAGAAGGCCGGATAGGCAAAGTATCGAGACATTTGATACACTATCTACATGGTCGACGAACGACGGAGACCGAAGTGTGCCGACGGCCTGGTCGCCGCGGAGCACTTCAACAAGGAAGGAGGAAGATGGTTTACTGGAAAGAAGCGCCACATTTGGCAAAAGCAGCATCCGGAAGCCAGCTGCGGTGAATGTTGGCGTTGCAATATGACAGCGGATCCCGTACATACATGCGCGACGACGTTACTAATGTATATACAGCTCATGTGCTGGACCACATATGATAGACCACGAGGAATGATTGGAGGGGAACAAATGAGGACAGGCCTGGTATAGGCTAGATTGGTGTTAATTCGGGGTAGAATAGAACGGGATGGGTCTAATGCGCTCATCAATGATACCACTAGAAGTGAAAACTGACGGATGCAGCTGAGCGACATCCTTGCTTTTTGGCTAGGCGTTTAGGAGAAGGAACAAACATAAAGGAGCTATTGCTACTGTTATAGAATAGGTAGGTAATACTGGGATTAGTATACATGCCGAATTGAACATAAATTCAGAGGATAGTGAGATATTCTATTGATGGCGCTGGAAGTGCTGCGGTTTTACCGTATTTGCTATCATTGTATTTCATGGACGCTAGACACTTTGTATGGCGTTATAAGCAGCTTACCCTTCCCCCAGTTGTGCTCGATAATGCCTTAGGCTCGGATGCGTTGCATAGGCTCCTGTCTAAGAAATGCCTGACTTGGACGGATGCTCTTTTTCACTCTTCACCAAAGATGCTCGAAGCGCCTCCTGCAGGAACAAGTGCCTGACTAATTCCAAGATGGACGCTGAAATGAATACGGTCTACGATCATTGGCCATGGCGCTTTACATAAGCCACGCGTGTCTTTAGAGGTGCGCCACCAAAGCTTGGCCGCTGAAGCTCAGTGAGTTCGAGAAAAGCTTCAATTGCACAAGCAAACGATGAGTGAGTTTTAACCATTATCCAAGTCCCGCTCTATCTCATTCTTTTTCTTCTTTCCATGTTTCTCGTCTTCCTTTCTTTATTCCGTTCTGTTCTGTTGTCTGAATAAGCGAATCTGGCCACGAGCCTTTCCCTTCTGTGGACACGCTCTCTCGCTGGGCTGGGCTCCAACTGCGCAAGCCAAGATAAGATACGATTTGGCGTAATTGTTACAACTCACCCTTTTGGCATTTTCCATCGTCGCTGCGTTGCAGCACAGAATTTCGCAGCCATGTCGATCTCCAGGATATTGGCCTCTATCAAAGGCGCCGTTTCGCGGGACACGTACAAATACAGTGCTATCCCAGAGCAGTTGGGCCGACGGCCATCGAGTCGACGACAGCGCAGCACCGAATCTACTTCTTTAGCAGCATCGTCACAGGGGCGAGAGAGATTAATCAAGATGTCACTTGGAGGAATGGCCTTTTTCGCGATCTTATTGACCATGGTCTCACTTGGGTAGGTAAAGCCGCAGGTTTGGAAAAGGGAGCAAGGACATTGCGAAGAAGAGCTAACATGATGTGACTGAAAGGCGATTCAGCTCAGGCTCAGCTTGCGAGTTGGTTGGAAACTGTACGACAGATGTGTCGCATATTTGGGGCCAGTACTCGCCAGTCTTCTCGGTCCCGTCAACCATCGATGCATCAGTTCCGCAGGGGTGTAATGTGACTTTTGCACAGATTCTATCGCGGCATGGAGCGCGAGCACCAACTGAGAAGAAGTCGGATGCTTACAAAGCCATGATCGAACGCATCCAGAGCTCTGTGAAGGAGTACGGCAAAGGATACGAATTCCTCAAAGACTACGACTACAACCTGGGCGCTGATGATCTCACGCCGTTTGGGGAACAGCAGCTGGTTGACTCGGGAATCGCCTTTTACCAGCGCTATCCAGACTTGGCATCTGAATCTGACCCGTTCGTTAGGACAGCAGGATCTGATCGAGTGATTGTATCGGCCCAGCGGTTCGTTGAGGGATACTTTAAAACCCAGGGTCGCGACGCTGTCAGCCCAACGAAGGACATCCTTGTGCTCCCCGAAGACTATGGATTCAACAACTCCCTAAATCATGGAGCCTGCCCGGCATTTGAAGATGGACCGATATCCGAGATTCGCGATCAAAGCCAGAAAACTTGGCTAGGAATTTTTGGACCTGCGATTAATCGGAGGCTCAACAACAAACTGCCGGGCGCAAACCTGACCCTGCCCGAGACGATCTTTATGATGGACCTGTGCCCCTTTAACACAGTAGCAACCACGACCACTGCGCTATCCGACTTTTGCAGGCTCTTCTCGATGGATGAGTGGGCAAGCTACGACTACTTTCAATCATTGGATAAATGGTACGGCTATGGACGAGGCAATCCATTGGGTCCATCCCAGGGCGTCGGGTTTGGCAACGAACTGATTGCCCGGCTCACTGGCACGCTTGTGATAGACCGCACGACAACAAACTCGACGCTCGACGCTTCTCCCAAAACGTTTCCTCTGAACATGACGCTGTACGCAGACTTTTCTCATGACAACACAATGTCTTCGATATTTGCTGCGCTGGGGCTGTTCAACGCGACAATGGAGCTACCGCTCAAGTACAAAGTATCACCTCGACGCCTCCACGGCTTTTCGGCCGCTTGGGCGGTCCCGTTCGCTGCCCGCTTGTACGTAGAGAAGATGCAGTGCGGCGACTCAAGCGAGGAGCTAGTACGAGTGATTCTCAACGACCGAGTGGTTCCTTTGCGGACGTGCAGTTCTGATAGGCTGGGGCGGTGTAAGCTGAGAGGCTTTGTTGATAGCCTCAAGTTTATAAGGAGCGGGGGGCTGTGGGATCAGTGCCCTCTGGACGGCTGACGTTTGAATGTGTGAACGGTTGAGATGCTCACCTTTTATATGACCCTTTTCTATTTGAATGCATTTTGTGGATTTATTTGAATTTTGGCGTGCATCTATACCACATTGGCAGATGATTATGAGGGATTACCACTTGCTAGAGTCATTGAAGAAACGTTGAAACTCTACAGACTAGAGGATATAGTAGAAAGTGCTACAAAATAGATAGCATAAGACTAGATACAGTAAGAATGTTCTCAGAGGGCTAATCCATCTGCATGATTTGCTTCTCTCAGGCCTCAAATATCTGAGTGAGTTGCTGGCCTATAAATAGCACCTGAGCTCGCACCAATCGCTACCGCTTACCTGAGGCATTGTTTCGCACCATCTCCATAACGCGGATAACGATGGAAACTACACGAGGTTTTAGCAACGAGCAGAGACAATTATAGCGATGATGACGGAGCGTTAGTTCCCTTAACGAGCAGGGGCTCCCTGTGTATTTTAGGCGCAGGTACCGAGTCCAGATGCTCTACAGGGGTTCATGTCCCATTCGTAGCCCCGATAAGGCCGGGCGGGTGTTTCTCTCCAGCACTAAGCGGCCTAAAGCGGTAGCTCGACGTCAGCACTTCTCCAAGCCAGTCCCAAGCTACCAACCTACTCAGTTCAGATCCAAAAACGTTTGCGCACGGCGTTGGAAAATAACAACAACCAGATGGTTGGGACTCTGCGGACTCGAAATTCGTTGCATCTACCGAGTTGATCTTTCCGCGCTGCGTCTATTTTCCAAGCCATCTCCTGGGCCAACGAGCAAAGACCCAAAGTTAGCAGACCATGGTTTCGACCGCGGGAGGCATCGTCATCGCGATTGTGGTGATTCTAGTGGCGGCGGCCATTGGATGGGTTGTGTTTTCGCAACTGCGAGCGCGGAGACTAGGAGTGAGTTTTTTTTTCCTGCCTTTCACCCTCATTCTTCTCGCTGCTTTACTTTTCCGATGCTTGGAGAGACAGGCGATGATCCGACGGCGCATGGCAGTCTTTGGCAGCATCGCAAAGCCTCTTCGGGAGCGACGGCAGAGCAACGACGCCGCAGCGACGAAATGTCCTTGGCTGACAGCAATGGCAATTTTACAGCTCCCACCTCCCAGCTTATCATCATACCTACCATGGCGTAAACCAGACACGCCGTACGGACCCCCGAAGCCGGCTCGCGGCGGCGTCGTCGGCTGGTTCAACGACATTGTGCGCAAGTTCAAGCACCGCAACGACCGGTCAGCAGCCGGCGCCTACGAGCAGTCTGGCCCTCGAGGCAACCGCGGCTTTGGGCCTCTGGATCCGGACGATGCGTGGGACGCGAGAGTCGGCAACGAGGCGGATGGATACGGCTACTACGAGCAGGAGCTGGGAGGACACACCGAGTACACGGGCGCGAGCTACGACAGCGGCCATCTCGGCTCAGTGCCCGCCGCGCATGTGGGCTACAACGAGGACGTGGAGCGAGGCAGACGGCCCAGTCGAGATGCTGGAGCTGCCACGGCGGCAACGGCGTCGCAGAGAAACCCTTTCGACGACGATGCGCAGACGAGCCTCAGGGGCGTCAGTCCTCGGCCGATGGATGCGCCGGGAGGAGCGGCGCACAAGACGGGCGAACGGCCGGGAAGTTCTGGCAGTAGCTTTGCCGAGCGGAGGTCGATATTTAGAGAAGACGTCTAAAACCACAATGCGATGGGTGAAGTGGAAGTGGAGTGAAGCTGGATGCGATGGGGGTTTAGAAAAGAAAGGGGGGAAGAGGAAACGGAGAGAAATGAAGAACGAAAAGACGGCTGCACAGCTTTTTATGAAGAAAACCTTGATTTATTTTTGCTAAGGATACGGTGCCTGGGTGGCTTTTTACTCTTTTTTTTTTTTTTTTTTTTTTTTAATGTCATGTCATGTTTATTTTTTCTTTTTAAGTGGGAAAAGCTGGAAACAGGTTTGCATCACGATATACATACACTTTACCTACCTTTGTACCCAAGGTAGGAGAGCTTTGTTGTTTTCATTGCGGGATTGGAGGACGGAAATGAATTACGTTTTTATTTTTGCTTTCTTCCTGGGATGGCTTGGCTTAGTGATGGAGTCTTTTATTTACGAGTAGTAAATGCATGAAATTGATAATGACTCCTTTTTCCAAAGTTTTGCATGCTGCTAGTAGACTGCGGTATCAGAGAAGGCTGCTTTCTGTAGCCAAAGCTCGTGGCAGCCATCAAGCTACGCCAGCCAAGAAAAGCCCCACGTTACGTATTTTTGCCCCTCCAGTTTCCACAGCGCAGCGGGTTTGGAGGGGCCCCTCTTAACTGGCCAATTCGCTCCTCAGCTGGAGGGGACGTATTCATCCTCAACTCTCATTCTCACTTTCATTGCTTGATATTCCATCGTTTGCTGTTGACTCATTCACGACCAATTCGTAATCGTGAGGAAAAGAGGGAAAACTAAATTACGAGATAAGAGTTCCGGAGAAAAGAGAGAGAGGGAGAAAAGCAATCAATCGTATACTGCAATGGCGGACCTCAACCTCCAAGCCATTCATGATGAACTGGTCCTCGTGGCTTATGAGGCCGGACGCATGATTCTATCCGCCAACCCAGCAGATATCGGAACAGGGACAAAGCTCAACTGTACGTGATGGGATTTCATCCAACTTGGCGCAATACTTTTTATTGTCACACTATAATATATGCATTGGGCCAATTAGCTGACGTATTTTGCAGCCGTGGACATTGTCACAGAAGTCGACCAGGCCGTCGAGAAAATGGTCTCGTCGCGCCTCTCAACGGCCTACCCCGAGTTTTCCTTCATGGGCGAGGAGACCTACAAGCCTGGGACTAAGCTGGGCCCTGAGCCGACATTTGTCGTTGATCCCATTGATGGTGAGTTTTCATCTTATAGCATTTCTCCCCCCCTTTCTTCCCACATCATAATAAGTGTCATCACAAATATTGTACTCATTTTCAACCATCTCCTAGGAACTACAAACTTTGTCCATTCCTTCCCCAACGCCTGCATCTCCCTCGGCGTCGCCATCAACCGCGAGCCCGTCATCGGCGTCATCTACAACCCCTACCAGGACCTGCTCTTCACAGCCATCAAGTCCCACGGTGCCTACATGACGCGCATCAAGGGCTCAACGCCCCAGAAGCTGCCCCTTGCCACGAGCCCCCGTCCCCTCGAAGGCCTCGCCAACGCCCTCGTCGCCATCGAATGGGGCTCCAACCGCGACGGGCCAAACTACGAGCTCAAGACGGAGGTGTTCAAGAAGCTCGCCGCCACCAAGGAGACGGGCGGCGCCATGGTGCACTCGCTCAGGTCGCTAGGCTCTGCGGCGCTGAATATTGCTGCTGTGGCGGCGGGCCAGATGGATGCCTACTGGGAGGGCGGATGCTGGGCGTGGGATGTCTGCGCGGGATGGTGCATCCTCAAGGAGGCCGGGGGCATCATGGCTGGAGGGAACCCTGGACAGTGGGATCCGGCGGTGGATGAGAGGAAGTATCTTGCTGTGAGGGGGGCGCCGAGCGGGCAGAAGGAGCTTGTGGAGGAGTTTTGGGGGGTTATTGGCAATGGGGCGATGGATTACTCTGTGTAAAGAAGAGATGGGAGTTTGAACATTCACCCATCATATACAAACATGGACATATTCAGGGGTAGATGCCGGGAGGGAAACGAATGTACAAAACTAGACAAGCATGAAATAAAGACTGCTTATAGAATATGATGTTGTTTTGCTTCATTCTCTAACTTTTCATTACATTATATGCTTATATACCCAAATACATTGTCGTGTCTCATGCTTGCTTCAAAAGCAGATTTAACCTTTTCCCAAAACTTTTAGTATTCATCCGCCTCTTATCAACAACCTCCCCCCTTATATTAGATTAATCATATAACTTTCCTCTTTCCTCTTCACTGCGCAAACTTGCTCATTGCCCTCAACTTGGGGCCATAATACCACAGAAAGATGGGACTCGGCCACCCAATCCCAACAGCAACCGCCGCAAGCACCGTCCCACCAACGCCGTACCCCAGCTTGTTGTACATTGCCGGCGCAAACAGCGGGAACCCAAAGCCGGCCAGGCTGCGCAGCACCGTCACGGCGCTGACGGCGCTGGCGGCGTAGCGCGTGTACGAGTCCACCATGTAGCCCTGGATGCACTGGAAGCCGATGATGATGCTGGCGCCAAAGACGACGGCGCCAATGTTGGGGCCGATCCAGTGCGTGTGCGCCTCGGCGGTCCACGAGTAGATGAGGATGCCGATGGGCAGGAAGATGGCGCCGGGGATGAGCATGGGCACGCGGAACTCTGGCCGGCCAGGCCCGCCGTCGGGCACGTAGCGGCGCTTGAGGGCGGCGTAGATGCGGTCCTGCAGCGGCGCGCAGATCTGGGCGCCCAGGAAGAAGCCGAGGCCGAGCGAGATGTAGTTGAGGCCTGCGATGCCGGGGCTCTCGTGGTACTTGCTGGCCCAGAGCGAGGCATAGGTCGAGAGGATCAGGTACGTCACGCCGTAGAGGAACATCATGTACAGCGACATGACCTGCACAATGGGCTGCGTGGCCAGCAGGCGGAACGGCCGAGTCAGCGCCGTCGTCAGCGTCTGCAGCACCGTCCGGTCCGGGCGATCGTACTCGGTCACGAGGCTCGTGTTGCCCGTCTCCTTGATCAGCGCCGCCTTCTTGCGCTGCAGCAGCACCGGCGCGTACGTCTCCTGCAGGAAGAAGACGCCCGCCGTCTGGATCACGCCGCAGGCAATCGTCGTGCTGTAAAAGACCCATCGCCACGTCGTGCGGTCCGTCACCCAGCCGCCGGCAATGGGCCCCAGCGCCGGCCCCAGCAGCGGCATCAGCGAGTAGACGCTCATGGCCTTGCCCCTCTGCTCGGCGTCGAAGAGGTCGCCCAGCACGCCGCCGCCAATGGCCAGGGGCGCCGAGCCGCCGATGCCCGCGAGGAAGCGGAAGACGAACATCTGCGCCTCGGTGCGGGCGAGGCCGCAGCCCAGGTTGAAGAGCAGGAACCACAGGTTGGACACCTGCAGGATGATGGTGCGGCCGTACAGCTCCGAGAGCGGCCCCCACATCAGGGGCCCGAGGGCATAGGCGGCGACGAAGATGGAGAGCACGAGGGCGCTTTCGATTTCCTCGGTGATGTGCAGGTCCTTGCTGATTTGGGGGAGCCCGGGGGCCACCATGGACGAGGCCACGGGGGAGATGAGGGTGAAGCAGGATACTATATAACCAGCGTCAGTGTCTGTCTTGTCTCTTCTACTTGGGCATATAGGCATGTATGAGATTCATTCTTTATTCTCATGTTGCCAACAATGAACACGGGGCCACTCACCGCAAAAGACGGCGGCCCATTTCCTCTTGAGCAGCCAGTTCTTTGGATTCTCCGGGTCATCAGGCCCCGTCCACTTCACCACGTTGGGGTCATCGATTCTGACCGTGGGCGTCTTCTCAATCGCATCGTCCCCTCGCTCCAAATCCCTCTGGTTCGCAATGCCATCTCGCACCTCGGACACTGTTCGAGAGATGGACACACCCGGCGCACTTCGCTCAGAAGCCTCAATGGTTGACGAGTTGTCAGAGTCGGAGAGCGTTGCCGAGTATTCGTGCTTCTCGTGGTCCACGTTGGATGGCATCTCGGCTTCTTCTTCTTCTTTGCTGTGACGACGAGGTGCCGAGGTGATGTCCTCTGATTTGCGTTCTGGAGTAGTTGCCGACATTGTCATAGACTTTTTTTCATCCAAATGCCGACTCTATAAGCAGTGTGAGTTGAAACAGTGACTTTTCATGATATTGGGCCTCTAGCGGGCTTCTTTTTAAAAAAGGAACAATAAATCCGTTGTGATAAATTTATTATCCAGCCATGGAAAGAAGTACAACAGCTCGCTTAATCGCCTCTCCCACCGCAAACGGAAGTCTTGGGGCGCAAACGCGAAGCAGTACCTCTTGTTATACTGTTTCGAGTATACAAAAAAGGAAATCAAGTCAATCCCAAAAAGAGCACGCGACACCAAGTAGTATTGACCCCAATCCAATAAAAAAAAAGCTCGATGAAGTTCTCTTATAAATTCGAAATGACTGGGCGAAGGCCTCCGACTAAATAAAAAAAAAGAAACCAGGAACAAGATCGCAGGAGGAAAAAAAAAAAAAACCAACCAGGAATACAGCCTCATCACAAAACAGGGCACGGGATACGGGGATTTCTATTACATGCTAGAATCCACATCTCCTTTCTTCCTACAGTATAAAGCCCGTTGATAACTGACCGCACGGCAGCTTCATCCGATCGAAACTGGAGATCGGGATGCCGCCCTTTTTTTTTTTTTTTGCCAACCATCGCCGATACGGCACCGATGATAATGCCCGGACGGCGAATAAAAAAAAATGGGCAAAAGAGAAGGCTTGCCCATTTGCCTATTTGGTAGCCTCGGCCGACCTCCGTAGTTTAAACAGCAAAGGTCCCGGCTTTAAAGGGGACTGCAACGGTGTCTGTTGGGTCTTGTGCGTCGAAAATGCCCACGGAAACTCCGTTGCGAAAGTCGCTTAGCAATACTGCCGTCATGCACTTCCTATCTGGGCTTGAACAGCGAATCATGCGCAGATACGAGTGACACGAAAGGAAGGATAAGAGGACGAGGAAGAGAGCGACATCGCATCCATGCAACGGGGCGAAGCAAGAAAAGACAAGAAAATAAGCATCGCAAAGATAATCGTCGCCCTAAACCTCCGGTCTTGTTTCTATGCGTGGTAGACCGGTTGGCAGGTTCAGGTTTGCGGAAACTCAAAGTAAACGCCCAAAGCTACTAGGTAGGTACCGGATTTAATGACCTGCCTCTCCGTTAGCTGCGCGGTTCCATGGCAATGGCTGTCGTATTTCGTCTCTTCCAGCTTTGCCTCAACAAGGGTGCATTTCAACAAACGCCGCCTCTGCACGACTTCGAACTAAGAAACGGAGAGTTTCTAGCATCTTGCAATCTGATTTCCAGCAGTTTGCCGACAGCGGATGGCCAAACTGGCTGACTCACTCGTTCGTGATGATGATGACCGTGGGATTCGAAAACTACAGGGATACCGCGAGGCCAACACAACACGACATGTTTTGGCAGTAAGCCATATTGGGTACAGAATGTCGGTGATACTCTTGCTCGGAATAACCTGACGTCACAGAGAAACAAAAGGGTTAAACGCAGAAGGAAATGAGAAAGTGCAGCTTGAATGTGTTTGCTGCTATGGATTGACCAACTATCTCAGTCAAAAACCCACTCTGTGGTGGAAAACTGTGCCCATGTAATCGATGCATACTCGACACCCGAAACAAACTGGAATATTTTTTGCAATATTAAACCCATAAATTGTTGATTTGGGGCAACCCGGAGCCAGATGCTGATAAGCCCAACTCGTGCATGGCCCGTCTGATGAATGATGCTTACACACTCAGCCCAAGTGCTGTCCAGCACCTCTAGCCTGAGGAAATGGAATAGCGAATTGAAAATCTGTCTACCCTTGACAGCCTATTCACTCGTCTTTGGTATCAACCTTCTTGGCCGCTGGTGCTACAACAGCGTCGTCCTCACGGGGTCTCTTAGTGTTGGTTGCGGCAGCATCCACGGGTTTCCTGGTCAGCGCGTTAGTTTAGCCCATTTCAAAGTCCAAGCTTGCTGATAGCAGTTGAGGTTGCTTACTCTTGTCTATTTGAGTCGCGGTCGCGACGTCCACCATCACGGCCTCCCCGACCTCGTCCTCCACGGCCACGGCCACGACCGCCACGACCGCCACGACCGCCTCTGAACCCGCTCTTCTGGTCCTGGTCTCGTCGCTTCTTCCAGTCGTCTTGGTCTCCAGAGCGAGTGTTCTTCTTTCCAAAATCACGACCTTCGTAGAATTTCTTTTGTGTCGTCGCGCTTGGGACAAGCTTTCCTTGCTTGATAAGATCACTCTTCTCCTCGCAGTAATCATGCTTAGACATGATCTTCAGGTCGTGCTCCTTCCACTTGGGAGCAGGGTCCAAGGCAAGGAAGTTCTTGGCTGTTTCCTCATCGGCAAAGGTGACGAAGACGGAACCTTTAAACAGGTTCTCGTTGGTACGGCGAAGCTTCAAGCCGTTGACTTCACCAAACTGGGTAAAGAAGCTTTCGAGTTCGAACTGAGTGTCCGGCTGCTCGTCTCCGAATCCCTTCACGTAGACAGTGGCCGCCTCGGCCTTGGCCTTGGAGGTGGGGACAGGCTTATAGGGGACCTTGCGTTTAACCACCTCTTTGCCTTCCTCCCCAGAGACTTCGAGGAGCTTGCTCTCCTTGAGAGCAGCAACGACAGCACTGTAAGGTTGGAAGATTCGCATGCGTTTAAAGGAGTGGATTTTCTCGATCGGCATCGGCTTGTTCTCTGAGCCTCCGCAAGTCTCCCACATGAACTTGTCTTGAGGGAAGTTCCAGTCGCCAAAGTAAAACTCAACCTATTTTGCATTCTCCAGTTAGTAACAGTGGCTCTCTTCCTGGCTTTGGGTTGTTTGGGCTTTCGTTACCTGTTTTCTGATTTCCTCGGGCTCATCAGTCACCTTGCGGGCAGTGGCATCGAACTTGCGATTGTTTTGTAGGTTTTCACGGTCAATCTTGGCCGTCGTCTTCAGAATGTTGGGGCCATCTTTCTTTTCGGTCTCGGCCACCTCAGGCTGCTCAACCGCAGCTTGTTCCTCGACGGGAGCGACGGGAGTTTCCTCAGCGGGAGTCTCCTCAACGGGGGCAACAGCCTCGGTAGGGTTCTGTACAGCCTCTGATTCGCTCATGATGAAGAGAAAGTGGTTCAAACTTGGAAAGGATTCGCGATCGAGGGAGGAATAAGGCGATGTGCTGGTAAATCTGTTGAAGTAAGAAAACGTGAGTAATTCTGGCAACCCGCTGGAGAGAGGGCAAGCAGCAAGTAGGAGTAAGATTGCTCGCACTTCGCAAGCTGCATTGCCGCCAAATATCAATCGCTGACTCACCTTTGGTTGATATGCACTGTCACCTAAGAAAAATAATGAAAAGAGAAAGACTGCGGCGGCTGGCGTCCCAGGGTTGATAAATGGAGGTTGGAGATGCAAGCGAGTCCGTCGCGAAGGGAAAAAAAAGTTATTTGGGGCGCAAAAAATATGCGAGATCTGCTGTGCCCCACTGAAAAGGCGGCAACCCCACCACCTGCCCATCCACTAAGAGGTACCTGCTGGCAACTCGGAACGAGCCGCTATCTGATATGTGCTGTGTGCGATAGTCACCCACCTGGGATATTCGGGGGCTTGTGCTTAAAGGTACACTCGAGGTACTCATTGGAGTGCTTACTAGTACTAGTAGTAGGTACGGGGGTAAGAGCACTGGCAACTTTTGAACAACTGGTAGGCGCGCAAGACCTCATATGCGATCAGAGATGAACGCAAGTGAGCTGACAGAAAGCTGCAATAGACCAGTATTCTGTCAATCTTCATTTAGTAGTAGGCATTCAACCAGTGATTGCAAGACAGTTTCATATTTCCTACTATGAAATGAAAATGTGCAAGATTACAAATTTAGAGAACAGCCACATGTGTGTAACATGCCAGGTGCCTTTGATATGCGTCACTAATCCTGGCCAAAGAGTCATTGTCCGTCTTCTACTAGGCTGCTCTAGCCCAGTAGGCAGCACGAACCTGGGCAACTTCCTCTTCAGGTTCCTCTTCAATGCCAGGCTTAACAAAGGAAAGAAAGGTCAGTTAGCTGTTGTGAGCGCCTGGGGAGAGTAAAGAGGGCAGGAAAATATTAGGTAGGTGCATTTAGCCCCATCTATGGCGGTAGCTTCCACATGCTAAACTGCTGCATTACAGTGGCGTGGTCCTCTTAAGAGAACCGAGCTAGGTACTTTTCGCATTGACGTAAGATCTACGCCAACAAAGGTACAGTAGCGCTGCCTTCAGTGATTTTGTCCCATCACGCGATAAATTTGATTTGATGCTGATTGCATTTGTGAAAATCGCATTCTCTTGTGCCGACCCAATCGCTTCCACAGCCCGCAGGAAATGAAGATTTCATAAACTGAGCGCGTCTGGTTTCGAGGCTAATGTTGTCTTTTTATTGGTAATTTGGCTAGTTGAAGCTGTTGTGCGTTGAGCAGAGCCTCAACAGATAACGCCACCATGAGATATCCCGCGAAATTACCAAGGCCGTTGATATCTCTCAACACGTGCCTACGAGCCACAAATCGTCCGCCAGCATATCTTGCTCAATTAGACCGTGGCTTCTTCACACAATCAAAACGTCAGTTGAAACGCCAACAACGCACAAGCATACCTGCTGTCGTACTCTCCGTGGGACTCTTCATTTGGTGGCTCTACCCATCAGAAGAGTTTGCACGCTTGTCTGAGACTCAAAAGGCTGATAGAGACAACCAAGGGAGACGAGATGGCGGCGTTGATGAGTCCAACAAACTCGTCACTGAAAAATCTGACAATGGTGCATGGGCTTACTTTGCCCGGCGGTTCGAGTTTCTATCTGCCACGGCTGAGCTTGAATGGGCCAACTTGTCGGACAGATTGGTAGATGCTATCCTTCCCGAATGGTCAAAGAATATTCCCATGTACGTGAGGAAGCTCCAAAGGGAGCTATCAGTTTCTCCAGGATCATTGGCAGATGAGATATGGCAAGAGGCTCATGACCCTTTGGTAAACCGCGAGATTCGATATTCCGCCAATGTGCGCGTCTCGGAGGAACTATGTGACGAGGAGAAAGAGTATCTTTTGCGGCGGAAAATTGTAACGCGAGCAGCTTTGGCAAGCTACCTTGGACTCAAGGAAAAGGACATCAACCCTGACGATGTGCCCACCATTGCCATGTGCGGATCGGGAGGGGGTTTGCGAGCATTAATAGCAGGGAGCGGCTCCATGTTTGCGACCGAGGAGGATGGACTATTTGACTGCGTTACTTATACCGCTGGCGTCAGTGGTTCCTGTTGGCTCCAGCTACTCTACCTCTCCTCGTTCGCAAAAGGAAGCGTTGGCTCTCTCATACAGCACTTAAAAGCAAGATCATCTATCCACATAGCATATCCACCCACTGCCTTCCAATCTCTGACGTCTTTACCGACAAGCAAATACTTACTGAGTGGACTGGTGGAGAAGTTGAAAGGAGATCCCAACGCCGACTTTGGGCTTGTCGATATATATGGACTTCTACTGGGCGCTAGATATCTGGTTCCAAGGGGTGAGCTGGGTGTCGATGCTAGAGATTTCAAGTTGTCGAATCAACGTATGTATTTGCGACAAGGACAACACCCGTTGCCCATATACACAGCAGTACGTCACGAAATCCCGGCAGAAGAGGCAACGGCCTCTCAAGACCGCGATTCATTGCCTACGGTGGAGGAGATGAAGAAAGAGTCTTATTTTCAGTGGTTTGAGATCACCCCCTACGAGTTTTTCTGCGAGGAATTTTCAGCCGGAATACCGACGTGGGCCCTTGGCAGGCGCTTTTTTAATGGCAAAGATGTGCCACCTGAGAATCGATTTCATCTACCGGAGATCAGAACTCCTCTTCTGATGGGCATTTTTGGGAGCGCGTTTTGCGCAACTCTCAGCCACTACTATCGCGAGATTAGACCACTTCTTAGAACGATTACTGGTTTCCAAACGATAGATCAGCTGGTGTCAGTACGGGACGACGATTTGAGCAAAGTACATCCTATAGATCCTGCCATCATTCCCAATTTTGCATATCAAATGCACGGAAAGCTGCCCAAGTCAACGCCAGCGAGCATCTTGGATGGAGAGTATATCCATCTTATGGATGCGGGAATGTCGAACAACTTGCCTATATATCCATTGCTGCGGCCGGGTCGGAATGTCGACATCTTAGTCGCGTTTGATGCCTCAGCTGACATCAAAACTGATAATTGGCTTTCTGTGGCGGATGGCTACGCACGGCAACGAGGTATCAAGGGATGGCCGTTGGGAGCTGGCTGGCCCAAGGATGAGACACCAGAGCAAGCAAAAAAGGAATTGACTGAAGCCCAGGCTGCTACACCTGCCGAAGCAGAACACAAAGTAGAAGAAGCCCAAGCTAAACAAAAGGATCTCCGCGAGACTGCATCAAAGCAAGATGCTACCAAGCCGTCACAGCAGGACGAGAAATTCAAGTTTAAGCCAGGCAACGAAAAAGCTGGGGAGCTCGGCTACTGTACTGTATGGGTAGGGACAACAGAGGAACGAACTACGGACTCCCCACCCATCACAAAGCCCGTCACCGATGACACCTCATGGCAACTGATGGAGCCCGACGCAGGCCTTGCTGTCGTCTACCTGCCTCTTCTCTCCAACGACAAGGTTCCCGGCGTCTCTCCTGGCACTTCGGACTTTTTGAGCACTTGGAATTTTGTCTACACCCCTGATCAGATAGACAGCGTCGTTAAGCTCGCCCGAGCCAACTATGACGAGGGCAAGGACCAGATCAAGGCCACCGTGCGTGCCGTCTATGAGCGCAAAAAGCAGCTGCGTGAGCAGGCCGAAACGCAGCGCCGACTCGACAGCTATACTGCCATGGCCAAAAAGGGAGAAGAATCTCTTCTTCATCACGGCGACCAATTCAGCTAGATCAAGGAGGCAGCTCTCTTTCTTCCCTCCTTCTTTTCATAGCCTTCTAGCCTTTAGGAAAGCTCCTATTTTGGCTTGTATGTCATTCTGTATTATCCTTTTCTTCGGACGCTTTGGGTGTTTCTCGTGCAAGAAAAAGTTTCCAACTTATTTTTACAATATGCTTTGTATTATACAGTGGGGGAGGGCCTTTTTTTCTAATAACCCAAGCCTACACGTCCCGACTTCATAAACCCAACCGTCACTCCCCCGTGCCTTTTCTTCTTTCTCATTCAGTTCGTACACATATATATACCTGAGATCCAGCCCAACCGGATGTTTTTTTTTTGTAACATTATTGCCACCATAGAGTAAAACAGCGCTGTATCCGCTTAGATGATTTCACCAATGTCGATGTGTGGCGCTGTCCAAGGTCTGGCGCCCTCTTCCATCATGTCACTGGGCACTCGTACTTTGTTTCCTGGGCTGTACAGGTACCAGGCTTTGAGTGATTCCATGGAGGCCTTCCGGCGAGCTACATCCAAGCTAGGGCCGGCGCCTTCTCCGAGCTTCTCCTTGCCGCTGTAGATACCCACCACGTAAACGGGAGTGCGAGACAATCGACCAGTCTCACTCTCCAATCGCGCAACGGGAGCCTCGAAGCCCTCTCGGGCACACAGCATGGCCAATTCGCGGGTTGGTAGCTTAAACTCAAAGAGTTTGGAAGGGTCGAGTTCTCGGGATAAGATGTGTGATTTGACAAAAGACTTGACCTCCTCACGGCCGCAGTGGGTATAAATGGCACCAATGACAGCCCGAACAACGGATCCAAACGCTTCGCTCTGAAGACCGCTGTACTCGAGCTTCTCGGGCTCGGAGCTGCTGACCTGATCGCCAAAGTCGTCGTCCAGGACCACGCGGCTACTCAGTCCTCGTCTCCAGGCCTGTCCCTTGGCTGCTTCCGCACGGATATAGCCCCACCGTGTGTTGACCATCTGCTCATCACCCGCCTTCCACTGCAGCAGACCAGGATCGACCTCCTCGCCGGGTGCAGCTGCAGACTCCACGCCCCACCTTCGCGCGATTTGCTGCAGGGACGCATCACCGGCATATGCTCTCAGAGCCTCGTATAGGATGGCCATGGGCAGGCGGGGCCACTTGCAGACAAGATACTCGTAGACATGGTAGTTGATGATTGTGCTTCCCAGGTAGGCGAGGTTCGAGTTGTTGAAGTTGGGGTTGGCGTCGGCGGACGGCGTTACCAGGGCCCTCGCCAGGGTCTGGAGAGGGATCTTTCTGGGGAGGGAGAGTCGCGCATGTAGGGCGGCGAGCTTGGCGGACTGCGCAGCACGGTCGAATGAGGGTGCGGGGAGGGGGGGTCGCTGTGAGTCGAGGTCTGGAGAGTCGTTGGCAGTGGCGGCCGGAGAGGTGGATTGGCACCGGACGGCGAGGAAGAGAGGCTGTCTAGTTGCTGCAATGCCGGCTCCGCAGCGAGCCTGGAGCAATTGGCCGCTCCATCGTGAAGGTCGTATCCTCTTCATGTGGTCGTGGTGGGAGAGAGATGTATATGTATATGTAAGATGGACGATGGTATGAAGAAAAAAAAATTCCCCTCCAATGCCCCTCGAGGTCACGAATTGGGACGAGGACACCAGGTATGGCAACGCAAAAAAAGAGCTGAAAAAGAGAAAAAAAGAATTACAAGGAAAGATTGGTCGAGGTTGAGGCAGGGATCAGACGATGTTCGCTGTCCCGAAGTGCCTTTGTCGGAAAAGTTTCTGCGTTCGATTTTGTCCAAAAAGTCGTGTGAGCCGTTTTGCCCACTCTGCTTTTTCGCAAGTTTCGGCGGGCGCACTACGGGCGGAATTACTTCGGGCCGGCGTCATTTCGCTGGCGCTGGCGCTGGCGGGCGGGAACCTCTCGATGCTTTTGGCTTCTTTCGCATTTGATAGCGGGATTCCTTGCGAAACTGCTTTGATTATCCGCTTCAATTGCGCACCAAGAGACTCCTAAACAGACGTCTTTTGATACATATTCAAGATGGTAAGTTGCCAAAGAAATCAGATCTTTGCAGAGATATGGAGCTAACCAAAGTACTAGGGTGGTGGTGCCAAAGTCCCGTAAGTTATGCCTCGAAACCGAAACGACGAACTTTTGACCGTTTTATTTCGCGACGACTCACAACAATATAGCTACCCCAAGCACGTCTGGTCGCCTTCTGGTGGTTGGTACGCCCAGCCTGCCAACTGGCGCGCCAACACGCTCATTGCCGGAGCCACCATGTTCGGCATCGTCGCCATTGTGTGGAAGTTCAGCGCCGACCGGGAAAGATGGGCGCACAAGCCAGAGCCGTGGGAATGGCACCCTAGCCGATAGTACGTGGTGTTCTTGAATGCTGTGTGGAGAGGGGCTACAATTTTGCTAACGTGATGTTTTCTTTGATAGCTGGTCAAAGCAGTTGATTGAGTGGGACAAGGAGGATAAGTCGAAGCAGTCGAAGGAGTAAGGTTATTTTGGAAGAATTAATAGACGAACACTGTACAAATGCCATACGAACGAAAACAAATTTGAACACAGAAAAAACCATCAAGCTACGATGTTCGGCGACCCCCTCGTGGACAGTGCTCTTTGTTTCTACCTACGTTACGAATTATGCGAACAAACGATGTGGTTGAATAGCCAGGAAATCGAGTTAACGGGACAAGAAGCCAGCGTAGCAATCACCTGATATCACATATCGAGACTAGGCAATATGGCTGACAACAGCCTGACAGAAGTGCCATGCCATGTATCGGTATGGATTGGAGCCTGAGGACATGCGTTGAATTCTCAATTTACGATTCATGCCTTAAACATGCCGAATTTGCCAAAGATTTGATATGTGAGAGCTCGAGTGAGTGAATGGCGATGCTGCGATCCGATAGGTTCATTCAGGATTTCTCAACCCACTAACAACGCATTAATAGCTTGGGCTGTAACAGTAGTGATATAAGTTGAGTGTAATGCTCCTCAGGCTTACTCGGGCCTTACAAGCCCAAGGCCCCCAATGAAGCAGAGGAGCAACAGGGTAACTCAGTATCGGAAAGCCGGTTTCTACGGGCTTCCACAGGCTCCGAGTAATTCCACCCTGCATACATTTCTGCAGGGGGATAATCGCAAGCAGATATGAGACGCCTAATAGAAGCAGTAGTATTCGGTCATCATGATACACGAGCTTTACTCCGCACATCTGGCGTCGTAAAGTTATGATGCAGCTACAACCGCTATATATCAGTACTTGGACAACTTGTACAGATGACATATCAAAAGCTCAGAATGCTACCTTGACGAGAGCTCAAAAGACAGTCACATAATCACCGGACGAGGATCCAATAATCCTACAAGAGGGGTAGTACTGCGTTCTGCACGAAAACACAAGAAAAGTAAAGTAAAGGATAGATGGACAAATAGAAAAAGGGTAAAGAGGAGCAAGGCATTCTTTATCACAGTCTGGGAAGGCAATGATAGTCTGCCTTGGCTGCTTGTGCCTAACGACGGCCATAATAAGGCTGGCCGATACATTCAAACAAATAGAAAGGCTGCATGCCATGCACATGCGGTGCGTGCCGTTCCCATCCAGCCTTTTCGTTGATCCTATGATGGCCTGTAGTTACAACGCCCTCTGCAGCCTAACATTGAAGTTATAGAGGGCGGGCAGCGTCGCCGAGACACAAGTACATCATCAGGCCTAGCAAATGCACCCACTATCCGGTACCTGTGTCAAAGCTCCCTGGGCCACTAAAGTGCCGCCATTCACTGACTCAACCAGCCTAGCCCAGGGTCCCAATAATCGCTGACAAAAACGTCACTCGCCTACCTCTTGGACATGTATCGAACATGATGTTGCACAAACACAATTAACCACCACTAGCATCTCGTGCCGCCAGCCCGTTTCTCTCAATATTGCTCTTTGCCTAATAATCTCCCCTTTTGGCGCACTCTGTCTTTTTCTTCTCTTCCTCATCACTTTTCGGCGCCTTATTTTCTCCTTCCACAACCTTCGTCACCGACAAGCTGGGGGCGACTTTTGAACTACGCTTCCTCTCTTGAGCCTTCTCAGGGTCCTATTTATCATTTCGCACGCCGCTTGCTGGTCCTTTTCCCCGGTTGATTAGCGCGTGCGCCCGGTACAATATCTATCGCCATCTTCTCACCTGTTGACGAAACGCTACCGAGAGATTTTGCTTTTCAACGACCCTTTCCTTCCCTAATCCATCTCTTTCGAGTGCGGTGGATTCTGCCCGCTCCGTCTCTCTGGCTGATACCAGCCGAGCGATCTCCGACATCGTTCTTTGGCCCATAGAAGGGACAAATGGACTCTCCAGGTCGCCCAAATGGGCATCTCGAGGCGACTGCGAGTCGTGAGGTTGTCTACTGCCATGCCTGTTCTAATGAATGGTACCGCGCGGACCACGGCTTAGTATGCCCCGACTGCAGCAGCGAGGCCACGGAAATCGTATGTTTCATCTCCCATCTCCCGTCTCCCGTCCTATTGATCTATATGTAGCCCCGTCTTGGCTAACCTATTATACAGATAAGCTCAGACAGCGATCCTCGAGACTTTAATGACGGCTCGGCGTCGACGTCACCCGAACTTCATGACCCATACCATTTCCACAACGATCTCGATCACGATCACGACCATGACCACGACCACGACCACGATCATGATGACGAACATGACCACGGCCATGATTCAGACCCCGACGAAGCTGATATAGAAGAACACATGGGCCCACACGGCTTTCATTACCGCCGCAGTGTTAGGGATCGACCTGGCTTTCCTCACCATGAACCCGATGTCGACCCGGTGTTTGAACGCTTTATTGGCTTGATACATGATTTATCACCACCACCGCCGCCACGCAGACCAGGAGGGCCTGGCATGTTTCAACAACAACGAGGAGGCGAGGAAGGTCGATTCGGAGGGCCGCAGATTCATCGCGCTACATTCACGAACGGCAGTGGCAGTGCGTCTGTCACCATTTTCTCTGGACCATCTTCGGGATTCTTTTCCTCGGGGGGATCCCCTCCGTACGACCACCATGGCGACCCATTTCAAGCGTAAGTTAAACCACCGGCCAACGGCGAGCTACATGAGCTAATCTTCTGTGCTCCATATATAGATTCTTTAACAACGTTTTGCGCGATGCGGCGCCTCCTGGAGGTGCTCGGGAGGCAGGGGGCGGCCACTCTCCAGGATTTGCGAGAGGGCTACAGGAGATTCTGAATCTATTCAATCCGGCACACGCCATCTCAGGAGACGCCGTCTATTCTCAGGAAGCTTTGGACCAAATCATCACAAACCTCATGGAAGCGCATCCGCAATCAAACGCAGCACCGCCAGCGTCGACCGAAGCGCTTGCTAACCTAAGCCGACGACCTGTAGACGCTTCCATGTTGGATGGTGACTCAAAAACCGAATGCACCATCTGTATTGATGATATGAAGGTGGGTGACTTGGCCGCCTTCTTACCTTGTAAACACTGGTTCCACGAAGCATGCGTCGTTTTATGGCTCAAGGAACACAACACATGCCCAGTGTGCCGAGCATCAATTGAAAAGGGTAGCGACGGCAGCAGCGGTATAAATGCAAATGGGAGCGCAAATGCACCCGGCCCTAGTGGATCAGGGCCATCACAACCGGATGATGATGAGTCTGGGAACGGGCTGAACCGTAGCGGCCCGCTTCCAATCCCTGGCCCCCGACCATCCCAGCTCTCTCGGCCTCCAAGTCAAAGCCAGAGCCGGCTGAACGAGGCCATGAGAAGCATCTCATCGAGACAACAGGAGCGGCAACAACAACAAGAACGTGAGCGTGAGAGGCATCGCGTCTGGGGTGTCTCGTCTCCAGCAGAGCGTCAGCGAGATGATAGAGAGCGAGAGAGGTCCCGGATATGGGGCGTACGGTCCTCATCAGGCTATGATACTTCACGGATGCAGCGGCGAAGCTCACGAAACTCTCTCTCCCCAACGAGTCCTAGAATGACTGTTGCGGATTACAGAGAGCGTCAGAGACAAGACAGTCCGCCACAAAGCAGCCGCCGGGACGGAGATAACGCTGACACTGGTCGACAATCTGCTACCGCTGGAGCTCTAAACTGGCTTCGGGATAGATTTACCGGCGGAGGTTCGAGAGACGACTCTAACCGCGATGACCGTTGATCTTGCTCATCCTTCTGCGCAAAGTTTCATCCATCAGTAGCCTACAACAGGAGCTAAGTGGTTCTAAACTACCTAGCTTTAGAGTTGGTTGGTATTGTACCCACGCATGTCTTCACCGACAGGGGTTGATGATGAGATGAGCTAGCAGAGCGTGGAGGGATCAAGAAGGAAAAAACACAACTAATAAATAAAGAGCAAGTGAAAAATTGAAATGAGGTTTCAAAATGACTGGTTTCACCGCACACAGATCAGCGGCGCACATCGATTGATGACACGACGATAGAAGGCTATACACACGACTCTGGAGATATGATGCATGTAGCTCGCACGCAATGTACTGAGGCCACCTTTAGCTGCCTACCTTCAAGGCGGCATGACGAAAGGGAGAGGCGCAAGGCTCTGGTGCATTTTCTTTGCTTTCTTGTGACTTATTTTGGCCGCAATTCACAGCGAATGGACAAGGGGGGCTGCCCATCTTGGTTTGAGGACCCTTTGACTAGCAGGGGGCCGTGGCTTTTGCCGTCCGCTTTGTATGCGAACATGTATATTATCAATTAGGACTATAACTATCTTTAAGGAACGAAGACTTGCTCTATGATATGCGTGATACTCGTCATACAAAGCCACTTATGCGTTGATTGTAGGCACGGGGGTTAGGACGTCTGAAGATGCAAACTCAGAACACTGTAAGTAGCTAATATTTGACCCTCATGCTCATGACTGGCAGGTTAAAGCGTGGCAATGGCCAACTCGCTGAAGATCTCAACAAGATAAAGAAGTAAAGAATTAAAGAACGCCACCCACGTTTAGTCTACGGAACAAAGGGGGGCAGCCGGGATTCGGGGCTTGTCTAAAGTGGCAGATTTCCGATTTAGGGGCCGCTAATTGAGGGATCGCACGATGTACGAAGATACGGAGTGGTATTACTCGTAAATTAAAAAAAGAAGCTGCTTTGGAAGCTTTTCTGATGCACATGTTGAGGGCCAGTTGAAGCGGCAGCGAGAAGAATTTCGGCCCCACCGCCGTAAGCCGAGGCGCCGAGGCCCAGCTTGCCAGCATAAAGGAAGTGAGAAAATAGGGAAAAAGGGAAAGAATGTGTGACGCACGGGGACGGAGACGGAGAGACGGATTTGGCAGTGAAATACCTATCTCTTCATTGAATTGGGTAGGCAGATTGGGTTGTGTAATATCCAACGGGGTTTTGGAGGTGTTACACGGGTGTTGTTTGGCGGAAAAGATGGACGTTACAGTTCATCCGTGGGCGTCAACACATGGAGTGCAGTCGTGGTGGCATGCTTCGTCTACTCGTGTAATCCTTGCAGCTAGGCTGCTTTAGTGAGCTTACAGCGGACTTGCAGCGCTGTACATGCTGTAGGCTGCACTAGAGAGCGCACCTCAAGTGGTTGGTGCTTGGCCATGGCCAATGAACGCATCTGCATTACTTCGCCCGCTGACGTACGACCGGCGATAGGTTTCTAGGGCTTCTCCAAACCTCCAACACAATTCATCCGACTGGGCGCAAACCCGTCATCACTGGCCGGATCAGCGCAACTGGCTGCATTAGCTTGCGTGTTATCCGTCAATTTATTTGCAACTCTGGGCGTTGTTGCCCAACTATGCTCGCTCGACTCCATGTGTTTCATCATATGGCGCGCTTGATATCCGTGGCCGTGGCATCAACGCCCAAGCTAGTCATGCCAACAGAATCCGGCACGGCAGCTCTACCGCAATCGGGACCAAGAGCCGGCCGCTGGGACGACAGATCCCCGACGCAGGCAAAATAGAGGATCCTCCCATTGCCGAGAGCAGAGCAGTTCGCCCAACAGGTCATACTTGTACATATCGCATTTGATACCACAGCTGCCAGCTCCACCACGATGCCGCTAAGCAGCCAAGAGGCGCAGAGACCCGCCGGCGGCCCAGTGGGCGGGATCGCCGCTGCGTGTTTCTTTGGTCTGGCGTAGTGAAAGGGCTGAGAAAATAGGGCCAGGGACGCTGGAGCTCAAAATGCAGACACGGGATTCGGGAGACGCCCTGGCTTGGAGCCCACATGGCCAATTGCCTCCCCGCTAGTACTACGTTGTACACACGATTCGGCAGTGCTGAAGCCCCCGAACGGTGGGCTCTGGCCCTGCCATTGGGAGCTCTGTTGGAGCTGGATGGAGAGATGGAATGGGAGAGTGGGGGGTGATGACATTGCCTTTGAAACGACGGCCATGAGCTGCTTCATTTGGCTTGTGCTAGGCTGGATTCCGGATGTCGCTGGGGACGAGCATCGCAAATAAATACGCGGGGCTGTCCTCGAGCAAAAAAAGAGGCACAAAAGAGCTATCCCACCCCCTTTTGACCAACGGCATCTAGCGTTTAGCACTTGGGCTTTGGTCGTTTCTTATCAAATAACTCCAATCGAGCTTGGATTTCTGATATCCAGGCATTTTGCAACTTGATTTCTTTCTTTCTTGGTCTCATTTTCGATCATAATGGCGGAGGCTGTTCCTATTCCTGAGCCTCCTGGACTGCCTTTGTTGGGCAACCTTGGCGAGTTTTCCCAACAACCGACTAACGATCTTATTCGTTTGGCGAATACATATGGTATGATTTAATACTTGAATTCACACATGTCGATCCACATCAAACTTGCAAATACATACCCAAATCATATTTACTGGTAGTCGGTACTGATGAAGTTGAATAGGAGATATCTACAGGCTCCATCTGGGCACCCGGCCCGTTGTTTTCGTCAATACCCAGGCGCTTGTGAATGAAGTCTGTGACGAGAAGCGCTTTCAAAAGTCTCTTAGCTCAGTGCTTCGGGTATGTCAACTTCTCGCTCAAGGGGGGATTTGGTTTCACATAAAAACAGGCTTCCCTATTAGAACCGAGTACTGACTATGATCACATAGATTGTGCGAGAAGGTGTTCACGATGGTTTGTTCACTGCACACACCGATGAGCCCAACTGGGGCAGAGCTCATCGTGTGCTGGTTCCGGCTTTTGGACCGATGCCCATCCGCGACATGTTCGACGAGATGGAAGACATTGCCAAACAGCTCTCATTGCGCTGGGCTCGCCATGGTCCTAACCACCCCATCCCCGTATCAGAGGACTTCACCCGTTTGGCCCTGGATACAATCGCTCTCTGCTCCATGAATTATCGATTCAACTCATATTACCAAGAAAAGATGCATCCGTTTGTCCAGGCCATGGCTGACTTCCTGGCGGAATCCAGCAGGCGAAACAGGAGACCTGGTTTCGCACCCAATTTCTTGTACCGCGCTGCCAATGAGAAATTCTTCAACGACATCGCCATCATGCGTGATACTGCCAACGAAGTCGTAGCGGAACGAAAAAGGAATCCCTCTGACCGAAAAGATTTGCTCGCAGCCATGTTGGAAGGAGTCGATCCACAGACTGGCGAGAAGTTGACTGATTCCAGTGTTACGGATCAGCTCATTACTTTCTTGATTGCGGGCCACGAGACAACTGCAGGTACCTTGTCATTTGCGTTCTACAATCTTTTGAAGAACCCAGTCGCCTATCGAAAAGTCCAAGAGGAAGTTGATACAATCATTGGACGCGAAGCCCCCAAAGTCGAGCACATCTCTAAGCTTCCCTATATTTCAGCAGTATGTACCAACCAGCTGTTTCCCCCCATTCATTTCTTTCCTTCCTCCTATAGCAAATATTTACAGTGGAGATTTAGGTTTTGAGAGAGACTCTGCGTCTCAGCGCCGCAATTCCAGCTTTCACGGTTGAGGCCCTTGAGGATACCCTCATTGGAGGCAAATATCTCGTTCACAAGGGTGAACCAATCACTTGCCTCCTCGCCAAATCACACCTTGATCCTCTGGTCTATGGAGATGACGCCAATGACTTCAAGCCAGAGCGTATGCTCGACGCAGAGTTTGCTCGTTTGCAGGCAGCATTCCCCAACAGCTGGAAGCCATTCGGCAACGGCAAGCGAGGCTGTATTGGTAGGCTTATCTACAATTCTGATTTATGAGATAATGGCTAACAAATCATGTCAAAAACAGGACGTGGTTTTGCTCTCCAAGAAGCTACACTCGCCATGGCTATGCTTTTCCAAAACTTCAACTTTACTCTTGACGATCCTAACTATCAGCTTGAGATCGTTGCATCTCTAACTATCAGGCCGAAGGATTTCTTTATGCGAGCTTCTCTCAGACACGAAATGACTCCGACAGAGCTTGAGAGAAAGCTTGGTGGTAAAGGTGCTGCGGGAGACCATCACGCGGATGCAAAGGCGGCTGGCGGAGCGGCCCAGGGATCTCAGAAGCCTCTTGCAGTTTACTACGGATCAAACAGCGGCACCTGCGAAGCTTTGGCCCAGAGAGTAGCAACTGATGCATTAAGCCACGGCTTCAAAGTTACTGATCTGGCTCCTATGGACTTTGCTAACCAAAAACTTCCCAAAGACCGTGCCGTGGTCATCATCACTGCTTCATATGAGGGGCAGCCACCATCCAATGCTGCTCACTTTGTAAGCTGGATTGAAAGCCTCAAGGGTAATGAATTGGAAGGTGTTTCCTATGCCGTCTTTGGCTGTGGTCACCACGACTGGGTTCAGACCTTCCATCGCATTCCAAAAATTGTTGATTCGACCATGGAGGAGCGTGGTGCCACACGCCTCGTGCCGCTTGCCACCACGGATGCCGCTGATCGTGACATGTTTAGCGATTTTGAAGCTTGGGAGGACGAATCTCTTTGGCCCGCTTTGAAAGAAAAATATGGTGCCGCTGCGGATTCTGCCGAGGGTGTTGGTGGTGGTTTGGTTGTCGATGTATCGTTTCCTCGCAAATCGACACTCCGACAGGATGTTGAGGAAGCGCTTGTCATCAATGCTAAGACTCTGACGGCGAGCGGACCCGCCAAGAATCACATTGAGGTCCAGCTGCCTACTGGCATGACGTACCGATCTGGCGACTACTTGGCCGTCCTACCTTTAAACCCGGAAGACACAACAGCAAGGGTGTTCCGTCGCTTCAAGCTTTCCTGGGATGCAGTCTTGACGATCCATTCAGAGGCGGCAACTTCCCTTCCCACGAACACGCCTATTTCTGCCCGTGATGTATTTGGAGCATATGTTGAGCTCAGCCAGCCAGCAACCAAGAGGGTAAGTACATCTCACACGACAAACAACGAGCACTGCGCGCTGACTACTTTTTCAATAGAACATCTCTGTATTGATCGAGCTTGCTCAGGATGAGGAACTCAAGGCTAAGCTTGAGAAGCTGGCCGGAGACGACTACCCACAAGAGATTGGTGCAAAGCGAATCTCTGTTCTTGACTTGCTGGAGAGATTCCCCTCTCTGGAACTTCCCTTGGATTCATACTTGGCCATGCTCCCCCCCATGCGTGTCCGCCAATAGTAAGTTCAACATGGGCCATGCGCTTGTAAACTCTAGAGTCGTAGACTGACACATCTAACAGCTCCATTTCTTCTTCTCCATTGGCTGATCCCTCCAAACTGACACTCACCTACTCGGTTCTCGAGCAACCCTCATTATCTGGTCAAGGCTCTTACTTTGGAGTGGCCACTCATTTCCTGGCATCTCTTACCCCTGGCGAGAGATTCCATGTTGCTGTTCGCCAGTCAAAGGCTTTCCATCTCCCTACAGATGCAGAAAACACTCCTCTTATCTTGATTGGCGTTGGTTCTGGCCTCGCACCCTTCAGGGGCTTCATCCAGGAGCGCGCAGCCATGATTGCCGCCGGCAGAAAGGTTGCTCCGGCATTGCTATTCTACGGTTGCCGCTCCCCAGACGTTGACGACCTCTACGCTGAGGAATTCGAAAGGTGGGAGAAGCTTGGCGCCGTCGAGATGCGCAAGGCCTACTCGCGCGCTACGGACAAGTCACTCGGCTGCCAGTATGTTCAGCACCGGATGGCTCACGACCGCGAGGAGCTTTACAAGCTGTGGGACCAGGGCGCCAAGGTCTTTGTATGCGGTAGTCGTGATGTTGGTAAAGCTGTTGAAGCTGTTTGCGTTCAGCTCGTCAAGGAAAGGGGTGAGGCTGACGGAAAGGACGTGACCGAGGAGCGGGCCCAAGCGTGGTGGGACAAGCAGCGCAACGAGAGATATCTCACGGATGTCTTTGACTAGAGGTTGAGGTGAGATGGTGGGAGATGGGATGGCAGTGTATATGTCTTTTATACGGCTGCTGTTGATGCTTTTCTAGTGAGCGATGAATTTACATGTTGCGTTATGTTATATATATAACCATCTATAGTGCCTTATACAGGCTTTCTGATTAAACTGTTATAATCTCATTTTCCCACTTCGCAACGAGATATTCTGATAGCATAACAATCCAATGGATCTAAGAAGAACTAAGTTTTGAAAGGCTAGTTGATATGACCTATGTGTGTGTGTCCTACAAAGCTTTAAGAGGATCTCTATCCTTACAGAGCTTCGACTGAATCTACCTAATTAATGATTTGATCTTCATCCAGGATATTCCGGCTGTCTATTCCCCGTATCATGTAGAGATGTAACTCCTCGATCGAGATGACTATGCTCAATAAGGTCTCAATATCAGTCGGCGTCCATTAGCTCTAAGTATTGCTCCAGAGCTGACAAGTCCGTAATTCAAGGCTTTCGACGCTGTTCTGAATACGCTTCCCGACATTCTGAGTGTTTATTAATGTCGTCCCTTGTCAACGTCGAGGCGTGCGTCATGACCGATGTGTATAAATATATCTCGCTACCTCCTCCTCCGTTCTGGGCCTAACGTGGTGAGCAATTTTGCGAAATGTTGATAATTGTATGCAAATCCAGTGTATCCATTTTTTTTTCCCCTCGTAATTCAGCAAGTGTATAATCCCGCCACCATCCAAGGGGCGTCGTGATGCCGCCGCCGTAAGATGCTCATAGAAGAAGCACAATTCCCAAAGTATCGAGCTGTGATTGACTTGGGGATTCTTGCGAACCGAAGCATGGCTGATGTGACAGACTTCGGCCTGCTGATAAACCGTTCCGCAGTAGTGGCTCCCCCCAGCGCCTACCGGTATATAAGACGTCTCTGTTTCATCTGATGATGGGTTCGTCCATATCATAAGGAACATCTGATGTAAAAGCATCTCTGTTGCTTGATTTGTCGCCAGCGCACAAATGGCGGAAAGAAGTTGTGCCAAGTTCTTGATAGTGCCAATAACTGCGAGGCATATGGCATTGAGGAAGCACCACCGCGGCCAAATTTTGCTACTGGTCGTATATCTCGGAGCTGTTTCTATAATTTCAACTCGTCGATTTTGGTTGAGTGACACTCGTCAGATATGAGCATCATTGGAATAGAAATTCTCATCGAGGTTTGAATCTCAGCGCCGAATCAGCAACAACATCGCCTTCAGTTGCGTGCAACGCTCCTTCCTCTCTTGCAGGAAGATATATCCTGCTCAAGCCTAATTGGTGTTGTTAACGCACAGAATCTGGTATATTTTGCCACTTGGAAACATCAATTTCTAGGAAGAATCGAGGAGCCGTCGCATCTCTTGTTGTTTGACCAGACGCGTTGGCAATAGGTGGCGGAGAAATAGGTTTCGGCCTGTAGACGGCGAGATTGAATGACTGACTAGTAGATTCCCGCCATAAAGGTTTTTTTCGCTGTTTTTGATGCTACTTGATAAGAGTGCGAGGATCTAGGCTGTGAAGACGCGTGCTTCTTCCTGCTTCCACTCGTATCTAGCCATGGTGGTGTTCGATAATCAGGAGACCTGAGGTAAGAAAGCAGTGAAGTGAAGCTAGGAACGATGGGCGGCAGTGTGAGGGTTATCCTTCAAGTCTTTCCTGGCGATCCTGATATAGGGGTTCATTGACGGGTCTGCCGTTTCAGTCATTCCAACAGAAGAGTGAGTACTTCTGTGCTCTTTGGTATGTGTATATACTCCTCTCAAGAAGGCTCTGTTTTGCATGGACGGCAAAGGATGGTGTGAAAATCCAATGTGTCATTCACTCATGAGATTATTGGCCGCCGTAGAGGTAGATGGACTCATATGGGGTATGCGTCTGTAGAGGGGGTTTTGGTATACCGGCCTCGTTCATCGGCGCTCTCGTCTGTAGCTCAAGGACTTGGATCATTCGAAAAGTCCAGTTCGTTTACTTGGGTTGGAACTGAACCCAAATAAGCATTCTCTCCCAGCGTGTATCTTGGCAGATAAACGAATATAATCTTCACTTTGCACTTGATAATTCCTGGGCGATTCGTTTTGTATGTGTTGTCCAGAGCGCTTCAAAGAAGAATTGGTATAGCAAAGCGATGTCGGCATGGATACCGTATTCGATAGTGTGCAGCAAAAACTCCTCGGTCATGATCGAACTCGTCTCTACACGGGCTACAGCCACGGCATCATCTCCAAGATAAACACGAACGCAGTGGCCATGAATCACACGCTGGGGTGCACGGAAGCCAGGAATTTGAGGTCTATAAGTAACCCTTGGCCTCCACGTACCGAGTGGCCCCATTCCTTGTTACTGGCCTAGAGATAGGTATGTTAGCATGTATTAAAACATATTCGACGAGAGAGAGAGAGAGATCCTCACTATGTTTCGACATGCTGCGGTATGCATAGACACTGAATAAATAAGGCGGCATATTGTCTCTAATTTTGCAGAGCTTTGATTAGAGGGACGCCCAGATGGAGGCCATTCGTGCACATGGCCTGATGCTTTGTGGTTTTCTGACAGGATCAAATCAACGCGACCATTCTGCTACACTGTTTGCACCAGAATGTGCTGTCGCTGTGGGTGAAAGAGAGGGTTACCGGCCTTGTCGTGTGCGGCGATGGACGACGGGCCGCTTCACAGGGATGGATATGCATAAGTATCATTAAATGTGAAGCCTCTTGCCATAATGGAGGACATAAAATAATTGTAGTAAAGATATATAGAGAAGGGAGGTGGATAGATAATTTTTCAAGGAGAGAAAAAAATTGAAAGCTGAATCGGTGAGAAAGACTCGTTCATATAGTTCCATCCACGTTTCACGACATTAGCGAGTTGATAACTAGGTAAGGTAGAGCTTTGTTCATTTACGAGAATTGTGACTTTTACCCTCATCACGTGTATATTCAGGTATTTGCCATGTATCACCAACATGCTGCATCACCTGAGGGATACCTCGCTCTTCTTTACATATATATATCAACCGTGTATGGCTACAAGGCCTTCAAGATCAGCCCCTAGTAGAGCCAAGGTGAGTTTAGCTTTTAGCTTTGTCATATCCCTCAGGACCTATATATCTGTCTACCCGATACTTTCCTAATGCTTCCGATAGCTCTCAAGGTCTCATTTCATTCCAAATCGCTTTGAATCTCTCAGAGTCTTCTTGTCGATTGGCATTGACTTATGCTCAGCATTAACATGATTTATATGCAGCAGCTCCTTTGTCGAAAGCGCAAAAAACGGAATCTTGTAGCCTTAGGCCAGCCGTCTCCTCTCTTTACGGATGCCGTTGATAGACTGACTAAAGGCTTCTTTAGTCTCATCCAGAAGTCGGATTGGCTCATACTAGCAATACTAATTATATAAATGTTCGTGAATTATTATGCCAGTAGTCAATCCATACAACTTCATAATGTCTTGGAACATTCATCGTATTCTGCGTATTAATTCAATGTCTCCAAGCATGTCGACAGAACAGCATCTAAGCTACATACCAAATCCGCTATATGGGCGACAATTCTCGATGAGATGAATAAGTAACAAATGACAAATCATTTTCAACATCATATATGATCAGATATGATATTTATGAAATTATTATTGCAATATATGCCCAAAGTGGCTTTACACATTCTTAAAAATATCCTAGCCCTCAACGCCATGCTCATAAACTCGCAAATAGGCTTCTTGCCATAATTGAAACAAAAACAAAGGAAAATTAATAAAGAACGATAGTTATAGATTAGCATCTTATATGCTCGTAATAATATCGATATTAAGCGATGCTAACGGTTCTTCGGCTCAGTTCGCTGTATCCTGGCAGCCGGTTGTCATTTTGCAGCGGCTCTGGAACGTGGATGACGCGAGGCTGCAAATACGCATCTGCCTCTTCTTCCGCCACAGCGCTTTCAAAGCTGGGAAGCTCGTGATCCTGTGGCTCATAGACCATTTCGACGCCAACTTGCACAGGCACCGAAAGCGCAATGGCAGTATTCGTGGGACCGACGCACAAGCTCAGCTGCAAGGTGTACGTTCGAGAAATCAAACATGAGTGAAAAGTTGGTAAGAAAAGTTTTTTGTTCGAGTTGGATATAGTGAATGGGATTTCAAGATCGGTGGTGTGTTTGATAGTCGAAAGCTTCGGCTTTTTAGAGCTTTTGCCTCTGCTATTCTGTCGTTCTCTTCCCTCGGCAGCCGAGTGATCCGTTTCGGAGGCGTCTCCTCCGATAACAGTGCTCGAATAACCCGAGTCTCTGCGGGAGTGCGATGACGCGTCTTTCTGCATCCACGACATAGACTCCACCGGAAGAGTAAATAGCGAGTGCGTTGTCGTGTAATTCAGGCAAGGAGTGCTCTCGCAGTTTGTCCGGCTACCCAGATTCGGCAGATGATCGATCGGCACGGCGCTAAAGAATGTGGTAGATACGAGTTTTCCTGTGACAGAGTTCACCTTGGGAGGTGCCGTCTCAGCCGAGGATGGAGCATATTCCAAATTAACACGGACACTTGTCATCGAGGACTTGTGTCCGTCTGCAGAAAGCATGACAGCGTTGGGCTGAATGGCACTGGCAGTGAATTGGCCCGTTTTGCTCGAGAACAGGCTCTTTCGAATGGTTTTGGTCTTGGACAGCTTATACCACTCATCTCGAAAAGTGATGTCGAGGGGTGCATCCTCAGGGAGCGAAGGAAGGACTTTGAGAACATGGTGCGCTTCCAAGGCCTTTACGGCAGCTCCGTTTACACGCTTAATAGCCTTTGCGTTAATAGCATATTCAATTTGGGTCATGTCTGGGGCTTGGTCATCGGCATCCCAAGCTCCCAGGCTGGGGGGAAGACGTAAATGTCGCTCCCGTACCTCGGGTGACAAGCAGGTGTGGTTGCAAGCTCCAATGGTGAGCTGGTGAGGTACAACAAAGTGGAATGGTATCTTGTACTCGTTTCCGGCTCGAAAGACCTGTTCTTGTGGCATGTCGGACTCTTGAATGGGCATGCGAATCTTCAAGAAGGGTCTGAAAGAGTGAGAAGGATACTGCTGAACAAAGTCGAGGCGTGTGGCAGAAATGCCAACAAAAACAATGTCCAGATGGTCGAAGGAAGTGTCTTTCAGGACGCGAACAGCAACATGGCCAGCAATGGTAGATCCAGAGGTGTAGACCTTGGCTTTGAAATGCTGGTCTATCTTGACTTCCATAAGAGGATTCTGTGAAGAGCTGCTTTTCGACCCTTTGAAAGGGCGAGTTGTTCCTTGAGATGAAGCGGACATATTGTGGATGAAGTGATTAGGGGTGTGAAGAAAGGATGGAGGATATTGTCGTCGTAGGGGACAGAGCGTAAGATCAGATAGCAGTTGTTCTCTTCAGCCCGCAATACTCCCTACCAAGGAAGTGTAGAATTAACCGTCGTAGTAATAGACGAATAGCTGTCGACTATGTGGCTGATGTGCTGATGGATAGCAGTTCCAAACGCACTTCTCGTAATATATATGGCAGTATTATGCTCCGGGGAGCCTGGGGCGTATTATAATCGTAATGCAGGCGAATAAACAAACAGAGAGCAATCAAGAAAAGCACGGTACCGGCGGACGAAAGGCAGTCAAATAGCAAGCTGCAGGTCGAAAGATGACGAGGCGCATAAGACGGGGAGGGCCACGCCCTTATGAGCTGAGTCAACTGAGGGCTTCCAACATGGCTGGGTCATCTTGAGCTTGTTCGCGGCGGCGTGGATGGAGGGGGGTGGTAGGACTCGTAGGAGAGCTTCTCGGCCATCACGGTACCGGTACCTGCGGGCCGCCGTGGAAAAAGAAGGTCCCTGAACCAGTTGCTTGGGGCGTGTGTCGAGTGCTGGCGTGATGGGGAGTGTCGCGATCATCTGAGGAGGCTCGTCTGCTGGCATGGGGCTGTTAGCAGGCCTAAGTGCCGCCAGTCCGCGTGGAGCTCGCCCGATCAATTGCATTGCTTGGCCCATCTTTTGGCGCAGGTACGGTGCGGCGATCACGGAGCAAAAACAGCGTGTTATGCGTGGTTCGAGACTGAGGTCTATGATGGGATGAGATGAAAAGAGAGAGACGAGAAAGGAGGTTGGGAGATGCAGACAGGCAGACAGGCAGACTGTTTGGTGGCTGTAGGTGGTTCCTTCTGTTCTACAATTTGCAGTGGGAGTCAAAGGGAGGTATCAGCTACTCTTTGGGCACTAACGTTAGGCAGTGTCCAAGTGGTAGCTCTACATTGCTGACCTGCACTAAGTCACGGTAAGGAGGGCTTTTGCCATGCCCTTCTTTGCGGGGGATTCCACGCACACAATGTTCGCATCAGATTAGATAGCACTGTCTTGTTTCACGCAACCAAGATCCAGCATCTGCAGTAACAGCCTCGTGGGTTCACTACGGGACATCTCGTGCTGATCTGCTCCAGTTTTGCCACGCAATCCAGTCTCAGGTGGTGCTTATGATTTCATAATTCCAAGTTTTGATGATGATTCTGAATCTGCACGGAATACAAGGTACCAACTCCTCAACTTCCCTGCACTATCAAGTGATGCCCGCCCTCTGTTCTAACAAGCAGAGAGCGTCCCATTATTAGTTCGGTCTTCCCCGGTAGCCTCGGGCTCGCCTCGACTGGATGTCGGGTTACGATGAACAGACCTCGAACGCAGAATGGAGGGAACAAGAAATAGAAAATCCCCATCGTGAGCCCCTGTCCCGGCGCATGCGCACGACTTGACAAAAACGTCCCGAAAAAGAACAAAGCTCGTACCAGGACCCTGGGATTATGTGGAGGGGAAGTGTTCTGGCTCGGTCTGGACTCTATCGCAACCTTTTTTCCGGACCCAGGATGTGGATGCCCTCGTGCTGGCTGGATTCGGCGCTGGATCGGAGGTTGGCCGGGAATGAAGGTGCATCTCCGCCCCTTGTTGGTCACGGACATTATTGGGCAGCAGCAGCTGTTCAAGCAATAGAGGTGAGGATGTGCCTTGCTGAGCTGAGCGGCTACACTTGGCTTGGATCCGTGTGATGTGCGTGCCTAGGGGCGGCTGATTTACACGCAGCCGGATTTCAACGGCGGCTTCGTCCATTGGCTTGCGTCGCATCCCACACGTGCCATTTTGCTATACAGTGAGTCCTTCGTTCATGCTGTCGAATCAACTACGAGTTGTATCCGTATTTACTCCGAATTACGCTGGAAGCTACGTCTTTGCGAAACAATGGACGTGGCATCTGTCAGCCGTCCCCCGCGAAGCCTACTGCCCAGCGTCGAACTCAGTTTCCCGATGTCGCCATTCGCGGTGCTATTCTCCGTTTCTCACAGTCATTCATTTGCCATTCAACCGCTCACGAGACATGAAGAGAAAGGGCTAGAAAAAACTTCGCCTGGATTTAGCTACGCCCATTCTCCTCAACATCTCCACTACCTTAAAAAGCAATCATGAACGAGACCCCAGGCAGCAAGAAGACAGCGGTATTGGTACATTCGACCTGCTAGCGCCCGCGATACCTCTCCTGTTCTGCTTCCACCCCTCGTAGCATCGGTAGTTGGATACTTTATTTGCGCACGGCGTGCGGCTGTCAAAGCCAAGTCTTTCTGACCCCAAAAGAACGTTCAAAGTCTAAAGTTGCATACGCCCCTGTTCTCCATTTTTTGGGCCCCAGATTGCTGCACGATTTGACAGACGATCTCCGTAAATGGCTTAGTACAGCCATCTATTTGTTGCCCCATTATTGCAAGATCCTCTTTTCAAAATATTTTTCTTCGTTTCGTGACTCGATCCTTCTTCGCGGCTTCTTTTGGGCAGACACCGTGCTCGCTAGAACCTCTGTCTAAATCTTAGTGAAAGGGGTGAAAGGGGAATGAGAACTTTCTTGAACTTTCTTGGGCGAGGGAGGGGGGGGAAGGCCTCTCGAATTTCAACATTGGCATGTGACCCAGCAATAAGCGATTCTTGGCTAGTGCTAAAGTGCGTACAGCTTTCCGCGTATATTTGTAATGACTTGTCGAGAATCAATTTATAAGTCTCCTCAGTCTCAATGGCACTCCGCATTGTGAATGATACAATACGTGCTGGAAACCTACTCCGTAACTCCGTATATGTCATGCAGACCGCACATGGTAGGATATCTGTTGCCCGTCGTACAGTAGAGCGGCGGTTGGAACAAGTGGGACTTCAGGTTAGCAACTAGGTGACGGTAATAGAGAGGCAAGGGGGGGACAGAAAAACAGGGAATGAGACGATTTTGAACACCCACGCTGAAATTATACACATACAATCTCGAGAGTCTTCTTTTGGCAAAAATGTGCATATTATAGCGGATTACGCACATATTCATTTTGCGGTCCCTGTTTTTTTTGTCCACCGCTTGAGACCGCTTGAGAGGAATTAGACTTTGGAGACGAAATCTCTTGATGACACAAGAAGTGCTTACAACTCTTCTCTCTCTTCACGTTGTCATCTATCTCTGTTGTTGACTTGGTAGACAACTTAGTATATGATTTGTCTATGTGCATATATGCCCATTTCATCTGCACTTACTCCTTTGCAGACATTTGTCATCAAGGATTACAGATGCTGCAAGACAGTCTTCTTCCAGCTGTCTCATCCATTGTTGTCTTCATCGCTCGCTTCTGCAGTAGTTTTACCTACTGATTGTCCACCTTGGCAAAACCTAATCCAGGTGATCGCCAGTCCACATACCTCATTCCGCAACGCCACTTATAGCGCAATACATCCCGTGTGGAGCGCTACCAACGTGCATTAACCGTGCGAAGCACTCTATGATTCATTGATTTTCTTTACTTATTTATAGGTTCGCGGCGGATTTTTAAGCAGCTTCGCACTTACATAACAACTGCCTTTCAGCACCCACTTTTCTATCATCCGGCAAATCTCATGCTGAAAAGCCATCTTATAGACCAGCATCAATAATTAATTGAGAGCTGAGAGTTCATAGGGCCGTTTCGATTGGAAAATTCATAATGAACTCCTTACTTGAATATATACACTCAGTAAAATCATCTCTTCATAGTAGTAGCACTCTGCATTGCCGTACAAGCCACGTGTTTGTCAGTCTCATTGGCTATGGCCAGATTCGAGTGGAGTTGCATCGACGGCTAAACTACGGCTAAACATAGCCATCAATCGGAATGCAGATGCCGCTCCCCGCTAGGCCTAGTTGGGCACCTGTTTATAGCATTTGTGGATTGAACTGGCGCCCCTTGCGATATTCCGACCTCAATCTTGACATCTGGTCATATCAACACCATCCCTTGAGAAAAGATTGAAGCTCCGGAAAAGCCACCAGATTAGCACAACTGTGCCATATTGAAGAAATACAATCTACGAGTTATCCCAGGATGTGCCACTCTCACAAACGATAGATTCCATCGTCACACAAGAGAGAGTGATCTCGCGTCCAGCTGTTATAGAAGCCAACGTGATCCAACGGCTTTTTGTCGCGTTTCTTGTTTCAAAATTATAGAGTTACGGAGTTGAACTCTAGGATTTATTTTGGCCGAATGCTAAAATAAAAGGGAATCTGGAGTCAATTGGGATACATGTCTTGATGATACTGTGGAAAGAGAGCCAGGCGCTGTGTGAGCTGATTTGAGTGTATCAACATGATTGGCGAATGGAGGTCTGGCCTTTTTGGCCTTGCTTACTTTCTCCTTCTATCGCCGTCAACGGCCTTTTACATCCCTGGTATTGCCACCACTTGACCTCGTATTTTGTCGTGATTTTGAACATATGAACATGTATCTCTTTGGCAAGTTGCTAACGCATCACATCGCAGGCTGGTCGATCAAGAGCTATAGAGATGGCGAGCTGGTGCCTCTCATGGTCAACAAGGCCTACTCAGACAACACACAGCTGCAGTTTGCGTACACCGATTTGCCATTTACTTGTTCCCCGACTGGAGAGCACAAAACCGGAGGCGGCTTACTGAGCGGACAAAGCGTTCCCTTGAACTTGGGAGAAGTGCTACGCGGTGATCGTATTATTACATCTGATATGGAACTCGCCATGACCAAAAATACGCCATGCACGTTGCTTTGCAATAAAGAGGTGTCCCGCCGTGACCTACGCTGGTCGAAAGAGTTGATTCGAGATGGATACGTAGCAGAGTGGATCGTGGATAATCTTCCTGGCGCTACCAGCTTTGTTACGGCCGACAAGAAGCGCAAGTATTACGCTTCCGGTTTCAAGTTGGGCTATACTGAGGCCTCTTCAAAGACGGGCAGGCTTCGCTATTACCTGAACAACCACCATACCATCGTCATCCGGTATCGCAGGGCACCGGGCCGAGCTGGTGATCGTGACGAGAAGATTATCGTGGGCTTTGAAGTGTACCCCAAGAGTATTGGAAATGGGAACAAAAAGGACAGTTCAGGATGCCCCGTGGATATACAAAACGTGGGCCAGCCCCTTGAGCTCTACATTGCTCCAAACAAGACGTCAGGCATAGAGCTGAAGTATGATGGTCTGTCATATCATCCCGACGAAATAGAGGATGATGATAACAGCCCTGGTTCCCTGAGTATTCCATATACCTACTCAGTCCATTTCCGCGAAGATGACAGCATCGAGTGGGCTCATCGCTGGGACCTCTATTTCGTGAACCAAGAAGGCGGCTCACGTATCCACTGGGTGGCCATCATCAACTCTCTTATCATCTGTGGGCTACTGACAGGAGTCGTCATGATTATCCTCGCTAGGACTATTCATAGCGATATCAATAAGGGTAATTTTGCAGAAGAAGGGAAGCATAGGATCAAGAGAGCAAAAGCCAAGGGCGACCGGCAAACCACGGGCTTATTGAGCCAGGGAGCAGACGCCGACGACAATGATGAAGATGAAATGTCCGATGACGGCGAGGCTTTGGAAGAGGCTACAGGCTGGAAGTTGCTCCATGGAGATGTGTTCCGGAAGCCAGAAGCCGGCATTTTACTGGCTCCCCTCGTTGGGTCTGGGATGCAGCTGTTTTTCATGGCCATGGGGCTTGTTGCGCTTGGTGCATTGGGAGTCCTGAATCCCAGCTTCAGGGGCGGTTTCATAAGCGTTGGCGTGGGCCTCTTTATTTTTGCAGGACTCTTCTCCGGCTACTTTTCTGCGCGCGTCTTCAAGAGTTTCGACGGAACCGACTTTCGTGCAAACGCCATCGTCACGGCACTGCTTTTTCCCGGCCTTATATTTGGGCTCATATTCATCCTCAATCTCTTTGTATGGGCCCAAGCGTCAAGTACGGCCATCCCCTTTGGAACGCTCGTTGCTATTCTCTTTCTCTGGCTCTGCATACAGGTTCCGCTTGTTTATGTTGGGTCTTACTACGGCTTCCACAAGGCGGGTGCCTGGGAACATCCTACCAAAACGACGACGGTTCCTCGACAAGTCCCTCGCCAAGCTTGGTATAGTAAATCTATTCAAGCAGCCCTGCTGGCGGGTTTGATTCCATTTGCCGTCATCTTTATCGAATTATTATTCGTATTCCAGTCTCTGTGGCATGACAAGAGTGGCTACTACTATGTCTTTGGCTTCTTGGCGGTCGTATCTGCCATTTTGGTCGTTACTATTGCCGAAGTGACCATTGTATCCATCTACGCTCAGCTGTGCGCGGAGAATTACCACTGGTGGTGGCAGTCATTCTTTATCGGGGGCGGAAGCGCATTTTGGGTCTTTCTATACTCATTATGGTATTATTTCTTCAAGCTTCACATTAGCGGCTTTGTGAGTAGCATGCTATTTTTTGCTTATAGCTTCATGGCATGCTGCGTATATGGACTATTGACCGGCACTATTGGATTCTTGAGCGCTTATGCTTTTGTGCGCAGGATATATAGGTAAGCTTTCCCAACGACCTCGAATCACACACAAGGGAAAATGCGGGATACTGACGAACTTTACTATGACCAGTGCGATCAAGATTGACTGATTATGCTTCAGTAAATAAGCATGGACCTCTTTTTCTTTCATTAGCGCAATTGACTTTTAGGTTATTGAAACCATTGCCTTCTTTTTTTGCAAAGTGTGTTACAGTTATGATGTGATAACCCTAAAGGGTGGCATGAACACGAAGTACAATTCTCCTAGCGCGCCAAAGACATTTGCGCACAATAATGACTATTCATTTGTGCTATGTCCTATAGCATTAAATCGCGCTATATCATGCTGTTACTTTGCGGAATATGTGATATGGACATTGAGATTAATGATACAGATTCATCAACTTCACCAAGTTGTCAGATATGCTAGGCTTGCGGCCAAAGCGGCCAACACTCTCACATGTCAAGCAAAAGGCGGCATGTCGTCAAAGGGCGTGATAGGGACGACATATCTGACATTGATCCTCTGTCGTCCATGCGACCAGAGCAACTTTGCCTCTCTTCTACAACTCCAAAGCTTACAGAGGTTGACAAACAAGTGGGGGGGATAACGGAATCGGAAGTTTCGAAGCAAACGATGAGAGTCTGACAACGGCGGTTCCACTCATTCCGCTGCAGAACCCGAGCTTTATTACCCCGATGAAGAATGGCCAGATCCTCCATGTGGGGGCAAATTGGCATCGAAGGCTCTCTGATTGATCTGGCGCTGAGACGCACTTGAACCGGCGGCTTTCTTTCCACGCTCTAATTATTCTTAATCGATTTGCCCCAAGGCCTTTTTGCTGTGATTCTGGAACCAGACAGGGCTAAACATGGTTAGGATTTCGCAAGGGCTTCTCCACAGGGGCTTGGGACGCCGAGTTGGATTCCTACTTTTCTCCAATTGTGGTGGGGCTAAAAACCAAGGGTCCGGCGCATATATTTTAAAAGACGGATATCGCCTCAGTTGTAAGATTCAAACACATCAGAGACGGTTCAAGACAAGCCAGCGAGAGACTATCTGGCCGACGACAGCAGACACAGACATGGCGCACCCAATGGATTCACAGCAGTTTCGAGAGGCGGCCAAGGCGGCAATTGATGACAGTAAGTTTCTTTGCTTTTGTGGCGTTAATGCTTTTACATGTATCTCATTTTTTTGGTCTGTTTTGTGTAATGGGGTTTGCCTTCTCTGAGCCATCAAACGAGCCGCATTTCTGTAATTGGCATGACATTGCTTGCAGATTTGTGGAATAGATGCTCTGCGTTGCGTCTCATCCTTTCACAAACAATGAGAAGTAATGTCTTTGCGACAGTTGTCACGGATATACACAATGAGGAAAACGACAAGTTAGCAAGAGACATCGAGCTAACATATCCGCAGTCGCCAAATACTACGACAACATCTCTGACCACCGAGTTGTCGCTGATGTCGAGCCTGGCTATCTGAGGCCGCTCCTCCCCGCCTCAGCACCTCTCGAGGGCGAATCATGGGACTCCATACAGGCGGATATCCAGTCCAAAATCTTGCCTGGCATCACTCACTGGCAGGCGCCCGGCTTCATGGCCTTCTTCCCCTGTTCAAGCAGCTACCCTGCTGCCATTGCGGAAATGTACTCCAACACCTTCAACGGCGCCCATTTCAACTGGATCTGCTCCCCTGCAGTTACCGAGCTGGAGACAATTGTGATGGACTGGCTGGCTCAGGCCCTGGGACTGCCTGAATGTTTCCTCAGCGGTGGCCCAACCCATGGCGGTGGTGTTCTACATGGAAGTGCCAGCGAGGCCATTCTCACCGTCATGGTTGCTGCGAGAGACAAGTATATAAATGAGGCAACAGCTCATTTGCCTGAAGGCGAGGAGAAAGAGGAAGAGATGTGGAGGCTTCGCAGCAAGCTGGTTGCTCTGGGAAGCGAGGGCACTCACTCAAGCACCAAGAAGGCCGCGCAGGTTCTGGGCGTACGATTTGCCACGGTGCCGATATCAGAAAAGGAGGGCTTCACCATGACGGGCGAGGCTCTGGCCACGAAGCTTGACGAGCTCAAGGCCAAGGGACTCGAGCCATTCTACCTGACTGCCACCCTGGGGACGACAGACGTCTGCGCCGTCGACGACTTCGAGGGCATCTCCCGCACACTGGCACCGCGAGTCGGCAAGCCAGGCGAGATCTGGGTCCACGTCGACGCAGCCTACGCCGGAGCCGCGCTCCTCCTCGACGAAAACAAGCCCCTGGCCAAGCCCATTGCCAACTTCCACTCCTTCAACCTGAACCCGCACAAGTGGATGCTCACGACCTTTGACTGCTCCGCCGTCTGGGTCCGCCAGCGCGGCCACCTCATCAACGCCCTCAGCATCAAGCCGCACTACCTGCGCAACCAGTACAGCGACAACGAGCTCGTGACCGACTACCGCGACTGGCAGATCCCCCTAGGCCGCCGCTTCCGCTCCCTCAAGCTGTGGTTCGTCCTGCGCGCCTACGGCATCCGTGGCCTGCAAGCCCACATCCAGAGCGGCATCACGCTCGGCGAGTCCCTCGAGGCCAAGCTCGTTACCAGGCCGGACCTATTTATCATCTTCACAAAGGCACACTTTGGCCTCGTCACGTTCAGAGTCAGTGGAGATAGCGAGGAGAAGATCAACAGCCGCTCGCAGAAGCTGTACGATGCGATTAATGCCAGTGGTCAGTTTTACCTGACGAGCACGGTGGTCAAGGATCACTTTGCGATTAGAGTGTGCACGGGTGTGGCGACGGTGCGGGAGGAGACTATCCAGAAGCTGTTTGATTTGCTGGTTGAGACGACTGAGGGACAGTTGAAGCTGGAGTAGACCAAACGAAGACAATATCAGATCTAAGTTATACGGGTATATAAGGGCAAAATTACACACTGACGTTTATATATATATGTTTGTATGCCTAGCAATTTTTATATGTATACTTGTATGCTCAGCTAGTTATGATTTTTCAAATATAGACACAAAGGAAGAAAGAAAGAAGAAAAAGAGATGGATAGATAAATCAGTACAATCCGCTTAGACAAATATGCATTTTCATTCATAGCGTTTTCATACAACCAACATTCATCATAAAGTCGTTACAATTCCCACATCATTCGTGTACCCATGATCATTCGTTTTTCCATAATTTCCTCAGTCTTTTCAATCGAAATATTCCTTCTTCTTTCTCTTAACCAGCGACCTCTCATGATTAAACAGCATCGTCGCCCCAATCAATCCAAGCACCAGCCCCGGCGTCCAGTCAAAGCCGGCACAGTCCTTTTCCTTTTGCAGTCTGTGAAGTCGGGCCTCAGGATCAGCGTGTGAAGGACGGAATTCGCGCGGCAAGACGCGCTCAAGATACCCCAGGCTGCTGCTACGGCCCTTTTTCTCAATGTCGTCCTTGTCAGGATTTCGGTCGGAGGAGCGATCACGGTCACGGTCACGGTCACGGTCATCGTCGCGACGGGAATCCCTCTTGCTAGAGCGGCGATCGCGAGAATGTCTCTCGTCTGTGTCTCCGCGGCGGCGATCGTCTAGGCCACGACGATAGCCGTTGCCATCATAGCTGCTCTCAGAGTTGTCATCGTGGCTGTCGTCATAGCTGTGAGGGATGTAGCCAGTCCTTCGCGTGCTCCTTCGCGCATCATAGCCGTCGCCACCGCTTCTGCTTCTTCTGTTGCTTCTGCTGCTTTGACTGTAGTTGCTTGATCCGTAGCTAGACCCGTGCTCGGGAAACATGCTGCTAGGATAATCTCGTCTTGAAGAAGGCATTGTGTGTGTATGTGATAGATGGGTTCACTTTGTAGATAGGTAGTCATCAAATGTTATAACAAAGACTTGATTCATTGTTGATTTTGGCACAGATTCATGGAGTAGGAAAGACAAGGACGCCAAGCTTTTTAAAAGCTTCCCAGTGCATATACCTTTTCAGCTTAGCAAAGATTTATAGATGCCCTTTGCCTCCTCCCTCTTCGCTTGATCGTATCCGGCCACGCGTCATAAGGGGCCACAAAGCAGATCGAGCAAATGACAAGAGTCCACTGAGATATGATGCTACCCTGGCAACCTGGCTTGGCTTGCAGAAACAGACACAGACATACAAAAACTTGGATCTGCGCGAGCAAGTATCCGGGAAAATGATGTCAGATGTGCCACGGCTCGATTCCCACTGGCTGCAGCCAACTGGGGAGCATCAGCGGACCAAGCGTTTAATCCCTGCATATCGCGATCGGTCCACCAGAATTCAGGTAACCAGCCAGTAAGGTCACTCCAGGCTTCTTCACTTTCGTCATAGCACCGGTTTGGCATCGCTCATCGAAGAATCGGCGATGTGGACATGGCAGAGATGAAATCTAGGGTCGTTCTTATGGCATGTTTCATGTATCACTAGGCAAGCTTCTCATTGAGAATCATTAGCCATTATCACACTACTGGCTCCCTTTTCTTCTAACGCCGCCGTCTAGCTTGCTAAAACAGAGAAATTAATATGCTTGCTTCTTGTCTAACCGCTTTATGTCTAGATGCTGGCTCGTCGAGGCGCTGTAGTTCTCCGCAGAGCCTTCTTCGCCTCAGTCTCTTCCATCATGGGCAACTTGTTCTCGTCTTTGAGCTGTTGGAAAAACTCTCGACCAAAGTTGTAGCCCATCTTGTAAATCTCGTCAAACTTGCCAAAGTCTAGTGTTCCATAGGCATCGACGGGTGGCCGCATGTAGATGCACCCTGGCATCGTCTTTGCTCGCTCCAAAGCATCTACACTCGAGACATATGCAAGCCTGCCTTGAATCTCTGCGAGCGTTGGTGGATTGGGATGCACTGAAAATGGGTTCCATCGATTGAAAAACGCCCACATACCGGACAATGAATCTCCATATGTCTGTGGTGTGTCATCATCAAGTGCTCCAACGTCAATCGCAAATATCATGTCAACTCCCAAGTCTTTCATGTGTAATACCGTCAAGTTGTCCACGTAGCCACCGTCCAACAGCATGCTACCTTCGTCACACAGAGGTGGCAACAAGCCGGCTAGCGACATTGAAGCGCGAATGTATCGCCACGCATATCCACTGGTATGAAATTCTGCTCGGCTCTTGCTGATGTTGGTGGTGTTGCAATAGAATTCGAGCCAAAAGTCTTCAATCTGCGTATTCCCAAAAGTCTTGAAAATGCCTCGATTGAACTCATGCCCAGTTGTATATGAAGCAGAGGGATATGTCAGGTCTAGAGCAAAGCGCCAGAGACTGGCCATGCGGCCAGCGAATTTCTTCGCAAATCCAAACATGGGGACAACGTCTGCATGGCGTGCATACAGGGCTCCGACAAATGATCCGATGGATGTGCCACCGACGATATCAATGGGAATGCCGGCTTCTTCCATCGCCCTGATGATACCAATCTGACTGATACCTCGTGCACCGCCACCGCCCAGAACGAGCCCAATGGATTTTCCGCACAGTCGGCGGGCTAGGCGATGAAAGTCTCCCTTGAATGGGGTGTCAGGCGCGTAATACTGGGTGTGGTGCACATTTCTTGACGTATACTTTTGGATCTCGGCTTGCAAAACCTGAACCCTTTCTTTGAGAGCTTGTCCAAGCTTCTTCGACGGAGGGTGGACGGGCATGGCGTCCGATCTGAATGCCATCTGGATGTGGTAATGACCACCATTAATCCACATGCGATTCCTCAGCCATGACCGAGTAAGTCCAGGGCGCGAGAATCGTTCAGTGTGGAGCAGAACCAAAGTCTTTCGCGCAGTTGACTTCATTCCCAACATGAAGCGTTCGTACTCTCCAATAGCCGGCGAGCCTTCTGCAAGGCCAACTAGTAGAATACTGTCGGCTTGGGTAATGCAAGTTTGTGTCCATGGCGAGTTAACGCTAGTGTCTATTATAATCATTCATGTTAGCTTGTGGTGCAATACAGCTTGGTTATGACAGTAAATGAATGAATAAGTTATGCGATCAGGAAAAAATTAGAGTTAACATAGCCATCAACGACGATGTCTTCGGTGTAAAAAGTTTGTCATCATAAAGCAAGAGTGTTCAAATCAAAGAAGAGAATGAAAAATAGATGCTTACCTGCCACATACACCACCAACCCATACTTCTCTTCCAAGTCAGCGAGGTATTGAGATAGCTTGAGTTTGCCCATCTTATTGAATGCATGCTTGCCTAGATGATTTAGGATAGCAGACTGGTTCAACGAAGTTGCGCCATTCTGGGGTCCGACCTGGGAAAGCGCATTCATAAGGCGGTGCCCAAACTCGATCACAGGGACGCCCGAGGTGACTGGCAGAATAGCCACAGTCCGAAGATTCAACGTGGACTTTCGCTGGTTGTTTACAGCACCCGAGCCGGCCTCCTTTCCAATGTATTTGGTAGAATCATCCACCGCTGCTCTCATTCTGGAGGCAATGATTTTGGATATCTTGATGGTAATGTTGGGATGTTCTTGGGCGAGACTGTTGAAAAGGGTGCGAGGAAACTTCACAAGCTCCGTGTCTCGAATGGCATGCAAAGTTCCAGAGCGTGCAGTCTCAGTAAGAACCTCAAGCTCACCGATACTTTCGCCCTGTCCAAATTCAGCTCGCGCCGACACTCCACCATCCTGTCTATCTTCCACCAAGCGAAGACGGCCATTAAGCACAATGTATATGGCGTCGCTCTCATCGCTGTCATGGAATATCACCTGACCAGCGTTGACTTGAACCCATTCAAGAGCAAAGTCAATGTGTAGAATTAGACGAGGCAAGATGTGAGTAAGCCTCTTGGCCATTGTCAATAGAATGATTGGATATTTGTCCACTATCCTCTCCAGAGAAGCTCGAGGAAGGAACCCAACATACACATCTGTCTTGGCTACTACATCAATGAACGACCTGTAAGAAGAGACGCTCCCGATGTAGCCGGCTATGCCTCCAGGCTTGACGAGGGCAACGCTTCGGCGGCGAGTCTGGCCTCGAGCTGAAGCAAACGGCGTACCACTATTGGACCTCTTGGAAGAAGAGCTCTCAAATAAATGATCTGAATGAAGCGAGTCTGAGCTAAAAGAGGCCAACCCCGATTTCTGAAAAATGTTTTGAGGGCCCTCAGTTATGGTGGTCCCAATGTCTAGAAATCCATCCACGACGTAGTATAGACCAGGGCTTCGCTCGCCTTGCTCGACGAGCACCGATCCCTTGGGGAAAAAGACAATTTCAACTTCATCCATCATCTCATGAGCCAATGCATGCGCATTTGGTGGAATATGGCTGGCTAGTCCATTTGAAGTCAGAGATTCGGTTTCTCCATCCATGGATCCATCATATGGTCCGATGAAGCCAAATGCGTTGTTCGTGGACATGGTCTTGGCACGTCGTTGATCCATGGAAATCAATCTCGGAGATCCTTCTATAGACATGGAGTCGACATCACGAGAAGATGTCCCACCAGCGTCCAAGCCAAGGGACTTAAAGACGCACTCAAGGATGGATGCCCTGAACAGATTGTCTTCATCAACCGAGTCACGATCCATTGAGATGCGAGCATGTCGTTCAGAATCAAAAGGATTAAACGTCTTTTGAGTTAGTGGACTGAAGACAGCGCTTTCCTCTGCACCAAGATTCGTCGGCGACCGTAGAGGGTGTGCTGGGTTTGGGACTCTGTTCAGCGCCCGAGTGAGCTGTGCACCTGCCAGCAGATCTCCAGGGTTAAGGCCGCGGGCTGATCGTGGATTGCGCGCAGGAGCTGTACCATTGAACGTAGATGATGTAGATCGGTTTTTGGCGATAGCCTGCATAACTGTCTCTGTTCTTACAGCTGCACTCGACCGTCGACGCCTGGTAGCTGCGGAGTTGTGCAACGCAATCCCCTTTGTCCCTTGGTCTTCACCGATACGCTCTCGCTCAACGCTAAATTTCTCTTTTAGTCTATTGAGCGCATCTCCACGAAGTATATTGGGAAGCTGGCACGTGGTAAATTTGACCATGTCCTTCTCGGTTTGCAGCACTTCAGCAGTCAAGCCAAGATAGTTGAACGCCTGTGCGAGCGTCACCCTTTGAAATCGGGAGAGAATCACGTGAACGATATGCGCCGTCGCTTTGGGATATATCTTGATCAACCTCCTAAAGGCACTCGCAGGAATGATTGCAATAGTCGTGTCAACCGTGGCTCTGGCTATGATATCGGGGTGTGCCGAGCTCGACATTAGCCTTTTTAGAGACCCTGGCCGTTCCTTGCTGGGCTGAAAAGCAACGGGAGGCTCTAGCGATATAGGGGGGATCTTTGAGGCGCTCTCTTCACCTGACAATAGACCGCCGTCCTCGTATCTGACTCCTGGACGGTCCACGTTGGGATCAAGATGAGGAGTACTGGGCATCGATGTTGGGCCATGAGAAGGCTGTCGGCTAGACTCTTGCAGAGGATTTGGTCTACTGGGATGCCGACCACCACTCGCTCCAAGCGGAGACTCCTCGTCATGTGTTGTCAATCTCACATCCTCTGTGAACAAAGACATGATGGAAAAAAGGGATGACATCGGCGCTCCATTGCGAACCTCAGTCAAGAGCTGGTACTTTTGCTGGCCTGGCAGAATATCTTCATCATCGGAAGAATTCAAGAGGTCGTCTGTAGACCCGCTCCTAACAGGTGCTCGAGGGTTTCTGCCCGACTTAACAAAAATCTCAACTTGACCATCGACAACAATGCAGAAGCCTTTTTCCTCTTCCAGATTCATTGTTTCTCCGGCAATAAGCTTTCTAGTCTGCATGCTTCGAGTCAATTCATGAAACACGGATCGTTCGAGATAGCCGAAGATCTTGATTGCGCTCAGGAATTCGTCAAGGTAGTTGGCTAAACCGGACTTGATGCCGCCCTCGTGGGTATCGGGGAATAAGTCGATTTCAGGCTCCTTACGCTGAGGTTCGGGAGGCAGCCTTGAGTACATATTCAAGATGCGATACCTGACGACCCAGCTACCCGCCGACACGATAGCGACAACGATGAGCATGCTAGTGAAGCTGTGAGTCTTGGGTGGCTCTGCAAAACCAAGGGATTGGCAGCATACAGCGTAGTAGCATTCATAGTCACTGTCCAACTCGTAGAGAAGAGATTGTACAGGAAACTTGGCAAGGTAATGGTTACCGTCCGAATGATCAAGTACAGGACGGTAGAGGTGAAGTTGATCATGCTCAAGAGAAGCCACCCAATGAGCCCGAGCCAGCCAGAGGAGGGCTGAGCAGCTTCAATAGTCGCACCGCTCATGGTGAGCGAGCTTGAGGGCGACTCCATGGCCTGAGAGACGCTCTGGGAGAGGCTCCCAGCCAACCGAGCAGCATTTGACAAGTCAGATGCCATGGTTGGAGAAGATGCTGCACGTTGTCGCCCAGCATCATGCAGTGGCGACAAAACACAGCTGCTGAGAGCGAGGGTGCCGAGGCGGCAAAGCTTAAGGGGGGAAGGCCGAGCTTAAAAAGACGTGAGGAAAAAAAAGAGGAAAAAAGTAGGAGCTTGTGATCAAATTTCAAGCATGTGGTTTTGACCTCCAAGCTTAGCTTTTTGGGCCGATATTCTGCCGGCGTGAGCACCCCCACCATCCCACCTTTTTTTCGTCATAGGCTAGACAAAAATCGAAGGATAGACGATAATAGCAGAGCGCTTGTGAGTAAATGGGAGTTGACATGGGGGATAAAAATTTATATAAAGGTATATAAGGAGAGATGTATAATTATTTCGAGCTGTAAGGGCTTATTATGAAGATCTTTTCCCCAATTTTGTTGTTCTAAGTGCTGCTTTCTGCTCGTCAACATCGAAGATCACATGACTCTAATCGAGCTCATTAGCAATTAAGCTTCTAGAAGCGCATCTGCTCGTAGAAATACATAGAAATGGTTTGCAGAGGGCAGCAGAGCTAGAGAGAAGCACCGGCATTTCTTCTCCTCCCTATCAACCGGGTCTCTCTTACTCCTGAATAGAGGGTCCAGCCTCCAGACTGACCATGCCACATTGATCCTGTGAGAGAAAATCTTGCCCAGATGCCCTTTGCGCAGCTTGTACTCGGGAGTCCCGGCGCGGGAAAGAGCACTTATTGCGATGGCAGTACGTTTGAAAGCCCTGCGATTCGATTTTCAAAATAACGTTCTTCAGAGACATTAACATGAAGCTTCTGAACCTTCTTAGTGCACCAGTTCATGGGCGCCATTGGGCGTGCATGCTCCGTTGTGAACCTCGATCCTGCCAACGACCATACGAACTATCCTTGCGCTCTCGACATTCGCGACCTGGTCAAGCTAGAAGATATTATGCGCGAAGATCGCTTAGGGCCGAACGGTGGTATCCTGTATGCTCTCGAAGAGCTTGAGAATAACTACGAGTGGCTAGAAGAAGGACTGAAAGAGCTTGGAGAAGACTACATCTTATTCGACTGCCCCGGTCAAGTTGAGCTCTATACACACCACAACTCATTAAGAAACGTCTTCTATAAGCTTAGCAAGATTGGATTCAGAGTCAGTTTACCTTGCGAAGGGCAATAAGACTCGAGGTTCGCTAACTATGGCTGTATAGTTTGTCTGTGTACATCTCTCCGATTGCTTCTGCCTCACTCAGCCTTCTCTATACGTATCCAACGTCCTTCTCTCGCTCAGAGCCATGATCCAGATGGACATGCCGCATGTCAATGTGCTTTCTAAAATTGACAAGATAGCATCATATGATGAACTCCCTTTCAACCTAGAGTATTATACCGATGTCGACGACTTGACGCATCTTACTCCGTACCTCGAAGTGGAATCTCCAGGAATGCGGAACGAAAAGTTTGGTCGACTGCACGAAGCGATAGCAAACATGATTGAGAGCTATGGCCTCGTGAGATACGAGGTGCTGGCGGTTGAGAATAAAAAGAGCATGATGTATCTGCTCCGCGTGATTGACCGCGCAGGAGGTTATGTATTTGGAGGCGCGGAGGGTGCCAACGACACAGTTTGGTCTGTCGCTATGAGAAATGAAACTTCCATGATGGACGTTCAGGATATCCAGGAGCGATGGATCGACCACAAAGACGAGTATGATCGTCTTGAGCGAGAAGCCGAGGAAGAAGAGCAGAGGAGGGTACAAGAGGAGCACGGTATGGATGTCGACGAGCCCCAACCAGCTGCACCTCCCCCTCCGGCCGCATCCGAAGGCGAGATAGACCCAGACTTTGGCGATATGACCGTACCAAAGGACAGTGGAGTCCGGGTATTTAGAAAGAATCAATCATAATTCTTCGTCCCCCATCAGCTGCCATCTTCCATATCCTCATCGCTCATAACATTGTCTACATCTAGCACAGCGTCGTCTTTCGTGCCCAGTATATCCGTAGAGAGCGAAGATTGTGGGTGACCGCTGGCTTCTGCCTTGGCTGCTAGGATGAGTTTTCTCGCTCGGGCCACCGCGACCTCTTCGATTTTGCGAATGGTGCCGCTAACACGAACGACACGGAAAATGCAGGGCCGCCCATCCTTGACGGGGACACGATCCATAAACGTCAATGCCGACCACAAGAGTTGATAATGTGCCCTGTTGCATCTCAGAATGAAGGTCGAAGTCGCCAAGGACAGATATTTGACTATTGCGTGCATGGGTTAGCGTTGCATCCGGAGATGTCAGCTAGATGCTGACCCCAAACCACAAACTCACCCGAAAGATTGCCCTCGAGAGCGCCCGCGCCATAGTCGCCGTACAGCAACGACACCTCTGCCCTAATGGCCCTGACCAGCGCCTGCGGAGTCAGCTTCTCAACGGTCGGCTGGTGCTGGGCAACCAAGCCTGGCACGCGAGCCTTGGATATCCTGGCGGCATCGGGCGGATAGACGAGGTTGACGAGGAGATAGCGCTCCTTGATGCGCACCATTGCGAGGCAGAACGGCCAGGCAAAGGACCGTCTGAGCAGATCGGACGAGATGCCGCTCGATCAATGGGAAAAGATTCGGGCTGCGAGCAAATGCCGGACCCAGTCCAAGAGGGCGAGGATCAGCGGCTGGCAGTCGAGAGATTCTCTCACGGTTGCAGATTCCACAAGAGATTGACGCCGAAAAATAGTCCATGGCGCCAATTCGGGTCTCGGGGTATTGATGGGTGGAGATCCCGGCGCATGCAGCTGTGTGGCCAGCGCCGCGAAGAAGCTTATCAGAGCGCTAAAAATCGCGCTGCTGCAGCGGGCTTGGGGGGAGGCTTGGGGGGGCTGGTTAGGTGCTGCACCCGTAAAAACCTCCGCAGTGCTACATGCCCGTTTCTGCATGACCTCACAGGCGTTTATACGGCAGACAAGCTTCAACAGTGCCTACATATAAGGATGGACCATACCGTATTCGTTCACCCAGAGGACCGGACGCTACTTGTACCATAGCTTTGTATTAGTTGGAAAATAAACGCCTCGGGACAGACTTTGTTCTAGATCCGGGCTGCTCCCAACATTGATTGCGTGCTGCCCAACTTGAACCTACAACCCACATGTAGCTAAGGATACGGAGTAGATCAGAACAGTTTTCAGCTTCATCTCATGGTGCCGTTGATCAAAGCCTTGGAGTGAGCGATTGAGGGAGATTATTCTTGAAACTGTTCAATTCCGATTGGATACGAAATCTAAAAGACACTCGCAACATCTTTCTTCAGCCGTCGTCTCCATTGAACCTCCAGCTTCATCCGCCACCATGGACGGCCCATTCAATGCCGCAGTCCTCATCGTCTCAACCACGGCCGCCAAGGATCCGTCAGCCGATGCCTCAGCAACCGTCCTGCGAGAGGTGCTGATGCAAGATGGCGGCGGCCGGTGGGACGTTGTCGATGAGCGCATTGTATCGGACAATGTCTTTGACATACAGAGGAACATCATGCTCTGGGCAGACGGCCCCAACGCAGTCAATCTCATTATAACGACCGGCGGCACCGGATTCTCAGTGGCAGATGTGACGCCAGAGGTGAGTGCACATGAAAGCAACCCTTACACCATGAGATATGTAAGCATCATGCTAATAGTAAACGGTGGTCTCTTTGTCCCTCTGAATAGGCTGTCGCTCCAATGATACACAAGTCTGCCCCGGGCTTGATCCACGCCATGCTTTCTGCATCCCTATCAGTTACGCCATGTAAGTCCATATATCGAGATTTTTCATTACTTTATGGCTAAAGAATTATACAAGTTGCCATGATGTCTCGCCCCACGGCAGGGGTAAGAAATAAGACTCTCATTGTCACCTTGCCCGGCTCACCCAAAGGTGCAAAAGAGAACCTTCAAGCCATCATCAAGACGCTCCCACATGCCTGTCTCCAAGCGGGAGGCGCAAACTCCAGAGCTCTGCATGCCGGTGGCGTCAAAAAGCTTGAGGCCGACGCTGGGATTGATCGCTCCCCAGCTCAGGCCTCAACTTCATCGCATCAACACCATCATGGGCACTCCCACGGTCACGGCCACGGCCACGGCCCTGGGCACTCTCATGGCCATGGAAGCCTCCAGAGATTCACGACGCCAAGCTCAGCCAACTCATCCCATTTGTCCAATGATTTCAGCCAAGGCCCCACGCGCCGATACCGCGAGTCCCCTTATCCCATGCTATCCGTAGACGACGCCCTTGCTCTAGTATTGGAGCACTCGCCGGAACCCCACACGGAATTGGTCAAGGTCGATGAGAACATTGTTGGAATGGTGCTGGCTGATGATATCAAGGCCAAAGAGAATGTCCCGGCTTTCCGAGCCAGTATCGTGGATGGGTATGCCGTCGTCGTTCCCAAAGATGGCAGCGTAAAGGGCGCCTTCCCCGTCACTGGTGTGTCCCACGCCGCTCCAGGAGAGATACCGCCTTTGAATGAGGGCGAGATTGCTAGGATAACGACAGGAGCTCCGCTGCCGCCGGGGGCCAATGCTGTCATCATGGTAGAAGACACCACTCTGAAGACCATGACTGAGGACGGCAAAGAGGAGAAGGATGTTGAGATCCAAGCCGACGGAGTTACGGATGGCGCCAATGTCCGTGAAATCGGAAGTGACATTGCACAAGGCAGCGTGATTCTCAAAAAGGGAGAACAGATATCCGCAGTGGGCGGAGAAATCGGCCTTCTCGCCGCCGTCGGCGTGGCAGAAGCCCAGGTATATAGGCGGCCCGTCGTGGGAGTGCTCTCCACCGGCGACGAGATTGTTGACTACCACCGGCCAGGAGGCTTGAAACTAGGCGAGGTCCGTGATACTAATCGCATCACGCTCATCTCCGCCGCCAAGGAATGGGGATTCCCAGTCATCGACCTCGGCATCGCCAGCGATAAGCCCGGCTCTTTGGAGGAAACTCTGAGAGCTGGCCTCAGAGAAGCCGACGTGCTCATCACAACGGGAGGCGTCTCCATGGGAGAACTCGACCTCCTGAAACCAACTCTTGAGCGCTCTCTGGGCGGGACGATTCACTTTGGTCGGGTGGCCATGAAGCCTGGCAAACCAACTACCTTTGCCACCATCCCCGTCAAAGACAACGCAGGACAGCGCGTCTCCAAGGCCGTCTTCTCCCTCCCCGGCAATCCCGCCTCCGCACTGGTCACATTCCACCTCTTCGTCCTGCCGTCTCTGCATAAACAGTCTGGCGTCTCGCCCGTTGGCCTGCCCAGAGTCCCAGTGACGCTAGCACATGAATTCCATGTAGATGCCCGGCCAGAATTCCATCGCGTCGTCGTGACCATTGGGCAGGATGGCCTTCTGACGGCGAGCAGCACTGGAGGACAGCGCAGCTCCAAAGTAGGTAGCCTAAGATCTGCCAATGCGCTGCTCTGCTTGCCTGGCGGAGGTGGGAAGCTGGAAAAGGGCTCAAAGGTTAATGCTTTGTTGATGAACGCTGTGCGTGGTGGATAACGGATGATTCAACAGTCGACTGTACATAGTAGTATCCACAACTGATAGGACCCAATAATGGGGAAGAGGAGGAAAAGGGTGAGAATGGGAGGCAAATAGGAGGCAAATAATTAAGCTCTTTTGATCTTTGAACATTCATAGCTCTTAAAAGAAGATGCCCAGATTCAAGCATCCGCAGCTGTCTTTAGTGTACACGGGGTGCTAGTCATACAGCTTCAAATAACAAAACAAAAATATGCACATCGTCTACAGCCCAGTCTTCCAAACGCCCAACCAAAAATTATCGGCGCAATGCATATATATCAAATTCCTGCTCTTTTGATTCGATCGTGGAGTGATTCGATCGTGGAGAAAATAGAGAGAGTTGCACAGGGAGAGATGGGCTGTGCTATAGTGTTGAGGATTATTTGGTCATTTCTCTCTCTTGTATAGTTACTTAAGTGGGCTTGACGCCAAACGCAGGAGCCTTTTCTGACACCAAGAGGCCGACGATCAGACCGAAAAGTCCCAGGACAGAGCTGAAAATCTCAATGACCAGAATCTTAACGAACCTATAAAACAATCAGTATTAAAAATTGAACGTAAGGTTGTCTAGTAGACAGGCATGGGAAGAGAAGGAAAGGGACAAGGGGGATAGTGCATACAATGAGCCATCTGCCGCATCAGCAAGCGCAGCTCCACTGCCGTTGATGCCGACCGCAACACCACAGACGAGATTGCACGCGCCGACGGTCAAGCCAGCCCAGAACAAGGCAAAACCGGTAAAGTAAGAGTCGGCAGAGTAGAGTTCAGCGCCGTGGACGGCCTCGACCTTGGAGGAGAAGACAATGGCCATGATGACGCCGTAGATGGCGACGACCTCGCAGAAGATGATGGAGATCAAGTTCTTTGTTCGGATTCGAGGAGCCTTGACGCCGGCGCCGAGGATGGAGGACCCGGTGATGAAGATACCCCTGTGTGGAAATACGATGTTAGTTGACTGTGCCTTCATATGCTATTGTCCCCTGCGGCATAGCTGCGTAATGTTGTTTTGAACCACCGCTATCCTTGAATCGATTCACTCACCATGCGGCACCGACGACAGAGAGGCCGATGCACAGGGAAATTCCCAAACTAGCCCATGCGTATGGCGATATCGATTCGAGAAAGGCTCCGACGTTGAAGGACTCGCCGCTGCCGGTAAAGAGCATGTCTGTGATGGTTCCCTGGGGTCAGCCTTGGCAGTCCAGTCGCAATCGACTGCATGTCCGGATTTCAACACGTACAAAGTCCCACCACGACCAGAAACGCCCAGATGCCGCCTACTCCATACGTATAACTCATGATGTCCGTGAGGCTGCTGCCGCTGCTGCTGTTGTTGAGTAGATGGCGAGAACGGGTTGCTGCCGTTTAGTTGCAAGCTTGGCTGAAGCTCTTCGGAGCACTGAGGCGCGACAGAGGCCGATGTCACATGACAGATGCGCTGAGTCATACAGTGCCAGCAGCTCCCCAGAGCCGTTGCTTCAGCGCCCCACAGCAGGCTGCGTTGAAGTCGGAGGCCACTTTATAGCTCCAGGCGCTGCAGCCTATGGCATTAGTCACCTTGCGCTAGGCTGAACCGCCTTCAACACCGTCTGTCAGCCGCTTGCTGGTCCGGACCTGGACCAAACATCATCCAACGCCGCCACGACTATCGGCTACCCTCAACTTCCAGCCTGTCGCTTGAGCAACGCCAACTCTCTTTTACGCCCATTCCCGACGGCTCGAGTACCACATACACTCATTACCTACCAATCACAATGGCGAGCGGCGCGCAGTCATTCTATGAGCTCTACCGTAGGAGCAGGTAATGGCCAATCTGCTGTGGGGAGCCATGGCTTGTTACTAACCGAGGTTTGCAGTATCGGGCTCGCCTTGACTGATACGCTGGATGACCTGATCAGCGAGGAGCGCATTCACCCGCAGTTGGCGATGAAGATCTTGAGCAACTTTGACCAGGCTATTACCGAGGCTCTTCAAAAGAACGTCAAGAGCCGGCTTCAGTTCAAGGGAAGCCTGGATACATATCGATTCTGCGACGAAGTCTGGACTTTCCTGATCAAGAACGTGACCTTCAAGATGGACAATGGCAATGTCTCTGTTCAAGCCGACAAGGTCAAGATTGTCAGCTGCAATGCCAAGAGACCCGGCGAGGGACAATAAAGCGCGAATCAACGTGGCAGAGGAACAGATTGTATAAAAACACCAAAGAGAGGATGGCGAGATGGGCTCAATTAATCACGCACGGATGGCGACAGGACCGCCAGTAATGTGTGAAATGGCGTTTTAAGGTTTTATAGTTGGGATACACGGATAATGGGAAATTGCTTGGTTTTACATATAACGATTTGCAACTACTGGGAAATTTGGCTCTTCTAACGAACCGCGATATGAATTAGACAATACAGATAATTATTTGCTTCAAAGATGACAATGTGGAAACGTGATGTGTCGAATCCCTGGCTCTCGGCATTTGCCTGCAGCCCCTAGGAGCACAAGAGCCGGCATCTTCTGTGGTGTCACAGCAGAGCCGCGCCACTGTGGCGGTGACAGTCAAAAGCGGCCAGAATAAACGGCACAAGATGGGAGGTTCTTTTTTTTTTTTTTTCTTGAGGCATGTACAACATCACAACAAAAATGCATTCAAATTGAAAAGACAAGCACGTATAGATTAATCGTCACTACCTAGGTATGTTGAAATAAATGGAGATGGTTGTGACATGCTCCGCGCACTCACCTCTGATACAGCATCCGTCCCGCTTATTTTGTCCACTGCTCGCCTATGACAACGCAGACGCAGGCTCACTAAAACATCCAAGTTCCACTGTCCCTGTCTGGCCTTAAACAGTCAATGCCAAATGCTTCAGCTGTCATTACCGGCCTGGCGATAGATGCGTCCTTGAGGATTGCCATTTTCCAATCCTCACTCACACGCCTCAGAAAATCTATTTTGAACACACAAAAATCTTCTTTATTCAAATCACATAAGCGCGCCCCCACATAACACTTCGTATCTACGTAACCCTTCGCATGGACGCACGCAAACGGCGGACCAAACCGCCGACCTCTCCGGCATCCCAGCACCATCACGACTCCTCCCGCGCCGACAAGGGCGCTTCTCCCACTGCCGGCAAGATGGACGTTGAAGAGCCTCTCTCATGGCGGAAGCATTGGATGTTCTTCGCGGTGGCGAGCGGTGCTTGTGCGGCGTTTAACGGCGTGTTTGCAAAGCTGTATGTGATTCCATTTCGTTATTCAGGCTGTCGTTTTGGGATGTATGCCTGTACGTGCATGTATATGTTCATTTCGTCATGAACCCATCTGCCAGAGCAATGAGTGTTTAATCCAGTAATATACTGACTTGAATTACTACTTCAGGACCACCACGCAACTCACCACAAGCTTATCAAACGCCATCGCCCATGGCCTTGGAATCGCAGCTCACGAGAAGATTGTCGAAGTCGTTGTCCGCGCTGTAAGTCCCCTAAATCATCAACAACTTCAAAATACACCTCACGCTAACTTGCCATCATCTAGATCTTCTTCATTCTCAACCTCGTCTTCAATGGCATTGTAAGTTGTTTACAACCCATCTCAATTCATATCTCGCATCTCATAATATCGCACACCTCATCACGTCTATGAAAGTCATGTATACCTAACAAAACACCAGATGTGGTCCCTCTTCACCACCGCCCTCAAACGCGGCAAGTCTGCTACTCAAGTCTCCATTATGAACACCTCCACCAACTTCCTCGTCACCGCCTTCACCGGCCTACTCATCTTCTCCGAGTCTCTTCCCCCCATGTGGTGGGCCGGCGCCTCACTGCTTGTAGCTGGGAGCGTCATCGCTGGCCGAAAGGACGAGGGTGAGGGTACCAAAGATGCTGCGGCCGGCGATTCTTCTGAACCAGTACCTGCAGGTAGTAGTCTTGAGCTAGATGGAGATGTTGTTGCTGGAGAAAGATATCGGGATGAAGATGTCCCTGACTTGGGCGAGCTACGTACTTGAGTCGTATGAAGCGCTGCTTGATTCAATAATGATAGCATAGCATTCTTACGTCGCTGTATATACAAATTAAAAATCGCTCTCATTTATGATTCCGTCTATCTTCTTTCCAACTCAACGCCCTCATCAACGCCCTCCTCATCCCCGTCCAGGATGTTCCCTCTCCTCCCACGCGCCCGTTCATCATCAAATTGCCCACTGAGCCTTACATGGCCCCGTGAAACAGTCGACACCGAATTAGAAACCCAGAATCCTACTCTGCGAAGCGCGCTCCATAAATGTTCCTGTCCTTCTACGACGTGTTGGTCGTCCTTCGGATTCTCCGCCGCTTCTACTTTGAACTGGTACTTTAGACAATCTTTCACAGTGACGAGGCCGGAAAGCTTTCCATGATATTCAATCAGAATGACACGAGGTCCAATCTTTTGGAATAACTCCATGACAGTCTCCAGAGGCAAGCGAGGGTGGGCCGTCACGGGTGTGGCGTCAATATACCGGCTAAAGTCAAGGGGCGATGAGGCCGCAGTGTCTGCGCGGAAAGCGGGCGTGACGGGAGTGATCGCAGGCGCCTGAGCCGGATGCGGTGAGAAGAAGCATTTTGCATCTTGAGAAACAGGCCGTTCACGCCTTGCGCGATCGATGGCGTAGCGCAGCTCGGTCCTACCAATGTAGCCAACCAGCGTCTTGGAGGTGCTATCCAACACGATGGGGAACCCCTGATATTTGTCCTCGGCCAGCAGCTCTTCGACGTCAGCAATTGTCAGTCCATTAACGGACAGCGACACGACAGAGCTTCGCATGACCTGCGAGACGGGAACGCCATAATTGTGATCTTCCTTGCTATCAATAAATGGAAACCCGTTGAACCAAATCATGCGATCAGCAATACCGCCCTTGCCAAACATCTCGCTGACGAGCTTGGTGACGCCGACAACAATCATTGTTGGGAGAATATATGTGAGTGCTCCAGTAAGCTCAAACATGATGACGACGACAGTCAGAGTGAGATGCATAATGCCGCTCAATGCTGCCGCTGCTCCGAGGAAAGCGTACGTGCCAGGTGTGATGCATGGTTCATCTGGCTTGCAGGCAGAAAAGAAGACGCTGGTTGGGTTTGCCTCATAAATGGCTTGGACGATAATGCCAACGGTACGTCCGAACGAGGCACCAATGGCCATGGAAGGAACAAAAATTCCTGCGGGCACCTTGCAACCATACGAAATAATGACTAAGAAAACTCTCAGTACCGTTGCGAGGATCAGTGACACGAGATTCCACGCTCTCTTATCTTTGTCGCAAAGCCCGTGGTAGTTTTCGGCTCCTTCGCATTCAAGAAAAAGAATCTCCATGCTCTCCGTCATGTCGATCTTGAGAAAAGCGTTCGGATAGGCGATGATGGCAGTCCCCGCCGCAAGAAGTGTCGCCTCCAAGATGGCATATTTTGTCAAGTACTTTTTGCGGAAAGCCTGTGCTCGCAGATTCCACTTAATCACAAAGGCACCATACAGCCCGCCAAAGATTCCTATTATGATGTAAAAGACGACCTCGAAAAAGTGCCAGTCTCGGTCATATTTGACTTGGAACATGACCAGCTGGCCCGTTCGAAAAGGGTTCATGGCAGAGAGCACCGCTGTGGCGACCAGTGCACAAAAATAGCTCCGCCACATTGTCTTGAGCGGAAAGTAGCTCGACATCTCTTCGAGTGAAAAAAGTACACCGCCGATAGGGCTACCAAAGGCGACTGCGACACCAGCGGCGGCACAGGCGCTGAGAATCTCGCGAGTCTTGGACGCATTACTCCTGTACTTGTTAAACAGCCTTGAAATAACATTGCCGGTGCAGACGGCATAGTGAACACTGGGCCCTTCCTTTCCAACCGACAGGCCGGAGGCAATGGCCAGTGGCAGGCATATGGACTTGATCAACAGGGTCCAAAATCCAAGAAACCCCTTCATCACAAAGCCGGCAATGATGCATTTGATCTCCGATATGCCAGATCCAGCTGCATATGGAGCATACGACTTGACCAACGTTGCAGATACCCAAGCGAAAGTTGTCTAGCAGCGAGTCAGAAAGCCTTGTTCAGCAGAGCTACTGCTCAGAATCAGCAGATTACTTACCGCAAAGATGAAGTAGATAAAGTAGTTGAGAGGGCCAAAGCCTGTCCATCGATGCCACGCTTCACAGCCTACGAGAATAGTCAGTTTGTATTCCAACATCAGTAGGGACGCAAAAAAAGAAATAATCACCATTATCCTCTCCCCAGCAACAAAATTTCTCGTTGAGATAAAACCCCGTCGTGCAGTGGCCAGTCTTGATATCTGATAGCCACTCCGTCACAATATTCAAAAACGCCGCGTTGAGCCCAATGGCGGCTCCGATAATGGTAACAACGATCCATCCCTGCGCAGCATCGTAGGATTCCCAAAGACGATATCTCCAGCCGGGCTGCCCGAGCCTGTATACTCCTGCTGTGCGTGTCCTGTGAGCTTGACGCCGAGCTTGTTCCCTCGCAGCATCTTGTACCCAATCTGTCGAAGCCCTAGAATCAGTCTCGTTTGGTTTTTACGGATATGGTGGGTCGGACGTAGAATCCAAGATCGCATTCGCTCTCACCTATAGTTGTAAAGTCCTAGATACCACAGCCGTCAGCGCTGAAGTCTAAAGAGTGCCACGCATAGATGTACATGTCACCGTCACATGCGCTCTCTTGCTCACCTCATATCTCTTGATTTCGGCAATCTCCTCTTCAATCTGGCCCTCCCTTGGTGCGTTGCCGGCAGAAGCTTCGCCCTGTTCTGCATTGGACACGGCAAAAGACAGTCGAGAGCTGATGGACGGTCGTCGCGAGAGCGCCGGGCTGGGAGCGCCGAAGGCTGCTGTGTGTGAATTCATGGCTCCGGGCCGCGGATCATGGCGATCGGTTGGCCAGTAGCGCAATCGCTAGTGCCTTGCGGTGTAATTCGATGCGATATGGTGCGACTGCGACTGCGGCGGCGTTTAGCTGGCTATTTCTTGGTTCTTGGTGTCGGAGGCTGTGTTGTCGCAACGAGCGAGGGATGTCGCAGCAATACGCTGGCCAAGACGAGCAGCGTACCTTGCTGTAAGTGGTAGCACTACAGGCGCCCACTAAATGCAAAGCCCCTGCTGTAGCAGCAGATCCTCCCCTCCAGCATGCCTGGCAGGCGACTAGCAGAAGGCTGTGGGCATTGACATAGTAACATAGCCGTTACATGAACAATATTCCATGTTGGAAATTGAAAGAAGCTTTCGGACTTGTAGGTTTTTCTTTATATGAACTAACCAAATTCTCTTCCTTTTCTTCTTTTCGTACAAAGACCTGGTATGCAGCAATTCAGAGGTTGTTCTACCAAGTGCTGTGTACCTGTCTCAAATCACGTGCATATTCGGAAGCTCCCCACCAGCCCGCCTGTCCCTGGTCGATTTGGCCATCGAATCGCCGTAGCGCGCTACGTATTGGATCGTTCGTAGCTTTGCTGGCAGGAGAGCAGCACAGGCCAGATTCGCCATATCGCATTGCTTCGGTTTCTGCCACCTACAACGCCAATTTTCCCCGTTTCTCACTCGCACACTCATTGTTTCGGTCTATTAGCGATTATACCCTCAAGATGGTAAGCTGCGCAGCTCTCTGCGGCATCCATATCCCCCTGGCGCAATCCCCGCCGTAACTAACAAACCGACTCTTTCCAGGCGGCCCAGGTCATCTCCAACTCCGGTCACGATGATATGATTGTATGTTCGACTTTTACGAAATACTGCTCCACCCATCATTCTGCAGCTACCACACTCTCCTACAAATTCGACTTGGAGCAACAAACCGTCGAGGTCGCACCTTGGCTGACCCATAACTAACAATGGCCCAATCTAGCACGATGCCGTTCTCGATTACTACGGACGAAAGCTGGCGACATGCTCGAGTGACCGAACGATTAAGATCTTCGAGATCGAAGGCGAGACGCAACGTCTGGTAGAGACTTTGAAAGGGTGAGAGACGCCGCCTCATCTTACACATGTCGACATCGCCCACCTCGAATACACAAGTATTGACATGCACATGCTATAGTCACGAAGGTGCTGTATGGTGCGTTGCCTGGGCGCATCCCAAGTACGGCAACATCTTGGCATCGGCTGGCTACGACGGCAAGGTCTTCATCTGGAAGGAACAGGGTGCCCAGAACAGCCAATGGCAGCGAATTTACGACTTCCCCCTCCACAAGGCCTCGGTCAACATTGTGTCCTGGTCTCCCCATGAGGCAGGCTGCCTTCTCGCCTGTGCATCTTCCGACGGCAACGTCAGCGTGCTCGAGTTCAAGGACAACAGCGTCGATCACGTCACATTCCCTGCCCACGGCCTCGGTGTCAACTCCGTTTCTTGGGCCCCTGCTACTACACCTGGCAGCATCGTCAGCAGTGCTCCGGGCCCTGGCGCCACTGGCAACCGACGGTTCGTCACGGGCGGCTCCGATAATTTGATCAAGATCTGGACATTTGATCCCGCTGCACAGTCATACAAGCAAGAAGGCGAAGCCCTGACGGGCCACTCCGACTGGGTGCGCGATGTTGCCTGGTCTCCCACTGTCCTGCAAAAGTCGTACATTGCTTCAGCCTCTCAAGATAAGACGGTCCGCATCTGGACTTCAGATCAGTCCAGCGGCGGCCAGTGGGCAAGCAAGGTGCTCAACTTTGAAGCCCCTGTTTGGCGTGTGAGTTGGTCCCTGAGCGGTAACGTCCTAGCGGTTAGCTGCGCCGACAACAAGGTATCTCTGTGGCAAGAGAACCTGCGTGGCGAGTGGGAATGTGTCAAGTCAATTGAGGAGTAAACTAGAGAGAAGCGGGTAAAGGTGAAGAAATACATATCTTGGTGTTATGATTAGGCGTTTCGTTAATGAGCAGGGCATTGAAGGCAGGGACGCAAAAAAATGAAACAATATGGATAGGATGATCCTAGTTACCTACAAGCCAAGCTTCATACAGTAGAGAGAAACAAGATCACGAATGTGATGCCCATCCACAAGGGCTAAGTGGTCAAAGGAGATGGAGCCATTATAACGACATACAATTTTTCTTTTTTTGGAAAAGTCTTTAAATAGATGGTTGAACTTGGCCTTTCCTTGATCCAAAATAAGGTGTACTCAAAAATGATAATCAACGTTTTAGTTGTTTGTTCCCTTTAACTGCTGTTTGTTTCGCTCATCACCAACATTGTCCATTTATATCTCCTTGTAAACAAAGCTTTGTTAGAATGATTCAGAAACAGAAAGACACCGCTGTCCATGTATTCAAAGCCACCAACAACAAGCGTAGCAAACAAGTTTTGCACAATAGAAGTCATCAAACTATCTTCACACGTCAAAAAATGAACACTGTCTCAAAGGCATCGTCTCTCCGAAATGGCTCAGTCCTCAAACTATTAAAGAGCGAGTCAATTGCAGTACACCCTTACCCTCTAATAGACCTTTTTCATCAGCTTCTTATTTCCAGTCATTTCTATTTCCAGATACGCCCCCCTTCATCTCAAGGCACTCAATTCACATACACACATCTTCCTCACTTGTGGCCAAAATGAACGTCGCCGAGCCCTACATCTGCATTCCCGGAGTGCCCAATTTCCGTGATATCGGCGGCTACCCCCTCGCCTCCGAACAGAACAAGCAAGTCCGACGGAACGTCGTCTTCCGCTCCGCTCTTCCGCGCCACATCCTGGATGACGGATCAGAGAGAGCAAAGAATAAGCTACAGACGCTCGGTATATGTCAGGTGTTTGATTTGCGCTCTGAGAATGAGTTCATCGAGGTGCGAGCCTATGACTGGAGGAAATGGCTGTGGTCAGAAATGCATCGAGTATCGGCGCCGGTATTCCAGCCTGAAGAATACAATGCTGAGTCGCTAGCTGATCAGTATATGGAAAGTGGTTGTGGTCCTGAGGTATGGCAAATATTAAACTCTTCATCGATGATATGGCAATGGAAGCGTGGCGTTGTATTCTACAAAACATACTTCTTCACCAAATGAATACATGCTGATTACTCGATTCCAGGGATTCGCTCAAACATTCAACAAGATTTTAGAGTCGGCAAGCCATCCCAAGAACAAAGCCCGGCCGTTTGCACGAATCCTCGAGCTCCTGTCTCTGGATTCTAAGCAGCCGCCCACGCAGCCCATGCTTATACACTGCGATCTGGGTATGGACAGAACAGCAGTAATCTGTGCTTTGATCTTATCGCTCTGCGGCGTGAGCGACGAGGATGTGGCCAAGGACTATCATCAATCGGAGATGGAGCTTGCTGCCCATCTAGAGAAACTTGCCGCAGAGTTCAAGTCGCTCTCTGTATTCAAATACGTCAGAGTCACTGCAGACGATGCGAAGATTCTGTTTTCAGTACGGTGAGTAATTCTCTTGATGAATATAATGCAATGGCAATACCAATCGATCTTTGGCTTACTTTTTTTTGTTCAAGGGAGGAAAACATGCTGCGGTTTTTGGATTCTCTCAGAAAGAAGCATGGCTCGATTGAACAATGCATCAAGCATCACAAGTTGCTCGACGATGAGGGCATATCAAGACTGAGAGAGAACATGATTGTTGATGCCGCCACGAATCAATCTACGGCTAGTAAGTCGAGACTCTTGCATTTCTCGCGCATTTCATGTGATCAATTTTGCTAACGTTGGACTGTTTGTGTAAAGGGATATGGGATAAGAACTAAAGATGGCAGTATAAAAGCGGCTTATTGGTTTTAAATACGTTGTTTTTAGTTTGATTGCACTATTTACTTAAAATGTATTAGCTTCATCATCTACCAGGTAGTGGCAGGACAGACTGCTGCCTAAAGACGGGAAAAGAGAAGAGATAGAACGTTTACTTTGGTCATAAAATATTATCCTTCATAGATCTTCATCTAATAAACCTTTATCATTTGCTAGTCAGAAATTCAAGATTGCTCCATAAAGATATAGCGTCATCTTTACTCTTCTCTCCATATCCGATTTTATTCAGCTTAGAGAACCACTCATGGCAGCCTCTCAACATGCATTAAATCACAAAATCATCGGCACCAGGCAGCCAGATAAAACCTATACCGATCGCAATTCCACTCGTGTCGTGGCCATCAGGTCCTCCGGTGAAGTTGCCATAATCCACGTCAAAGTAGGAAACTATTATAAACTGCCAGGCGGCGGCATCGAGGCAAACGAGAGTCACTCCGACGCCGCCCTGCGCGAAGTCAAAGAAGAAACCGGAGCGGCGGTAGCTCTGCGCGGCGACTATTTTGCCACGACGGAAGAGTTTCGCTTCCATCTTCATCAGATATCTTATTGCTATTTGGCCGATGTGCTCGACGACACTGGGGAGCCGTGCTTGACGGAAGAGGAGCTTGCTGATGGATTTACGTACCAGTGGATGGATATATACAAGGCTGTGGAGATTATGGCTGCAGCGGTACCAACTACAGAATTTGGATGTTTCGTTAAAGAGCGAGATGCGTATGTTCTCGCCGTGGCTGTTGGAGTTTTGGGAGCAAGACAGGGCTGAAACTGAAACCATAGCATGTTGGTAAAAAGGTTATACGTAAATGATATGATGTGGGTGTATATTACAAGACCATGGAAACACCGATGCAATAACCATTTAGAAATATGTAACACTGCTCGCAAAATCCCCCAAGCAGAGTTCTCCGCGTATACCATATGCATGGAGTATTCACATCGGATGGTATGTGGAAAATCACAATGATCATCACTGACATACGTACTTAGGTAGAATACGGAGTAAAACTCCCACTCGAGGCCATCTTGAGACACTTGCTTCATACATGAAAGATTAGAAGACATTATAGCAGCCAGCTTATATATATTCACGATTACAGTATGAACGAACCCATATTTCCCATAATGAATCTAGATAGTGCCTGAATGTTCCCAGTATCTCATAAAACTCCTGCTAGTTCAATAAAGGGCGGCCTCAATGTCATAAATCCGCCATAATAATAGTAGAGTGATAACGCCAACGTCAAAGTGTAAATTCCCAAATATGATCCCCAGTAAAGAAAACTCCTAAACGTTCTTGTTGAATCGAACTCTCCAAACCTCATTATTCGCAAAATCGTTGTATGAAAAGAGATCCTCATCCGATGCTGTTGTCGAATTTGCTCTAGCAGGCATCTTTCTATTAGACGTAAAGGCTGTGTGCATATCGCCTCCGTATCGCTTAGCAATAGACACTCCGAATCCAGCAATCTCTCCTACGTGAATTTTAATCGTGAGCATTCTTAGACAACTCAAAATAAGACGATGCCACTTACCCAAACTAATGAGCATGAGGTTTCTTGTTGCAGAAGGAGGCAATCCATATGATCCGACAACCAAAGAGGTTAGAGGACAGAATATATACGGCCACCAAGAACTCAGACCAAGGCCATTGTAGATGGAAGTCCGAAGGGTAGCTGCCGATGAAGAAGCTGAATCCAAGAGATCTATTAAATTCGAAGCTGTTTGCTGAGCATGGACCAGTCGTTCTTGGTGGCCTTCATGTTGAACCAGTAGAGAGTCGGCCAATCCTTCAAGCCTCTTCATATTCTGCCAATACGCATTAGCCATTTCCCATTCGCTGTCAACCTTGAATAAAGCCGTTCAACTTACTGTCTCTATTTTCTCTTGTCTCAATGCAACAGCTGCCGCTATGGATTGTGAAACTTCCTAGCCAATTGCGGTCAGAGAAAAGCTCTTTCATTGGGAAAGGAAGACAACTTACAATTTCTCTGTGTAAAGATGTCGATGAGGTCACTGCTGCAGCGATTGCCGATAAGATAATATCCACTTCGGTGGTAATTCGCTGCGTGGCCTCTTGTAAGGCAGACTCGTGTGAAGATACCAAGTCGTGGCTTTGTGTTTGCGTCGCGTCAACCAGCATTGCGAGTAATATCTGTAAATTTCTGGCATCTTCGAGTCCGTGGTTAATAAAATCCGTCGACCGCTGCCGATGCCGTTAGTGACCTGAGTCTAGTAGCATTGCTTGCAAAAATTATACCTGAACTCTTTGAACAATCTGTTCCCTGAAAAACGTATCTAGTTCAGTAAAGCCATTTTTCAAGTCATTCATCTGGGGCTTGAGGTTGGCCGTGGCAGTTTCGACTTCTTGAAACATTTGATTGAGCGATCGAAATCGCTCCCCCATCTCTTCTTCGAGTTGGGTAGTCAGCCTCGCAAGGATGTCAACCAATCGTTGGTGAAGCCGGACATTTTGATCTAAGATGGAATTAGCCAGCTTCTATCTCACCCAATAAGATACCAGTATATCTACTTTTTTCATTGTCTGCACGGGCGGCCTCACAAAATCGCAGTGTTTTATGGTGATAGCTCACCCAGGTGTTCCATGCCGAATCCGACTGTGCCAGGCCTTCGAGGCAGTCATCAATCTCCGCTGTCGTAACATGCAGCTGTGGCTTAGTCGGTGGAGCGATTCGTGCGAGAGTTGACTCTTGAAACTTGGAACAAGCAGGTGGAATCGCGAAGCTGCCTCTTTCTAGGTCACATATAGCCAAGCTTGCGGCGTATGAGTCAACAAAGTCTCGAGCAGCTCTTCCACTATCAGTCAAAATCGTTTCATCATCTCGTCCGTCGAGTAACTGGCAGTTGTTGACCAATAAACGAGCCGCAATGCGGTGGCATAGGGGCTCTGATTCCAATTCTTGCAACTCATTGAGCGCCATAGAATACATTGCAGGCAGCTTTGAGGGTTCGAAGCCAGGAGTGCTAGCTAAATGCTCTCTAGAGGAAGATGGGCCTATAGAGTTGCCATGTCCTGGACCCAGGTTAGCGATGATTTGCATAGAAAGAGGCAGCCAGAACTCGCTACTAATCCTCTTATTGCCGCCCCATGAGAAACCGTGCACTCCACTAGAAAGAATGAGAGCGATATGAAAACTCCAAAAAACAAACGTCAGAGCTGGTGCCATCTTCCACTGGCCAGTAACCGAGCTGGCTGTGTCTCGCAGATAATGGTCTATAAACGCAAAAGCGCCGCGAACCGAAGTAATTGAAGCCCTAGGTCCAATCGCGGATAGATCCTCGCTCGAGTTGGGCCTTGTTATAGTTGTGAAGCTGTGGCGAAGAATACTGGAAAGTAGTCCGCAAGATGAGTTTTCGGCGATATATGAGATAGATAAATTCAGTGGGCTGCAGATGGCCCGTACTGTTGGTGCATGGATGCCGGTTATTTTGCTCTTAATTGGTTTTGTTTGCGTGTTTGGCAACTCTGGTTTTCTACGAATATCATGGTGGAAATCCGGAGAAGGCAGATGGATGTGGAAAATTCTGGCAATGGTGATTCATCGAGCTCGTGATTGCCGCTTTTCGACCTCGCCAGTCGTACCTGCTGCATGCAAACGGGTGCACAACGGGCCGCCGCTTCCATCTCTTCACTTGCATAACCTCATTAGTAGCGTTATTGGCACTGATTGTGAGCAATACGTGCAGCTGCTTAAACCTCGCAATAAAATTATATCACCAGTATTCACGTCGACATTCTGAACGCTGAAAGAACAAAACTCGATCTCGCCAGCCATGAACCTGCTTGGCCATCAACTCAGTTACTACACCACCACTCTAAGCCGATTCAAAGACTCAGCTCCCTCTGCCCTTGGTTTGACGATGACCTTGGGGAAATATTTCGGCTCCAGGATATGAACAGGCATCACTCGATCATTCTTCTTGGGAACAGAAATGCCGTCGCCCCCAGGTGCAACCAAATCCACTGCGTGGATGATCATGGCTGCAAACATGAGAATCTCGTTAGTCGCAAAGTCACGACCAGGGCACAACGTCTTGCCACCACCAAATCCACGAAATGCCGCTGGATGAAACCCATCACTTCTGCTCTTTTCTTTGAGAAACCTGTTCGGGTTGAAGTCTTCAGCATCCTGGCCCCATATGGACCTATTAGCATGGATAACACCTCCAGAGATTTGCACAACAGCACCCTTTTTCAAAAAGTATCGATCAGCCAGCATCGTGTCCTCCTTGATCATGCGAACAGAGAAATTCTCCGATCCGATGCGCAGGCTCTCCCTATAAACAGCAACGAGCGTTGGGCATGTTTCTTTAACCACTCCAATGCTCAGCGAGTCCGGTCCAGTGCGTTGGTAACTGAGCTCCAGCGCCTGGCGGATCTCCTGGCGCGTCTCGGCGAGAAGCTTTGCATGCGCAAATATTCTTAATATTACCCAAAACGTTGTAGTTGTCGTATTTACGATACCAGCAAAAAGAAAAGACAGGGCTGAGCGAGCCGTCATGTCTGTGCTCATGCCATATTCTTTTTCTATCCGGGCTCTACCCCTTGCAATTGATGATGCTGAATCCAGATGGCCAGCTTCCAAATACCTGCAGAACGCAGCAGACAGCTTCTCTCGGCCGCTATACGCTTTGGGTGCTATGACGGATGGCAATATTCCGATGAGTAATCCAGCAAGACCGTGATCAAATGCCCAGAAAGCTTGCTCCAAGTCAGGGTCCTCTGCAATGGGATTACGGGGTCCAAAGAGATATTTCGCCGTACCAACGGTTACCATGTGGCGAGTCCAGACCAAAAGATCAATAGGCTGAGGGGCATCAGCAGCCTTATCAAAGGAGCCAATTCCTTCACACAGCTGAAGACATAGTTCCTGCGCAGCTTCACAGCTCAGCGTATTTACATATTCACCCGGTCCAAGGGAGGTATACACCCAGTCATGAATGTCAGCAAAGAATCCCCGTGGCTCGCCCGGTTCTGGATCCAGATTTGTGCCAATTACATTATAAGTCTTCTCGTCGAGCCCAAGAACCCGCTGGGTTATCTCTGGCAGCAAAGGTGACATGGATAACGTCTTGGTATTGCGCTGAACGCTAGCGGCCAATGACGGCTCCGTCACGACGTAAATTCGAGATCCTGGCACAGGCAAAGTCAGGATGGGTTCTTCGGGGTAAGACAGTCTAGCAGTTATTAGCCCAATGCCTCGCATCCCGTGAGAGTCTAGATTCAATTCTAACCCAAGCTGTTTGATATATCGGCCGCCATGCAGCGCCATGCCCATCAGATGGCCTATGAGAGGAACCCATGACTGGATAACTATTGGCTCGCTTGGATGCAGCTTTTTCCCCGACGTATAGCGGAGGATGAAGGCCAGAGCCAGAAAGCCAGCGGTAACGGTGGCAACAATGCCTAAATTGACGGGCCAAGCCTTGATATCAAACAGCGCCATCATTCATATCAACGCTAGGCTGTTCTGTGCAGTTTGTTCGATCACTGATTATCAAAGAAACCAGTGGTCAATGGGTGAAATGAACACATCTAGCGTCTCTTTCGGTTGATGATTTGTTTGTATATCTGCACTTCATCTTGAAGTTGATGGACGTCGCAGTCGAAACAAGGCGGGGTTGCATCCCACGGGAGCGTTACGGAATCGGGATACCCAGTCTATATAATGGGCCAGCTGCCAATTCCTACAGGCTGCCCCGGCGCGAAGTTTCCTCGCTAATGATGGCTTCGCCGAATGAACGGACCTAATCTCTATGATTGGTTCCCCGAAGCATTTGACAAGTTGTGCTGATGAATAACCTCCAGCGCTTGCGGAAGAAGAAAGCTTACGGCTGTCCGAGAGATGAGACTCACTGGAGGGACTAACTTGAGGTTTCTAAGCGGCAGCAGGATTCGATCCCTTCATTCAACAAGCCAATGTTCCGTCTGGAAAAACATCACGCCACGATCCCTGTATTCTCTACGCCGTATCCGGTATGAAAGCGAGTATGACTGGTCATTGTGATAAGTGGGGTGGGATATGGCTCAAATGAATAGGAGTGGAGGTGAGGCGAAGCCCTGATGGTAATAGTCTTCGCGGCATGCCTTAAACCCTGCCTCACCGAAGTTTTCTCTTTTCTCCGCTTTTGCACTTGTTCTTTTATTTCCCACATGCGCTCTTCTTTGGGAGGCGTAGAGGTCTCGAGAAGCTCTTTTCAACTTGCGACATGTGCCGTTAAGAGGTAGGGGGTCGCTTGAGGGCATTGAGTACAACCCCGTGGACCATTCTATGAAGCATCAGCAAGGCCCTGTCAAATCATGAACGCCACGATCACGAGAGCATTTTGCGGCGAGAGAAGAAGCATTCCAGGCCTCAGCCTGCCGAGATGAGAAGAGGACACGTGAAGAGAAAACAAAGAACGACCAAGAACAGAAAATCAATTCCATGATTATTCCCGACCGCCTCTCCCTAGCGTACAAACGAGAACAAGCTTGATTGCTAGTGCGGAAGCTCAATATCTCCCCACTGCTGGGTAAACCCGGAGCTGAGGCATATCGCTCCGGCCCGGTGTGGACGGCCACAACGCCGGGACGGAGCCGGATTTTCGGAGGGAAATGTGTATACAGGTGGATAAGCAGTGGTCTTGTGGCCACGTCGGCTACTTTCAGATCCGGTGGTGTGAGAAGTTGTTCAAGGGGTGCAAAGGGACGTCAGCTGCCCACGATATCATCTATCAGCTCGAGGAATGCAGCGACTGTATCCGGCGCAAAGGTCTCCCCAAGCCGTTTACCTCCAAATAAGCTGTCTTCATAGCAGTCGACGGCTCTGGTTGGCTGGCTTCTTCTCGGTGTTTCAAACAGGAGTCGGGAATCAATTTCAAAAAGGACCAAAAAAAAAGTTTGATGTTATCTCATCTTGGCTACGTCTATCGACTGCCACAGATTGAAGATTTGGGCAAATATGGGAAATCAACTTTGCATACCGGCATAAGCATAGTTTAAACAGCAAGCGATGGAAGAATGATGGTATTTTACAGCTATTTTTATTTTTTTTGTTTTTTATTTTTTTTAGAGTTCAAGAGCGATAGAGATGTCTTTGACAAAACTGTTACCATATTAGGCACCGCACAAACTACCTAGGTAGTTGATAGCGTTGACTTGATACAGGTCCATAATTCAGACTGTTCTACATAGAAGCCGGGCAAAGTCACGATTCATCCAGCTCAGCAGCTCCAGACCAAAGCTAGGGAAGATCTAGGCTTGGTGCAACGGCCGCGGACGAGATCCAGATATATGGCAGATGGGCCGTCGTATCTGGCAACTCAATGCGGCAGACTGTGGGAAATTTGCAGTAATAGTGCTGGGCTTGACCTTTTCGAGAAAGTTCCATGGCACTTGTACGGAGAATGTTTATGGTCCTTATCTCGGTCATCATCTTTGATATTTTCCCCTGAAAGATGGACTTGGCATAGGAGTTGATTTTCCTTGGATGTGAAACAATTCAGATACTAACAAACGAAATAGTTGCTCAGAGGGAAAGCATCTAGGCACTAGTGTCAATGCAGTGTTGGCAGTATACTCCGCGTTGATATCCTGAGGCTTCCACAAGATAGGCATCGCTATTGGGGGCATCGCTAACACTCTGCAGCCTGTGCTTTTTTGCCTCCCCTATTCCTCTCTTGGTTGCACGAAATTGCGGGGAATGAATGTCGAATCCTTGGAAACATACATCACGAACGGAGCCCGGGCAATGGGAGGAAAAGAGGCAGTCACATAATGGCGATTCGCGCAGCTCTGGACCGTTTGGAGTGGTGTTGTGGAGTGTGTTACAGTAGGGAGTCGCTAATGCCAGCCGTGCCCATTCGTGCATCTGAGAAGACAACGGACCAATCGAGCGTCAAACCGCATCGAGGCATACTCCCGGCATGTGAGTTGGCTCTGGGCGCTGAGTTTTGACAGAAAGGCTCGGAGATGCCTTGGAGATCGGCCCAGACGGCGCATGAAAGCAGAAAACAATGCATCAATCAACAGCCGCCTAACAGAGTAGCGTCACATGGCCCCGTGTCGGATAGAGTAGCTGGTGCTCGCTCAGAGATGCCCTCGGCCGTCACGCTGCATTGTGTTACTGCTCAGCTCTTTGGGCTTAATCGCCACAGGCGAGGCGAGGCGAGGTGAGATGAGGTGGATGATGAGAGGCGAGCTTCGCGGTTTGGGGCTAGTTTTTGGCCCTTTTCCCTGGGGATTTTTCTGGCTTGGACCTCGACGACTACCCCGTAAAGCACATGCAAGCACCTGCGTGTCTATGTATCCCAGGGGGGTTCGTTGGTCGCATTTGCCCAGAGTCAGCAGTGGATGGGCCCATCTTTGCGACTGATGGCATCCCTAACGCTGTTCTTCATGATCGATGGTGGCGAGACCTGGGGATATCAGAGCATATCGCCAACGACCACAGCAGCCGCCAGAAATACTTAAGAACGCAGATTCCCCGGGGACGAGATGCGAGAGGATCGCGGAGAAGGGGAGCCGCCGCAACGAGGTTTGCGAGAATGGCGCCGGCGCAGAGGCAGAGGCCGTCACCATCGCCTGATCTGACTGTTTGGCCACTTTTTATTATATTCCCCGAAGGGCCAAAGTCGTGCCACCCCTTGGCCTAACCGGGTAGCAATAAGCTGCGATACCGAGGCGCCGAGCGCGGGAGGGCGGGTGGCCAATCAGAAGCCGGAGGCGGCGCCTCTGCTGCTCCCTTGGCCCTGCGCATCGTACGATGTCTGGATCTCTGGCCAGCCGTTTGTCGTTTTTCTTCGCACATGCATGGCATCCATCCATGGCGCAGGGTCCCCTCTTCCAGCAAAGAGGAGCCCCAGAAGCGGCGTCTGGACCGCCCGGCGCCTCGTTGGCTGCCCCTCCGCGCAGCAAAAGTCAGGCCATTTTCGTCGACGGCCACAGCAGCTGCGAAAAGGCTATCTTGGGGGCACTCGCAATTCAGAATTTTCCGCCGCGCTGCTGCAATTCGCCATCTGCCTGGCGCATACCCGCAGTGACAGGTCATGTTGGCTCACTCTGCAGCGCCTCGATCCCGGCTCTCGCCGAGCACAAGGTCGCTCGCGGGCAGTTGAGGCCACAGGCCACAGGGTCCAGCTGCTGGCTATGGCTCCAGAGCAGCTCCGTAGGGGACCTGTAGGGGATCTATAGGGCAGAGCCGGGAGCCAGAGCCACGGGAAGCGCCCCAGAGAAGATGGATCAATGACACCCATGGATGCGAAAAAAGTCGACGCCGCTGGGGAAAGCCAGTGGTGGACGTTGGAATCTGCAAGCGTTTTGGCCTCGCTTGCATGGCCTGACTGCTCTGCTGCCATACCCACCGCCAGCCGCGGGTCCTAGCGCGCCCGGGGCCTGGGCGAGAGCACGTCGGTTCCTGGAGCGGCATCCTCGTACTGTAGCGGTACAGTAGCAGTGCTGAGGATGGGCTTGCGGTCGGTTTTGGCGTTGCAGCGCCGTTGTGCTCAGTGCAGGCTTCGGAAGGGCTGCCGTCGTCGCGGCGTTGCCCGACAGAGGCTCCCGGAGCTGGGGACTGGAGGGTACCTTGATGTAATGCCATGCTGAAACTTGCCGACCCCGTATATTAGCATTGCTATGCCTGCTCTGAAGCTCTGCGCACGGCACGGGGGCCCTTTTGCACGTCGTCGACCTAAATCTGCATCAAATCCATATACATCTCCCTGGCGTTGCTTGTACATCTACGCCTGTCCTCCAAACTTTTGCTCGCCATATACCTACTCAACTCATACTCCATACCTCTTTTACTACAACTACTACTGGGCATTCCTTCGTATAGGTATTGCCTTACACGCCTACCCATCTGCCCATCTTCCGCTGTCTGCATCCCGCGGAGCTGTGCTCGCCGTCTGCCTCCTCCATCCCGGTCCGAGCCACCATTCACCAAGCGCCCCCTTGGGTTCGGCCTCCAGGTACCGAGCGCCACCACGAAGCAGGCCTTCTGATATTACCTACTTCTACTTGGACAAGTCACTGTCCACACGCCGTGACCCTCCATCCATCCATCGCAACCAGCTTTCTGCAGCGGCTGCACGGCGCAAGTGCCCAATAACTGACGCCGCACGCCGTGCCGATCTGCGGCTGCCATTGGCCTCTCGGCGCGCATCTCTCACGCCACTCCTAGGGCTCCATTGATCCCAGCAGTTCGTTACAGTCTGTTGCATCCGGCTGTTGCGCTGGGCATGGAACAGGCCCTCGACTATACTACGCATCCCAACCGCCGCGTCCTCAGTCTGCCGGAACGACACCTCAGCTCCTCAACCTCAGTCCAGCCATCGCCTCCCCGGAACCCGACCATGGACATGTTCAACTTCACAACCGCAGCCTCGTCCTCGGCAATACCTTCATATGCCCCGGTGGCCAGCAGCAGTGCCGCCAACAGCGGCCGCAACTTGGGCGACATGACCTTCTCCCAGCTGGCGTCGCAGTACGGCAATCGCAATCATCCCCTGCAGTCGATCCTCTCTCAGGGCAAGGAGTCTCGTGAATCCAAACGGATAAAGGTCGAGTCGCCGCACTCAGCCTTGGACTCGATCGACTCGTGGCTCCAGTTTGACGAGGAGGCCGATAAGTTTGGTAGCTTTGAGATTGACTTTTCCAAGCAATACAACCCGGCCAACCAGCCAAGGTGAGTCGGCACAAAGCGACAACTCTTCTTTGCTTTATGAGTATTTTTCCTGACAATTTTTTTCTCTTCTTATTTGAAATCAAGGCCGTCCACAAATATGACACCTGGTCTGGGCAGTGGCCTTTATGCCAATCCCACCAACCAGTTCAGAGAAGAAGACTTCCTCGATGATAGCGCCTTTGACCATTCTCTGTCCGAGGATGACGACTTGTTTGATACGATGAACCTTAATGACCAGCTGCCCAAGATTGAGACGCAGCCCTCGACCGAAGCTCAATCATCCAGGAGTCTGTACTCCACGCCGTCAATGGGCTGGGAGAAGCCCCAGGCGGGAATTCACCCAAGCGCTGTCTCCATGGCGGAAGAGATCCCTAGACGCATGGGCAGCGATGCCTGGGATTCCATGCCTCAAGCTGCTGCCAATTTTAACCTCAACCTAGAAGAGCGCCGCCGGCTTCTCGAGATTGCCATGGGCCCCAGCCGGATGTCAGCTTTCATCTCTCCCAATCGATTCAATACGGGATTCGGAGCTTCTTCGATGCAGCCCAGCATGAGCCAGGATTTCAGCAGCTTCAACTTTGGCCCCAAACAGGGCATGAGCCATGTGGGAATGTTCCAGAGAAACAACTCTACCGACACCACAGCCTCTGGACTCTCCCAGCCCAGCCGGGATCTGAAACACAGGCACTCCAAGCACGAGACGCCACCCAAGATGGTGCCTGCGAAACGGCCAAGCACGCATTCGGAAAGCAGCAGCGTGAGCAAAGAAAAGGCAAAGTCTGCGGATCGCATTGCGCATAACGACGTTGAACGGAAATATCGGACCAATCTCAAGGACAAGATCACTGAGCTGCGCAATGCGGTGCCGGCATTACACCAGGTGGCTGAAGGAGAGCCTGATAGCGCACAAGGGAATTCCAAAGTCAGCAAGGTAAGTGATATGATGGTGATTGCGATACGTTTGACTTGATGAAAATAGTCTTGCTTATTCTTTTATTTTACAGGGCACTGTGCTCACAAAGGCAACGGAATACATCCACCAACTAGAACAACGCAACAAAGATATCATGTCGGAGCATAAGCAGCTCGCACGGAGGCTCCAAGCATTCGAAGCACTCCTCAACGATTCGATGAGAGTCGACATCATGCCCAGTCATAGCATGGCACTCTTTGACCCGAGAGGATTCTGTTGAGTCATTTGTATCATTATCATACGTTTTTTATTACATATTGATTCGAGTACGATTGCATGAAAACAAAAAGATATACAATTGTTTATTTGCGGAAAAGTTTCTTCGACAAACTTTCCCTTGGCGGGCATTTCAATTTTTTCGGCCATGTTTTTTATGTTCACTTTCTTTGTTTTTCATTATTCTGCTACAGCCGCCGCCATTTACACCTACTACTACACACCTCTCTACTTTTCGGCGTTATGGTAAACACTGTCCTTTTTAGACAAAACGTGGCATGAAAAACTTAAGACAAAGGGTGTATATATTACTCGGTATTGGCGGTCTTCTTGAAAGTCATCTACTTGTTCATATGGGAAATCAGGGAAGGGGATGGGAAGGAGGAGGAAAACTGATTAAAGGCAATGTGGGTCTGGGAAAGGTTCAGGCGAGGCATACTACTTTTTTACGAAAGACACATTTTCTATTTGTGTGAAAGCAACATCAAGAAGACGAAGAACAAAATTTTCCACGCATTTTTGGGCAAAATGACGGTGTGACTAGGGGCAAAAAGAGGGAGAAAGAGAAAAGAAGAAAAAAAGGATAAATTAATGTATGAAGAAGGAATAGATTTGGCGGCAAAGCATTACCAAAAAGAAAGAATGGGCTGCTCAGAGAAAGAAACAAAAAAAGGGAGCACCTAGCTTATCGTGAATACCAGAAAAAAAACGACCAATAGAGCATTTCTCCGGAGGCGTCTCTTTGCCTTGATTTGAACTTGAATGTTACATTTGTCCCACTTTTTGGCTCTTAATGCACTTGTTTTGTTATCAAGAAGAAGAAAAAATCGAATTATTTGCCACTCTTCGGAATGATAAGTCGGTATTCCGAGAGAGACGCCGTTAGAAAATGATACCCTGGGCATACGGAACATGTATGTTCATGTATGTAGTATGCAGGAGAGGAGAGGAGAGGGGCCAAACACGCAAAAAAGGGAGGGCCTAGATGCGATGCTACTGCGCACTTACATACAGTTAATATATGTGAGATGCATTAGTGTGAGATGCATTAGTTTTTTCTCTCTTCTTTTTGCCTTTTTGGCATTGGATGGAAGGGTAAAAGGAGAAAAGGAAGTTGCTGTAGACACCGTTCAAGCTTGATAATCAGTTCATCGGTTTTTTTCATGAGATGTATGCAAAAGCTAAGTAATCCCTATATTACACGAAAAAAAAAAAAAAAGAAGAAAGGGGGGAAATGGAGAAAAGAAAGTATTTTGCACGGGTGATTTTTCAGTATTATTTTTAGTCTCGTAACGCTTCGATATCCGCAACCTCCTTGACGGCCTCAGTCGTAAGAATGTACGGCGCATCCTCGTCTACACAGATACTATCTTCGATGCGGATGCCCATGCCCCTGAAATGGGCCGGCCACCGCTCGTCGTCCGGAACGTAGACGCCCGGCTCGACGGTAACGCAGTGGCCCCTCCGCAAGATCTCTCTCCTGCTGTACCCTGGGCAGTCATGCACGTCCAGGCCAATGTAGTGTCCCACATGGTGGGGGAACAGCTGGTCAATGTTGCCCGTGGTCAGGTTGCTGAAGCCGATGCTCTTGAGCTGGTCGACTAAGCCGCGGGCCGTGATGCCGTGGATGTCCTCGAGCGAGAGCCGGGCGGACTCGCGGCAGAGGGAGACGCTGGTGCGCTGCACTTTGAGCACGGCTTCGTAGAGGTCGCGCTGGGCCGGGGTGAACTTGCCCGAGGCGGGCCACGTCCGCGAGATGTCGGTGATGTATGTGCCGTACTGGCCGCCGGCGTCGACGAGGATGAGCTCGTTGCCGTTGAAGACGTTGTTGTTGACGGTGTAGTGGATGCAGTTGGCGCGGGGGCCGCCGGCCACGACGGGAATGTAGGCCGGGCCGTCACAGCCATTGATTGTGAATTCGTAGTCGAGAAAGGCGTGGAGGTCCTTTTCCTTGATCCACGATCGCCGCATGGCGTTTGTGATGGCGCGGCCGGAGATTTGGCCGGCCAGGCGCATGTTGGTCACTTCTGCCGGGCTCTTGATGACCCGGAGCTTGTTCATGACCGGATACAGGGGCGTCTTGGCCGGGCCGTTGCTGCCGGTGATGAAGCGCCAGAGCGAGTTGTTGGACGCCTTGGCGGACTCGACGTCGGTGTAGATGAGCTTGGCCGAGTCGAGCAGCCTGGGCAGCACCGAGTCGATTCGGTCCATGGACCAGGCCTCGTCTACATTCCACACGTCCTGGGCGGCCTGGACGCCGTTGCGGTAGCCGGACCATTGCTCTTCGCGGGGGTTTTTCGCCTTGACAAACATGTGGAAGAGGTAGTCGCCCCATTTTGGTCCGGTCTTCTCGATGATGGCCATGGCATCTGGCTCATCCCATCCTGTCAGATAGAGGAAGTTGGTTTCCTGCCGGTAGGGGTGAAAGACGGCGCCGGATTTGTACTGGAGAGGTGCGGCGTGTAGGACGGCGACGCCGCCTTCTGACATGGCGTCGGCGAGAGCAGCTCGACGGTCGGCATATTCCTGAGCGCTGATGCCGGGAGTTACTGGTGTAGTTGGTCAATTAGCGAGGTGTTTGTCTTCTTCTAAATCTTTCTTTTTTCAATATGTATTTCAATTTCATGTCTTATGGCTCATTATTCTCTTCATCGTGTGTGAATGCTATAAGAGCTGCCGACATTAAGTGAGAGTGACGAAGAAAAAGGGTAAACCCACGCTCGCCAGCCTTGAGGATGTGGGGATGTGTCTCATGGACTGGTTGCCCAAACTGAACACTGGCTGCTGATACTACGGAGCCGTAGCTCCGCCGAGGCCGCGAGAAATCGTGACGATGCGGTTTTTGATAGGCGGTTTGCGTGATGCCGCAGCGCTGTTGCAAGGGCAGCACTTTCCGGGGTGGCTGGGCGAGGCTCCGGAATGATGGCCTGGGGAGCTTCATTTTATAGACGCAGGATAATTTCTAAAGGAATTGAGAGACGGGCTCATGGTCGATCTCCACTGGACGCCTCTACCTCTCTTTTTTTTTGCGGGCGGTATACTCCACTTTGCGCTTCTGGTATGTGTTTGTTCTTTTTTCAGTTTGATACGCGGAAAGTGAGGCTTGCTCAGCTCTCCGCGTATTGGGGAATGCGAAATTAGTGGTGATTGATGGAGAAGACGTAGGATTGGAGAGAGGCCGGCCGGGTGCTAAAAGCCAATTGCTTTGATGCTGGTCGTGATGGAGTTGAGCGAGAGAGACTTGTCTTGATCATGTAAGCAAGGCGGTTTCTGCATTGACAGCTCAAAGCCTGTCTGTGGCTGGTGTGGCGGAAGAACAGCGAATAAATGGACAGCTGCAATCATGTGCACACACCAAGAGCGCGTCTTGCAGCTGTTGCTGGGCACTAACACCAAGTGGTGCTACAGCGGTGATATTTTCCTCGTGGCTGCCCCGCCTTGTGGCCGCGTCTTGTTTACAGCCAAAAAAGAGCTTTTGGGCATTTCTACTGTAAATGGACATCACGTATTGATGAGATTTAATTGATTCTTTCTCTTACTCACTTGCAGATTCTCTGCACCTTTAATTAAAAATGACTCTCACCCTTGCAGGGACAGCTATTGTGCTGCCTTCTTCAGCTCTCCCTTTGGGAATGAGACAGCATGTAGATTTTTTTCTTCTTTTTTGTTTTTGTCTGTAAATGGAGCTGGTGGCTGACGCTAATGCCCAAAAAGGACCGTGTGTATGGGGAAGGTGTTTTATATGCAATTGGAGCTCCTATTTGGATAACAGAGCTCAAATACCATCCAACTGTGAAATCCAATAAAAAGATGTGCATCTATACATGTCCAATGCTTGAACTCTCTGTCCATCAATTCTACAACTGATTTTTTTTTTTTATCGTCAAAGCCATCACTGTCCTTGGTTGGTTGATCAGAGCACCCACGTCCCAGAGCTACCCTATTGCTGTCCAATTCGTTGCTAAAATGGCCGTTGCTGGTGCGCCGGGCGGGCCCGTGCATGTTTTTGGCAGGGAGGCCAGGCCGGGCTTAGCGCTGTTGTGCCAAGCGCGAAGGCTCCATCAACACCCTCCTCAAAGCACGCCTCACTGAATTCTTCCTGCACACGCCAAACCACCGTTTCTTTGTCCTCCCCAAAAAAGGCCCTCGCAGCCTCCTCGACAAGCTCTCCAGGCCGCCGGCTCTGCTCCCCAAAGGCGTCTCTGGATCTTCAATGTCGGCGTAGCATCCTTTACACCCTCCGCCGCGCCTTTTTTTTCCTCCGAGACGTGCCTCCGTCCCTGCCCGTCGCGTGCTCGTAACCGCACCCGCCATTTGTCTCCCAGCCCCTCCTCATCGGAGCTGTTTTCCGCCGCGGCTCGAGCACTTATACCAGGGCATGTTGGTTTTGGGACACGCAGCTCGCGTACATGGCCACCGTCTCTGTTTCTGTTTCTCTGTCCGCATCCTCCAAGGCGTCTGCCCCCGCGGCCATGGCCTCTAAGCGAGCTCCTCTCGCCAGCAATCCCAATGTCGCCAACTCGCCTCTTCGCGCACCTTCAATCTTGACTGGCTACGCCAAGTCCAAGCGTTCCTTTGCCACGGTCCAGCGCGAGGAGCCGTACGGACAGCCTCCGCCGGTGAAGAAGCAGATTCTCGAAAATGGTGCCCAACGTGCCGTACGATCGCCGACGAAGCCAGCGGCTCGCGCACCGACACACATTGTTGTCCCCCGCAACCCGAGTGCTGTCCCGCGACCCGTTGCTCGAGAACGACCGACCAGAGCGGCTGCGACTACTTCGACTGCGAGAGCTTCACAAGCCGTTGACACGGAAAAAGAGCTGTGGAAGAAGCACCACCGGGCCAAGTTCCCGAAAATGGTCTTTTACTTTGAAAGCATCCCGGATGACGTGCGAGCAAAGCTGACCAAGAGGGTCACATACCTCGGTGCTGTATGTAGCAACTACTCTATTTTGCACTGAATTTCCCTCACTTGAAAATATGACGCTGACATCTGAATCAAAACAAAAAAACAGAGACAAGAGCCTTTCTTCTCAATTGACGTTACCCATGTCGTCACGAGTCGAGCGATTCCACCTGAGAAGCCAGAGACTGGAGATGCCGCGGCTGAGACTGAGGCAACTGAAGAGCAGGAGCCCGAAGAGCAGCCCCAGACAATCAACCCGTCTCTCCTTGACAGGAACACTGCTGCCAGGCGGAGACTGCTTTACGATTTTCGCCAGGCTTCATCCTCCCAACTGGACGGCCTCGTGAAACGTAACAAGACGACTCGCAACAATGATGTCCTACACAAGGCACGCGAGATGGGAAAGAAGATTTGGTCTCTGGATAAGTTTCAGAGCATGCTGGCTGTGCTTCTTGAATCAGAAACCCAAAGCTACAGCTCTCGGTCTGCGAGCATGAGAAACCACTACGGCTCCAAGGGCTCTCATGAACCCAACTTGTATCAGCTCCTTCATAACGAACGTATAAATGGACCGTCTGATCGTGACCCGACTGTCAATACCAGAGAGTTGACCTATTTCAAGGGCCCGTACGTCTATATCTGGGATATGGATGAGAAGCAGAAGCCCATCATGGTCCGCGAATACCCCAAGGTTGCGAATAAAGCTGATGGCGAGTGGCCTCAGTTCCGCAGCGTTGGGAATGGTCGCTGCCCCTTTGTCGAGGAAGTAGATACCACTGAAAGAGACCAGCGAAAGGCACGAGAACGTGAAAAGGCGCATCAGGCTAAGAAGGAAGAATCCGTCCAGATTCTCAAGGCCCCCGAAGTCCCTCCCTTGAAGCCTGTGACAGGAAAACGCACCCTGACGCAGATGGAAGATGCTCATAGCCGGGTTCGTGCCAGTATGTCAATGGAAAAGCTCCAGCCGATCAAGGTCACTTTCTCCAGGCAGCCCGTAGCTTTTACCAGCCGAGCCGAGGCTGGCCGTATGTTTGCGGGAGAGCCTGTAGCCTCTGGTATCCAGAATACCATCACATCTGCGATCCGTTCCCAGATGATCTCATCGACATCTGGCATCAACGGCTCAAAGGCCGGAACCAGCAAAGAGGTCCATGGGCTGCAGAGAAAGGTCTTGCAGATGGCGAACCCGACTTCGTATGATGCCAGCTTGCGCCGGCCTACGGAAGTCGCTGCCGACGTCGCATCTAGTCGTTCGACGCTGACTCGAACCACGTCCAAGACTATCCCAGCCCAGGACGAAGACAGTCAAAAGGTGGAGAAGAAGGCACCCGCCCAGCGCTTGAAGAGCAAGAAAGATCTGAAGCCGGGTTACTGCGAGAACTGCCAAGACAAGTTCAATGACTTTGACGAGGTAAACTTTTACCAATCCACGATTTATCAAACAGAATGACTAACAAAACCTTTGAATAGCACATCTTGTCCCGCAAACACCGTAAATTTGCGGACAATGATGATAACTGGGTCGAACTGGATGCTCTTCTTACACAGCTGAAGCGCATACCAAAGTTTTCATCTGCTGTTTCTGATGACGAAGGAGGAGAGTGGTAACAGCGATGGCGTTTTCTTCTTCGATCTGAGCTTGTCTCATTTGAGACCTTATGATGCGATGCGTTGAACTTTTGATTTTGTTTTCTCTTCCAATTCCGCTGATCATAGCATTCGTTATGATAACTTGTCGACACTTTACCAAAAAAAAAACAACAACAACAAAAAGATCTTTGGCCACCACACCCACCAACTACATCCTGGGACTCTGGCCCATGGGAGCCAAGTACCAGGCTTTGATTTTTTCTTTGCATCTCAATCAGATTTGCGCGGCATAGCGCAGAAGGCAGTTGTGTCAATACGCACTGACTTGAGCTATACTTTTTCTTTCTTGTTCTTTTTGACTCTCTTTTCATGGCTGTTTATTTTCTTTGTCTCTTTCGGCTATAACGAAACGAAACGACTTGTTATTTTTTGGCACCGCGCCAGCACGGTTTGGTATTTTCGAACCCGCATACATAGCAGGAGGCGTTATTTTCACGCTCGGTTTTTTCTACTTTTGACGGATGGATGGACTTGTTTCTTGGTGGCCGAGTGGATGTTACGATAGAGGAGAAGCTGAGCGTGGTCTGGGTTTTTCTGATAGAACGACTTGGAATGGGTTGCAGAACTGACGCAGGATTGCCACTAATGAATGGACTGGGCTGAGGCGTCTTGCGAAGCTCTTGACTGGAGGCGAAGGAGAGAGGAGAGACTTGATGGCACAGTTGAGTAGGCTATGTCATCAAGGGAGGTTGATTGATGATGAAGGGCTTTCTGGGGTGTATTTTACAAAAATTCATGCATATTGTAACTGGCATGTTACAATTCACGAAAGTGTATAAGCAGAGGAGAGTCCGGAGGCGTCGATTTGCACGGGCCGGACCGGTATTTATGACTTGGGATAGCATTTTCACGATAGATGCGCAGGTAGTAGTAACAACAGAATTCAAAAATCAAATACACATTGGGTACCGTGGACGTGACTGAGTTGTTGGATGGATTTCACTTGTGCATGTATATATATTCATTGGCGGCATGCATAAGACTACAGTGTATTGTCGTTGTGCCGCAGGGCGATGCAGGTGTAGGCACACTGTATCGTGCACTGTAACAGGGAAGGCAGCTTGCGTATGAGTTGCAGGCTGCCGCAAGGCTCACCTCAACACCAGCTTTCATCTCACATCTGCCATCACATCTACCCACCCAGTAGATGGATGCAGATGCAGCCTCGTTACCTCGCCTTCCGTTTTGCCAAACGGCTATACGCCTCCATTCACAGAGGAAACAAGCCGGAGTAACTTGACTCGCATCTCGCTCAGCCATGGACCCCTCCGACCTGCTCCTCTCCCCGCCATCGCATCCGGCCTCGCCCATGCCAGACGCAGACTCGGAGGACATCACCACCAACAATAGCAACAACAACAGCAACCGAGACAGCGGCGCAGCCTCGCCCGAGATCCCGCTCACGCTGAGCGCGTCGGTGGTGCTGGCCGACCTGCCGCGAGACGCCACGGCGGCGCTGGCCAGCGCGGGCGGGTTCCCGGCGACGAGCAAAGTGGTGGTCAAGTTCAAGGCCGTGGGGTCGGCGCCGGCGCTGCAGCAGGACGTGTGCAAGATTTCGGCGGCGCGCAAGTTTGAGGAGGTGGTGCGCTATCTGCGGCGGAAGCTGCGGTGCAAGGACACGGACAGCGTGTTTCTGTATGTGAATAGTGCGTTTGCGCCGTCGTTGGATGAGGTGGTGGGGAATTTGCACCAGGTGAGTTTGCTGGATATATGAAAAGCTCTTTATTGTTCTATGATGAGTGAAAAAAGACTAACGATTGAACCAGTGCTTCAAAAATGCTCATGATCAACTGGTTGTGGCCTATTCTATAACTCCGGCGTTTGGATGAGAAAACCAAACAGCCTCTCGCTATTTACTGCCCAACATGGTGGTATATCTGTCTTCTATATCATCATCATTACCATCTCCTTTTCATTCCCCCCATTCGCTGGGAAACATTGTTATTAGAATCCACCATTATGCCCACGCATATACACATGTACACATACCAAGAACACAATCTATATACTGGCTGAAAGAACATCCGTGAAGCCAAAACAAGTAAAGCAAAGAACGCCGCTGCTTTATGCTCTCGACATACCCCCCACCCCCATTATTTTCTCATTACTCTCTTTCTTCTCTTCCTTACAAGTCCTTTGCGGCTTTGGCAAATGACTCGAATTCTTCGGCAGGCATTGGGTAAGTGTGCTCTGGAGCTGGGAACTGCTTGCTCTTGACCTCGTCCCGGTAAGCCACGACGGCTCTGGCAGATTCGCTCCAGATGTCGCCGTATTTCTTGACAAACTTGGGCATGAATCTACCCGGAGGAAAGTTGCCAGTCAGGTCGATCTGAACAAGCACCTGACCGGAACAGCCATTGCCAGCGCCAATACCGATGGTGGGGATGGATAGTTTTTGGGTAATCAGGGTGGCAACTTCAGCGGGCACAGCCTCTAGAACAACAGCAAAGGCTCCGGCTGCCTGAACAGCGAGGGCATCTTCCAAAATGCTCATGGCTCCTGCAGAGGTCTTGCCTTGAACACGGAATCCTCCGAGAGCATTTTGGCGTTGGGGTGTGAGACCAATGTGAGCAAGAACCGGGATGCCAGCGGTAGTGATCTTGCGAATGGTGGGAGCAAACTCCTTGCCGCCCTCGAGCTTGACGCTCTGTGCCTTGCCCTCCTTGACGAAACGGATGGCAGTGGCTAGGGCTTGTTCAGGGGAGATTTCATAGGACCCCATAGGAAGGTCTCCGACCTATCAAGCTGTGTTAGTCTATGAGATATTGAAAGAAAGAAGGAAACAAAAACTTACAGTGAAGGAACTCTTAGCAGCTCGTGCTACCGATCGACAATGCAGCAGCATGTCTTCCACCTCTACCTCGTTTGTGTCTTCCATGCCCAGTGCAACCATGGCCAGGCTGTCGCCCACCAGGACAATGTCCATGCCGTTCTGGTCGGCAACATAGGCGCTGGGGAAGTCATGCGCGGTAATCATGGCAATGGGCTCTCCCTTTTGGTACAGCGACTTGATGGTGCTCATGGTGACCTTTTTGCGAGCAGGCCCGGACTGCGTACCCATTGGGGAGTGTGAGCTGTGCCTCTTTTGATTGAATGACGATGCATTGTTGATGGCATTAGGAACACGAGGACTTGAAGAAGCGACGTAGGAATGTGTCAATGAAGATGAGGACGCAGCGACAGCAGATCTGAGGCTGGAGTTGAGTCGCGTGCTGCTGCGAGCGAGCGCCGCACACGATCTGGCCGAGGCTCCGATCGGAAACATGACTTCTCCCAACTTGGAAATTTACGTGGTATTATGGGGATGCGGCGGGTTCTCTGCAGGTACTGCGCAGCGCCAATACGTATGTGATGAGTACTAGTGAGGTACCTAGGGATGCAGAGTGGGACAAGAAGTGCAAAGATGGGATGTAAATATCCAAGCACGGAATGCAGATTGAAGGAAATAATTATATCTTCTGATGATCCACGACTGCTGGACAAGTCTTGAGCGGTGATGAAGATGGAAATGATGATGAAACAAAACGGGAAAGAAAATGTGCAACGAGGGCGGACGAAGGCGCTTTTTTTAAAAGAAGCAATGAGGCATGCTGGGTTTTACGATGTAGATTTGAGTATCTTGGAAATCCGGCCGGTCTCGTGTGTACAGGGCACTTTTCAGCATCCCTTGTTTTTTAGTGCTACCGCTACGAGTACGGGCAAATGGGTGTAAGAAGCAGAAAAAGAGTACGAAAGCAGAAGAACCGAAACGCCCGACACGGGGGCCAGTATTGGAAAGGGGGGGAGGAATAATAGCGTGTAATGACTATTGAGTCCAGGCAACGAATTGATTTTAATTTCTTTTTCTTTTTCTTTTTCTTTTCTTTTTGTCGAGGGATTGTTTTTTTAGTGCCCAAGATGGTAAGATGGTTCCTTGTCTGGCTAACTCGGCACGGTGCGAAGGGAGTAGGAAGGCTTCGAAATAGTAAGTAGTATTGGTTTTAACCGAGGCACCTGTTGGTTTTGCTTTTTTCGAACTTTGCCGGACCGTGGCGGATTTCGCCGTTGCCGTGGGAAAAGAGAGCCTTGTAGTAAGCCTTTTTTTTTTTCATTTTATTTGAAATATACCGTAGAATAAGACCCAAAGGATGAGGATGAGGATGAGGATACGATGATGATGCTGATGATGGGGACTATGGGTCACGTTTCGAGAGATGTGACAACTTGACTTACACGCACGGGGCACAAGAGCCAATATTTCGTGTTAGGCAGGCTGTGGCCCAGGAAAAAGGATCTGGCTTACATGGAGAAGCACTTCCGCTGCTTCCACGCCGAGTTCTGCAAAAATGCCTGATTGAGTTTACGTTGCGTGGGTGTTTTTTTTCGGCTGGTTGCCCGATAAGGCTGTGTGGGCTGCATTGGGAACTTGGCTCTGACGTGGGACGTTGGGGGACATGACGGCGGATGTATCAGCTCGTGACTGAGATGATTGACTCAAGGGCGTGTTGGTGCTTATTGTAGGGCTGTCATGTACGATTACACACATGCGCACAGCCACTCGGAGCATTGTGATACTTGTTGTAATTATTCTAGAAAAGAGGCTGGAGCAGAGGTAAAGAGCACAGCTCTGCATGTACATGATGCGTATTGCTACCATCTAGCATGAGCTGACATTCCGCATCAGTGCTAGATCCACGCACTTGGGTACATGTCCAGTACTGCGACCTATCAAACCCGCGCCAGGCCGGACGCTGCAGAAACTCAGCTGACTTGACTCTTCGGACTTCCGCGACAAGTCAAGAACCGCCCCCGGATGGCGCAAACCATCCGATACACGCTGCCCAACCCACCGGGGCGAAAAATGCGCTGGGCTAGGCCGTTTGCCGCTGCCAGTGTCTCAGCTGGGACTGGAGCATCTCGGCACCAGTCCGCTAAATCCTCGGCGCCCTCAGCGCTGCTGCAGGCCGCTGGAAGCAAAATTGTTAGCGGTTAGCCAGCGGTTTCCTCGTGACTCTTACAGCGGGGAGGGCGCCTAGGGAGCCTTAGCAGAGAGGGGCTGTTGGGAGTGACAAGATCGATACACCTTGCGTCTGTCATCCCAAACAACTCAGACCTGCTTTTACGCACTGCATCACATACAATCACGACTCTTTTGGCCCAACCAAACCATCGACCGATCCGGCTTCTTCTGTATTCCTCTTGAAAAATCCGCTGCACAGACCATTTCTCCATTGCAACTGCCATCCTCTTTGTTCCTCTCGTCTTCTTGCGCCCTCTCTTCGTCATCGACCGCCGAACCGAACCCGAGCATCTCCAATATTCGCTGCGACGCTACTGCACGTCACCACGATCTCTGGCCACGCCGGGAGCCACACCCTCGAGAAGGCTCAGACACAATAAGCTTTACATCTCCACATCGTTTTTGAGTTCCTCTCCGCAGCCGCGGCACGAGTCCCTGGACAGCCGCCCATCATGAGCAGCCCACGCCGCCGGATTGAGACTGATGTAAGTCATGAGTCTGCGACTGGTTCCCACTTGGAGGACGACCCGGCAGTTTGGGGGCTAACCGATTGCTTGCTTCTGCTTTGGGGAATTCTAGGTCATGAAGTATGTTTTCCCTCTCCGAATAATCAACACGCAATTTGCATTGCTGGGGGCCGTCTGACTAACTAACAATCTTGCAGGATGTACGAAACTGTCCTTCCGGCCGAGAACATCCCTCCGGTGCCACCATTGGCTGGCTAACATGGCTGTGAACCAGGTTGATGAGCGATTACGAAGTGACACTTGTCAATGATAACAGTAAGCAACGGCGGACATGGTTTTTTTTTTTTCCTTTTGCGGGAGCTTGATCGGCAGTAATCAAATTGAGGAAACTGGTTGCTAACTGACTCGTTGCAGTGTAAGCGTCATCCGACATATAGGCCACAGCCTCGTTCTTCCCCTGCCTTGCACTGGCTGAAACGGAATGACAAACATTGGATTACTGACAAGGATCCTCATAGGCAAGAGTTTTTTGTCAGATTTAAAGGCCCAGCAGAGAGTGAGTTGGTTCCTGCGTTGCGCCGCCTAGATGGAAATGGAGGGTATCCAATATATGTGTCCCTGCAACTAACACGGTTTGGTAGCCCCCTTCGAAGGAGGTCTGTGGAAGGTCCATGTCGAGCTACCCGATACGTATCCGTACAAGTCTCCGAGCATCGGATTTGTTAACCGCATCTTCCATCCCAATATCGATGAGCTGTGAGTGTGCACCAATTGGGAGATTTTCCGTCTGCAAAGGAGCTTGCTTCGGTTTTTCTACGATTCCCTGTTGCTGAGACTGCGGTGGCTTGAAAAAAATAGGTCCGGTTCAGTGTGTTTGGATGTCATCAACCAGACATGGTCTCCGATGTTCGATATGATCAACATTTTCGAGGTCTTCCTGCCTCAGCTACTCCGATATCCTAACCCGACGGATCCGCTCAACGGGGAAGCAGCTGCCTTGTTAATCAGGGAACCAAAGAGCTACGACGCCAAAGTCAAAGGTACGAAATTAAATGCCAGAGGAAGGATTCAAGGCTGGAACGAGAGGGAATAGTATGCTGACTTGGGGGTTCACTTGCAGAGTATGTCCAGAAATATGCCAATAAGGATATGGTGGACGAAGCTGGTGCCGAGAGCGAGGATGAGGATGACATGTCCTCGGTGGCGAGTTTTGGTGACGACGATGACGAAGAACCGGCCGGCCAAATGGACGACGTATAAGAACGATGGCATCCTGTCTCTTTCTCTCTTTTTGTTGCAAGGATGCGCGCACGAAGTTTGTCACCAACTATCGATTTAAACAAACCATAGCAACTCAATCATAAATCATGGCGTCTCTTTGGGATTAAGCAGTCAACAGGCCAGCCGGGGCAACAGGAGTTCTTTTCTTGACATTGGTTTTCGTCTTTTTTTTCTTGTCTTTTTTTTCTTGACCTTTTTTTCTTTCTTGACTACACCGAAATGGAGGAAATTACGCAAGCCTCCCACATTACCAGTTGATGTCTTGACATCTTACCGACTGCCTTTCTTCTAGCCTTGCGAAGCAGAGAGAGAAAAAGGAGAGACTGTGAGAGAGGAGGCGATTGAAAGATATTAGTATCCACAGTTTGGGTCACATCTGTTTTGAAGTTGGGCATTTGTAGGTAGTTGATTGAATGGGAGGAGATGAATGGCCTTGGTAAGCAGCTCAGTAACGAGTGGATTGGGTTAAAGTATGTTGAATAGGAATTATTTAGAACGCAGAGTCCGAGTGCTATGAAAATTATTTGAATTTATTTTGATCAAGTGAAGCCGGCAATTGAGCTACTTGTCTAAAAAGGGGTATCTTGATTTCTAAATAATATGAAAAATCTAATCTATATCTTTGCAAGGCATTCTATCCATGCCAATTATGAACGCCATATACACTATATACCCTCCTAAACCAGAAAATGGCGCAAAGGGAAAAAAAAAAAAAAACAGAAAGACCAGAATCGCCCATTTGAATGTTAATCTGAATCATACTCTACTAATCCCACAGTTGACGCCGTCTGCGCCGATACCGCCACTTTAACCTCCGGCTCTTCAGCACGTCTCCTGTCGGCCCCAGCATCACCATCAGTTCGTTTCCTCTTCTTGATGCCGAGCGAGACTTTGTTCGTAGCAGCGCTGTCGCTGCCGAGAAAAGGGTCCTGTGCGGCCCGCGTGTTGGATATAAACTGTGCGACAAACGTCTCCTTTCTGCGGAATGCTTCTTTTTCGGCCTTTGATCTCGTGTCTTTTAAACTCAAAGATGAATGATTTTGCGTTTTTGCTGTTGTTGATGTCGATTTTGTACTTGTAGTCGCAAACAAAGGTTTCGACAGCGCCTTGATGGCCCCATCGCCGTCTTTCCCTCCTTCTCCGTCTCCTCCAAAATCCACCAGCGCCGCCCTCTTGGCGTCATCCTCCCTCTCCGGTAGCAGTTCAATTCCCAGGCCCATCCGATCCTTCAAATCCTCCGTCGCCGCCGCCGCAATCTCCCTCTCTTTCCTACCCACGCGAAAGGCCCTTCTCAGCTTCTGGTTCTGCGTATACGGATCGTCCCAGTGCTTGCTCGACAAATCCGCCAAGTCGTCAATCCGCTCCGTCGCGAGCTTCAGCCTCTCCCGATCGGCAATCGTCTTCTCCAGGCTCGCAAACGCATTCTTCCTCAGTGCCTCCCTCTCCTCGTCCGTCAGAATGACATTCTCCCCTGCTTCTGGTCCATCCCCCGTGTCGCGCTTCGTCGCCCCCTCGACGACGACATACGCCGTGTTCTTCGGATCGGTGCGCATCTCAATCCACCCGCCGCACTCGGCATGGCGGAACCGAAAGCTCCAGACGGGCGTGGTGTAGTAGCTGCCCGCGCGCTTCTTCTCGGCGTTGAAGCGCACGCCCTGGCCGATGATTGTGGGCTTGGGGCAGTGCGCGCACCAGATGGGGAAGGGCATCTCGAAGCGCACGGTGAGGATGCCGTGGGACGCGAGCTTGGCGGCGCGGTGGCCGAGCGGGTGCTTGTTGTTGAGCCTGTTGCCGGAGGTGGTGCCTTCGAGGTCCGGGGGGACGTAGCGTCCCATGTTGAAGCCCTGCATGATGGGCGAGTGGTTGTTTTACTGCTCTGTGTGTTTTGTTTGTTCGGTTATGGGAAAGGCGATTTTGGTGATGGGTTTCTTGGAGGTTTGCTGGTGGGAGATTGGAAGAGACGAGGTTGGCTTTCGGTGTGGGGTGGCTTGATGGGCGATACGTCACTTGGTCGCCAAAAAGGACCCTGGAAAAGGCAGTGGGGGCGGACCCTAGCGGATTTGGCGTGAGCGTAGAAGAAACTGATATGCATGGTTGTCGGAATAGGAAAGACTCATAACTATCAGATATTTATGTCAAGATTGATGTAGATGTCAGGTTAGTCACAGAAATGCAGTACATGTCTACCGGCTTGAACCTATACTCTTTGAAGCATTTACATTGATATTTCCACTTACATGTGGTTTTGCACTCGGATTGATATAAAGAACTGCTTGTACAATTCCCATCATCTAACTACTCACCGACCAACTCGGCGGCCTATCCTTCAACTCGGTCCCCCACTTGGACTCCTTGGCCCCCAGCACCAGCTCCAACGTCCACCCCTCTGTGAAAAACTCATGCCCAATCCACGACCTTGTCCACGGCTTCCCATTCACCCTTGCGCTCTGCACATAGACATTCTTATAAGACGCATCAAACCCGACATTCCTCACCGTGGCCGTCTTGCCCGTGACGGGATGCCGGATGCTAATCCCCTCGACAAACGGCGGCGAGATCAGGTACACGTTCTGGCCCGCCACGGGGAACAGGCCCATGACGGAGAAGACGAGGAACGCGCCCATGGCGCCGGAGTCGTCGTTTCCGGGAAGGCCGCCGGGCGACGAGTTGAAGGACGCGGGCACGTACTGGTGGATGCGCTCGGTGGAGAGTGCTGGGCGGCCGGTGTAGTGGTAGAGGAAGACGGTGAAGAAGACGGGCTCGTTGGAGATGTCTGCGAGGCCCGAGGTGTGGAAGAAGTCGAGCCGGGAAATCATGGCGTCGTCGCCTCCCAGGAGGGAGATGAGGGATGAAACTGAGTGGGGGACGTAGCTTTTTGAGTTGGGGGTGGTTAGTTACAGTCCCCCCCATTATACTGGTATAATTTTGGCTTCAGCACTTACAAGAGATATTGCCAGATACTCGCTTCAAACGTTTCACTGGGATTAGTAGTCAAAGAGCAAAACCCTGCAAGCGCAGAACACGCAATAGGATCCTGGAATCCCCACGTCCCATTTAGATACTTTGGCTGGAAAAAGCCCTTGAAGCCGGTATCAGTTCCGTTGATCAAGGAAGTCTGGTCCGCCTTCCACAGGTTCTTCCAGTTCATGCTCCGCCCCTGATACTTGGCCTGCAAATCACGCCTGCCCAGCCCACCGGCCAGCTCCGAGATGCAATAGTCATCGTACGCGTACTCGAGCGTGCGCGAGATGCTGCGGGAGTTGGTCCCGAAGCCGTACGGGTCAAAGTCCAGGTAGGGGATGTAGTTGAGACTCTTCCAGCTGTGGAGGCCGCCGCGGCCGTGATACGACCACTCGAGCGGCTCGTTCTCGGCATCGGCCATGACGGCGTCGAGGGCGAGTTCCCAGTCAATGGTGGAGCTGAGGTTCTTAACAAAGGCGTCGGTGATGACGACGTCGGCGTTGGAGCCGCCTTGGGTCCAGCCCTTGCAGAGAGACATGCGGCAGTCGGGCATCCATCCTTCGTGCTTGTAGATGTCGAGCAGGGCCTCTACCATTTGAGTCTGGGCGTGAGGATCGAGGATTGTGAGGAGAGGGTGCTGGACACGGAAACTGTCCCAGATGCTGATCGTTGTAAAAAAATAAATAACATGTGGTTAATGTCTCGACATGGAAAATCTAAACCAAGGAGATTCGCTCTGTAAGGAAAACTCACCAATAAAACGAATCAAAATACGGCTTGTCGCTATGCCACAGTGGATTCTCGCCCGTGTAGTTCTGAGGCGAAATCATGTTGCGATACACGCCGCTCCAGAAGCTCGTCAACAGATCGTCTGTCGCGCCGCCGCCCTTGACCGAGATGGGACTCAGCTTCTCTTCCCAGGCCTTTTCAGCATTGCTGACCAGCGAATCAAAAGCCTTTAACGGGCTAGGAATCTCGCGTTGAGCGTTTTGACAAGCCTGCTGGCTGCTGATGTAGCTGATGCCCATCCGAACCGTGGCGGTGCCGTCACTGGGGGGATCCAAACGAACAAACCCGCCGCCTTCCAGGAAGAACAGGTTGAAGCCGCGAGTGAGAAAAACCTCCTTTGGCTCTGTGCCCGCCCTGTTGTTGACCCAAACACCCGTTTCGTAGATGCTCGAGCCAAAGAAGTCGACACAAAAATGCATCACGTACGATCCAGCACCGAAACTGGGCAGAAACGTGCCGTTGCCAGTCATCCGCCCCGACTTGTCATCAACCTGGATCGAGGCATTCTGTCTGCTCTGCCACAGATCCGTCAAATCCAGCAAGATCAGCGGATGGCTTTTGCTGCCGCCGCTCTCCTTGGGAAACGTGAATCGATACAGCGCCGCGTGCTGCGAGACTGTCATGTTGGCTACAACGCCCGACTCCAGCTGCAGGCCAAAATGCCCCGGCCGCGCATCCACCGAGCCGTTGACATAGTGAAGCTTCCTGTCGCCGATGCGGAAGCTGCAGTTGTCCAGCACGTCGTCGGGACAAATCTGCGGGAACAGCGGGAAGTTGCCCAGGCTGGGGTTCCCGCCGGTGCCGCTGTCGTGGACGCTGGAGAAGCCGACGACGTTGCTGCCGTCCAGGCCGAAGCCGCCCGTGTTTTGGCCGTCGACGTCGGCCGAGGCCTTGGCGAGGCCGTAGGGGAGCGTTGCGCCGGCGAAGACGTTGCCGCCGTTGGTGGTGCCGATGAGCGGGTTGATGTAGGACAGGCCATTGCCTGGCTTTTGCGGTGCTGCATGGACAGACACGAGGTTGAGAGACAAGAGCAGCTCAACACGTGGACGCATCTTGGAAGATGGAAACCCAATTGGAACGCTCACGGCCCCATGAGCTGCACAAGAGTGAGGGTTGCATCAAAGAGAGCGGCCTAGAGGAAGGAAGACTCGGCAGACGCCGTTATTTGTACAACTCGTCGTCTCAAGACCCCATGGCCAGAGCAACGCGGGGAGAGGTTGGCCGAGACGGCGCAATGCAACATCAACCCTGAATGTCTCCAATCCCATAAAGCTGCCCTGCCGATTCGATTGCTGCAGATGAGCCGCTACAGAAGAGACGACGTCAGCGATCTGCACGACTACATACCCATATGCATGTTTGCCCTGCCGTTGCCCTACCGTCAAGACAGAAACACCTCTTGCATGCTCTCGAAATCGCAATTCTTCCGACGGCTGGCAGCACAGACTGGTCCAAAAGTTCCCAATTCCCCACTGACCGGCGGATGGTGAGAGTCCTCGCATGGTTATCGCGACCCCGCCTTGGGCGAGGAGCACTAATAGCTGTTGTGAAGCTCAGTTGCCTATTGTAGACAAGCTGGCCAACCAAAGAGCAGGGGGGGGTTGATGCGGTGGGTTGGGAGGTTAGAGATTGGTGTTTATAACTTGGCACGAGAGCTTCTGTGGGCTCGGGAATCTTGGAACTTGTTGACATAATCGATGCTGTTGCATTGAGACTATGGGCATGTGAAGGTGCTTGGGTTGCAAGCATAGGATCACATTATGACTGTTTCTGCATCTACCAAGGTGAGCATCGTGTTATTCAGGCGTCATAATTCATGTTTATTATCATGGCTAAATCAGATTAATAAAAAGTGCCGCATGGTATTCCAAGACTCGTCTGTTGTGCGAGATGATAGCGAACCAAATCTTATATAACTCTAAACCCAAACATCTGTTTTAAAAAATCTCAATGGATATTATCGTTTTCTCGGTAAAAGGAAGAAGTAAGAAAAAAAAAAGGGAGGAGCCAAAAGTAAAATCCAGAATGGGTGTCCAACAGGCCAAAAGAAAGAAAGAAAACCCTTGGTTTCGACGACCGTCGATGATCGTGATTTAAACTATGACATTTCAAATTCGCCATCCGCATTCGGTTTGCCAATGATGGGCTCGAGTAGAAGCGGTAGATACTCGGCGGCGTCCTTGCCAAAGGCAAAGTCGCCGGGATTGACCTTGAACATTTCGGCTTCGTCTTCTGCCTCTGGGTTGATTGTGACGATACGCGCGCCTCGCTTTCTTGCCTTGTCGATGTAGCCGGCAGCGGGATAAACCTGGGCCGATGTGCCGATTACGAACATGAGGTCCTTTTTTCGAAGCGTTAGTGATGACCACAAGAAAAAGGAAGACCGAAAGAAGATGAGAAAAAGACACGACTCAAGCGTTCAAACGTACCAGTGGCTCAGCGTTCATCCACGCTGATATGTCCATCATCATGGCAGAGTCCAGATCCTCCCCAAACCATACCACGCCTGGACGTTGCAGGCCCCTGTGGCACTTGGGGCACTTTGGCAGCTCGTCCTCGGTGATGTGCTTGACACGGTGATACGGATCCAGCAGTGGCAAGGGCTCGCCGTTGGGCATGTCCACGGAAGCCGGGGCCAGCGCAGCGCAAAAGGGATCGTCAAAGTTTCCCCTTTGGATCCAGTCACAGCTCTCGTTGGAGCACTTGATGTCATAGAGGGAGCCATGGAGGCATTTTAGCTGTGAAGAGGGGTGTTGAGCCCGTGGTGAGAGGTCTAGACAGCAGCACATGTGTGTGTCAGCAATCCTAGATGCATTCTTGCCGCCACCACCACCTCCACCATCACCACCACCATCACCACCACATCTTGACCATCAACTTACTGTCGACGTTCTGAGTCAGGCACATAAAGTCCAGGTTCCGCCTCGCCAGCGCCGCCAGGGCTCGGTGCCCCGGGTTCGGCTCGGCCTTGAGCGCCAGGTGCCTGCGGTAGGCGTAGAACAGCCAGACCATGCCCGGGTCCGTCCTGAAGGCCCGCACGGTGGCCAGGCTCGTGGCATCGTAGTTGCGCCAATATCCGCCGGCGCCGCGGAAGGTGGGCAGGCCGGACGAGGCCGAGAGGCCGGCCCCACAGAGGGCGAGTATCCGGCGGCTGGACCGGAGCGCCTGGTGGAAGGCCTCGACGTCGTTGTGAGCAGCCATGATGCGGGCTGAGCAGAGGGTCTTGTGTGTGTTGATTCTCTTGTCTTGTATTCCTGGCAAGGAGGGACTCGGATACCCAGCAGGACGTCGGCCAGAAGCGGTAAAATAGAAGAGCAGCGGCGAGCGAGCGACAAAGAAAGAGATGGATGAGTTTGGCGAGAGAGGAAGCGAGAGTCAGGACGAAGGATATGCGGGAGGGGATACAAAGGAGGGGAAGTGGCCAACAGCTGGACGCCTGAACAGAGTCGCGAGCAGGCTGCAGCACAGCGGCTCAGTCCAGGCACAGATGCTCGTCTTGCATGCACGTCAGGCACCAAAAACGCAATTAGGCGTCGGATCGAGTTTTCAAAGCACCTGTGCAAGCGACGTCGAGTTTTGCATTTGCATTTGCATTTGCATGGCGGCTGCGCTTCTGTGGTTCCCGGTACTCAATTGCCGCAGCCTGCTCTGCCGCCATGGCCCGGTCCCTGCGACCTGGCCAGGTACCTACATGTTCCACATACTGTGCGTCATGCAGTTGTCGTGGGGCTGTCGCTGGATTCTACAGGCATCGACGCTGGTGCTGGTGATTGGCCGGGATGCTCCGTTGGCTGCAAGAGGCTGGCTACAGGTACATGATGAGCTGATGAACGAGTGGGCAGATGGTGCATGTATGAGATGCTGAGGCAGACCATACGATGCGCCAATACATGTACTGTGCTTTGTATGAGATGGCAAGCAGCTGCACTGTGCTCGAGTCCATCCAGTTCTGTTTGCAAGGCTGGTGCCTGGAACCCATGCATCGTAAACCCAGCCGTTTTTCTATATTTAGCCATTTGTTTTTTCGAGAGCAAATGAGGAACAAGAAAATCCCCGTTTTTTCCGAGGCCGGCTCAATCAGACTCACGTCCGCTCGCGCACTTGCTTGAGCCGCCAAAACTTAAAATTGAGCTGCAACGGCTTTGTGATGTGGGCTTGGTGCTTCAGATACAATGTCAATGTGCAATGGTCCTCCAATATGGCATGAGCACATCATGGAAGATCTGTATATTCGCTGAAATGACAAGCCAGGGGTATCCATCTACATCTACGTCATCCACCAGACCGGCCGAGCTTAGACTCCTTTTGCAGAGAACTCCATACAACGGCCAAAGACTTGCTCCATTCGAAGCAGATTGGGCAATTACCAGAGATTCCAGCAGTTTCGGCATCCCAAGTCCCTTGCAACAGACAATGCTTGTTCGACGGATCAGCACATCATGTCCCTCTATCTACCTATCTAGTAATCCATCTCCATGAAATAAACATGTACCCACGGGAGCTCGCCTTCTCTCATCTTCATATCCAAGTCTCCTCTCGTCAGTCTCTGACCCCAAAACTTATAGGTCCTCGTCCGACAGGTCGCCTGGGAGAGGCAGGTTCTGGAGCTGGCAGTCACCATCAAAGAAATCGGGCGCCCTCTCACAAATATACTCTTTCGTCTTGAGGAGCAGATGCTCATATTCGAAGGTGTGCCGTGTGACACCCACCGGCAGGTCTTGTTCGAGCGGAACAATGGCTATAAAGGCGGGATCCACGTCGCTGTGATACGGATCGGTGATGGTCATCCTGGCCTGCGCAATAAGATCCAAGGCACGGAACCAGCCGTCTTCGTCGCCCGAGGCAAAGACGTGGCCCGAGCCATGGGCCACTGCAGCCACTGCGATCCAGGCCTGGGGCATGGGCGAAACGTACTGGGCTGCAAAGTCGCGGAACTTGGAGAGCGAGAAGTCGTTTACCTCGTGCACGTCCTCCAAGGACAACCCGTCACGTACAATGTTCGACATGGACGTCTTGGTTGGTAGTGTATAGTGGGTTTCCTCGGGTATGCCAGGGCCATTAATCTTGAAAAACATTTTCAAGAGGAGATGCCCAGGTCTCGGGGCTGGTGAGGCGTCCATGGCGAGCGGGATTGCCAAAGGCGTGCAAGGGCAAGCTATGCAAGCGGCCAACGTCGGGGGCGTATAATACAGCTACAGCGCGGCTTGCAGTATGCAAACATTAGTTAAAGGTAAAGTGCTGGGTAGATAGGTATGATGCCCTCTCACCTTAATGGGTAGCGATGGGCGATGCCTGGCTGGAGCCTGATTCAGGACGCGGCTGTTGTGAGTCTCGACTGTGAGGTAAAGATTTCTCGACTGTGAGGCAAAGATTTCGGATCTGTACCGGACTAATGGCACGAGGACCATGGATTTTATCAGTCTTTTTTTTCAAGCAGGCAGCCACATGGTATGTAAATAATGCGGAAGCCCATTTGAGATCTGTGCGTTGGAGCGGAGAAGGTGATGTAGGTACATGTAGGCTTAGCGCTTCAAGCACGATCCATATCAATCTGTAATGGTCCTCTAATATAGCATGATGACTTCGTATATCAACAAGATTGTACCGTATCAGTCAGTGTTAACAGTACATGTACCCAATTCACTATTACCACATCCAAGTCCCTCGCGGCATTAGCAATCCTTGCTCGACGTATCATTCTCCGGAATCAGTGCACCATGTTCCTCTATATCCCTAGTCATTCATCTCCATGTTTTGACCTCTACTCCCGGGGGCTCGTCTCCTCTCCCTTGATCTTGAAAACGTCATGGTTGACTAGCCGCTCATAGAGTCTGGACGGCGAGACAATTCCGGATCCTTCTCAAGGTAGGCTCATATCCCCGGGGAGAAATCTGCGAGTTTGTAGATATTCGACTCCGCTTCAATGCAGGCTCGCATCTTTGGGGGGGAGATGTGCGACCTTGTAGACGAAGTTAATCGTGCCAGCCATCTCGTCTTGATCAAGCGAAACAAAGGTTATGATGGGCTTTAATTAGTTGTCCTTTGACATATTAGCCAGCTTGTGCTGCGTGGCAACAGCCAAGGCATAGGACCAGATGCCGTCACTGTCCGGTTCGAAGACGTAACCGGTATCGTCGACCACTGCTATCCAGGCTGGAGACATTGGTGAAAGGAGCCTGGTCGCGTTGTTGAGAAGTTTAGAGAGCTGGAGGTGGTGCGGCTCGAACTTGGTATCCCCGGAGTCCAGGTGCTCGTCGTCTGCGAAGACTGATTCATGACTCGAGGTTGCGAAGCCTGTCGCAAAAACACCAAAGATCTGTCGAAATCTGGCGAATTTGATGATTTATACGGTTTGTATGTACAAAAGAGAATGTGTGTGTGTGTGCTATGAAATGATGTCCAAACAAACGGATGGGCTTGATATATAAGGTGGCTACTCAGCACAAAATAAACGCGGGAAATGCATACGCGAGTCTTGATTCTGTGAAGCAAACATCTCGCAGTTGCACCTGACTAATAGCACAAAGGTCATGGGCATCACCTGTCTTTTATAGCGGAGTTTGAAGTTGGTAGCTTATATGCCAAGCAAAAGAAAGTTGATAATATCAGAACTGGTGCGGTGCTAAGCGTGCGTCTAGTTTCAACAAAACTCCATCCCATTCGCATCGAAACGTACAAGGATGGTTGCTTGCTTGCTTTCATATCAGAATCCCGGTTTTGTTGATAAAGAAAATATTGGGGTATAACGACTCCCCTGTCCTTTAATGTCCATATCTCAGTAGCCAGCAAGAATCCTACAACCCAGGCCTATAACATATCTGAGAGCAGCAGAATGGACAAACGTCATAATATTTGCTGCGGAGCAGCTTATAGCATGTATGATGGCAATAACGGGGCGGGATCATCATGTTGTAGCGTGTTGGTTAATATTATCGATATCTGTGATACTTGTTTAGTAAAAAAGCATTATAGCATTGATCTATAAATTGCATTCGCATCTTCATAGTTATTTATTGTCTTAGGCATACTTCGCTATATCATTTTCGCCTGCGACTATGCCAATGCCATATACACCAGAATCAAGGAGGTAGTATAAGGCTCAAGCACCCCGTCTTGTTATAGATGGCATACAAAACGCAGAAATAACAGGTGGTCGAATGAGTATGGAGAAATTTGTCTGGGTGTTGGGTACACCATTTCTACCATCATTAGCTGCACATCTCCAGTGACAGTGCATGAATACCGTTCCTATAAGTTTGGCCGCCCAACCGGAACTTGGATATTGGCTGTCTCCGATGGGATACAGAAATAACATGTTCATGGGTCCTTTTCTTGATGCTAACAGGCATTATCTGCAAAGCAACATTGTGGCACGTCGCTGAGTCAAGACGCGCAGACGGGTAAATAAAAAGGCAGGCAAAGGAACGCAGCTACGCCTAATGCAATGGCACCTGAGTGATGGCCTTTAACATGCCAAGACGAGATGGACAAGTCCGTCTAAAGAATGTGAATGCACATCTCCCAACTACTGCATACCTCATCGCGTTTGGCTGCTTGCATACGACTTGTGAGTGTGCAGCTACCCGAGAGCTTGACAGTTGGCGATATGCCATGGACCTATCTAAGTCCCCTACTTCGTACAGAAGGAAAGATGGGTTTGCTTCAACCGAGAGAATAGATTTACTGATAGACTAATCACTACACATCTACTATTACTTATGATTGTCACGAGTCAGTTTTAACCTCATCTTGGTAGATGCAAGCGAATCTACATAGTTTTACGCGGCCGATGTACTTACTCTCCCCCCTTGAAAAGCCACGACGACGTCTCCCTCTCACCGTGAAACGTGCTACAGATGTCGGCCCTTTCCGTAGCCGAGGGGCCCAGCCATACTACAGACTCCCAAGATCCGGGAGATGCAACATCTTCAACAACAAATCGTAACAATAACAGCAACGAAAGAAAGTCTCCCGTCAAATTCAAGCAAAACATGGGCTGAGACACGTTGCCGACTCCAACCGACGCCTAGCTTCAAGGGATGGCGTAGCAATAGGCTACCAAGTGCCAGCTAATGTATGTGTAATACGAAGTCCGAGTTAAGTTGTTGATTTGGAAGAGACAAAAAAAAAAAAAAAAAAAAAAAGCTTGTGCCAAGCGAAAGAAGGGGGAGGGGTTTGGGAAATACGGCTTATTGGTTCTCTTTGGGAAGCAACCTGAATCCATTATCACGAGATGAAAAAGGGACACAACTAAGCTTTATGCGCCCGACCTTTGTTCATAATATCCCTCACAAATGATCGAGTCTAATCTGCTGGTTGTCGCAGACAATTGGCCTAAAAAAGGGCAACCCGCGATGCAAAAGGCCGTCTCACTCGCCCTGCAGGATCAGCCATTCACAAGCAAGAGGCAGGGACAACGTTAAAAAAAAAAAAAAAAAGGTGTCATCACAGCCCACTTGCTCATCCCAAAACAAAGCCTTTTTTCTTCCTCCCCCTGATAGACGGAAGACACAGAGAAGCGTTTCGTGTGAGGGAGCAAAAGGCATATGCCTGAAACACTCCCGGATAAAAGATGTTGGGCTGCGTCAAACCAATGTTTGAAGATGATGACCCCCCGACACCTTGGCAGAAAGAAAAAAAAAAGAGAGACGAGCCGCCTTCTTTGTCTTTTGTATTCTAACCCCTTGATCATGAAAGAAGTAAAGAAGGAGACAAAAAAAAGAGAGAGCTGCCTGTCACCTGCTGTGAGACGCAAATAGTAACAATGGGATTATTTAGCTGACTCGAAGAAACGAACCATATGCGGTCATGCCCGACCACGGAGGTGTAAAAAAAAAAAAAAAAAACAGACGACAGGTCACCCAGTAGGTAAAATGGAGTCAGCAAGCCCCCCCCCCCCCCCAGCGGTGAGGCCGTGAATACGAGATACAGGAAAGTAGGTACTCGTTGCCAATGTGTAAGTGGTCTGTCTCGTGAAAGAGTCAGAAGACTGCGCATTAGTTTTTGCCAGCTGGTTAGCTTCGAGTTGAAGCGATGAGACGCCCTGCAGTTGACAACTATCAGCCTATAGATGCGCGTTATCAGTTTTGACTTACACGAGGAGGTCAAGAGGACAAGAAGGCTTCACGTAAATCCTGCCGGAGTTTTGGTTGCGGCTCTACTACAGTATCTGGGTCTTGCAACCTGGTGCGTGCACGGCATAATCGGGGTTAATCTTTTCAGGTAAAAGAAAAAAAAAAAAAGGCATGATGCAATTCAATTGATTACAAAAAAACAAGCCGACGAAGCGAGATGATACCCCATATCCCGTTTTTTTTTTTTCCTTTTGTGCCTCGACAATCTCGCTGCATTCTAGATTTGATGACTACATGTATTGGACTAGAGCCCGGCCCTGGCTGGAATGCGCTGCACTCCGTACACACAACACGGTGTTTTACGCGCGTCTGCATCCGAACAAGGCCGAGCAAATCATACAACGAAAGAAAGAGAAACGATCAGCAGGGCAAAACAGTGAATAATACCGCAACCTAACACACACAGAGAGAGAGAGCCACAAAAAAAAAAAAAAAAAAAAAAAAAAAGAAAAAACAGAAAGAACTTGCGTGTCGCTGCAAACCCCTGGACTAATGCGCACAATGCAAAAGTGGTCACGCTGCATGCTGAAATCTGAAATTGTTTGGGACCAGGTAATCTTACAAATTCCTACGAGCCAACAACGAACCGTCCATTTGGGAAAAAAAAGTGAAAAAAATGTTCCGTAGCAGGCTATTCAAAAGCTCGGCCGAATCTGGTAGTCGCCGTGCCGGGGTCGCAACATGCGCCGCGCATTAGCATTGGCCGAGGAAGACGGAATTGAGTTGAGCATTGACTTGGAGGCTCAAGCTTCATGTTGTCAAGCACAGCCACACTCGACCGAGCGTTCAGGAAACAGCAGAGATACAAAGTCAACCAGAGTAACTGATAAGAAAGCAGTAAACTACAGTTTGAACAGGACTTTGTAAAGGATTAATAACGCCGTTGCGGGCTAACAGCGTGTCCGTGTGAATACGAAGGGGGCCACCACCCATAACCCATACCACCTCCAGCAACGACAATGGTGCCGCCGTGCCGTGGCCAGAGCAATTGGAGCAGGCGAGCAGGAAAATCGGCACGAGAAAAGGGCTCGAGCTCTTTGGGAGGACATACTTGGAGAGGACTGTAGGAGCCAGTGGTCACGGGAGCAAGTCTTTGAGCCCTGGACCCTGGACGCATTGGGTTTCAATGTTCTTTTTTTAAATCTTCTGGCTCTCTTCTCTTTCATCTTGTCGCCTCTTTGGGAGTCGGAACGAAAGAAGGGGGCATTTTTGGCTTGGCATACCTGAAAGCTCCTCTATACCGGTACTTGGCGCTTCGTGTCCCGGAGATAGCACTCATTACATGTACATTAGCACTGCAACTACAGCACCTCGTACATGCATGAGTAATATAGACGCCCGACAAGTTGCGCCTCGTGTTGCGGGCTTTTCCGTTCTTCTCGTGTACACGAAGAGGGCCAAGGGAACAACAAAGAGAGAGAAGAGCGAAGATGGGTGGTGTGTAAGTGAGTGGGCGAGGCTAGGCGTCAGTTGCTGTCGGTAGTTTAGCAGTTTGGCAGCGTCTGGAATGCCGACGCATGAGCCCAGAGCAAAAACGCTCGTACGAGCAGTACCCCATACAGCAAGCCGTTGGCTCAGATTGGACGAGAAGGTTGGGACGACCGAGATACAGTTTTCCGATTAGGTCCATCAAAAACCGCACAGACTGTGCGCCAATCCGTGGACTGTGTGACACTTGAAACTCGGGTTAGTCAATTGTGCCTGTGAACAAACGGACGTGCCCTTTTCCATGTTGTCATTTTTGTGGTCATTTTTGTGGTCCAGATCGATGATTGATGGGGCCTGCTACAGCTGGTGTGACGATGACAACTTCAGCCACGGCGTTTTAGAACTGATGGCGGAGTTGCTTGTTCTTTTGTAGTGCAGCTCCAGTGGCTTGAAAGACATCGATCGAACCAGACCCATCATCGGAAAAAGAAGGTAAAGAGAAGAACAACAACCCCAAAAAAAACAAAGAGGCTGATGTGATGGCCGAAGCTAGGCAGCGTTAGTAACCTCACCTGCATGAGATGCGATGACACCGCATCAGCTAGAGGCAGAGATTCGAAGATTCGAAGATTTGGTGTACCTGGAATGCTCCGTAGTGTGGTAGCACGCTGTATTAGGCCGCTCGCTATTGAACTGATGGGCACATGTCGGGGGTGGAATATTGGTGGGCTGGTGGGTTGATGGATGGTGGATTGATGGATGGGCCACAGTGGGCGTGCAAGTGGCATCACCGTGCCGAGGCGCTTGTCCGATACAGGCTGGTTGCAGCCGGGGACCAGGCGGCGGGGTCTCGCACCGGCGAGGGTTCCAACGGGTCGCTTACCTGTACATGGCTGTGTATGGGGAGCGCGCGAGCTTGACAGGTACCGCTGATGCTTTTTTTGGTATACGAGGGGCCGCGGTACATGATATCAGCCGCTCTGCTACGGACAAGCTCGTATAAGTAATTGGTACTTGTAGTGTCGTAGCAGTGGTATTGAATTGACTACTGCTTTGCTGCTAATCATTAGTGAGCTGCTAAAGGAAGTCAATCAGTCGGTGAAGCTCAGCTGAGCTGATGATCTGGATTGGGCTGGGCCGAGCCCCAGAGCTGGCAGATCCGGTGGCAACAGGCTCGCAAGACGCGCAGACCGAAAGGGCTCGAAAGCCCTTTTGCTGGAGCTTGTGACGATCCCCATTCATTGTTCCCTCCCCCGGCGATCCAGCACACTGTGACACGCTGTCGTCGGCGGCTGCCTGTCATGCAGCTGGGCGACGACGCCGTATCGCACTGCTGCTGTACAAAGTCTGCAAAGGGTAGGCTACAGTACATGTAGCCGTCCCCCTAGACCGAACGAGGCTCTAGAACCCTGCAGCCCTTTTTTTCTCTTTTCCCTCGATGGATGGGCAGTCCATCAGGGGTAAACCCGCCCACCAATGACGTTGTTGGCCCTTCCTTTATCAGCGCCCAGACAGCGGAAATTTTGGCCCCAGGTCGTGGTTACGGGGTGGTTGGATTTGGAGTTTGGCGGGCAGGTAGAGAGAAGCGGCAGGGTACCTGCACATGTAACCTCCCTAAAGCAGCAGGTCGACTTGTGTCAGCGGCTTGCCAACGGCGGTTTCGAGTGCGTGCAAATCGCTGGGCGATGATCGTTGATTGACAGTTTGAGCGGACCGAGAACGGGGGCAGCAAAAGCGTTTGATCGAGGGCTTTGTTTGTTTGTTTCGTGTGGTGGATGGCCTGGAACTGCTGTCTTGTGCGTGTCGCAAAAGCTCGCACGGGCACGTGTGCAATCTGCCGCCCTTTTTTTCTCTCGTTCGTTCTGTTAATAGGATCATTAGTAGCATGATGGGATTGACCCCATATTCCAAAAATACGAGTCTAACGTGTGGGCATGACTGCGAATAAACGACTGCCGCACTCGTTACGCGTACGAGAGGACGCTCTTCGTGTAGGTACTCCGTATCAAGTACGTACAAGTACTTCAAGTGATAGAAAAGGTGGTGCTGTGCTCGAGCGGCTGATAACGGAGGGAGGATGAGCGCCGACGCCACGTTGGATCTGGCAACTGGCTATGCCTCATTGACGAGAAAAGTATGGGCGGCTATGGCTAGCGGCCTGCTTAGCACCGTGGGCAGTGAAGGATGGATGGAGCCTGACACGAGGTCCATTTGGGCTCCCGGCGACTCGGAATTTGGGGGAGGATACGATGCGCTGGTTCTTTGTCCGTCGTGTCTGTCCGCGTCGTGGCTGTCAAAGGTACATGCCACCTGCAGCGTCATATCAGCAGTACGAGAAAGCGCACTGCGATGCTAGGCCCAGCGCCACCAACACGAGCCAAAAGCCGCTGGCCACCGTTCTGGACCCTGCGTCGCTCCACCGGGCGGACTCGAGATAGATGCGAGCCGAGGGGCTGGGCTCTTGGCTTTGGCTCTGGGGCGCCTTCTCGTGGGCGCTCAGCCGTCGCTGGCTGGCAGTCTGTTCCTGGGCACGGATTCACTGCTGGTTGGCCACCGCAGCGGCAGGGATGTGATGGACAGGGGCAGCGGCAGCAGCATCTCGTAGTACAAGTACTGTCTGCACCAGTAACAGCGCTTTGTGCTAGCGAAAAGCGCAGAGACACTGAGCGCCAGGGGCCCGGCGCGCCATGCCTCCCTCGCTGTCGCCCAGGCTTGGCCCTGCAGGGATTTGCGACAGGGGATGCGCCAAAGGATGGTGGGACCCTGGACTGCCTCGACCAGATTCGGCCCAGTCCCCCACAGCGCCGCTTTGCTGCCTCCAGCCCCAGGCGGCTGTACTGCTCGCACTGCTCGTACTACTCGCTCCGACTGCTGCGTACATTCCTATAATAAGACACGCTGCTCACCACCTCGTTCTCAGCCTTCTCTCCTTCTTCTCTCGTCCCTCTTAATAATTCCATACTTTCGCCAAAAGTCTGTACAGACCCTCTCGAGCCCATCAACCTCCTCGAGCCGCCTCCTTCCCCGAGTCTTTCTTTGCGCAGTCTCTCGCTACTCAGCCTCGGATTGACCGACTATCGCTTGGTTTCTTTGCAGCCATAATCTTGCAATAGGTGTAATCGCTTCGACTCATCTATAGTCACCCGCTTTTTTCTGTGTTTATACTCTTCTTCACTTTGTCAATCCGGGTATATATAATATCGTCAACCGTATAATCAACATCTGCAACCATGCACTCCAAGACTTTCGCTGCTGCCGCCGTGGCCCTGGCCGCTTCCACTCTGGTCTCTGCCCAGACCTCAACCGACTGCAACCCTCTCCAGAAGAGTAAGTGACCGATATACAGCTTGATATCTCGAGAACCAACACTAACAGCATCTCCCAGCCTGCCCCAACGACCCTGCTTTCGGCAAGAACTCTGGCGACTGCGACTTCACCAAGGGAGCATGCGGTAACTTCGATTCTCTTCCCGGCACCACCCTCAAGTACAACGGCAACGGCGCTGTTTTCTCCATCAGCACCGAGGCTGAGGCTCCCACTATCCGCACTGGCAAGTACATCTTCTTCGGCCGCATCGATGTCGAGGTCCAGGCCGCCGCCGGTGTCGGTATCGTCACCTCTGCCGTTCTCCAGTCCGATGATCTTGACGAGGTATGAATCATTTGAATGCTCCATTTGCCAATGTCAAACAGCGTGAACTAACAGACGACTCTAGATCGATTGGGAGTGGGTTGGAGGCGACAACGCCCAGGCTCAGACCAACTACTTCAGCAAGGGTAACACCGCTACCTTCGACCGTGGTGCTTTCCACCCGGTCTCCAACCCTCTCAGCTCGTTCCACACCTACTCTGTTGAGTGGACTTCTGCCGGTGTCACCTGGTTGATCGATAACAACGTCGTCCGTACCCTGACCGCTGCCAACGCCGAGGGTGGCGCTGCCGGCCTTCCCCAGACCCCTATGCAGGTCAAGCTCGGAACCTGGGTTGCTGGCCGCAAGGATGCTCCTCAGGGCACCGTCGAGTGGGCTGGTGGCTACACCGATTTCTCCAAGGCTCCCTTCCTCGGCTACTACAAGAGCATCTCCATTGTCGACTACGCTGGTGCCGATGCCCCTACCTCCAAGAGCGTCAAGGACTACATTTACAGCGACAAGACTGGCTCCTGGCAGAGCATCAAGGTCGAGCTCGGTGACGGCAGCGACGACAGCAGCAGCGACAGCACCTCGTCGTCTGCCCCTGCTTCCACCAAGACCTCTGCTGCCCACACCAGCGCCAAGGCTTCTTCCACCGATGCTCCCAGCTCCACCGATGCCCCCAGCTCCACTGATGCTCCCAGCTCTACTGCTGCCCAGGCCACCACTTTGGTTTCCTCGACTCCCACCACTAGCAAGCCCACCTCTGGCGGCGCTGCTGGCAACGGCACTGGCTCTGCTCAGCCTACCGGATCTTCCAAGCCCTCTGCTCCCCCTATTCCCCACAGCGCTGGCGCCCGCAGCCTTGCTGCTCTCGGCAGCGTCTTCGCCATTGGCGCTGGTGTTGCCTTTGCTCTCCTGTAAACGGGATTTCCAACCCAACGAAATCTACCCCCTTTCTTTGATTCGCTTTGTGTACTTATTGTTGCGGGCATGAAAAGCATGTAGATGGGGCGGAAACGTTTGCGTTCGGAGAGAAAGAGCAGACCAAGCTAATACTATACAAATTCGAGTTACACACACAACACCGCTGTTTGTTTCACTGTACATCTGACAACGGACACGAACATGTGGCAAGTGCTTGCTGTTCTCGACCGAGTATCACAAAAATTTCCCCATTATTTTCCCTCTTTTTTATTTTCCCTGCAAATTATTCTGGAACGAAACGCTTATAATGATCTATTTTTAATGGGGAGGTCTGCTCTTCTTTCGACCGAGCTGATTTCTGGTAACGACGTTTGCTTGGATTGATGAAGAGAACAGGATCGATGATATATTTGTTTTGGTGCTTTTTTACTTGCTTTTGATTTCGCCTGATACCTATCCTTGAAGTTTGTTGGCTTGCCTTGTTTTTTTGGAGCAAAATTTTTTTTTCGGCGCATGCCCTTTCGAGGTATTGCAGTAGCCAGTATGTAGAATGAAGATAAAAAACATTTTATAAATCTTGAGCCTGCCCAACTGTAATGTCTATTTGTGATTGCTTGTTCCTCGTGTGTTCTGCTTGTCCCTGCTCGTGTGCTGTCAACACACCCTGGATGCTAGCTAACTGTTACTGTATCGTATCTGCGTGATTATACGCACAAGGAACAAGGTGCTTGTTAGCAGTCCCTGCCTTATCTACGGCCAATTTATCATATCTTTGCAAATACGTGTGAATACGGGGAACGGCAGCAGTTCATTACGCACAACCGCGGAACTACTGTGATTGAGGTCAAGTGTCGACTAGTCGGTGCTAGCCCGGCCAGCATCCTCCCCCGCGCATTAATTAAAACGAACGGGCCAGGATTTAGGCCCGAAGCGGACGATGCGATGCAGGGGTCCGGGGAGGAGAAGCTGTTCAATTTCATTTCCTTTTGGTGCCTGCCAAGATTGGGAAGCGCCTTTGGCGGGTTTTGGTTTTTGGTCCCCTGCTTTTTGGGATGTTCCCTTTTGGGATGGTTCGTTGGGTGCTGCAGTGTAGGTGTGGTTAGTATCCAAGTACATGTATCCATCCGATACGAGAATTGGGAGATGAGGAATATTGGTCTTGTTCATACAAAGAGACAAGAAGAGGGAAACAGAATAAAGAGTAAAGCAAGTAGAAGAGAGGCTGTGCTGGGCGAATGACTTAATTTAGCCGTGCATGAGTGAGGTGAGCTGTTTCTTTTCTTTTGATTTCTATAAATGACCTGCATGAACCATGCGCGTAACCTGCCAGTTTTGCAAGGATGCATTTTTATCATCGTGTAGTTGCCTGTGCCTGTGCTGTAGATACGCAAGCGTGTTATACGAGCCAAAAAGTAAGACTTTGATGACTGGGCTTACGAAATATCATGTTTGCAGTGTGGTAAATAACCGCTAGCCATGCGGCGTCAGACCACACCTCCTGAAAACGCCTGGATTACCTGGTACTTGCCTCATTGGGGCAAAACAGAGGACGAGGGTGTTTTTGGGGCGGATATACTTGTACTGCTATGTTGTATGTTTTTTTTTTTTTTTTTTTTTTTTTTTTGCATGTATGTGGTAGGCGCGTATTTGCGGGTTGGCGGCACGGCTTGTTACTGGGTATTCGGCACGAGGGGAGTTGGAGTGGGAACGGGGGCTCGGTCGAAAGCATGGGTTTGTTTATGTAATGCTGGAGTTGTTGCTTTATAGGCGCTGGTTACTTGCAGCGACTTGGTTTGGTAGTAAAGGCGGATTAATAGATTGGGACTATTACCAATATCACCTTGTGCTGGACAAGACGATTGTTGGCCCAACACTGACAATGGTGATGGACTCTCGCTCTATGCGGAGTAGGGCATCTAAGGCGGTTGTCATGAGGGCGGATGTTGATACAACACGTTACTACCTACTTCGAAATGTAAAAACAAAAAAATAATAAATAATTACTACTGTAAAGAAGCCCCGTGGGTTTAATGTATGTGATTTCTTGGACAGCAAAGCTTCAGCTGTCACCTGAGCGTTTCAGTAGAGCGAATTAAAGGGCCATAGACTCAAGGTAGCTCAGTAAGGGGCCGTTCCTCTTCATCACCATCTCTATGTAATGATCGGAGCTTGTTGTTTATTTAAAGCCAAGAAGCTAGAAAGCCAGACCGCCTTCGAAATCCATGGAGAAATCGAATTTTATAAGGGTCCAGCTGAAGAGCCCAAGGGCTCCATTAAAGCCAACTCCCCCATACTTGCCCTTCTTTGGCGCCAGTACATGTACGGGGAACACCTTGCAAGCCAGGGCTTTTTCGGCGTCCGGACGAAGAAGCTGTCCATAGGCCGCTACTGCAAGCGATCGAATCGAACTACTTGTACTAGAAGCCTGTGCTACTAGCACCGGTGATGCTAACAGTAGCTCTTCCAGTTGCGCCGAGCGAAATGCATGGGTGGCATGAGTCATGGAAGCCCAGAGGTTATTGATCTCGGCGTTTGGTAGCCACGGCGGGCTCATCATCTCGCTATTGCTTTCGTCTAATTGGGGTTCCCGTGCTGGGGCGCACCGGGCACCTTTTTGTGGCTGCTTAGGCACATGGAGTCTGCTGCTGCTGAAGAATCCATAACATGGCACATGGACCGTTGGTGGCGCATCGTATTTCTTATTTGGGTAATTGGGCTGCTGGCTGTGGCGTACAATGGCGCACATGATTTCTCAGGTGATTGCTTGTAAGACATCCATCTAGCCATTGAACCAGGGGCTGGGTACAGCTCTTTTATTGATTCGGCCTTTGTGGCCTACTTGAGCCTGTATAACTGAATTTTAGACTTTAGACGAATATTGCGATACCCAAAGAGCAGCAGATACTTTATTGTAGATACACATTTAGGAGACTGAGACTGTCCTGTGATGGTGATGATAGCGAGATCAAGCGAGCTTGTGTATGCCGAAAACTACATGTGCTGTACATCAACCAATGTGCGGAATATCAGCTCATGTTTATGGTATCAACATTGCCAACTATCTAGCGGTACCAACTGCCTGCCACTGATATACGTTCTTAAAAAATCTTAAAAATATCTTCAACACAGTATCATGGAGTAGCAGCATGTCAAAAAGAGATCATCCAATAAAGTGTTATGAATCAGCAGATAGAACACGTCGTCTGAAGCTCATCCAAAAGGCTACAAGGTTCAGCCCGGTCGGCTAAATCAATTTAACCAAAGCCAGATGGATCGTTTAGGTGGCTCAACAACAATACGGTTCTTTTTTTTTTTTTTTTTTTTGGCCAAGAGGCGGGATCTCGAGATCTTGAGGAGAGCATATGGACAGTTTCACGTGTTGATGAGAAGAAAGGGTAGCTCGAGCTGCTTGACGAGTAGTATCACAGTTGGCATAAGACTCGCCCAAGCACGCGACTGAACCAGTTGACAACATCGGTCCCAGGGAAGCGTTTGCATCGCCCGGCAGCCAAATAGCATACGGTGATGCTACCTGCAACTCAAACACTGTTGAATCACCAATGTGGAGGCTCAAATTCGCGTGGAAACTCCTCCATCGCCCGATCAGGATCACCGGAAAGATACCCATACCTAGAGTTTGTGAAGGAACTCAATGATCGTGGCATACGTAAAAGCGGATTTGTCGGGCACATGCCTGAGATCCAAACTTGACACGGAGGAAGAAGAAACCGGCCCACGTCGGGGTCTTGGCCATTCGTCTTTGTTCATTGTGACTTGCAAACTTGCCGGCTGAGGCCTCGATCCAAGGCTGTCCAGCCCGCCCTCAGTACCTAGGCGGCAATACTGATAGGAAGTCAATCGTGATTATGTGGTACGGAGTTGGGAGTGGTAGTTTATGTTGGAGGTTTCCGTAAGCTCCATGTGGTTTTTTGTGGTGGTGCCTGCAGATTTACCATGAATCAAGGTATTTCCGCAGTTTTTGAAAGGGTTTGTGCATACAAAATTGCTAAATGACGTCCGCGAGCTTGTCGTAATCTACATGGTTGCCTGTGTGTATAGTGTCTAAGATATCCTTCTCGTATGACGTTGGGATGCGTTGTTGGTGTACGCCGACTATGAAAAGTGCGAGCTATGAAATTGCCACTGTACTTGTCGGTATCAATATACTTTTCGATTTACATCTGCTTTCATTTCAGTTTGTCAAACTGTCTGGGCAGAGAATAGTACAATGTGCGATGGTTGTTATTATGAGGCTTCTCTAGCCATGGCCTGAGTAATACGAGCTACTCCTTTACCTCAGTGCTCCTTTTGTAAAAATTGACCTTTTCTTTAGCACTTCTCTCTCCTTAGGCATCTAACTACAAAAGGCTCTTATAACAAGGCTGTAATATATATATATATATATATACACAAGAAAGGGATAATTGTTCCTTTAGTGGTGCTTCATAGAGTTGTTATAAGACGAGTATATTTAAACCTGATTCTAGGGAGTGCGACACTATTGTATTCATCTTGGGCTGTCGGTAACCATCAACAACAAGAAGCGTGCATCTTCAGAGAACAACACACCAGTCACCTGGGTCCTTCTCGGCTCTCACACCTACCGCGTCCCAGGCGTCCCGGACCGCCTTGACTGCATCGACGCCGAATTCCTTCGCGATGTCGACGGTAGCGTCGGAAAACTGAAGGAACGTGCAATTTGCGTGCACTTTGGTTCGCAAGGCCTTCCACCAGATCTGCCCAGCCCTTTCCCAAGAATAGCCCCCCAGTGCCTTGGCAACAAGGTAAAAGGCCTTGTTGGGAATGCCAGAGTAGATGTGAACACCGCCGTTGTCCTCGTATGTTTGCTGAAAGTCCTTCATGTTGTCTACTTGAGGATCTTTTCCCTATAGAATAGGTTAGTCAACCATCAATGTAGTTACATGTAGGCCAATCAGCCATCAATGAATAGGCACTTGGATTTTGTGCCTTTGATGTCAACTTACAAAACGAGGATCGTCGTATGCCGTGCCAGGAGCCTTCATGCTTCGAAGAGCGACGCCTTTGACGCCGGGAAGGATGCAGTCTTCGCCGATAAGCCAGTCGGCGTCTTTGGCCTTCTCATCTTGAACCTTTTGCTTGATCATGATGCCGAATACATCGGAGACGTGCTCGTTCAGTGCGCCAGGTTGGCCCTCGTAGTTGAGTGCAGTCGTGTACTCAGTAACAGCATGCGTTAACTCGTGCCCAATGACATCGATGCATCCGGTAAAGTTGCTCAGGAACTCGCCGCCGTCCCCAAAGACCATTTGTCGCTCTTCCGAATCCCAGACTGCGTCCCTGTTAGCCGGATAGTATTTTCAGGAGAGGGAAAGGGGGGATGGGGGCCGTTTACAAGCATTTTCGTATTGCTCGCCGAAATGGATGGAGCTGATTATATCAGAATTCTTGTTGTCAATAGATTTCCAGCCAAAGTAATGCTTGTAGAATTCCAAAACAGTCCCGACGTTGTCGTAGGCCTCGTTGGCTCTGTTGTCCTTTGCCTCCTTGTCGCCTTCCGCCCGAACGAGCTTTCCGGGTAATTTAGCTTCACTTGAGACATGTCCAGCATCATAGATCATTCGATGAGGAGAATCTTTTGGGCGTCTTCTGTCCGTCACTCTGTCCGTTACTGGCTGGATAGGTTTTTCACCAGACACCCTTGGAGTTGAAGCGTCGCGGGTGTGCTCCAGTGTTCTCAACGCGGCTGCTCGAGATGCCTCATCCGCATGTTCAGACTGCGATATATGACGGAGCACATGGGCCGGAATAAAGGGGTCCGCAGCAGAGCGAGGCCGAGGACGACTATTGTGCCGTAAGCAGTCCTTGCGTTTGACCATGACTTGTTGGTGAGAAGAAAGGCAAGCTCGAGCTGCTTGACGAGTAGCATCAGAGTTGGCAGAAGACTCAGAAATGGCCTTGAGAAGGTGAGGCGGAACGACAAAGCAGCGATGAGCCATGGTGATATTTGTTGTCAAGAGAATATGTAGGTGAATAGGTATATTGTAATTGAATATATGAATATACTGGTGAGGATTAGGATGATGAGAGAGGAAGAAGAAGGCGAAGAAATGGAAGAAGGACGGGGAGAAGGAGGTTTTATAGAGGTAGGTACCTAATGGAAAGGCTTCTGCGTTGAGTGCCACCAACGAGGGTTGCCCTTCCCCTAGGTATACGAGTGGCACATGCCAAAAGACAAGTTCTCGCAAGGCGGAACTAATAGAGTAAATGGCAGTCTTGTCTCAAGAGCTTTTTATAGTGAAATCCCCGAGGCTACGTCTGCTACATCTGCTACATCTACTGTATCTGCTACTTCTACTACTTCTGTTACTTCTGCTATAGCTGTGGTGTTGCAGAATTGAACTAGGATGCTGCAAGACTTTTCCCCAACTACAAACATAAACCTGTTGTCGGACAGAGTACTACAGTGGTAGGTGTTGAGTGGCCAGCGTCACTAACGGCTCCAGCGCAGCATTTTGCGTTGCATAGCACCTAAATGGGACATAATGATAGGACATGTAACTCAACGTTGTTGAGGTATCGGCGCGGAACCTTGTCTTTGCGTAGAATTCGGCATCTTCAACCTCACTGTTATTAGACGATCTAGGCGATCTACCTATACCTACCTTCAATTGGTCATACTATAGAACTGCACGTGCATTTTTAGAAAGAATCTCTACTGCGACGCGTAAACAGCAGCAGGCAGGTGGTACAGCTGTGTTGGACGTAAAAGAGCCTTGGAAGGAACAAGGCGCTCGAAATAAAGTAAAAGTAGAACCGCAATCGATTGAGGAAGGAACGGCCGCACCCCGAGGCACCATGGCAGCAAAATTCTTCTCAGCAGCTCGTAAGTTCCCACTCGCAAATTTCCACTCCCAGCATTTGCTTTTTGACTTCAATGTTTCTCGCCTGCAGCACACCATACCTAGACACCTAAACCATCAATCCCACAACGATCTGCAACCGCCTATGGTCATCACAAGTAATAATCCCCAGCGTCAGAGAGTGCAGACACGCAGCTTGTTCATACGGAGAATCACGAGACGACAGACCCGATGGCTTCATCCACGTCCTTCAAAAATACCACTGGTCGCACTGGTAACTCTATGGAGATGCAGTTGTCGCCTTGCGCAGAAGAACATCAAGAGACATCATCTCAGCCGTCTCCTGTCGCCGCTGAAACGCCGGCTTCCCCAAAGTACAATGAGATCCGACTTCGATACCGGCTTTCGCTGCCTACTATGAGATCGCTCTCTACGATTGAGAAAGCGCCTGATAGACGAAAAGTTCTCCAGACGGCATGTCTAGCAGCAGAGTTCCGGTGTTTCCCTATAAAGCCAGAAGAGAAGAATCTGCTGAGAGAAATAAACGATCACACGGGAATCCCTTATCCCATCACCGGAACTGCCACTGAGCCGTGGCAAAAAGTGTCGTTGCTCGTTCAGATCGATCTTCTGCGAACAGGATGGCCAAACAAGATATCAGCCAATGCTCGTAAAGAGCTACTGAAAGAAAGCGGCCGAATATACACCGTATTAGACAACGTGTTGAGATGCTTGGCAGATATTCTTGGAGAGAGAGAAGACGGTCGAGGAGTGACTGTTACTCTTGATGTCCTGAGGAGCGTCAAGGCAAAGATTTGGGAAGGTACCGATATGGAGCTGCTACAAGTAGACGGAATCGGTGCGGCAAAGATGAAACGACTTGTCGATGCAGGTGTCAAGACTATCAAGCAACTCGCTGGATTGGAGTTTTATCATATTGAACGATTGCTCAGTAGGAACCCACCCTTTGGACATCAGATGATCCATCAACTGTCGGGATTCCCACTGCTGCATTTGCACCTTGGTGCAGTTACGAAGTATACCCTTCTGCAAGATAATCGTCAGAACACCACATCAGTACTTCACCCTCCTTGCGTGGTCAGAGTCGTGTTGGGATTCGCTAATGAAATCATGCCAACGTGGCGTAAACGGTGTCCATGGACGACTTTGGTGATTGAAGGAGAGGATGGGCGGCTTCTGTGGTTTTGGAGGGGAAGCGTAAAGAGGATCGAGAACAGCAAGATTATGTTTGCTCGTCTGGATGTCAAAAAGGGGGAGAGCATCAAGGCAACTTTTGCCTGTGAAGAGATAGTAGGAACACTCATACGATCTACACTGGCCGTCTAGGGGTGCCATTTCTTGGGGGAAAAGCGCCCACCAATTCGAATCTAACAATTTTTTGTCATTTATTTACACCACTCCTTCCCCATGTATCGAACAAAGTACCGGCAGGTTGTTGACTTGCCAGATTTAGCCATGTAACCAAAAACAAACCAAAAACAAACCACCAAACAAATAGGATGATGAAACCTGGACAAATTGCAAGGGACTTCCCGTCGCATTGGCTTGCAGTCGTTGAGACCCAATGAGCAACGGCCAATCTATTCTTACTGTAGCGTGGATGCAGGGCAAACAGGCTTGGATGTCACAGTCCCTGACAACTCACTGCAACTAACTTTCAGCCGCACTCATCCTGGCTAGCCCCTCTGTAAGAAGGAGGAATTGGACGCCGATTTCTATGAAAGAGAGAGAAGCGAGCCCGACAAAGAAGAAAAGAGAGGAAAGGATACGCAACACAAAAACAAACATCAAAAACGATTGGCAGAATCCCTGACTCTTTGCTTGGAAGAGTATCCGTTCTCAACAACACGTGAGGCTTGAGCTGCCTGCGTGCTCATCTCCTGGGCTGTTCTTAATTCCCGGCGCCCAATTCTGCCCGATGGCCTCTAGTGGCAATCAATGCATCTCAGCTACATCTCTATCTGTGGTTGTCTTTGGAAAACATGTCCCGTGGCCCAGAGCGCCAATACGATATACGATAGTGTTGGCGAGAAGCAACCCTCTCGGCTGAGGCTGGCGCTTCTAGTCTTCCCGCTAAGCTTAAGTGCAGCTCCACCGCGACAGCCGACGGATCGATGAACTTGTCGCCGGGCTCTTAATTAACACGGCATGAGGGCAGCCTCCCGGGCGTACAGCAAGCATTTCATTCACCGGCTCAATGTTTGTACACACTGGCTCAAGTGCTGGTCAATGAACTGTTGGAGATGGCGAGGCGATAAACGGTCTATTGGCAAGCTCTGCCTCTTTTCCTCGAGCTTGGGCGAGGATCCGACTGCCGCTACTGTTGTCGGCATATGCATACTTGAAAGGTAGTCTCATAGTGGGCTCCTTGGCAGGCAGATCATCCGTAATGGTCTGGCTCAGTCTGGGCGGCAGTTGACCATCACAAGCATCAGGGGAGCTAGAGCAATACCATGTCTCGCCTATAGGCAACTATCCAGCATCTGTCTTGCACTATTCCCAGAACTGTCTATCAATGTCCACATGGCCCCCAGGAGCTGAAAGAATCGACCCCGCTCTAGCAACTATTCTATTCCAGCCTTCTCACGAAAAGGCATCGGCCGTGGTATCGCCAATGTTAGCAATCCCCGCCACCTCTACCGCGACTGGCGAGCATAATGCACCAAGACAGACCGCCTCGCTGAGAGGCGAGCGGATAAACAAGCTCTCCACACCCTCATTTTCTGGCGTCAGTGTCCCATAACTCATTGGCTTAGCAATGCCACGGAAAGCCGTTACGCTGGACTGCATGAAACTGGGCAGCAGCGTAAGCCACGTCTTGACTGTGGCCAGGGTGTAGGGCTTCTTCTGACAAGCTAGAAAGAAATACTGCTTGGCAAAATGGGCTGAGGATTAGTGCCGGTATGGGTCTTGTTATGACTCCAAAGGGTGCACTAACATGGGCCTTCACCAATGAACACTGGGTGCGCATCGTTTGCTTTTTGACCCCTGGGCAGGATGGCTTGTTAGCCCATGATGGCTTCGGGGGAGGCTTGAAATGTGTGTCAGTCTAAGCTGCCTAGTCGAGCTGAGAGAAGCTGTGTGAGAGAAAAGGGAAATTGTTGAGAGCTCTTTATTCCTTGTCTAGTCTCATATAAAAACGGCGGAGAGGTCCTCTTCAGCTACAAGACTTTCACTTCCCAGCATTTCTGTAGCTGAGGGAGCTGCTTCTTCTCAACACAAAAGCCTCTGGTCTTGTCAATTGTTCACATCAAGACATCTTTAGGATTCTCTCGACCATGCCTCCTTATTCTGCTCTCCTCCTGGCTGCGGCTGGGCTCGTTGCCGCCGAAGGTTTAACGGCAATGAACCTCGGAGACGTCCTCGGTCGAGGCGTAACTGCTGCTGGCCTGGGTTCTTCAGCTTTTGGCGTCCACGCAGTCACTGGTACCTGTGGCATCGGAAACACAGATTGTGATACCGGCTGCATGCCTTTGACCGGCATCTGCTGTGGCTTAGGCAACGGCGCTTACTGCGACATTGGCTTCGCATGCGTTAGCGATGGCTGCTGTCCCGTTGGAAAGGTGTGTACCGGCGAGCCTTCAGGCTGCGAAGGAGACCGTGACCTTTGCGGCGAGTTTTGCGTGCCAAAAGGAACTTGTACTTCAGGAGGAGGTGGAGGAGGAAATGGAGGAGGCGGCAGCGGGGGCGGCGATGGAAGCTGCCCTACCGGATATGAGGCCTGCGATGATGAATGTATGCCCAGCGGCAGCGTTTGCTGCCACAATGGGTACCACTGCGATGCTGGACAAACATGCACTGCTGATTTCAAGTGCCAACTCGGCTCTGGAGGCGGAGGCGGTGGCGGCGGTTCTGGTGGCGACGGCGGCGACAACCAATCTTCATCCCCTGGCGACTCCTTCACGAGCAAAGGATCTGGCGGTTCTTCGGGCCAGCAAACCAGCTACAGCCTTTCACCGGATCCCGAGCCAACTGCTGCTCCCACCCAGTCAAACCCCTTTGGCGGATCCGGCGGCGACGACAACACCTCCAATCCCTTCCCTCCTGCCACCTCGGAGGATAGCCAGCCCAGCCCTACCGATACCGGCTCGCCCTTCACTTCTGATGCTGGCCCTGCCATCACTTCTGACGTGAGCCGCCCTACCACGACTGCTGCTTCTCGCCCGACCAGCACCAACGGCGCCAACGGCGATGCAATTGGCTCTTCCGGCTTCCTTGTTGGCCTCCTCGCCTTCATCCCCTTTGTTCTATAATCGGGGTTTTCGCTGCGGCGGCTTGAGATTGTGAAACATTGAGGACATGTTCTTGAGTTGGTGCTTGCAATAATGAATGGGAATTCAAATCTTAAAGACAAGATGCCTGGTAATGATAATGGAATAACAGTTTGGTTGGATTGAGATTGAAATTTGAAATGATACCTTTATTACAGTCGAGAGACTCAGTGCCCAAATGGCGAGATAGTCGAGACTTGGAATAGCTAGTTATTAGAGATATATACAATTCTAAAACCATAAATTACTCTTTGTGATGATCACTTTGCTTTGTGTTCGACCGAATATTACCTTTTTGTGTTGATCAACGTTTCGTTTATTTAGTTGCTTGCTTCACTGATTCACACTCACCTACATAAAGACTCATTGGCACTTTTTATGTTTCTTTTTTTGACTGATATTTTTTTCAAGCAGCCCCTTGTCTTTTTGTCTGTGCGGAAAATTGGTATTCGCCTATTCATACAAAACGTCGCAGTCGTCTTCTCCCACGGCCCCCCTCCTTTTATGATATAGGTAGGTAGTATTACAAAGCTAAAAAGAAGAGCGAGATAATGTGGTATTATGATGTAAAATGTTTAGGAGAGGAGGGTTAAGAGAGAGAGAGAAAATTCACAAACACATATGCGACCAGAACCGCAAGGAACGCCATGTCTGCCATCCCCCCCTAAATCTTCGCTTTTTTTTTTTTTTCAATTAATGATACGAGCCAACAACACCTTCCATGCCCTAGATATGGCCTGCCTTTTGCAATGTTCATAAGGTAATCCTGTGGCCCCTTATCCAGCCTTAATGTGTCACTCTTCAAAAGATCTGTTGTGCTTTTTCTTTATATATGGGTGGCGTGGCGCCTATTGGTTATACAACTTTTTTTTTTCTTGTGTTTTTTTCTTCTCTTTATTTCTTCCCTGCAACTTGGTTAAAGCTCTCCAATACCTTGTCCTTGAGATCTCCCTTGTTCTCTTGGGCAAATTCTTCTGTTGGCGTCTCTGCAGATGGAGTAGCACTTTCTGTTTCGCTGCTGGAAGAGGGCGAGGCGAGCTGCTTAGCCAGGACCTTTGCCTGAGCTTCGCTGACTTTGCCGTACACGTTGAGACCGGTGGCAATCATGCCGCTAATGTCGCCAACGTTTCCAGGAACAACTACGGCCGTGCCCTCCTTGGCAAGCTTGCCGAAGGCGTCGACGTACTTCTCGGCCACTGTCAGACTCATAGCACCCTGGGCTCCGTGGGCACCCTTGAGGATGCTTGCAGCCACGGCGTCAATACCCTCGGCAGTTGCTCGGGCTTTGAGCAGGATAGCTTCGGCTTCACCATCGGCCTCGTTGATGCGCTCGGCACGCATAGCCTCTGATGCGAGAATGACACTCTGCTTCCGACCCTCGGCAATGTTGATGGCACTCTGACGCTGACCTTCGGACTCGAGAATCTCGGCACGCTTGGAACGCTCGGCGGTAACCTGGCGGTGCATGGCCTCCACGACGGCGCCAGGGGCGTGAATATCTCGGATTTCATAACGCAGGCACGTAACTCCCCATGCTTGAGCCGCTTCGTTGATAGCAGCGGTGATGTTGGTGTTTAGCGCGGCACGCTCCTTGAGGACATGGTCGAGAGAGAGCTGGCCGATTTCTGATCGCATCGTGGTCTGGGCGAGCTGGGAAATGGCATATTCGGCATCTTCAACTCCGTAACTGAAGCACAGTCTCCGTTAGTATAGATCAAGTGGCCAAGTTTTCCCTCCTCTTCAGACCCCAAAGTGTCTCATATCCTACTCTCCGAACAAGTCCGAGGGGGAAGCGAGAATGGCGATGAGAGAGAAGTAAGCCATGTGCAACTCACCTAGCCTTGTACGCATCAAACACTCGCGTATACAGAACACCGTCTAGATCTAATGTTACGTTGTCGGCCGTAATCGCACTCTGGCTCGGAATCTCAATGGCCACTTCCTTCAGACTCTTGACATATGCAATCCGATCAATCACCGGAGCTAGAATCGCCAATCCGGGCTCCAAGATGCGGCTGAATCTTCCCATTCGCTCGACGATCCATGCCGTCTGCTGTGGCACAAATCGTATAATGGTGTTGGCAGGCAACCGAGGTTTCTGGAAGTACGAGGGTAGGGGACCGCCGAAGCTGCCACTGTTGCCGGAGAAGCTGGCGGGAAGAAGAGTGCGCGAGGATGTCGAGAAGGAAAGATGCGATTGGGGGCGCAGAAAGAGGGCCGTGGTCGTTCTCCCTGCGCGGAGGGCGGCCCTGGGCGGCGGTAGTGAAGGCATCGTGAGATGTGAAAAAGGCGAGCTTCGAGTTATGCGTGTGTATGGTTGGATGCCTTGCTCGATAGCCTTTGGTCGGGAGATGCGAATTGCTCGTTGGCTTTGCCTGCGAATCGCTGCTTGTGCGCCGAAGTAGTGCAGGCCACTAATTGAGGTATCGCATAGATCGCAAACGAGATTGGCGGAGGGAAAAAACAAAAGGAAAAACCTCGACTGTCGTACGAGAAGTCAATGATGGTGTAGGTAGATGACTACGATTTGTTCTGCTCAGCAAATGCAGCCTGGCAAGGCACAGCTTCTATGGAGTAGCAGTAGCTCTCCGAACTACCCGACGTTTACCCGCAACGCAGCACCGCCCATACGCCGCACTATCAGCCCAGCAGACAATCAGCTGAGTACCTCAGGCCAGGTACCTTCCAAGCCATTCCGTCATCTGTTCTCCCTGCCGCCTGCTGTGCGTCTTCGTTTTCGGCGGGGCATCGTTCCTTGGCTTTCGTTCTCCATTCACAAACTGCCCCGCGCCAGGAACAGCTGCGCTGCACCCTTTTTTTTTTAGGTATATCAAGACTTGACGCCGACGATTTATACGAACCGCTCCCGACCCTGACCGACAGATCCTCCGCTTTCCACGGCGCCAGATTCCGTTTGATCGCAGAACCAGAAATACACGCATCCACGAAAACAGCTGGTACGCAGGTATTATTGCGCTGCGTAAATATCGAGTACAAACAACGAAAGACGCATCGCCGGATCGATAACGAAAACAGAAGACAAGGACAATGTCTGCCAAGGTCCCGCGCAACTTCCGCCTGCTGGAGGAGCTTGAAAAGGGCGAAAAGGGTCTCGGAGCTGAAGCTTGCAGCTACGGCTTGGAAGATGGCGACGACCTGCTCATGTCCAACTGGAACGGCACCATCTTGGGACCTCCTCATGTAAGACTTGACTCAACCGCTCTGGAAACAAAACACATTGTCTCGGCATCTACACACGGGTTGAATGTTTGAATGTCGCCGTATAAGTCGATGCACAGCTAGTGATTAGAATCCCGCTGCGCTGGAAGAGAAGCAAAACACGACCTCATCCCTCCCTCAGCTCCGAAAGCTGTTTCGCCAAATTGAGAATCAGGAGAAGAAGCTAACCTTCAACGTCGTTTCTGCAGTCCGCACACGAGAACCGCATCTACAGCCTGAAAATGCACTGCGGCGAAAAGTATCCCGACGAGCCCCCCTCCATCCAGTTCGTCAGCCAAGTCAACCTCCCCTGCGTCAACCCTCACAACGGCGTCGTCGATCCGAAGCAGCTCCCCTGCCTGGCCCAGTGGAAGCGTGATAATACCATGGAGATGGTCCTGATTGAGCTGCGAAGGTGGGCTTTTCCTGCGAACAATCAAGAGTATAGGACTGCAAGATCAAAGCTGACTCAGCGTCATAGATACATGGCGTCTCCGGCGAACAAGAAGATCCCCCAGCCTCCTGAAGGCTCTACATACTCATGATTCCCTCAGGAGTTTATCGAAGAGACTACAGAAGACAAAGGCGGAAGGACGTTCTAGACGGGAAAGCGAAAGGGCCAACAGACATACGTGGAGACCCCTCCTTCAGCCAAACAAACACAAATCCACATCAACACCACCACGCACAAAGAAGTCACGTAGCAGGTTTTATTAAAGCTCAAATCATCCCATTCATATCTCACATTCAGAGTTTGGTAGCACGAAAATCATAATTCACATTCCAAATCGTCCACTTCTTTCTAAGGAGTTATTAACTTCTTTCATATCAGTTGCGCCATAAGTCGATGCTACATGAAAACCAACTAAACATGAAATTTCGTACTCTTTCCCGCTCACCACCTAATCCAATCAATCAATCAATCAATCATAGCGCCCTCTCAGCCTTCCTTTCCAACACGCAGCAAATATTAGCCCAAAGCCTTGATCTTTTTGATTTCGCTCCAGTCTATCCTCAATCATGTATGGAAAAAAGATGGAAAATAAATGAAGAGAAAAAGGGGACATAAAGAAAATCCATTTCCGATAATGCTGTTTGCTCCGGGTATCAATTTAAATGTGTTTGTCGGTAATAGTAACAGCTAACCCATTATATGTAGTAGAATGTGACGTAAAGAACAAAAAAGGGGGGGAAGAAGAAGAAGAAGAAGAAGAAGAAAGAGATATTATAAAATAATAATAGGTTCAAGATATATAACGCGGTGAAGAATCGAATGATGGTTGTGTTTTTGAGTCGCTCCTCGAGACTGCGGTAAAGGGTAGAGGGTGTAGAGAAGCATATATGAGTGTGGGAAGGTTGTTGCAAAAGCAGAAGGTATAGGTGGATAATTATATGTGTGAGTGTGAGACTTGGAGGATATCTCCTTTCTCATTCAGTCGTCGTCTCCCCACCACCCCGGCTCGGTATCTCTTCGCACGAATCCAACGGCACTCAAACGTGCTGTATTCATCGCAGCACGGCGCGGCGGCCGCGGTTGAGAGAAGGTCTCGTTGGATATCGGGCTGTCTGGTCGGGGCACGTCTTCACTGCCATCCTCAGAGAGGCGGGTAAGTTTGGGGCTTGATATGACGCTCTCAGCCTGAGGCTGCTGCCGTGTTGCCTTGTTCTTGAACCTAGAAGTGCGCTTATCCTCTGGATGATCCCAAGACATGGCATGGTATCCTGATGAGCTGGTTGAGTCTTCAAGAGCTTGGCCGTCGCCACCAACTTGGTTCCACTGGCCATTATGTTGCTTGCCTTGGTCAAGATAGACACGGATATCATGCTGCTCCGGGTACTCTTCCGGACCGCGAGTGGAAGACACAAAAGATGCTCTTTCAGATGAAGTGTCTGTGGTCAAGCGAGAGGGTGCTCGATACTGCTCATCTTCGCTGTAGGGGTGTTCCGGAATGGATGCACTCATCAACGAACTGGCCCCGGATTGTCGATGCTTTGAGCTATGAGACGGGGGCGCGGGGAAATCAAAATCAAGCATGGAGTCGGTCACCATTACTTGTGATGGGCTTGAGACGTGTCTTCTGCCTTGTCGACCGTCTAACGGAGGTCGATTGCTAGGCCCCAACTGCGATTTTTCACGCATGGCCTGAGTCTTCTTGCGGAGCGCAGATATGAGCATCTCCTCTTGGCGGGTAAGCGTCATGACGCGACCTTGGCTGCCAGAATCATCAATGGATGACCGAGCGGATCGTAAATAGAAGTTGGCTGAGGAGGGACTGAGTGGTGGTGTTGGCTCGTCGGGCTGGTCTGATGATGTAGCAAGGGACTCGCGTCGCAAAGAAGACCCGGGGCCACTGGTTAGCAGTGCCAACGCCTTTTGCCGATCCATTTCCGCCTGAGACGGCCGGCGTGCAGGCAAAACAGTGACAGGGGGAGAGTCTTCTGCCCCATAGCCGTTTTGACTTGTCATGCCTGATCCTGTTGAGTTTGTAGATCCAAGTGAAGGCTTGGGTGAGGGAGCACGGGCGCCGTCTCTGTAGGGGAGACTCAGTCGGGAAGGAGAAGGCGAATGCCTTTGTTTGCGTTCAGTGCCGGGAATAGCAATGTACGTGTTGGCGGGCGCGAAGCTCGTCTTCTTATTCGTTGCCATACCTGACTCACGCCCTGAAGGCTGGCGTGGTCGTGACTTATTCGGTATTTCTGGTAATGGTCTGGTTGGATGAGGAAGAGGGATGTGGTCCAACCTAGTGGAAGATCTGCCATCATCATCCTCCTCGGAGTCAGAAGACAGAAGCAGCACGCTCTTCTCCTGGAAATCAGCTTCCACCATCCCTCCGTCGGTAATCCTAGAGGCTCTTGAAGTTCGAGTGTGTCTACTCGAAACACTTCTAGCTCCATCACCTGGCGATGAAGAGTAGTCTGACTGGGCCACTGCCTTTGCATCGTGTGATTCGCTTATGGGCTTGTGAAGCCAATCGAGATTTTGCCGTGGTGGCACTTCTCGCCACTCCCCTTCCGTCCGACCATCAGCTGGGTCAGTCTTGTGAGCAGTGTTGTTTGTGAAATCGTCGTCGTCGTCAAGGCCATGCCGGAAGGTCATCTGTTCATAGTGGTCATATAATGTGGAGAGCCCGTTATCTGAAAGCTGTGTCGTCATTCGCCGGGCCTCCCCTGTGCCTGGTGGGGATTGTTCGGCAGCGAAAGATCGAAAGCTGTCTTTTGTTCGCCGTTTAAACATGCCGCGTAAATCGCTCTGCCGATGAGATGGAGTGGAAAATGGAGATGAGAGCGTAGGGGTTTTGGCTGAGCCATTTGATAGATTGGGATTAGAGGTATCCGACTCTTTCTTAGACAATCGAGGGGTCGGTCCCACGCTTGAAAATTCGAGTTTCGGGGGCTTTTTTCGTAGCTTTGCAGATTCATTATTATTGTCAGTATCTTGGAAGTGGTGTGTCTTTGCGGAGAGGCCATTATTCATAATCGGGATCGAGGCTTGTCGTGAGATGGACCGCGAATGTTTCGATTTGTCGTGCCAAGATTTAATAGTTGAAGATGACTGTGCTTTTTTGAGGGTTCCAGGCAATGCCATTGCCCCAAAGCCAACACTATCGGCGAGAGCACTGAGCCTCAGATTTGAAGGTGATGGTCCACGCTCTTTTCTCAAGTCGGCATCAGTCCTTGCCATCCTTGTCTGGCCGCTAGATAAATCAAAATCCAGATCGTCCAGGGTCGAGTTTTCGTAAACACTACTAGCAACATTTATGGTTGGCTGTGGGGTGCTGTGAATTGAAGAAGCATCGATGCTGAGTGGTGTCGAGCCCAGGATTTTATGAGCCTTACTCATGGGCATCATTGGCGGTATTGGCGGTTGAGGCTCCTGCGGCTTTTTACGTGCCGGTCTGGAAAAGTTGAATTTCCTCATCTTGTCAGATTCCCTCCAAAGCGCCCTAAGAAAAAAAAAAGAGGTCCGTCTCAACCCTGGTTATCGTCGTGCTACTTTTCCGTCATCTGACAATATGGTTCGAATAAGTCGTGAAAGAGACGAAATGAATCAGTCCAGCTGTGCTCTAGACTCCAAGGACCTCGAGGACTCAATAAGACGTTGATGCTGGGGTATGAATATGAGGGTATTGCAGAAAAAAAGAGAACAGGAAAAGAAAAGCAGAATATAGCTTGTCGTTCGCGAATGCCGCTTTGTTAGCGGGGCCCCATTCTTATCGCGTATCTTCGCCGTCGCTTTGCCTGTACAGAGCAATAGATGAGCAGAGAGAAAGGAAACAGAGAGAAGGCGCAATAAGAGCACAGAATTTCTCTGCCCAGCCGGAAGGATGGATAGCGGTTATGGCGGGGAAAAGACGCGAGTTGCAAAACGAGACTGACAAGATCGGGAATGGGGGCTCTCGTGTAAATGAACAAAAAGGAAAGCTGCGGGTGCCGTCCAGGATGTTGTGAAGCGAGGTCTAGTGTTCTGCAATGCTTGATTAGACCACTGCAGAATCCGCAACAAGTCTCCACACTGTAATTACCTGGAGCAATATACACAATGCGACCAGCCGATCATGAACGACCAGGGAGCATGATGCGAGGATACAAATAAGGTAAGGTCTTGGCAGCATGCGCAGGCACTTGGACGTGCTCCGTGCTGTAGAAAAAGAGGCGTCGTCCGGGAAATGATGCCTCTGCGGGTAACCGGTGGTCGATGGCAGCTTTGTCCCTTTTTTTCCCTATTTCCTTGTCCCGCTTCTTCGTGGCAGAAGGACAGGCGAAAGAATCAGCCCTGGCTGAGCCAAGAGGGGAGGGAAACAACCCCGTCGTCGACAGCAATATGGATTGTCTCAGATGATGCCGAAAGTTTACAGGGCTTCACAACAGATCACCGACTTGGATGCAGCGCCATCGACTCCTCGAAGAGCAAGGGTTACCGAAGCCATACAGGAGTTTCTCGCTACAAGCCCGGCAACAGATTGGAATTGGTCGGCAGTATCAGTGGTCAGACACACACACACACATGCGCATTCATGCACCACACCCGCTGGTGTACTCCGTACTATCTCTATTAGCGGTAGCGTGTGCCTGTCGACTGAAGCTAAGGGCCATGTATAAGAGCTTGCGGGAGATGAGTCGTGCCAATGGCCAACGTGCCAGGCGGACTCCTTCGTCGGCAGTGAGGGCGAGGGCTGTACGAGCACGCCATAGAATGCCCCGGGCTCTGCACGTACAGTACTTGTACAATCAACGCCCCGTGTCGGTACTTGTCACCTGTGCGAGGCAGCTTGGCAGCCTTCAAATTATCTCGGACGGAGGGCTTTGCTGGGGTGCCGCTAGCCACGATCTCCACGGCAGACCCATGCTCGCGGCCTTGTCTTCCCTGTCAATAGTCAACAGTAGCACTAAGCCTGGGCAGCGCCGGCGCGGCGGGCTTGCAGATATTTTCGTACCAACACGGACTTTTGCGACGAGTAATAACGGTGGCACAGAATGCCTCAATGCGTAGACGCAGCCCGAACCGCCTTCTGGACCGTCTGGGAGGCTTCTATGTCTGTGCAGACGCGGGCACGATGTCATCCCAGTCAATGAGTCGGTGTCGTGTCGTCTCCTGCGCTGACCAGCCATCGGGCGACGACGCGTCTAATCTCCGCGGGGACCCGTCTCTGGGGGCTAGAGCACCGTACTCAGCCTTTCTGCAGCGCGCCGCACCACATGGCAAGCACAGAATGACGTCCGGGTGGTGGCGACGAGCAACAGCGCAGAGGTGGGAAATGAGAAGTGAGGTCAATTCCAGGGATCCCCCCTTCAGAGGCCCCTCCCGCTGCAGGTGCCTGAGGTGGCAGCCCCCGCGGCAGCTCCTTGCTTAGCGATGCCTCGTAGTGACGATTTCCAGGGCTTCAGCGTGCTAAGGCGCCCGGATCGGCCGCTGAAAGCCACTAGAACATCCCTAACTTGCATGCATGCACGGGCATACATATCAGAGCTGATGCATCAAAATCTGGAAACATGAACAAACAACGTCCTGTCGTCCAGCAATGCACGGCTATCAGCCGAATCTCCAAACACAGAAACTGACAGCTGAAGATGGCTGACCTACACAGCATGCATTACCTGTTGCACAGCTGCATGCATGTAGGTAATAATCACCCGCAGATGGCGTTTTTGCTGTGCAAATAAGAAGGCCGCAATATCCAGTCTGCAGCTCGTGGAGCTACCCGAGGCACAAAGTCGATTCATCTGGGGAATCTGATTTTCTGCATGTTTCGTACTACGCGCGCAAGCAAAGCCGGCGGATTTGCTCAACTGAGACATCTCAGAGCAAACTGTCAAAATCATCATCGTTCATCCCCTTCCTGCAGCTACAGGGAGGTCCCTAGACCGCTTGCCTCAGCTCTGGGGTGGCCACGTTTCTCTGCAAACTTGAACATGGATTGACGGGAACGGAGCACCAGCTGCGCTCAGCGCATCCCTAATACTACCCCTATGTCTGTAGAGACAAGCCGCTGATCTTTCATCAAGCCACTTAATTGCCACGATAGCCAGATATTGTGGGTAGCGGCTGAATGTTCTCGATGGAGATGCCGTGGCACAGCTGCGGTGTTCCCGTCAACCTTTGTGGCACATATTAGAGGATTCGGTAAGAGATGGTTTCATCCGATGATGAACGCAAGGACCAACAAATCGGCTAGGATGTGTTATTACACAAGTTGACAAGGTATAGGACGCTTCGATATTTCATGTTCAAAGTGGCTCTGATCGGCGGCTTTCTTGTCTCTCATCCCTTCTAATTACGAAGCAGCAGTATCAGCATCTATACTTCTATACTAGCACTTGCTTCAATACGGGAGGCAGCCGGAACTACGGAGCAGATTATAATTGCATTCAAGTATGCAGGGGAAGATTTTCATGCTCGCGAGGCAAGGGATAGGCCAGATCGTCGGTCATCTATGACTTGCAACTTAGATATCCCCGACTCCTTGCCTTTACTAATCTACTACTCGTATAAGTGAAGACAAGATATCTACATGTACCAGGATGCGTATAGATAAGATGACACAACCAAGACTTGATTCACAGCCCAAGCGGAGAAAACAGACAAACAGACGTCGAACATTACTAGCACAGCCAAGACCAGGCTCACTGTCTTAGTCGCAAACTTTCAGCCCGGCAGCACGAGGACTGTCCGCCTATCCGCCGCCTGTTAACCCCGGGCATTTGTTCGTTTTGGCCGTTTGATTGGAATCAGAGACATCCGAAGCTTCGGTAGCATCGTCTCAAAGAGAGCGAGACATGACGTGGTCCATTATATTTGATTCATGGAAGCCTGCCATGAGGACAGCAACAATTGATGAACAAACAGCCTGCAATTATAGCGCTTGTTATATTTGCCGGCCAGTCAACTTGTAGAATTGCCCTACGAGCGCTAATCTTCAGCGTCATCTTTCTTGTTCCTGGTCAGTTCGTGCGCGTGATTCGTCTCTTTATCCATGCCGATATATAATTACGGCTCAATGCGGAGCCCGTTGACTTGCCATAACGGGATCGATCTATTGCAGCACGGCCCCTTGACTGGCCCGTTCGCATACAAGAACTTATTTTTGCCTTCTTTTTTACTCCCTTGTTTGCTTTCTGTATCTTATTCAACAATTTTGGAGTTGGGTGCTCAAATATATTAGTTACGCTTCCAAAATGGGAGATGCCATGTTCATTTGCATGTAGCTACGCCTTGCTCGGGAGGGCGCCATGTGCGCGCCAAAACTCGTCTGAAGTCTCAGTCGGCCACGGCTTAGTCTGAAGCTCATTTCAATTTCCAACAACTTATTGGCCTAGGGAAACTGTAATACGGAGCGCAGGCCAACGGGGAAGGGAATGACTCGATGGCAGGGTGGAGGCCGCTACGGTAGGAACCTGATCCATCATTTGCACTTTTGCCACGCGCCGAATCGCCTGGTGCTGGAGCTCAGGATTTGACACCTGTTCCGCTACTAGACGTGACGGGGAGTGAAAATAGCTGGATCCAGTATAGAGGATAGCTTCTAAAATTACTACTCCGGACTGTCATAGAATATGGGGATGTGATTGAGCCTCAATTAGGGGCAAGATGCAGGAGTCTTAATAGCATTACATGACTAAGTCAGCCGTTACATTGACTAGATCCAGATCATTCTAAAATAGCTAACGATATAGTCACAGCGTTAAATAACGTTCATATACAGAAATAGAGGGCTGAAAAGTATTACCCTGCCCAAGATACTCCGTCTAAAGCACTCAGAGACGTAGATGAGGAGGCCATCCCTCTCGAGAACTATTCTCCGTACTCAGTCTATAACGAAACCACCACTCTTGAACTCCTATTTTATGTTCGGAATTGCCCTTGACGGCCTCTTGGATCTTATGCGTTCGGAAGACAACTTCCACCCCTTGCCCATTCATATCGTCGAGCCGACCCTGGGAAAATCGGCGCCACCACTCCAGGACGTCTACTCGTCCGTAGGCTGTTGCTGTAAAAATCACTTCTTCCGCATCAAAGACGACGTTTTCGTCGCCCTTCAACTTGCGCCATGTTTCCAAGACATGGACGTGTCCGTATTTGCTGGCTACCAAGGCCACGCCGCCTTCGTATCCGGCACTTATCCCAGAAGCATGCCACCATCGCAGCACGTCCGCGTGGCCATTCCTGGCAGCCCATAATAGCGATCTTCCCGAGTGTAAGGCAATGGTATGATCTTGGGCTGCAGTATAGAGCCACCAGTCAAGGACTAGGAGATGACCGTTGCTACTCGCCTGTTCTAGCGAGACTTTGGTATACAGCAGCGGTAGCCCCGACTGCTTCCACCACTGCAATACCTGCACATGGCCATTCTTAGACGCACCATCTATGGCCTCTGTACCGTATACATGTCGGTTTTGAAAATGTTGACTATTCTTCCAGTAATTTAGAACCTCAATCTGGGGATAATATGCCGATGCTTTCGTTGGAAGAAAAGCGCCATCAAACGCCTTGAACAACCGGGGGTGATTGGCCTCTAAGTAAGCAAGAACTTGGACAAGGGCGAACCGTATAACCAGTTTTACAGCTAGCACTGGCAAAATGTGGAAGTCCGCTGGTGCGTCAGATAATTTCGCACATATAGCTGCCGTATCGCTTGAGAGGATCGTCCAGTTCAGCTCGTGGGTATAAACGAGTAAAGGATTGCCCAAACCGCCGGCCTGCATGCTCCATTCTGTTGGCATCGGAAGATTGGTTTCGATACCCAATGCACTGGCCAGCTCCCAATCTCCGGTAAATCTCAGTATTCTACTCCATAACTCGAACGGTAGCCCCGGGAGAGCCTTTGTGCCATTTGGTACAGCAACCGTTCTGGTAGCCCCTTCGACATCCCGACCAAGGTTTAGCAAATCGGCTTGATTTTGGATGAGAATGAGTAGATGTCTAAATCCACTCCAATTTGTGGCCTGCTGAGGATGTGCCGCATCTTCATAGTGCCACAAGATGGGCTCCATGACATGGATACAAGGCCGTGTTCTCTGGAGTTCATCCAGCTGCTGTTGGACGACCGGGCTCAGCCACACGTTGTCATCCATTCCAGGCACCATAATCACGCCTTTCTCAGCCTTATTCCAGTTTCTCAAGAGGTCTTCAAGGAAGGTGTCTGCCACTCCAGCCAACATTTTGCCAATGCCATTCATATCAAGTGGCACACAAACCAAGAGATCAGCCCAGTCGACTAGATCGCAGATGTTTAGTCCAGACTGCCTGAAAAGAGAACCTTCTGAATCAAGCTGCGCACCGCCTAGAGGTGAATTTTGAATGGTGATAACCAGCTGGTTAAGTCTCGGAGAAGGATCATCAACCACAGCTCTCATCTCAATACGGCGATCCTTAGAAAGCCGCACCACGAGTGGTTGAGCCCACGAAGAGTGCCGGGTTCCCGTGGCAGCGACGAGCAGGCGCAGCTGACGAAACTCTAGCGAAGTTTCGTCAAGAGAGAAACAGGCCATTGAGTCAGAGTAGCTAGGTCGCTGCGGCCGATGAGAGGGGGATTGCCTGACAGAAGACATGGCTATCTGTAGTGTAGAATATTCTATAAAAAGGAGAGGTGATTTCGATGGCACTATAGCCGGCGCTCACGGAATGATTCGCAACTTACAGTAGTAATCATATACCACTAGCTGAAGCATCAACAATCAATTTCGCGGCCGATGAATTGCCTTATCATCCGCCTTCCGGCAGATCCAATTCAGTGCCGCCCTGGCAGCTGTATCATATCATGGCATGCTCCGAAAGCACAGCTCGCGTCCAGTAAATGTTCAAAAACTGCTGCTGTATAGAAAATCACAGGATAGATGGAACATAAGAGGCTCGTAACACTAGCTGCAGTATAGCTCTGACAATTCGCGTATATGATTCATGGACTCGATGCGCCGTGCGGGTTTACTTCAAGATGCGCCGAGCTCATGTACTTGGTGGCGATTGCCTCTCCGCACTCAATACAAACGACGCTCCGAGATACTCCGTACAGTGCCAAACAAACGCGCAAAGCGGCTGTCACATGACTGCCCCGAGCGTCAATCTGCTGCTTGTACTCCATACTGGCGTCTAACAAGTCTGCGCCGCAAACTTTCGTCACGGCGGCGATCCGTCGGAGCAGAAAAAAAGTCAATTTAGACTCTTCTTTAACTTCAATTGCCATCAACAGCAAGCTTCATAACTCTGCCATTTTGCTCCTTTCATCCATCACAGATTCTGCTTTGCTTCTTCCTGCATACTCACCACTCACTATACTACTCATCCGCCCCCACTAATTTTTTTTCTCTACTTTTTTCTCCCTGCAGAGACAACTTCTGCTCCCTCACTAACGATGTTGGACCAAATGGCGAACGAAATCAAGCTCATATCTGGGAGCTCCCACCCAGAGCTCAGTGCTCTGGTCGCTAATCGGTATGTCTAGTAAGGTGGCTGTGAGATGGAAAAGGAAATCACGGAAGAAAATGAGATTTGGGACAGATGAGTCAGTGGTCTACAAGAACCGGACTGATTTTTCTGCGGCAGACTTGGCATCAGCATCGCCAATACCATGAGCCTCAACTACTCCAACCAAGAGACTAGTGTGTCGATTGGCGAGTCTGTTAGAGATGAAGATGTCTTTATTCTTCAGTCGACAGCGCCTGGCGATGTCAACGATGGCCTGATGGAACTGCTCATCATGATTCACGCCTGCCGCACTGCGTCGGCTAGACGTATCACAGCCGTCATCCCCAACTTCCCCTATGCACGACAGGACAAGAAAGACAAGTCCCGTGCTCCCATCAGCGCTAGGCTGATAGCAAACATGCTGCAAGTTTCAGGATGCGTGCGTTAAACTCATGCCCCTCCTTTGATTCTGATTGACGATCTAACATGCCTTAGAACCATGTCATTACTATGGACCTGCATGCCTCGCAGATCCAGGGCTTTTTCAATGTCCCCGTAGATAACTTGTATGCCGAGCCATCGGTCTTGCGATGGATTCGTGAGAACCTGGATGCCGAAAGCTGCATCATCGTCTCTCCTGATGCCGGCGGTGCGAAGCGTGCCACATCGATTGCTGATCGTCTCAACACTGGCTTTGCTCTGATCCACAAGGAGCGCCCAAGACCCAATGTTGTTGGTCGAATGGTGCTCGTCGGCGATGTTCAGGATAAGGTCGCCATCCTTGTGGACGATATGGCAGACACTTGCGGAACTGTATGTGACTGTTCAAGTTTTGACATTTTATGATCATGCGGCTAATAGTATTCCCACAGCTCGCAAAGGCGGCAGAGACCCTCAACCAGCACGGCGCGCGTCAAGTGTTTGCCATTGTCACACACGGTATCCTCAGTGGCAAGGCTATTGAGACTATTAACAACTCCTGCTTATCTGGCCTTGTTGTCACCAACAGTAAGTAATATCGAATGAAGTTGGACATTCCTTTTAACGACGAATTACTAACGTATAATCCAGCTGTTCCTCGTACGTTCCATAAAACTGCTTCTCGTGTAAATGTCTGTAATCTAACTAGGTGTGATGCAGTTGGCGATAAAACTGAGCGATGCCCTAAAATCAAGGTCATTGACGTAGCTGGCACGCTTGCCGAGGTATGATCATGTTTGCTCACTGTCCTCTTCATTACGCTGACCTCTGATAGGCCATTCGACGAACCCACAATGGCGAATCGGTATCATATCTCTTTACGAATGTTCCTGTTTAATGTAAAGTTTCTTTAAAACGTTGTTTTACTTGATTTAAAATTTTGGTATGCCATCACTCCATCTGTGGTCAGAAAGCTTTGCTAACGCTTATTCAAGGCTGCGTGGTTTGGTTAGGCTTTGGTTAGATACTGTGCCAGCCGATACTTGGGATAACTGGGTGTGACGAAATTTCCTTTAAAAACTCTTCAAATTGTCGAGATTAGCATAGAATGCTTTCCCCAAAAACATAGTTACTGGCAACTCAGATCACAGATCATGTGCGGCCCCTTGTCACTATTTAAAGTGCTTTTGACAAGTACTATAAGCTTGGCACATCATATCCTCCCAAAGCTAGAGTGTACATTGCAGCTAGGCATGCTTGGCATTCGACGTTATAGCAAACGTCATAGTAAATCCTCCGTTGGGGAGGGTAGGCAGGTGAGAGACGAGAAAGAAGTGGAAATATATTGTATGCGGATATGATAGGATGATTTACGGCGATATAGAACGAGACATGCGTAGTGCAACAAAAAGCGCATCGCAATACTTCAAAATTCAGCATAGAATTAAATGATTTGAGCGTTATGAATGCGGCAAGCTTTGACATTGGTTTATGTTGAGATGTCTCGTGCGCGAGATGAATCTTGTAAATTAAGATATGACATTCCGAGGAGGAAGCATTGTCCCTGAATAGATCTCTTCTCAACGTCTTAACTCATGGAGAGGGCCATACAATTAAAAAGGTACCTAGAGAGCACGTTAGCAGCTTGTCGCACCCCAGTGCTTCACGACTAGTACTATAATGGAAGAGTACAAAGGCGGTGAGTGAATTCTGCCGCTATGATGCACCCAAGCATACCACCTACACGACACCGTTGCGCTGTCCGTGATTTTATATGAAACTTAATTAGAGCTCGTGAGCAGCATAATCTTGTGACAACCACCCATTATTCCCACTCGAAGCTGCAGAAACGCGATATAAAGGCTGCACTTACATCAAATGCTCATGGGCGGACTATTCGGCCTCACCCAAGATGACGACGCAGCTTCTGGCCACGGAGCTAGCTAATCTCATTCAGGAGAGCAAGCGGAAACACAGTGACCTTCGACAGGTACGCATTTTTATCTTGTGGCTTCGTCTTTGGAAGCATATGGCTTCTTGTTTGCTCACGAATTCCTTCATTAGGCAGCTGAAAGATCCCTAGAGGAGCTGAAAGGCCTCGGCAATGTGTCCGAAGCCACAGCTCCTGAGCGTATGTGCTAGTGGATCCCTCTAATGGAAGCGATGCTTTACTGACTTGAACCTCTCAGTGCTCTCCCAAAAGTCCAGCTTTGTGAATCCCTTTATTATCGCATGTGGAACCAAGAATGCAAAATTCACCGGCATTGCGATAGTCTGTCTGCAGCGGCTCATCGTTGCGAAAGCGCTGCCCAGGGCCAAGCTCAACCAGGTCTTGGAGTCGTTGATGCAGGCATCATCGGCTGGGCTTGACGTTCAGTTAAAGATTCTGCAAGCGTTGCCTTCGCTGCTGCAGAACTACTCGTCAGATTTGAATGGCGACCTTCTTGTCACTGCCTTGAATATCTGCTTCATCTTGCAGAGTAGCAAGAATGCCATTGTGAATAATACCTCAGCTGCTACCCTCCAACAGCTGGTTGTTTCAGTCTTTGATAAAGTAGTTGCCGAAGATAGTGAGTCTTTTGATCTGCTATCCGCATATTCATTTATTCTAACTAAAGCAGAGAACAATATTGATGCCCCTATTGTGGGAGAAGCGCCATCTGGGGATGGTAAAGTAGAGCTTCGCGCAGCCGCGTTGGATGCCTATCGTGTTAGCAACCCATCTACCTCAACAGGCATTTGACCTAAGCTAACTGTACCAGATTTTCAATGACTTATGCCTCTTGACTGAGAATCAACGGTCCGAGTTTTTACGGTTTTCAGGCTTGCAGCAAACATTTGGGTTAGAGTTGATCGAGTCAGTCATCACAAATCATGCAGCCGTCTTTACGAGCCATCCTGAGCAAACCCATATTCTCCGCGAGCGCGTTATGCCTCTTTTGATGAGTGCTCTTAAAGGGAGGCCATCGTTCGCCACAACTGTGAGACTCGTACGCATTCTCTATACCCTGTTGCGTCGCCATATTAGCGTCTTGCCTTCAGAGTGCGGCGATGCGCTCTTGCTGCTTACAACCCTCTTGGACCAAGATACCGCTGTGTGGAAGCGAGCGTTGTGCATGGAAGTATTTCGCGGCATATTTGCTGAACATGCCCTTGTCCGTCGCATATTCGCCATGTATGACGCCAAGGAGGGCGAGAAGGATATAATCAAAACACTTACCGCGACATTTGTTCGACTCAGTACTGAGAAGCCAGCAGTAATTGGTCTAGGCCATCAATCCACGATGCCGGTTGCCGATCCTTCTGGAAGCTCTGGCCTATCTGCAGACCCAGCCTTGATCGAAGCTACTAGTGTTACTGGAATAATCAGCGGCTCTGTTGGATTGGAGGGTTCCAGCGTAGGCATTAGCATACAATGGAGCTCTGTACGCGTTCCTTGTATAGACCAGCTGGACAAAACCGAAGCACCGGCTATTCCTGAATCGTATATCTACAGCTTGATACTAGCATGTGTCTCATCGCTGTCAGACGGGCTTGCCAAGTTTATCCTACCTCTTACAGTTCCTAACGAGAATCGAGCTCGGAGAAAAACATCAAGGCAGGATATGGGACGTAGCTCACCTGCTCCGTCCCAGCTAGAAGCAGAAGCCCCGCCTCGCGGAGGATTGCGGGAACGATCGGCTTCATTTAAGAGAAACCCCGTGCCGATTAATCCTCTGGAGCAGGAAGATCATCCTGCACACGCAGAGGTCAAGATTTGTTCGGAAATCGTCAACGAGTGCTGGCCTGCTATCCTGGCAACATGCTCGACCTTTTTATATGCCGCCCTGGACTCAGAGTATTACCACGGTTTGGTTCGCGCATTTCAACGATTTGCCCATGTTGCAGGCCTGTTGCAGCTTACAACGCCGCGAGATGCATTCTTATCTACACTTGGAAAAGCCGCTGTGCCTCCAAATATTCTGAGTGCATGCTTCAATGCCGGCCAGTCACGATCGGTAGCCACCACACCAACGGAAGCTCAGAACAGCGTTTTTAGCAATGCCCGTGGCCTTTTAAGCGTCGAAAGCTTGACACAGGTGTCGAGCCCTACTGAGAGGCAGCGACAAGGGTCCATGGATGCATCAATTACTCTTAATACACGTAACCTCCTCTGTCTACGAGCTCTACTCAATCTTGGCATTGCACTTGGTCCGACGCTTGGGCTCGCCTGGGGTATCATACTGGAGACGCTACAGCAGGCAGACTTTGTGCTCTATGTGACCGGAAAAGCCCCAGGGAGGAATCAGTCTCTAGGTCGCGGCGGACAAGATTACCAAAACGAAACAGAAGCCAATTCGCTCATGGCGAACTTCAGCACCGAAGTTCGATCGGTGGAAACGGCCGCCTCTAGATTGATCGAAAGCAGTGTTGACTTTCCCAACGAGTCGTTTATCGAGGTGGTTCAAGCCATCTGCGGCTTACTGCCAGATGAAGGCCAAGCAAACTCAAGCACACCAAACACAGAACAGCCACAGCAGAGCCAGCAGGGCAAAGCCTCATCTGGGCAGCATCGGCGGGTGCTCAGCTTCTCTAGCCAATCCTCGACAACATCCAATCAAGAACTTCAATTTGCACTGGCCAAGCTCGGGGAGATTGCCATGATCAATCTAGAACGACTACTGGCATACGATCCAAAAGAATCAGGTTGGAATTCCCTAATGCAGAGGTTGATTCAGACATTAGATTCGAGCGCCATTAGCCCACCGGTGAGAACAAGAGCCTCAGAGATTCTCGCAAAACTGGCGCTCGAAGCAGCTACTGCAGCGGGCGGACAATCCCCTGAAGTCCGAGGGGCTATTCAACTCAGATTGCTGGGAGCACTCCGTGACTCATTGAAATCTTTGCAGAAAGGCGGCCGAGATATCTCCGTTGCAAATGCGACAACCGATATTGAGATTCATAGAATCATTTTGGATGGCCTGCGAAGTATTATCGAAGATTGTGGGCAAACTCTAGTAAGCGGCTGGGATGTCACGTTTGATATCATCGGAAGCGTTTTCAAAACGAGAGAAGAGAATCTGGAAGAGGACAAGGAATCAGTCACCAGTGCTCGGAACCTGGGCACACGATCTTCCAAACTTGTGCGGTCTTCTTTCAGCTCACTTCAGCTCATTTGCTCAGATTTTCTACCATCGTTGCCCAACTCATGCTTCTTAATTCTGGTCGACACACTCTACAAATTCAGTTCACAAAATGACGATCTGAATATTGCATTGACGGTGAGTCTGGACCTGATACAGGATAAATTTAGGGAGCTATGACGCTAACAACACTTATTAGACTGTGACCTTTTTCTGGGCCCTGTCTGATTTCCTATCTGGCAAGGACAAGTCACTGGATATCACGATTGACTTGTTTCAAGACGCTGATGTGGACACGCTAGAGCGATTAGCAGCAGACCACGGCGGCCGAGGATCTGGCGCCGCCTTATGGATGCTATTGCTTTTGAGACTTACAGCCGTCGCCTCAGATGACAGGGTCGAGCTTCGCAATACTGCAATCCAAACACTGCTCCGAATTTTTGATGCATATGGCGAGAGACTCAGTCCTGAAGCTTGGTCAATATGCATCAAGTCAGTTGTGTTTAAACTACTAACCTCGCTTGAAGAAGAGCTACGAAGAACTAAGGATGAAGAAGCTGCTAAAAACGATAGGTCGGAGTGGCATGACACCGCGGTGGTTGTGCTAAATGGCATATCAACGCTGCTTGGAAACAACCTAGAGGTATTGACCGCACACTCATCGTTCAATAAGCTTTGGAATGAGCTGCTAGAACACTTGGCTACGTTGCTCGACTTTCAGGTCCTCGATATCAACACTGCAACTTTCAAAACGCTGGGGCACGTGCTCTCTCAGTCGGGTGATGAGGACAAGCCCGTTTTCAACGAGACAACGGTCACATTTGCTTGGGATCTATGGTCCCGTGGTATCCCAATCACTAAATCACCCGACGGGAAGATTCCGGACAACCAAAATTGTCTAACTGCATATGTGGCGGCTCTTCGAGAAGTTTACCGGCTCATCAAGTCTGATCTAACCGTAGAGAGGGTTCAGCGAATCCTTGCTTTGCTGCGAAAGACTGTTGAGGAAGCTTCTGTGGGGAGCTATGCCACAGATATTGATAATTTGACGCAGCTTCAGGCACAAATATTGGATGCAGTGAAAATGATTCGGACCGATATCGACGGCGTGCCATCGGCCCTGATCGTGCAAGTTGCCGAATTTGTGACCTTGGCCTATGATCAAGACTACGAGTCCCGACCTGTGTCAAAGAGAACATATGTTGCCATGTCAAAAGCCAGCATGCAAATGCTGGAGAGTCTCATTGTTAGCCACTCATCGGATGCAGATATCTATAAGAGCGGATCGGTCGTCACCGCCTTATCCGCCCTCTGCAGGCCGATTTCTCTCAAATACCAGTTTCCCATTACCACGAGATCTATTCAGCCCTGGAAACTGGCGACTTCTACTGCTTTGGTAGTCATACAAGCAACACTATCAAAGCTCGATGATCTTGACATACCCACAGCCACAATCCAAGACATCTGGCAGTTGATTGCTGAGATTGCAGATGGCATTCTCAGTGCTGACTGTAGCAATACACCACCCGGAACGGACATTGGAGATGACGAAGCGGCAGATATTGGTTCTTTCCAAAAGCTGGTGGAGCTGATTATCCCTCTGATAGGGTCAGAAAAGGTGAAGGAAGAAACTCGCAGCGCATACACTAAAAGCCTGTTCAAAACATCAATCATCCATGAACCGCCATCAGCCGACAAGCTCGCCCTTGAGGATGGAGAAGCTGGGCTGTCTAAGCTATATACACCACGGACCGGGCGCACAATATCTGATCCACCGACACTGCGCACGAAGATGGCCTATGTCGCATTTGAGGAACTCTTCTTGCTCATTTCAGTAGACGAACCGGCTGCTCACAAGCCATCTGCTGCTAAACCTATGGCGGATTACTCTGCTTGTAGAACGCGCATTGCTTGTTCCGCAGCACCGTATCTAGTTTTGCGATGCGCATTGACGCTCCGCGCCTATGTGTCTGACCAGCCACTCCGAGGCAAGATGCCGCAACCTCTAAGTCAGAGAAAGGAATTGCTGTGGACTCTACAAAAGGTGGTTTATTTGCAGAGCCAAAGCGAAGCGATATCACCTCTTGAAGGGGCTAAGAGCGAAAGTAGGAAGCATCTGCTGAGGCTGTACGTCTTGATTGTGAAGGCGTTGGGAGTGCATGGTGACGAGAAGGTGTTGTCACTTCTGAGGCAGGCGTTGGAAATTGTTGGTGGCGAGTTTGGAGCTGTGTAAGAAGAGAATGCTGCCTTACTGGTTTTCAGCGTGTTTGACCTGGATGGGAATTCGGCAAGTAATAGAAGAGTATGGCGAGTTGGTTATTTAGGTGCTCGTAGCAAAAATAGAAGAGGGTCCAGTTCAATGTGTTGATACTGTTGATATACTTCTGCTCAGTCCGCTCTTCTTCAGCGAGAGAGTCAAATATAATAAATTTAAATTGAAGTCTACACATTCCTAAGATCTTAATGTCTATCATAAACAAAAGCTTTGCAATTGATTATCGCGCCGCAAATTCACATTAGAATCCAGGGTAGTAGTGCTAGGCGTCCAACAATCGCTTTTCCGACGTAAATATGGCCCCACAGCGCCACAAAGGTAAGTCCCGTACCTGGACCTTAGTTAGACCACCGAAAATGACATCGCGGGGCAGAAAAAGTTGCACATGAAATATTCCAATACTTCTTTTCTCATGCCGTATATTTCCCCAACGCCAACAACTTTGTTCTACACCGCAGCCAGAAAACAAAATAAAAGGACTCACTACCAATGGGCAAATCCTCCAAAGACAAGCGTGACGCCTACTACCGGCTCGCGAAAGAGCAAGGATGGCGTGCAAGAAGCGCATTCAAGCTTCTCCAGCTTGACGAAGGTACCTACCTCTCTCAATCTCAAAGCTAACGACTTATTACTAAAATATTTTCCGTCCTGCAGAGTTCGACCTCTTCTCAAACGTTTCCCGTGTCGTCGACCTTTGCGCCGCCCCTGGCTCCTGGTCCCAGGTCCTTTCCCGAGTACTCATCAAAGGCGAGAAATTCGGCCGTTCAGCATGGCAAGATCGCGATGCCAAAGTGCGCCAGCAAATGCTCGGTGTCTTTTCCGACGCTTTTACGCCCGAACAGAAGGAATCAATAGAAAACTCCACCTGGTCTGGCGATGAGGCGGCGCAAAACAATGGAGTGGACGCAGCAGCCAGCCGAGATGTCAAAATCGTCTCCATCGATCTCCAGCCCATCTCCCCCCTCGCCGGCATCACGACTTTGCGGGCAGACATCACACATCCCGCCACCGTGCCGCTGCTCCTCTCTGCGCTCGACCCATCGTACGATCCTGCCGCCGTCGCAGGCACCCAAGCTCAGCATCCCGTCGATCTCGTTCTTAGCGATGGCGCCCCCGACGTCACGGGCCTTCACGATCTTGACATATACGTGCAGTCGCAGCTACTTTTCGCCGCGCTCAACCTCGCACTCTGCGTGCTGAAGCCGGGCGGCAAGTTTGTCGCAAAGATCTTCCGGGGCCGAAACGTGGACATTCTGTATGCGCAGCTCAAAATCTTCTTTGAAAAAGTCATCGTGGCGAAGCCGAGAAGTAGCAGAGCGAGCAGTGTGGAGGCTTTCATTGTATGCTTGAACTTTCGACCGCCAGCGGGCTTCCAGGCCAGTCTAGAGGAGCCGCTCGGAGTAGGGCAGCGCCTGGATACGCTGGTGCGAGAGAGGGAGATGCAGCTACCAATTGTCGCTGAAGCAACCATGCAATCAGAAAAGGGAACTTGGGACTGCAGCGCTGTATCGACGCCGGCGACATCACACGAGAGCGGAATCACGGAAGTGGAGGTATATGACGAGGTTGAAGGGAACAATATGGGAAATGGAGCCCGGTGGATTGCACCTTTTATTGCTTGCGGCGATCTATCGGCCTTTGACTCCGACGCTTCCTACCAGCTTCCCGAGGACTACGTCTCTCTAGATCCTGTCCAGCCTCCCATCGCTCCGCCATATAAGAGAGCCCTCGAAATGCGGGCTGGGCTATCCAAACCCGCCAAAGTGTAGAGACACAGGGGAAGATATAAATGAAGAAAAAAGAAGAAGAAGAAGAAAAATAATATCCAAAAAGCCCAATGTGCAAAAACTAACCGTGCCTCGCCGGTATATATCGATCGAGACTATGCAATGCTGAAAAAAAAAAAGGAAGACACGCGAGATACTAGGTGGAAACGGAAAACGAAAAGACCAAGGCAGAGTAAGGACCGCCAGTCTCATTTGTGATCCTCTGGGAGATCCTTGACGCCGCCACCGGGCATCTCCAGCAGCACCAATCCCGCAGACGGACCTTGGTCCCAGTCAAGAGCTCCCAGCTCGCGCTGGTACATTTTTGCGGCGGATTTGTCGTGCGTCATGAGGACGAGGCCTCGCAGGTTTGGCCACTCCTCGACAAGTTCTTTGAGGCCCTGCATCATCCAGCTGGCGAGCCCGCGCCTCTGGAACTCTTCAAGGATAAAGACGTCGGTGAGGTAGGCAAATGTGACGTAGTCGGTCACGACACGAGCAAGGCCCACGAGCTTTACATTGGACCCGTGTGGTCGCCGAGGCGCTCCGTTTTCTATTGGCCGCAAAAACAGTCAGCTTGTGAAGTAACAACGGATTTGGCGAACTGAATGTACACAGGGACGACAGGAAAAAAAAGAAGGAAGAAGAGATTGACGCACTCTGCATTTGCTTCTCTGACTCGGGAACGTGGTATATGCTCATTGTCATGCAATTGGATATCATCTTCTGCATCTGGCCTTCTGGCAGCGGGTCGTTCCACCACATGAGGTCGGACTCGAAGACGGCATTGATGGCCTGAGGCTCGAGATATGCCTTGTCGTTTGTGAGGAAGAAGTTGTCTCGGTACCAGTACCGCGGCTTGCCTTCGGGGTTCGTGGCGGCAGTCTTGGAACTCTTTGAGCCCATTGTGGAAACAAGAGAGCCCATTGTGGTTTTCGCTGTTGCTCTTGGTGGATGGTATACTGATGGGCTGGAATGATGTCTTTTCTTTACTCTTTTGCTATCCAGAGTACCGGCTGTATTCAATCTAAGATGGAGAAGAAGATGGGGGGGAGCAAGACAATGATGGCGGTGGCAGCACGGTATAAGTTACTTTGCGCAGACGAGAGGCAAACCCTGTCCATCGTCTATTCCAACAGACATGGAAGGCCCCCTCCCCCTTCCTAGCGCGTGGCATTCCCCATGTTTCCCGGCTTCGACCCTGCTTCTCTTTTCGATCCGCCCAGCCCCAGCCCTCCCATCAATGACCAAGTTTAGAAACACGAGACTCCATAGTCCCATGCACCTACAAAGCTACCTACACATTGTACAAAGCATTCGTGCCAATCGTGCCAATCCTGTTACGTAGCTAGCCGGCTAGTTGCGGCTCCTAGCGCGCCATCTGGGACTTTGCAGTTTGTGATGAGCGCCAGGTCGAGGTCAGGTGCACAGCGCCCGGAGATGTATGTCGTGGTTCGGACAGCGATGTAGGTACTACCTCTATTGAAAGTGGCACAGTAGGTACAAGGACTAGCATAAGGGCCCTTTGTGCATGGCTGCATGATGGGCCTGGCTCTGACTGGCTGGCGATCTGCCCCTTGAAGGTCAGGTCGGAAAGCAAACGACTGCAAACAGCAATACGGCGGAGAAGCGGGTTCGGATGAGGAAGGTCGGGGTAGTATCTATGAAGTCTCCGAAATATGCATAAGTAGGCATTACTGCGAGTGAAGGCTTGCATGCGTTTCGCTGTTTTCGACACATGAGGTGGTATATGAAATCACCTAGACTTTTCCCCTTTCTTGCTCAATGTCTTTGCTTGAGTCTCTCATTATGAAGCGATGAAGTAATCCGCTTGGCAAGACACCGCCCCCGTGATGAAGAACAAGACCGCCTATTGGCGAACTCTCTCCCCCCGGCACTTGATTCTCTCCAGGCCAACAAGGGGGGGCCCTAAAGCCAGATCGTTTGAATCTCAAGCATGACCTCCAATAAACCCCGAGCCCATTCCCTTTACAGGCAAAACTGTTAGGCAATCATTACATACTCGTGGTGTGCAGCAGCATGAAAAGTTCGAAGCCTCTTTTGACAGGCGGATGACGCCCGGACCTTGGATCCAGCCAAAATAAAAACCGGGGCCTGGGGTCTTTTTCACACCGCGTTACCGAGCCGGTCTGACGGGCATGGGGGAGTGGAGCCGCGTGCACTAAATAGATACCGGAAAGAGAGATTAACGGTAGAAAATGAGAAACGAGGCGCTGGACGCTGATGCTAGGGATACAGCGATGCGAGGGCCTGGCAATCCTGCAGCTGGCCCTGGCAGGTCGGGTTTTGATAAGATGCCTGCTTGGACTAGGTCTAGTGTGTGTCTGGATGTTTGCTTGTCTTTGCGCTCTCCTTTCAAGGGCTTGATATCGTATCCTGTCCTCCCTGCCTTGCTCAGGATCGGTGAGCTGTCCAGCATGGGCGAGGATATAGATACTGCCAGCACGATAAGAAAAGAAGTCATTCATTGGCTACCGCATCATCTCGTCGCGACGTTCCTCCGGCAACACGTCAGACAGTAGGTGTCTATCCCCAGCCCCTAACATTGTGGCTTTAGCATGACGGATGTGATACGCACTTGCGGCAAGAGATTCAAGATCTCATCTGACGAGCGTGATGCGTCTAGCCGTATTGGGACAATAGGATGTGGTTGGCTTACATAACATGGAGCCGTCTATCTACGGCTTAGCCAGAGGCGAGCGATGCCGCTTTTGTCCACGAGCGTTGAATTGCTGTTACTCAACTGCTACTACTTTGCATTTATCCTAGCCAACATCATCTCCTGCTTCTTCGTTTTCGAACTCTGGTACAAATCTAATTCTTTCTATCAAGCAGGACGCTATGCATGCATCTATCGCTATGGATCCTTTGCGTACTTGCTCCTCTGCCGGAGCTTGGGGCCGTAATGCCAGAGTAAAAGGGGCGCAGGGCTGAGTATAGCTGCAATACAACCCATGATTGTCAATGTCCAGTGTACGCCAATGCCCGAATACATTGGGCGCGTGGCCATGACCATTCCTCCCGCGGCCAAATACCGGACGGCGGTGACGCTTGCAAGAGCAATGGCCGAGTGCTCGCCGTAGCTGTCTATGATGTACTCGTAGCTGCTCACGTAAAAGGCAGTCAAGACGATGCCAAAGACAAAACAGGCGCCCAATCCGCACCAGATGGATATGCGAGGATAGTTGGTCCAGCCGAGCCAGAAGAGACAGACGGGCAGCATGGGCGCCGTGACAATGGCAGGCCACAGGCGGAACTCGGGCTCGACGTGGGCGCCGTGCACATGTTCCGTATCGCTGCGAGCCCAGTTGTATAAGCCGGGCGCGCTGAGCGTGAAGACTGTCGATCCCGCCGCAATGGAGGCAAAGCAGCTGCCGGTGAGCCCGGTAGACAGCTGATACGTGTCCTTGAAGATGAAGTCGAAGCCTGAGAGGGAGGTGAAGAGCAGCGTGTACAGCAGGAGCAGGTAGAAGCCCAGCACCGTTACGATGATTTCCGTTTGGTAAAAGGTAATGCCAAGTTTCACATTGTGTTTCAGGCGACTGAAGAAATTGGCTGCCATTGCGTGTTCGGACGTGAACCGCACATCGCCGGTTGCACGTCGAAGTTCTTTTGCTTTCCAGTCTAGAAGCAGTGGCAAGTATGTCTCTGGCAGAAACAGCACCGCAATAATGAATGCGGCACCGGATATGATTAAAGTCATCCAGTCGGGCCAGTGCCAGCCCAAGCTTGGATTGGATACCAACCATCCGCTTGCAACAGGAGCAGCCAAAGGGCCTTTGCCAGAAGGAGAGCATCAGTGTCCGTTGATTGGCTTTGTGTGAGGAGACACCGTCAACTTACCTATTACGTTGACCCAAGCTATTATTGGGAAAACGAATGCTCTCTTCACATCCCTAAACTGATCTCTGACGCTCGATCCATTGATCCCCAGAGTGGCGCTGGAGAACAAGCCCACAAAGTAGCGGCACGTAATGCGACCTCCGAAAGTCGTTGCCATGGCCGACCCAAAGACGAAGAAGAGGTAGCAGAAAGTGGCTCCCAAGTACACCGGATTCCTCCCCACCGTCTCGGACAACGGCCCCGTAAACGGAGCGCCGGTCCCGATGCCGAAAAGATACATGGCCGTGTCCAAGTTCTGAGCGGTTCGACTAACATGGAATTTTGAACTGGCTACCGAGTTTGCCATTGATTCAGAAGCACCCGCCCAGCCTTGGACGAAGATGAGAATTGACAAGATGGCAATGTTCTTGCATCGGAAAATCAACGGCCAGTTCTGTGGGTTGAGAGAGTCCCCGGGCTCGCTTTTGACCAAGATGTGCTGCTGCTGTCCCTTGGCTGAATTGCCCGGCTGCTCCTCGTCCGAGCTTGGAACGCCATTGGACCAAGATTTTCCGTTGGGATTCACAGATGGGTGTCGAGAATTTTCGAGGTCACTAGGGCTTTTGGCTGATGGCTTACCCGTTGATTTTGGTGTTTGTGCCAGCTCTCGCTCTACATGAGCCCGGATTTGGTGACGCTGTATCAGAGACCACATAACGACAAGGGCATCCAATGGAAGCTTTTAGCTTTACCTCGTGCTCGCTAACATTGTTTTGATAGGGCTAGCCATGCTATTATAAACATTGCCATGGCAGAAGCGATATGGGTAACGTCATGTTGACGTCGGCATGAGTCCATGACCACTGTAAAAATCACATGTCGCTTTCGCAATCGTGATAGTGCAAAGACTGTGCCAGAGATGCAAAAGCAAAGATAAACTCCTGCAAATGGATAAAATTGTGTTTGTAATCTGATCGAAAATCTTTTAGGTATCCCGTTATAGTAAAACTGATGCATCATTTGGCGGCAAGAGCCGAGACTGCGCTAGTGAATAATCGCATTATATTCAGATTCTTCTGATATGCCGCGGTAAATATTACCTAATTTCAACTTATATTACCCATTTCAAGGAGGAGATTCAGAAGTCTTAGATTGGACGATATGTCTTTTGGGTGGTGAATCTGAATCGCGTCAAAACAGGTGAAGCAATTGTATCAAGACAATCCGTCAAACCGAGTTGCGGCAAGTGAATCAAGGTAGGCCCTCAGCGATGCTCTCATTAATACCCATAATCCGGATATAATAATAGCAGTAGCAACAATAGTAACAGTACCAGCAGTAGTAGTATCAATCTGTACCTTGCAACTACGTTCATCAGTTCAACAAGACCTGCTATATGAATCTCTCTTACACGTACTTTTCCATTCCTTCTTCACCTTCTTCGCCCTCCCCATGTTATTTTTCGGAGTACTCTTAAGTGTTTAGCTGCCACCATGCACTTGATCAATCCTCCTCTTGAGTGCCGTTGCCGAATCCGTTATCTGAGCGTCTTCGTCAAAGTCTAGCGACATCTGGACTTTGCGTTGTATTCCTCTCCTTCCTAGCACCACAGGCAAGCTGAAGCAACAGCCAAAAGACGGCTGGAAGTGGCTTATAGGATGAACGGTGCCTTTATCCAGAATGATGGAAGAGCAGATGCCGGACACGACGGAACCAATGCCAAATGGTGTTGCTCCTTTCGCCCGAATTATACCTTGTGATCGGTTCTGGCACTCGCTAGAAAGTCCGGCACGATTGATCAAAGCCCCTTTTGAGAGACACTCGTTGATTGGGACGCCGCCAACTGTTGCGGCAGACCAGGCCGTCACCTGCGATTCCCCCTGCACGCCCAGTACGAATGCGTCAATTGACTTTGCCGCGACCTGATAAACTCGTTAGCGATGCGTCGGATCTTCCTGTGTGCAGTATCCATTGGCTGCTTACCCCAAGCCTATCCGCCAACATCCCCCGAAGTCGTATAGAGTCCAAATACGTGCCTGAGCCCAGGACTTGAGACGGCGGAAGCTGGGAGAGCTGCAGGACAAGGGATGTGAGTAAATCGACAGGACTCGAGACGACAAGCAGAACAGCGTCTGATTTAAGAGGCTTCATTCCGTCGAGTATGGTCCTGATAGTTGAGATATTTCGATGGACACATTCGGGGTAAGTATGGTCTATAGAGTCTGTATAAGCCCAAGTGGCAAAGGTAGGCATCCTTGGGGGTTTCCTAGTTCTTTACCTGTAATGTGCCTTGATCCCGCGGTAATCACTATAATATCGCATTGGCCCGCCTGTTGGTAACTGGCTGCTCGTACCTTCGTTCGGCTATTGCAGCTATACGCTACATCTGAGAGATCGCAGACTTGGCCGTCTCTCAAGCTCACATTCTTGTCAACCAAGAGCAATTCATTGGCGATTGAACCTAGAATGAGCGCATAGGCAGCAGCGGCGCCAACTTGGCCGACTCCAACAATGGCAATGCTGGATGTGGGCATTTTGCCGTTCGATGAGGAATGAAGTAAGTTATTTGCGCCTACAAGCCAAAACTAACTTGCAACGCTGCTCTTTTATGTGCCTTTTAATCAGTATCAGAGTGATGCAAGGTCTTGGTTTATGCCTCATTTACAAGTTGAACATGCGGAAAGCAGCATATATTATCCAAATAATTGGCTGGCTGCTGTACATTGCATGATGGTTGAAGTTAACTTCACAGCTCATCAGCCACAAAACCAAAGTCAAGTCACCGCTCAGCCCACTTGCGCCAATCAGCTACAGCTACCGTTGGAGGATTATCGGGATTGTTTTTCGGTCGTTTCTAGGTGTTAAATAAGCTTTGAAGCCACCAAGAGAAATCAGGAGATAAACTGCCTGATATAAGTTGGCACCCGAGATGAACCGAGGCTATATGTTGGTCACTGTTCAAGATGTGAAGTAATAATGAGATAATTGATCGCTTTATATTTTTCATGGCAGAATCCAATTCGTTCAAACAAGTATTGGCGCCTAATGCGCACCGTTTGTGAGCTGAGGGCTGATGAGCCAAATTCACAGCGTTAATAAGAAGAGCGGTCTCATAGCTTCCTAATAATGCCGTATTTATCAAATTGACTAAATTACAACATAGGTAAATTTACAAACGCAATTAAATCTTTTCTCAATGCGTGGCCTCATTTATCACAGCAAAAAGGACAGAGGCCGCGCAGAAACTTCCAGCATAACCGATTTGAGCAGCGGCCGTACTCCTATTCGGCACTCATGAAATAGGAATCACATGGGTATCCAAGTCGTCATCTGCCATTTTCGGGATGCGTATAGTGAGGACACCGCTTTCAAGCGTCGCGGTGGTGCCATTCTGCTGGACACGCTGCGGAAAGGTGAATGCGCGGTAGAACTCGCCTATATTTCTCTCCGCAACCCAGTATTTAACACTATCGTGCTGCATAAATCCACAGTTAGTCCTTTCAAGTTCATAAGATGGCCACTTTGACTCAAATTACCTCTGCGGTCTTTGTATCTTTCCCAGCAGCATCATTGGGCGTATCTCCGTCGTCTCTTTGGTTGAGAGGTAGCTGGCACGAGTTTTCAACAAAGCCGCTGACTTCTAGGGACTTGGAGCCCTTGAACTCGATTTTCATGTTCTCTTTTTTGACTCCAGGTAACTCGCCGTGAAGCTCAAAACAGTCTTGCAGTTCTCTTACATCGAAGATGGGAAGAAAGGCTTGACCCAAATGCGGCCCGCGGTTGCCATGAATCGAGTGGCTGAAACGAGGGAATGAGTCAAGATGTTTATCCATATCTTGAAAGAATCTCAACGTGGAAGGGAAAGTCCTGATAGAAGTAGTTGGCTGATTGATAGCAGCCATGATGATTGGTAATTATATAGGAGATACTTAAAATAGGAGCAGTAGCATGAGAAATGCGTGCGTGGGAAACGCGATGAAGCACTGGTGAAGCCAATACTTAAATAGATATGATGGCAACTGCTGCGGAAGATGGTTCTTATAAAAGTATAGATTGGCATCAATTCCAAGCCATGTTATTTGAGTTACAGTGGCTTCTAGATAGAGGATATACTCAAACGCCATGGTGTGATGACGAGCCGCTGTGGCAGATCATGCCATGTACATACTTATGGCGGAATGTGGCGTATAACATTGTCCTTCTTTTTATTCTTCGCTTCACCATCGTTCTTATGGCGTCTGAATAGTATCGCTATTTGGTATGCGCCACAAGCAAAGTCGTGCCAGCAGCATAAATTCGTTGACATAGAAGCGAGCGACTTGATGCTAATGTCTCTATATGCGACTTTAGCCTAAACAGCTGCCAGGATACATGGAGGGAAAGTTATCCAGCGCCCCAATTCTGTTATCCAGCACTCCAGCTATAGTGTGGGCTATCACTGCTATCTCTACTACATGTACCTTTGCTATCTGTACTGCTGCTGCTGCTTCTGCTAGTAATGTCATTGATGCTGCTGATGCCACAACTCCTTAATGTACTCAGCAGTTGCATATTTAATACAGCTGGGGTGCTGGATAATGAAATTGGGGTGTTGGATAACTTTTCCCTACATCAATTCCCCTCTTTAACAAGGCGAGAATTGCAGGTAGATTAATATCATCCTTCTTGCTAAGTGCATATTCCTTCCTTAATCATGTGACCCATTAACAAGTCAGCTGAGGCCCTTGTGCGAAATAAATTAGCCATCGAGAGACTATTGTCAGATGAGGCTCAATTGCATCTTAAGGAGCCTCGTGCAATGCCACTGTTAAAACTGGCGCATCGCTCAGCATTACCATCGTCAAAGCTTCACTAGATGCGACACTTGGCTATATATCAGGAGGCCATGGTTTTAGAGAAAATACAGCAGAGAGCCGCGAGCTCCAATGAGAGTGCAGATCCTGGCATACGAAGCGATACCACCTCGTCTCCGACGGAGATTGCAGGACGTGACGCCAAACTCCATACAATCTCGAACGCAATCTCCAATCCAACATCTACCTACCGCTATTCTCCTTTGCCGGTTGGTTGTATCCGCTTACTTCGATTGCTGCCACATCCAGACGAAGATGCTATAATACAATGTCACCTTGTCCATTACCCTCTTCTGAGCTCAGGGAAAGGCACTCACCTCTACGAGGCTTTATCTTACGTATGGGGCTCCGAAGAGAAGCCCCGCCGCATTTGCGTTGGCGGAGATGACTTATACATTACTGAGAATCTTCACACGGCGCTATTACGTCTTCGAGATGGTTCATTTGAGCGAATCGTCTGGGCCGATGGCATTTGCATTAATCAGGACGACAATGAAGAGCGCAGCCTTCAAGTCCAATATATGATGAACATCTACTCTAGGGCGAGTCAGGTCATTGTATGGCTTGAAGAGACGATAGATGGCACCCATTCAGCCGATACGAGTCTGGCAGTCGAGGAAATAGGCCGTGCTGCGGACGGCCACTTGACGGAGTCTTCAAATGACGAGGCAATACGCACGATTCTTCAACGATCGTGGTTCCAACGCATATGGGTAGGTCAGAAAGAAGATTCATTGAAAATGGGAGACATTTACTAAAAGCCAGTTGCTATAGGTGCTCCAAGAGGTTGCCGCAGCTAGGCACGTCCTAATCATGTGTCATTCTATAGAGATTGACGGAGACGCATTCTGCGCCGGGTTGATAGCCTTGAATCTGGCCCTCAAAGACCAAGAACTACAGAGCCGAATCCGTTCAGCAATATATCTTATAAAAAACGCCGGTCTCCGACCTAAGCATATCGCTGGTGATTTTGACAAATTTTCTCTTAGCAGACGCTCCCTGGGGGAATTGGTAGACATGTACCACAACCGCAAGGCCAAGGACCGGCGAGATAAGATTTATGCTTTGCTGGGTATGAGCTCGGAAATTCCGGTTGAACTGATGCCTGACTACAATACTCCGTGGAAAGACCTCTTTCATAAACTTATCCGGTCCTTTACTGGAGAACAAGCAGCTATTGAAACTTGGAACATTGAGGATTTCGCAATAATTCAGACTCAGGGGCGTGTGATTGGTACGGTATCTTCCATATCAACTTCCGATGCGTGGAACGATGAGCAGGACGTGGGTGTGAACATTCACATAGACAAAGACTCTGACTCTGACTCTGACTCGGACTCTGATTCTGACTATAAAGAAGAGCATGTCATCTGGACCATGCAAGCTTCCGCAAAGGCCATTCGTCAGGGAGACATCATTTTTTTTGTGTCGGGCGCATCGAAACCGATGATCATCAGACCATGCGAGGATTACTTTTGTGTTATTGTAACTGCCGCTACTCCCAGGCATCCACCTCAGGCTTCTTTCGGATGGCCAGAAGTCTCTCCTAACCGTCAACTTCTACTTGTTTGGGACTGGGGGCTGTCCATAGAAAGGCTAGGGGATAGTTGTGACTACGACGAGTTCCTCAACAGCCGAGTTTCTGGAACCACGAATCACCTAGGAAAGGCAGCCAGATTGAATTGCATCGGGCAGCTACTAAAAGATGCATGGCTATATTATGATGCAGCCGATAGGCTGGAAAAAGCGATAGAATCTTACAATACGCCACATGGAAGGACCTATCTGCAATCTTTAGCTATGGATTCGACACACAGCCCTAAATGGAAAGCTGGAGAGTTGGAAGTGGCAGCTGATATCTTAGGGCGAAGAGGAGATTACGTTGAGGTTACAGAGTACGGGATAATCCAAATTGCAGGACGACATGATATTCAAATCATGAAGCTTCTTCAGGATCAGCATGACAGTCAAATTCTTATCACTGAGGATATTTTAAAGGCGGCGGCGAGAAATAGCGGCAGTGGCGAGGCAATGCTGAGACTCCTCATCAGCCAGTCCAGCGAAATGAACCCTATTACCGAGGAGGTGATGAAAGCAGCCGCGCTGAACTATGTCGATGGCCTAGTAGTGATGAAGCTACTCCTCAAGTGGTGCGGAGACCAGGCTCCTGTTACAGAAGGGGTGGTAAAGGCAGCGGCGGCAAATAAAAAGACTGGCTATGAGATAATACAATTACTCCTCGACCGATACGGAGATCGAGTACCTATTACCTTGGAAATTGTGCAATATATCGCTGAACACCGTGGTGTACAGATGATGACACTGCTTCTTGATCAGCTTAGAGACCAGATGCCTGTTTCCGAGGAGGTGATGATTGCAGCGGCAAGAAATAGGGTATACGGTGCAATGGTAAAGCTACTTTTTGAACGCCGTGGTTTTCCCATCACCAGAAGAATTAGAAAACCGCTTTTTCTAGTTTATAAGGGGGATGAAGAAAAGAAACGTTTCATTAGCCAGTATGGTGATCAGTTGCCACTTACCAAAGAGGTGGTGACGATGGTCAGTTTTTGGAACGGATTGATGGTACTGCTTCTTGACCGAAGCCAAGATCGGAGTCCTATCACCAAGGGAGCAATGAAAATCATATTGGAGCGGGACGGAAGCGGAGAAGTAATGAAAATGCTTCTTGACCGGCACGGTGATCAAATCCCTATTACTAAAGAGATTGTGAAAACTATTGCAAAGAAATATGATGGACAGATAATGAAAATGCTTCTTGATAAGCGTGGAAATGAAATTTCTCTTACCAGAGAAGTGCTGGAGGCGGCAGCAGAAAACGACTCGAGTAAAGAAGAGGTGGTTATGGAACTGCTTAAACGATACCAAAACCAGATTTCCATCAATACGGACGTGGCGACGTTCATTGCTGGGCATTTTAATGAACAAATGATGAGGTTCTTTCTTGACCTGTGTGGAGAAAAGGCCCCTATTGACGAGGAGTTGATGAAAGCAGCAGCAGGGAATCGGTATGGGGAGGAAGTAATAACAGTGCTTCTTAACCGACAAGAACAGATTCCTATTACCGAAGAGGTGGTACAGGTGGCCGCATGTAATCGGTCTGGTGGTGTATTGGAATCACTTCTCAACTGGCTTGGAGACCAGGCCCCTATTTCCGAAGGAGTGGTAGCAGCAGCAGTGGGAAATGGAGCAATTGCAGACAGACTGTTATTATTTCTTCTTGATAAGTATGGGGATAGGGTCCCTTTTACTAAGAAGGTAGTGACAGCAGCAGCAGGAAATATGAGCCTCGGGGTCGAACTGATAACACTGCTTCTTGATAAGCGTGGAGACCAAGTTCCCGTTACTGAAGAGGTGGCAACAGCAGCGGCGGGAAATTGGAAACGCGGCAAGGAAATAATGACGATACTTTTCGACCGGCGAGACTATATCCCTATTACAGAAGAGGTGGTGATAGCTGCGGCGGGAAACCCCTCCAAGGATAACGAAGTACTGGGACTGCTTTTTAACCGGCGCGGAGACCAGATCCCTGTTACTGAGGATGTGGTAAAAGCAGCGGCAGGAAATAGCAACAACGGCTGGAGGTTATTAAAAAGCCTCTTCGATTGGCGCGGAGACCAGGTCCCTATTTCAGAAGAGGTGGTAAAGGCAGCAGCGACAAATTACGGCGATGTAAGAGTGATGGAACTGCTTCTCGGCTGGGGCGGACTCCAGGTTCCCATTACTGAGGAAGTTGTTGAAGCGGCGGCAGGAAACTCGTTCGACGGCAAGCGAGTGATGAAACAAGTGCTTTCACATAGAGACAAGATGTCCGTTACTAAAGAGATGTTTGAAACTATTGCTGAAGCATCCTACAAAGAAACAATGAAATCACTTCTTTGGAAGTGTGGGGACCGGATCTTGGTTACAGAGAAGGTGATGCAGATTGCAGCAAGAAGACACGGAGCAAGTGTAATGCAATTGCTCCTTGAGCGGTGTGGAGATCAAGTCCCTATAACGGAGGAGGTGATTAAGACTGCGGCGGCGGAAGGCTTGTATGGTGATGAGGTAATAGAGCTATTTCTCGACCGCCAAGGGGACCAAGTCGTCGTTAATGAGGAGTTATTAAAGGCGGCGGTGGCAAATTGTTGGAAGAGCGTAGAGATATTAGAACTGCTTCTTAACCGGCGCGGAGACGAGGTCGTCATTACAGAGGGGGTGGTTAAGGCGGTGGCGGCGGGAAATTCTGACGAGAGTGTGGAGTTATTGGACTTGTTTCTTGATCGGTGCGGAGACGAGGTTACCATTACCGAGGAAGTGGTCAAGGCAGCAGCTGGCAATGAGGAAAAAGGCCATCGGGTTATAGACCTTTTACTGCGCCGACGTGGAGATGAGATTGTTGTAACCAAGGAAGTAGTGAAAGCAGCAGCTAGCAATAGGTATAAGGGCGAGCAGGTTATAGACCTTCTTCTAAGCCAACGCGGTGATGAGATTGTTGTGACTGAGGATATCATGGAGGCTGCTGCAGGGAATGAAGAGTGTGGGGAGGAAGTGATGGTTTTACTTCTTGACCGTCGCGGAGACTAGATGCTTGCTACCCAATGTGGAGAAACTGGTAGCTTCATTCATGTTAAGCACAATTTGCACAGCGATTGAATGTGATGTGTTTGTGTAAGTATAGTAAGTGGAGAATATAGCAATGGCCATAGAGATGGGAAGGGCAAAAAAGAAACCAGGAATTCGAGGAAATGCAGACGCATCAACAGCCCGCAAGTTGCTTACACCATGTACACAAAAGCGAGAGTCAAGGACAGCTTTGGGGTCTTTGTCAGCTCAAACAGGACAGTTGCAAGATGCATAATGACCCTAGGCCGCTTTTCTTTATGACTTCTTTCAGCTGTTCAGTAGAAGATAAGTGAAGGTCAAGGAATACTTCTTCAAAGAGATCCAATTGCAGTTGCTAAGACGTCTATACTTGGCTCTCTTCTTGTGGCTGCTACTGATGCTACTGCTGCTACTGCTGCTACTGCTGCTACTGCTGCTACTGCTGCTACTGCTGCTACTGCTGCTACTGCTGCTACTGCTGCTACTGCTGCTGCTATTTATAAAGCTCCTCTTTTCTTCCTTGATTAGAATACCTACTTAGTTATTGTTGAAGGAACCACCAACGGGTCGTCGGTTACCTGGGTGATATCATGTATATAACCCAGCCAACCCCAACCTACTAGTAGTCTAGTTCTAGATCACTACGTTTACATATTCAGATAACAACGAATACTACCACATTACGTCCTACTATTTTACCTTCGTTCAACAGTTATGAATACCTAGTTACTTTAACACTGTATTTTGTTTTGTTTTTTGTCTCTTTATCGACGCCGCCCCCATCTCGCAGCAACGATTCCCAACCAAACCAAACCAAATGTCGACCATCGAGATCATCATATGCGTTAGCCTAATCGCGATGGCGATTTGCGCTGCTTTAACGACCTACCGTACGTACTTCCCTCCCCCTCCTCCCCCCATCTCTCGTCCAGATTGGCTGGAAGCCGTTGAAGATACGGCTAGAGATGTGCACAAGCTTAACACCCGGGTGGCTCACAGCGAGCCTGGGGTAATTCCCGAGGTTCAAGCACCCGTAGTGGCCCCCATCCCCGCTCCCAGTTCTAATACTGCTAACGGAACGCAATAGGTGTATAATACAATGCCTTTCCCGGCCGGGCTTACTAAATAAGACCGGGGGATGGATTATCATGCTTCAAGGAGTGGACCTCAAAGATGAAGCTGATCCGGGGCGTGAGACCTACGATACAGAACGTAGGGTCATGTGTCTGGGGATCAAAAAGCTTGTATTCATAAGATCTAGGGTCTGACGCCATGATATATAAGATCTACTGTCCTTGTCCTTCCTTCCCTGGGGACGTCGGGGCAGGTGTCCCCCAACATGGATGGTCATGGGCCCCAGCAGCGCCTTACATCTTACCGCGATTGCTGGGTCTAGTAGCCTCTCCATAGAGAGGTGAAGCTAAGTGAGGTAAGGTCAGTCACTTGCCTGTTTTGTATCCTTGTGAGATATACCCGCTTATTGTCTCTGCTTAGGTCGACCTGTCGTTATTACGCTCTATAAGAGAATGAGGTTCGTTGGATAATGTGGATATCGTCATGAGAGACGAAAGGGCGCGGAGGCTGAGTCTGGAAACGTTTCATTTTCTACGAAAGAGTGGTCCAGATTGCCCGGTGACTCTCCGAAGGTTCAGGTTCGGAGCAAGGCCATATTTGATAACAGGGATTTATTCCGAGTCTTTTTAATCGAATTATTTTCTCCTCTTAAACAAGTTGAGCAGGAAGCTATACTTATACTTTGATATGGTCCATGAAAACTACCTACCTATGTACGTAATCGTGTGCCAATGGCGTTTTCTACTGTTCCGACGAGTGGTTTTTCCCCCTTGTTTTCATCGGGACACTCGCCAGAATGATTATAAAACGCCGTGGCGCGCTACCATAGATATTCAAACCTTGATGATAAAGATCACTTACCCATCAATTTCCTTTTCCCTATATTACCGAGCGTACGAATCTGATGATATCTACATACAAGTTCCGAAGTACTGATGACGGTAGCAGATGATTATGCCAGTAGCATTTACCATATGGCACAAAATTTCCTTTTGCTATTACTTATCTTCCTTACAATATCATTATTTTCATCATCTCGGGCGCTGGACAATACAGCTCCGTCCTTCTCTTTAGTGGCGCTTACCATCTCATCTAACACCCCTTCCTACCACAGAAGGTCTCATTGGATTACCACAATAGGCCGTCGACTACTTTACACACACATCTTGAAATTGCTCGCTCGCCATCATTCTTTTCATTACTCAGAGGGCGGCTCACACCTTGCCCGCAATGAGTCTCTAATAACAATTGACGGGATCCATTATTTCCAATAGATATAGTCGTATATGATAGGTCAACCCCTTTTAATCTGCCTATATCACTACATTACAGCAGGCATGACGATGAGCTCTTGAGATTTGATTTGTACTTTTTAGCTAGAGGCCTGGTTGCGGTTCGCAGAATGGCCGAAAACAATTACCCATGGCACCACGTTGCCAGCCTGTCGTTCTACACCATCCGCACGCCGTTGGCCATTGACACCGAGGCTTCATTGAGTCTAATTGTAGCTGCTATGGAGACGTTTCAGGTTGTCGCCAGGAAATACCAGACCTCTCTAATGAAAGAAGCTATTGACATTATTCGCATATTACTGTATCCACATCGCAAACGGCGCTCAGTAAATGTCAGCATCCTCAGCCAAGCTCTAACCGTGTCTCTATCCACGAGCAAAACCTCTTCGGGCTCACCCTATACTAGTCTCTGCGATCAGCTCGACAATGAGGAGTCAACAACAATCATGGGCTGTTTGGCTGACTTTCCAAACCTGCAAAACATGAGATTTGCAGATATGTTCCCCGGTCTGATGTAATAGACGAGCTCGTGAGCTATATAGTCGTCTTAGCTTGAAGCCAAGTCCCATCTCTTCTTGAGGTTCGAGGAACTTTCGACTTGGAATTCCTATCCCAGGCCTGTTTCTTCCCCTATGCCACTTTAATGCTGTCATCTTAACCTTACGATTTAGTCCATAGAAACAATTCTTAAGGTTCGATAGATTAGTATTGAGATTAATTTTTTTTTTCGCCCATGATGTTTGGCCAAACATTGTATCCCATGGACTCAGACACGAAAGCCCGCAATCACGAAGGCCTCCACGTTGCGCTCATTAAATGAAAGAAGCAGGTCATATGCAAACAAAGTTATGATTCAAGTTGTTCAGTATGTCCTGTCTATTTATTCTATATGGTATTCTCGCTTGTTACTGTTGCCTTGATTTCCTTTAGTTCGCTTGTAGGGCGGCTCTATGAGTAACGGTACTTATGAATATCAAGCCAAAGAACGCGGTAAAGGAGAAGATTGTGGGTTTAGTGTGATTCCACACGAATTGAATCAACTCACAGCATCGTTGAAAAGTCTAGCCCACAGTTGAGTCAAGCAGGGTTAATATTGTACTTGATAGCTATAGATGAACGAGGGGGGGGATCCCAAACACAATACTTTTTAGTAGGCCTCCAATGTCTTGTAATCCTATCGACTTTTATTACTTTCTCAGAGATAGAAAATCCTCAACCACGAGCAGTCTTCTCGTCATATTCATCCCCGTAGGCGCTATACCACCGTTCAACCAGGTCCTGTGCTGCACCAGCCCCAATAGTGTCTTTTCCAGAATCAAGGCCAAGGTTCACCTCGGACAGGAACTCATCAATACTGAGTGCCGACTTATTCTTGTGTTTCTTGTTGTCGTCAGGATCTGCCCTTTCGCGGTGAAGGTCGGTGGCCACTGTTGGTGGTACGATTTCTACCACGCCAATGTTGGTATATCCATTTTGGTGCAGTTGTGTCCTCAGATTCATAGTCCAGAAGTGCACCCACGCTTTGGTACCGTTATAAACCGGGTTGATGGTCAAGAATGGATTGTAGCCCACAATGCTCGAGACGTTGATGATTACAGGCGTTCCATTGGACTTCTTGAAGTGTGGCAGAAAGCCCACTGCCAAATGCAAAGGCCCGTGAACATTGATGTTGATTTCTTCATCTGCCTTTGCCAAAAGCGTCGCTGGGTCATCATTTACCACATCTAGCGGGCGCTGTACTCCCGCATTATTGACCAGACAGTCAACATCAGGATGGTCTGATAAGACTTGAGTAATGAAAGGCGCAATGTCTTGAATTCTTCCTGTGTCGAGGACGTAATAGGCGGCGGCTCCAATCTCCTTGCTAGTAGCTTCGAGTTTTGACTTTGTTCGTCCGACTAGGATGACTTTTTTGCCTCGCTTGATGAAGTCGATGGCGAGACCTTTTCCAATACCTCCAGCGCCTCCTGTAATCACAGCGCACTTGAAGTCGTATTTTGTAGAAACCATGTTTTCGTCACAGTCTGGTGAGTTCAAAGTCCTTGCTGTTGACAGATTGTATAATGTAGTATGTGCTGGATGAATGGCTGTGTTAACTAGAATGGCTTCTGCTTTTATATGCCATCAACAGAGCTCACAAAAACAGAATGAAACAGCAGGCACTATAATCGCTTATAGACTCATTGGAAAACAACCCGTGTAATTGGGTTCGGCGCGGGCCCGGATACAGATGCCCGGCGCTGACATATACAGGTGAAGTTCAATGGCATCATCACTCTTCGGAGGCCCCGGAGCCGGCCCACGTCTCCAACACAAAGCATGTCTATTTGTCTATCTCTACCTAGCAGCTTGACGGTTTCATATATCCAGCGATATGCAATTACAGGCCAAAGCGCAATCGCCTATAGTCGGGATTAAACGGTGCGCCAGCGCTAACAAGCTTCATCTCTTCAGCGTCTATTTAGTCTGACAAATGAGCCTCAACCTCGGAGCATCCCGGAACGGACAAGGCGAAATGTTCCATCGAAACCTTGGCCGAGTGGCGAATAAAGAGATGTTTCTTGTTTTAAGCTTGGTGGAAGCTAAATACATATGCCGGGATTTTTTGTATAGACGAGAAAGACATGCAAAGCAAACCTCGAGCAAAATAGGTGGTTTTTGAATACTTCAATTGACCCTATTAAATTTGTCTTTATAGCTTAGCTATCCTCTGCTTGTTTGGGTGGCGGAAGGGGGAGTTGTTCTTTTGAAACATGTCAATAAAGGGAAACAAAAGAGACAGATAGGATGACAGGCAGGATATGTAAAAACAGACCCCTTTAGCCAATGGCTCGCAATTGCTTGCACGAGACATGCCGCGATAACACGGCCCCCAATACCCCATCTTCGTATTGCTACGAAGCTGCCCAAGTTTTCGCTTAATTTTTCATCCGGCTTGTTCATCTCATTACTGGCACCATGAACGAGGCTTACAAACTCGACTCTGCATTGCAGCAGTGATGCCATCCGGATAGGGACCGGATAGGGACCGGAAGTGGCCAATGTCGATCCCTGAGTCGGTCCCGAATTGTGTGCCTCCTAGCCCCGGCAAAGACCAAGATTGCAAAAACTCAACTATCCCCTGGCCAGGAACGTACGCTAGCGGCTTACGGCCGGGTGTCTTCCGCTTCCCGAGTCCGCCGCCGTGCTTCTCTCGGGGCGATCTGCACCGTCGCCCTCCGGCGAGAAGTGGGTAACTCGGCGCCAAACAAAGACTCAGTCTCGGCCATCTTTGGCAAATCTGGCTCTTCTCGCTGCTGAAGTTGAAATGTGGAAAATCAAAGGGCACTTGAAATTAGCATTCGAGGTCCGAATTTGTGACAAAGAGGCTTGTTTTCGTCATGTAATTGTACAAGGCGAGGTGTGAGCTGCACCATTCAACATTTGCCATCTGCGATGTTCACAGATCTACATGTCAGTAAATTTTCAAGTCCCTGCTGGTCATAGGCACTTGTACTAGGATATCAGGTACTGAAGGGGCCATTTAGCATCGGGTCACATGACAAACTGTGCGATAAACAGTTGTAGCACTAGTAGGCGGATTGGCGATGCCAGCTCATCCAGCTCATCCATCGCCCACGACGTGACGGGCCAACTTTGCTGAAGCGAGCAAATCACCGGTCTATATCGCCCCTAGAAGATGTGACACTGCAACGGCATGCATGCGCGCCACGGTTCAAAGTGTTTTCCCCGCGCGCGCCACGGAGCACGAGCGTCCGCAACAGAATCGCGCGACGCTCACCCAACGCGGCCGTAATCAGTAGCCTCCCTCCCCCATCTTGCTGAACTTTTCCTCTGGTGTTTTCTTGATCTCCATCAGAGCCGCCCATGGAGAGAATACACGGCCGAAAACGACACCGTACCGACAAGCCCTCGTCTCAAGAGCAATTTCTGACCAACGGCGGAAAGAAGCAACGCGCCGATGACTCTCCGCCCGAAACTGACCATCTGGCGAAGGAGCCTAAGCCCGGGCAGCCCCTTGAAGATGTCGGTCAATGGAAATATCCGCCAGAGTTTTGGGATAGACTGTCCGAGATCCCTCTCATCCACAGTGCTATAGAAGAACTTGAAAGGCGCACCTGGACTCGTCCTTCATATCCTCCACCTCCGACAGAGCTTGCCAAGGACTTTACGCCTGCTGTCGCTGTAGAGCTTGTACGATTTGCGAGACACGGCGGTCCAGATTTGCGTCATCTCCGGGGATATCCTCCCGCACCAGACAACCATCAACCCGCGGTCGTTGTGAGCTCCCCTCCGCGAAGCCAAGCAACCAAGTCCACCAATCCAACCACCCGTCCAGTAACCTCAAAGTCGACCACGACCAAAGAGTCGGCAACCCCATATAGCCGCGGCTTCGAACAGCATTTGACGGATCATGCCATTCATCCAACCTGGAGATCGCGAAAGCCCGACCTGGAAGATACGAGAGCGGCCCTTGCAGTTCCAAGGCGGTCTCTCTCACCGTCCACGTTTTCCAATAGCGTATTTGAAACATTTCAAATTTCCAACGATCAGTCCAAGGACGAAGATGATGTGAAAGCACATGTAGTTCCAGTAATCATTGGAGCTAGGCAACCCGATCACCCTATGGCTCTGAATACATTGTTTGGGAATCTTCGACCGCTCACAGACGGCACGCTGGCCCCGGCGAATCCAGATATCTATTACGGCGCCTACCCTGAAGAGCTTGACCGATCGATCCGTAACGATCTCGCCGGTGAGATCATACCGTCAACCATGCAGGACAAGCCTATGGCACCCAACTTTTTTATGGAGGTTAAAGGCCCAAATGGCGGTGCTGCTGTAGCAGTACGGCAAGCGCGTTATCATGGAGCATTTGGAGCCCGTGCTATACATGCGTTGCAAAACTATGGCAAAGATGGGCTAGAATACGGCAGCAGTGCCTATGTATTCAGCTCGACCTACCACGACGGCGCGCTGAAACTTTACGCCCACCACATGACGGCGCCGTCGGCCCCAGATGGGCGGCCTGAGTACCACATGACTCTGGTAGACGCATGGGCTATGACTGGCAATATAGATGATTTTCGCCGTGGGGCCACTGCGTTTAGAAACGCCAGGGACTTGGCAAAACAGCATCGTGATAGCTTCGTTCAAAGCGCAAACGCCAGAGCATCTCAGACGAGGACGGCCGCTGCTCAGGCAGACGCAGCTGAACCAAATGAAGATGATAACCCAACGCCTCGTGATGATGTGGATCCCGCACAACACATTGCTTTGCAGGACGCTGATGGCGAACTCCGGCAACACATTGCAATCGCTAGTTCGTACGACTTGGAAGATGCGGGCGAAGCGCCTACTGTTCCTCTCTTTCCTTGCACAAAAGACGATTCTCAAGAGGCGGAACCAGATGCGAGCCATGAATCCGGCGATGGCCCCTCTATGAGTTTTATCTCGAGCTTCACATCGAGCTTTAGCAGTTCCAAGCGTCTGAGACAATCTTTCAATCCCCCTTCCCAATCCAGCGGGAGTCGTGGTTCGAAGACTCGAACGCGACCGGACGCAATCTTATGAAGAGCGAGGTGATGTTTGATGCGGTCCAGTAGCTGTTTGATAACGGCTTTTGTGCATTTGCCAGACTTTACTAAAGAAATCTAGATATTTAAATGAAGATTATAATTTGCTAATGATCAGGCATATATATGAAGACGTCAATCCTACCCCCTTAGTCAGATAATATGTGAAAACGTAGCGCGATGGCTAGCATAAAGCGAAGAGGAGAAAGGCCATCTGTTGTCTTCAATGACGACGATCTATCTGATATTGATGATGGTATAAAGTATATCTAAAGGAATGAGATTGTGTGTTTCGGGCTTGAGCAACCCTTACTGCTATGTCTGTTACAAGACATCGAGCTTGGGGAAAGCTATTGACGGGATCCCATCTTTTCCAATGGATATGGTCGTAGGTGCTTAACTACGGGAGTACTTGGCCTCCAAAACCCCCCCACAGCAAATAAAAATAGAGCCGGATTTTACTCGTCCAGCTTGGTAGCAACATTGCCTGTTGGTTCTGGGACTCTGAACCTTTCTGGGCACACTCACTCGAGCCAACACATTTGCTTGTGCCAGCAGGCTGCCGCTACCTTCACCGCCTGGCTGCATTCACCCGAGGGATAGTTGAAGTACATGTACTCCGTATATGGATGTTTTCGTAGGTCAGGTACCTAGTTCGTAGAGCACCTTGCTAGTTCGTAGAGCACCTTGCACCTTTTCTTTCGCCAACACTCCCCGCACTCCACGATAAACCTATTTTCTCCTTGGTCTTCTGGGTTTTGACTACTACGACCATCAACCACCAATGCTACTAAGCGGGGCTTCAATCGTGAAGCAGGGCATAGTGCGCAACCTACGATCTGCTCTGCAACAGCAACAGCCATGTGGCGTCGACCTCTCTTTGCGTCGTGTCTTAACATGGACCTCACCGGCCACAATCGACTTTGACAATTCGCATCGACAAGCTGCCACTACTTGCGAGCTACGCTTTGACAAAGAAACTGGCACTATTAAACTACGCCAAGGGGCCTATCTCGTCGAATTCAACGAAACTGTCTCGGTCCCATTGGACTGCATGGGCCAGGTGTTTGTGAGGTCGTCACTATGGCGGTCTGGTGCCACACTCACGGCGGGTGTTGTGGATGCTGGTTACGAAGGCGCTCTCGGTGCATTGCTGGATGTCAAGAATCCAGCCGGGATTTTGCTCTATAAGGATGCCAAGCTGGGGCAGATTGCGATGCATCAGTTGGAAGAAAAGGTTGCAGGCTATCGTGGTGTTTATCAATTTTCGGGGAGCAGTCTGGGACGCGATGGACCTAGCAAAAAGTAACCATACACTACCTAGGTAGTTTTATTAAGGAGTTTAGAACACGATGAAACATGTTGCAGGTGTTGCAGAATGTAGTAGATGTAGTAGATGTGGTAAGTGGGAATACGGCTATATTTTACGGGCTTCTCCCTACGACCGAGGAGAGATGGTGCTCTAAAACATCTTGCACGACTTCATAAAGCTTAGACCTCCCTGTCAGGACACTCCGCATCCTCTCATTCGAGAGATCCTCGTCGTACTTTTCGGCCACATTATCCGAAATGATATGAAGGTACCCAAACCGGATGCCACTTTGAACCGCTGCCTGGGCCATCATTCCCACCTCGGGATCGACAAAGTCAACAGAACTCGGCAACGTTGCGAGCCAATGCTTCGTTTCATGCAGGACGCTCCCCAAAGTTAAGTGATTCCCTGTAACTGTACAGGCTTGAGCCACACGGGCAACTGAACCCTCAAGAACATTTTCCCATTCCACGGCTTGGCCACGCACGTACGAAAGCCCTCCGGTTGCCAGCAAAGTGTTTGGCCTCAGTCCCTTCTTAACGCTTCCCAGCTTGCCAAGGTAGAGAACCTCACGCACACCACACCGAGACGCAAGATAGTGTACGACTTCTCCGGAGATATCGCCCCAAAACGCAGGCCGAAAGCCTAGGAATGCCACTTTACGGCCATTGAATTGGCGCACCTTCCAGGCAAAGCAGCCGTCCCCAGCCCAATCCACGGGGCCGATCAGCCGCTCCATGCGATGGACCATGCCGAGAACTACAATGTCAACCCTTTCTGGGAATTCACAAATATTAGTAGCCTTGAGAGCGGTTTGGGTGTCGGAGCAAGAGGCTGGTTGGAAAGACACCCTAGACGGAGGTGTCAACATGCCTCCTTGACGCTGCTGAATGCCGAGGAAACTGGCAATGGCCCCAGCGTAGTGCTCTACGTAATCATATCCTGGAAAGCACTCGATATAGAGATGGTTGTTGATGATTTGGGCAGTAGGTCGCTGCCAGTTGAAAGGCTTGTCTCTTTTTTCTCCCTGAAAGATGGTAGAAGGATATGTTCGCCTGTATGCCCCGACGACGGTGATTCCATCGTAAGCGCGTTCGCGAACTGCTTGGTGTACTTTTAAGTCGAGATATCGAGGCAAGGAAGCACCCATAGTATGCTCGTCTATAGTGGCTTCGTTTCGAGGGTACACTCTATTATTAATAGTATAAGGTCGTCTGTGAAAGGGCGGCATATTAGCTTTGGCAGATATTTCGAGAGAGTGTTTGTAATGCAGACCTGGTAATTGAAACCCGGAAATAAGGTAAAGTGCAAGCCATGTGTTGTCCCGCCCCATGGGGCAAAGGGGTGGGAATTTTCATCGCAATTCGTGTCGCAAGCAGTACAGGCATGGTTCGTAGATAATCCAGTCGCGTCGTATGCAAAATACTTTTGAGGAAGAAGGTACATACAATTGGCTAGGTAAGTGATATTTCTTTTCCAGCCCATGAGTCGGGTTCTATTTCTGTATTTAATGCTTCCGCCATAGGCCGCATACAGCTTATTTGCAATAGTAACATATACTAATATTCATACACTTATTTTGTAACACTCTAATTTGTGTGACTTTGTATTACACCTCTCGGAACATATCCTGGATAATATCACCGCTGATCAATGATAAAAGTCTGGTATTACGGCTAAAATCCTCTTGTGATACCTTTGCCTGGTGTGACTTTATACCGCATATCTCGGAAAATAAGCCACTGACTCTTGCCATCGACTGTTCTTAATGAACTGGATAAATATTTTTATACTCATGTAGATGATTGTCTTTGGGAAACATTTGCTGTATCAGCTTTACACGTTTGCTGCTATATATATCCTGCAATATTTAGGGGATATTTCTTTACGGGGCAGGCACATTCATGGCATGGAGCACTCATTTACATCACCATCACTACAGATACATGTGAATTGTCGAAATCTCCAAAATAGAGCTTCATTGATAATGTATTAACATCCCTAGTTCCATCTTCCCCTCATTAACCATGTATTCGAGTTGACAGTCAGCTCTAGAACGAGCACAAAACACATGTCTTCTGATCCACCATTTACAGCAGAGCAACGGCGGCAACGACACCAGCAGCCAGGACGGATCCGACAATGCCAGCAGCGTTAGGAGCAGCACCGTTGGCGGGAACAGAGCTGGTGGGGTGGGCGCCAGAGGAGGTGCCGTTGCCGTTGTGGCCAGGAGTGCCGGTGGAGAGTCCCCTGGAGGCAGTGGCCGTGGACGAGCCGCTGGAGACGACGGGAGCGGCGGTGGTAACGGCAGCAGAGGCAGACTGGGAAACGGCAACAGAGGTAGCCAGGGTCGTGGCCTCGGCGGTGGTGGCCTTGGCGGTGGTGGCCTTGACGATCACCAGGGTCTCGCCGGTAGCAGAGGCCTCGGCGGAGGAGGTGGCGGCAGCATCCACGGCCTTGGTCTGGAGGTCGAGGTAGCTGGGCGAGTAGGTGGCGGTGCCCGAGTACAGCGGGCATCCCGGGACGTCCGTCTTCGGGGGGGCCCGGCCGCCGCCGCAGTCCAGGAAGTCGCAGAGCTCGCCGGTGCCGGGGACGTACCAGATGCGGCTGGCATAGGCGTCGTAGCCAGGCAGGCCGCTGGGCTGGACGACGGTGTCGGTGTAAGTGCAGCCGGCAAGGTCCGTCTTGGCCAGGGCCGAGACGGCCAGGAGGAGAGTCGCGGCGAGGGATCGAACAGCCATGGTTGACGTTTTTGTTGTTGATGGTTTTTGTTTCAACGTGTAAGTGAAGTGAACGGGGCGAGAGAGTTCAAGTTGACGATGGACTTCAACAGCCTTGAGCGTTCAGCAGCAAATGAGCGAATGGACGATCACCGGAGCAATCTTGGATAATGAGTGAATGACTGGCAGAAACAGAAAAGAAGCCAAAAGCTCGCGTCTGCAACGGCCATGGCGGCCCTTTTAACGAGATCCCAAGATTCCTAGCCTGGCACCAACGTGCCGGGTGGCTCCCATTTGCCCGCAGCCTCCGGGTCTACCAAGATGAGACGCCGCTAACTTGGGCCCGTTCAGGCAATGGCCGAGCCACGGGCCCTGGAATCGGGGATTTCTGCTGCTTTGCCGCCTGGATCGAATGGTTCGATGGGGTATCGCTCGCTTTGCAATTGCCCCTTTTTGCTTTGCCCTTGCAGTGGCCATTATGCTGGCTGTGGAGGTGTCCGTGTCTTTTGCTGCCTGCCATTCGGCGACTTCCAGTTGCCACCTACTGTACTGTATACTACATGTGACATTGAGAGCGCTGTTGGGAATTCAATTTGCCACGAGCACGGGTCTGTTTAAATTACCCCGTTAGCTCTGCAGCCAACGATGCATTCCATATAATACGAGAAATGAGAAAAACCTGCCAACCATGAGTGGAGTGGTGATGAGGTCCAAGTCGTGAACGAACTATTGAGCGCTAAGAGATTTTTTTATGTCCGGGGCTAAAGGCCAAGGGAGACGCAGGTCTACTAATACACCGAATTACAAACAATATTTCAAAATACAATACTACTTACTGTTTGAGTTTATTTATTATTGTCACGTAAAGAACAGAAGAGAGAGAGAAAGATGATGCTCGTTGTTCCAAATAATGCAGGTTCACAGCGTTGAGAATATTCTAGAACACGCATCCCGCACCTCGCCTTTCGGCCTCGGAATCTTTTCCCCAGCGAGTCATTGGAAAGTCTAATGCTCCAAAACACTAGGCGTATCATGGCATGGCAACCCCTATTTTTAGATTCAAGGAAGTAGACGAGAGAAGGGACATCCTCGGATAGAAGGGTACCGTTAACTGATCCGAAGTCCGATTAAGCGTCGCTGTCAACAACCGAATCCTTGGACCAACGGTAACTGAATACAATCCGTCAATTCGACATGTTAAGAAACATCAAGTATTTCTTCACACATACGGTTCTTTAGGCTTTTTCTAAAGCTTCCACAACATAACATCTCCTCATCCATTTTGAGCTTCAATCTCCTCATGCGTCCTTTCGTAGCATAGCGCCTCGCTCTGCCGGCATTATGGCTCCTGGCGCGGATTTGTTTTTGCTTTTGAAATCATCACAGATTTCTTCATTCGTTACGAATTCGACTCCTTCATGCTTCTTGAAATATTCAATCAGTCTTGTAAGGTGTCAATTGTCAGTTTAAATGTTGCAATGCGTCCTTTATGAAATCTTTCACGCACCTCTCATGCATGAGTAAAGCATGCGGTCGGCCCGATACATCTGGGTGAATAGTCACAGGGAAAATGAACTCGTCGTATTCGCGATAAAAGTAGTCAAAATGATCGCGCCAAATGTCCTCGACGTCTCGAGCGTTTACAAAACCGTGACTGTTGGGTGCTTTCTTGATGAACATCATTGGCGGCAGGTCATCCAAGTACCAATTCGATGGAATCTCGACCAAGCCCGTGCTGGTACCCATATCAAGGGGTTTCATCCACGACTCGGCATTCTTGGAATAGTCAATTTTGGTCCAAGATGTTCCCACAGGCAGATAGTAGGCCTGGCAGTCGTGATGGCTCATGCTACTGTCGTACTCGATTCCATAGTCCAACAGAAGCTGGGCACCTTCGCGGCTGGTCTCCCACCTGTAACAGCGTCAAAGAACAAATTCTGACTCACGCCAGGGGCTTTGTGACAGAAATCTTAAGCTTACCATGGTGCGACACTACCCCTGGGCGGTTTGCCGGTAAATTCGGCAAGCTGGCGGTACGTCTTATCTAATACTTGCCGCTGCTGCTCCATCGTCATGGCGGTCGGATTCTCGTGAGAGTAGCCATGCAAGCCAATCTCATGGCCAGCGTCTCTCACGGCCTTCATGTCTTCCGGGAACGAGTCGAGACTGTGCCCTGGAATGAACCAAGTGGTCTTTATGTCATATTTGCGAAAGAGCTTAAGCAGCCGCTGTGTGCCAACGGTACCAGCAAATATGCCTTGTTACAATTAAAATAAGAAATCATTGTCAAAACGCCTCTATCTTTATATCAAAATCTCTCATTGCGTATATGGCACCTACCTCGGCTTATATCGTTGGTTGAGTCCTCTCCGCCATAAGAGCCAAGCCAGCCCGCAACAGCGTCGACATGAACTCCGTAGCTAACAAGCACTCGCTTTTTGCCCATTGCAATAATTCCGCAAATACCTCAACAAGGCTTGATGGATGATGGGAATCTTGGTTTTCTAATCAATGAGAATAATATATATAAAGACGTAAGACAAACGTGCACTTTGGCCATTGGGCGGAGAAAAGGCGAAAAAACGTCATATCAAAGGTATCTAATGGCGGGGTCGTCGAAGATGCGATCTGCAAACGCCTGCCTTCTTAGGTAATACATGGCTTCATACCCGGGCTCATATACAACAACATTCAATTTTTGTGAGCCCCGTTCTTGTTGTTGATTTATTCACTGTAGTAGTCCATGTATGGAGAAATAGACATCTACATCATATAGTAGGTCTGGGACCCCTACTCCAAATCGTCCCTCCACCAAGTCTACCTCTCAGCTACCAGGGATTATTCATCACCCTGTTGAAGACTATAATGATTATCTATCAAGACTATAATGATTATCTATCGAGGTTTGGCTAGTCCTGGGCTGCTGGTGTTCTATTCTGATACTAAACAAGGGAGGTCTTGCGACTGCTTAAAGTCCTGCCAATCTTGGACATGCTGGGCTTTGCGTGATCACTGACTGCGGATTGCTCATCAATAGCGTCTTGCTTGGCATCACCGCTCAGTGCGTTCAACTACTCGGCCATTTGCAGAATGACAGCCAACTAGTAGCTCTTGACTGGACTTTTGCGTTTCTGGGCGCCTGGTTCTAGAACGGCGGCCAAGGCCCCCAAGCGGCATGGGGGAATTCATGGCGCACTAAGCGCCTTGTTACGGTGCCTACTCCGTAGATAGTGAATGCATGTGGCGTCTGTATTGATCGGAGGGTCGATCCGTTCCGGGCGAGAACGCCACAGGACTCGAGGCTATTCGTTATGAAGACCCAAGCAGCTGGACAAGTTGACGCAAGGCCTGTGGCAGAGGCAAAAATACAGCTCAGAATGTCTTGTGGTGATATTGCTAGCACTATCAGACGGCATGTATACTGCAAGTTCTCTGCGATTCAGAATCACCGATAGAATTGCGCTATTATGGGCCGATAAGATACCTGCAGAGTACTCTGGAATGCATGATTGGAGATAGTCGGCGCACGGACCAAACTTTGTTTCTAGCGCCAGGCTGATCTCCCGCCCCCAAAAAGCGACATGGATCTTCCAACCCTGCTCCTACCACTTCAAGACTGTGCCTCGTGAGAATTGCTGCTGGAAATAGTATGCCGAATATGCCCAACATGCCCTTCAAGGCCTGGCGCATCACGAGCTCAAAGGCCGTAAAAATCTCGGCAAAAGGCCTCCCAGCTCCTATAGGCGGAGCCCCAATTTGCCTAGAGACGGTGCAGATACAGTCGCAGATAAGCATCAATTTGTGTTTGTCGTCCACCCCACTGATCATCCACTTCCAGCCAGGGTGTCCAACCAACTTGCATGTTTGCCTCTGCATGGCCCTATTGCGTCTATAGGGCTTATACAGCAGTCTCGCCGACAAGGACAAAAGTCCCCTCGGATGCGGACGAGGCATAAGTCTGTACGGATGTTTGCTACCAAACGGCCAACAATCGTGGTGCAACCAACTCCTGGGCCAGGCTCGAATCAACCGCCACCCTCCAGCGCTCGGTACGGTCTTCCCGTTGGAGGCGCAGTCTTTTGTTTCACTGTAATCTCGGGTTAGCTGCACAACCGCTCACACGGAACACGTTCTTCAAAAGTTCCTTTTCCCCTCGAATGCTTTCGCCAAGCTCCTATCACTGTGTCTTGCCCTGATCCTTGTTGCCGGCTGGGGTCACACATATTCTTCACAAAACATTGAACGACAGTAAATTACCCAACTCTGTGCTACAAACCTCAAGCCATAGCGTGGAATTGATGTTTGTCTCATTGTCAGTATCTATACAACGTCGCGGCATGAGCCAAGGGATAGCTTTCTAGAAACCCCTTCTTCTATCGAGAGGAGCCATGGTCTCGGAAGAAGCTCTCTTCTCTGCCGTATACGACAGTCAAAGATGTTTACGCAACTCAGAAGCTATCGATGAGCCCTCCCTGCAATGAATAAACACATGATCAAGCAACGAGATGGCATCCCTTTCCCAGCTGTTGGTAGAAGAGGGGCCTTGCTCTGGCCAAGACGCTATGGCTCCATGAGCGCGAGTCCTTTCCAAAAGGTCCCATGGTTAAATGTGCTTGGCACTCGATATCAGTGCTTCAGTCCTTGGGATATCACACTTTAACGCTACCATCATGCTCACGAGGGAATAGAAAAACAGAGCAGCGCTTCGTTATCGTGCTCTACCTTGCATTCAACCATCACCCTTTATCATTTGCCGCATATAATGCTAATTCTAGGCACTATTGCCGCTTCAGGCAGGATGAGTTCAGCGAATACGCATAGGATGTAAAGATCAGATTGCCAATATATTTCTCCATGGCGGAGAGCTTAACGCCAATGCTGCATTGTGCGCATCCAGATTGCTCACCACCCACCATTGATGAGCTTCTTATGCAGATGAGCATTCATGATACGTCTTTGTGGGTGAGTCGAGACCCTTGGCATTCTGACCCCAGACATATCTCACACATCAACATTGCACCATCTTTCGCACATGTTGAACAAAAGATCTTTAGACCCATGTTGGATCACCTTCACACGGTGTTACTTTCCTTTCGCATCTACTGGCTTTTCCCGCCTTTGCTGCTACTTGGATAGCCACTTTATGATGTAAAGCCGGTCTAAGCGAGCATGCATTCAGTGCTTTGGCTGAGTATCTAAGAGTTGGTGGGTACACCTTGCTTTATTCCCTTGTACTTACTCTTTACGTCTATAATGGCCCGGGATTCAGCTCATCTACAGCATGGGTAGGTATGGAATTGCCCGTCAGGTGTTTGTCTGTGTGATCCTCTCTCTGCTTCAATTCCTTATGCTAATTACCAGCTACCTGTAATCAAATTGGTCATATCCAATCGCATGTAAATGTAAGGAGGCTTTTGATGGCGCATGTGCCTCTCCGCCAAAGCTACGTATCTTGAACTCTAACTCATGTCTCAAACCACAGTGGAGGCCCTATAACTGTACGACAAGAAGCCAAACCGTGCAAGGGATGAAAATGGCGCTTCTTAGCTTCTCTGTACTGTTTTTCTGCCATACATGCTGCTTCTGGCGTTCGTGTTGGATGCAACCCCTTATCAAGCTCCCCCTCCCTCTTTTCCTCATACGGCTTTCAAGTGAACTTTGGCTCGGAGAAATTGCTGAAAGCTATCTACTCTGCAGTGAGACAAGAGATATAACATTGACTGAACCCCTCTCCTATCGGATATTCTAGCCAGCTATTCATCTTTGTCAAGCCTGGAGAGTGTTTCGAACGGCCGTCCAAAGCCCGAAATACCGCAGTCATGTCTGAAGAACGTGTCAATCACGTCACCTCCACTGACACCAGCGGTGTTTTTGGTGAGAAGAACACTGTATGTGCCCCAAATATCGGTTCAGTTATGGCAACATCCTAGCCATCTATCGATACTCTTACTCAAAGAGTATACTCACAAGACGATGATTAATATTCTACCTCCAGGTTCGAAAAGAATCCAACGAGCTGCCTCAGGTCACTGAAGAAGACAATGTCGCAGAGCGCGACCTCCACGTCACCGAAGACGACTTGCTAGAGGCCAAGGAGCTCGCAGCAACATATACTCTTGAGGAAGTGCGCGAGGTAGGTGGCTATCAAAACTCTCAACATGGTCAACGAGCCAATAGACTGATCAAATTAGCTTCTCAACACCTTTTACAAACTGCACTGGAGAGATCCCAATTTCCCCTTGGACGTTATAGAGAGGATCGAAGACTTTCTCAGTGAGTATCCATCCCTACCACAGTTGATCAACTCAATATCCCTAACTGGCCCTACTCAGCCAACGATGGCATCTTTGATCAGCCCGAGAAACACGAGCAACAAATCTCTGAAATGAAGATCCAAGCCGCCCTCATCATCACAAACTCCCCCTACGCAGAAGTCCGCAGCGTCGTCGACAACAAAGACGACCCGACAATGCCCTGCTCCACCATCCGAGCCTGGGTTCTGGGAATCTTCTTCTCCGGCGCCATCGCCTTCATCAATGGCTTCTTCGGCATCCGCCAGCCCGCCATCAGCGTCACGTCCAATGTCCCCCAGCTGCTAGCATACCCTCTGGGGAAACTGTGGGAAAAGACGCTGCCGGACGTGGGCATCACGCTCTTTGGGACCCGCCATAGCCTCAACCCGGGCCCCTTCAACAAGAAGGAACACATGCTCATTACGCTCATGGCTAGTATCGCAAAGAGCACGCCGTACACCCACTACATTGTCTGGATCCAGTTTCTGCCGCACTTCTTCAACCAGTCGTGGGCCATCAACTTTGGCTACCAGATCTTGATTGCCCTGTCAAGCAACTTTATCGGCTACAGTCTCGCTGGCATCTGCCGAAGATTCTTGGTGTACCCGTCCTATTGTGTATGGCCGCAGGCCCTCGTCACCATTGCTCTAAACAGCGCTTTCCACAGCGAGGGCAATGCACCAGCCCTAGGACCATTCGGCAAGATCTGGACAATGTCGCGGTTCAAGTTCTTCTTCTACGCCTTCACGCTCATGTTTGTCTATTTCTGGTTCCCCAATTACATCTTTGCAGCGCTTGCGACCTTTAGCTGGATGACCTGGATCGCTCCAAACAACTCCAGGTTGACTTACCTCACGGGCTCAAACAACGGCCTGGGACTCAACCCCTTTCCCACTTTTGACTGGAACGTCCTGACGTACAACGTTGACCCTCTCATGGTGCCGTTCTTCAGCACTTTCAACCTGTTCATCGGCATGTTCTTCTCCATGTTCATCGTCATCGCCGTCTACTTTACAAACACGTACAACACCGCCTACCTGCCAATCAACTCGAACAAGCCCTACGACCATTTCGGCAACCGCTACAACGTCACCGCCATCCTCGACGACCGCGGCATCATCGACAATGCAAAATACCAAGCCTACTCGCCTCCCTACCTCTCCGCCGGCAACATCATCATCTACATGTTCTTCTTCAGCGCCTACACCGCCGCCCTGACCTACGGCTTCCTCTACCACCGGCTCGAAATCGCCATGGGCTTCAAAGACCTCGTCAACAGCTTCCGCCCCTCCAAGCGGGACGAGGTCGAAAAGGGCCAGATCCTCGACGTGCACAACCGTCTGATGAAGAAGTACAGGGAAGTCCCCGAGTGGTGGTACATGATCGTCCTCGTCGTCAGCGTGGCCCTCGGCTGCGCCGCCATCGCCCACTGGCCCACGCACACCAGCCCCGGCGTCGTCTTCTACGGCATCGCCCTGTGCCTCATCTTCATGGTGCCCACGGGCATCATCTACGCCATGACGGGCATCGAAGTCTCGCTCAACGTGCTGGCCGAGTTCATCGGCGGCTCCTTTGTCGAAGGCAACGCCCTCGCCATGTGCTTCTTCAAGACGTACGGCTACGTCACCTGCTCACACGCCCTCTACTTCAGCAACGACCTCAAGCTCGCCCACTACACAAAGATCCCGCCGCGCTTCACCTTCTTCGCGCAAATGGTCCCCACGCTCGTCTCGACCTTTGTCTGCGTCGGCATCGTCACCTACCAAGTCCACCTCGAGGGCGTCTGCACAAAGGACGCGCCCTTCAAGTTCGTCTGCCCCGGCGAAAACACCTTCTTCACCGCCGCCGTGCTCTGGGGCACCGTCGGCCCCAAGAAGATCTGGGGCGTCGGCGGCCAGTACTCCGAGACGCTGCTCGGCTTCCCCCTGGGCGTCGCCGTCGTCGTCATCTTCTGGCTCCTGGGCAAGTACTTCCCCAAGAGCCGCGTGCTTCGCAGCACACACCCCGTGGTCCTTCTATTCGGCGGCCTTCAGTGGGCTCCGTACAACTTGACTTACATGTGGCCCGCCGTGCCCGTCGCCGCGTTTTCATGGGTCTACGTTAAGAAGCGATATTTAGCTTTATGGTCAAAGGTAAGTAATGCCAAAAAAACATACTATAGATATCCCGCTTTTGCTAACATTTTCCACACATAGTACAACTTTGTGTTATCGGCCGCCTTCTCCGCCGGCATCGCCATCTCGGCCATTATCCAATTCTTCGGCCTCACCTATCACGGCATCGCCCTCGACTGGTGGGGCAACAACGTTGTCGCTCAGGGATGCGAGGCTGACGACTGCCTTCTCAAGACGCTGCCTGAAGGAAAGTTCTTTGGGCCTTCACCTGGCCATTATAATTGAATGTCGTTCCTTTTTCTAAATGCTCTCTCTCCTATTAGAGCGAATAGCTCCTCCTTTCTTTTAAGCGTTCTACATCATGGCATCTTGATATGTCCCTATATTACTACAATTCTCTTACAACGGATGATTACGTGACTTTATGGATGCAAGACGTCTATTTGTCTATAGGTAGCCAGTTGTGCAGTAAGATGAGCAATTCAAACCACATATATACATTCCGTACTCGGCCAGCAAATGTAAACGCAGCTGATATGATTGTTAGAGATCCAATGCATAATTCAAATTAAATCACAAGGACATGAAAATGAACAAAGATTGCATGTCAAACCGATGAAATTGAACGTATCTGAAAGACTATTAAGAAATGTGCAAAAATAGAAAAAACTCTTCCCTCAGAAACCGTTTTAGTCAAACATATAAGCGAAAGGAAAGTAAAACAACTCTCGTCCTAATTACTTCTTCATTCCAATACCCCGGATTGCGACAGGGCAATCCTCTTCCAGTGATCCCGCTCTGCCTCAAGCTTCATAATACGCTCTTCTAGCTCTTCAAATCGCTGGGCCTTGCGTTCCCGCGACTTGCGAGCAGCCAGAGTATTACGAGCTCGCTTCATGGCAACTGTGTCATGCATGTCCTCAACAACAATGGGCGGCAGGGGCTTTTCTCGTCGGCGAGGGTTGACGCCAGCAACGGAAGAGAGTCGCGCGCTGCCCGTAGGCGAGTCGGCTGACGACTTCTTCCTTCCGCTACCGCTACCACTGCCGGAAGATGATGATCGGCGCATAGGCTCTGATTCCAAAGGCGTCTGAGAAGGCGAGGCGCTTGCATTTGCAAGCTCCGTGCCGCTCACATCAGCAGGAAACAGAGGGAACCAGGGGTCGCTGGGGCCGTTATCAAATTCTGCGGTGCCAAAGTTGGGAGAAACATCATATGAATCAAAGTCGGGGCTGTCATTGTAGAGCGAAGGAGAGGTCAAGGCCGTCAAGGCTGCCGAATTCGGAGCGGACATGAAGGGCTCCTGAACAAGCAGATCTTGAGGAGACACGGTGCCAAGATTCGAGGTGGTGCTCGAGGCGCCGCTGCTGAAATCAAAGCTGGAACCAACAGCCGGAGAAGAGAAGGCCGTGGAGGCACCTCCTTCAAAGACGGTGAAGTCGTCCAAATCGACGTCTGTTGTAGGATATGAGTAAAAATGCAGATTAGATAAAATAGAACAAGAATTGTACAAACCTGCAGCGTTCATCATCTTGGCGGTTTGGATTTGGTTACCACCGTTCTGATGAAACAAAGGGACTGGTGGTCGAGTGCTGCGAGAAGACCGATTCAATGAAATGGTTGAAGATGGAGCAGAAGATGCGTAGAACTGATTCGATAAACGATTGCCGTAAGCAGGAGATTGCGATTGATGTCCAATAGCCTGAAGTATCTGGGCCACCCGTTGGTTCTGGACTGCGGGGGAGATGTGCTTCTCGCGACGAGAGTGACAAGAGTGACGACGTTGGCTAGGTAATTGGTTGCTCCTATTATGAGACTGACGACGAGGCTGATTGTCGAACAGAACAAAGTCCTGCTGGGGATTCTCGACGGGGTTCAGGGAGAGGTGCTCGGATGGTGCCGGCAGGGCGAAAGCTGAGTTGGGAAGCCATGTTGACTGGGAATCCGTGGTGAAGACTGAAAAGTCTTGATCTGAAATGTTTGCGGTGAGAAGGGAACTCGTGCTGATGCTATTCAAAGCAGGGCTGAAGTTCAGGTCGACCAAATGGTGAGCTGAACGGGGTTGAGTGGGGAGAATGTTGTTTATGTTGGACTGAATTTTGACGGAGGGGGCTGAAACGCTCTGGAAGAGGTTTGTTTAGATCATCGTGAAGGCAGCCTGAGGCTTCTAACGTGCTTTGCTTGATGTGGTATAAAAACTTGGGGTGAAGAGAAAAAGAGAAAAAAAAAAGAGGGAAAAAATTATTTGTGGCGGTTATGTATTTCTCAGGCAGCAACTTCTGCTGGCGGGTACGTACCCGGGCGGCGCGGATGGCGGTACCAGGCCAGGGCAGTGGCTCCAGGCGCAGCCCTAACATGCATTGGCGCCAGGCAGCCTGCTAGGCTGTTAGGCACCCGCTGAGCGAGACTACAGGCGCAAGTACAGGCTACAACCAGCCAAGGGCGCGCTGTGCAAGCCCCGCCGGTGACTCACACTTTTCGGCGCCAACCCGCTTCAGGCCTGGCCGGAACAGCGCCAGCCCCAGCAGGTGCCACCAGGCGTTTGGCGCCGCTTCCCCAGGCGATGGCACAGCCAGGGCTCACAGTGGAAGACGATACTGTGCGCGAGAGAGCAAGGAATAGGCCTATTTCCATGCTGCTTGTAGATATTTGTCCAGTAATATGATACAGTTGGTACATGTCCAAGAGCTTTTTCTGAGAATTGTCAAATAAAGCAACGCTGCTGCTGGCATTCAATCAATCTTCAGCAAATCTGTCAGCCAGCCAGTGCGGCCAATCAATAGACAACCTCCCGCTTTCAGTCGTCTCGACACGTCGACCCTCTCCAACCAGCCAACGAACGCCATTCGCCAGTTTCGAGCTTAAATCACATTCCACTAGCTGTTTCGCTTTTCTTTTTTTCTTTTTTTTCTTTTACACTTTTCCCAGCCTATAATCCTTGTTTCAAGTACTTTTGCACTGCTTCGTACTCCTCTCGCATGGCTTAGCAATCAACCCGTTTGCTCGGCCTTCGCCAGCCTTAGCCCCGAGTTACTGGTAACTACGCGAATCCTACGAAGCTACTGGGACCGCTAGCAGCGTCACTACTGGGTGGTGGTATTACTCGAGTTACCCCATACAGCGGCACGTTGGGTCTATCTCGTCTGCCGCCCTTCATAGGCCATTACAAACTATCGCAACATGGAAACGTGTAATCAGCAATTCTGCATCCTTGTATACACGTAGCCAGGATACCTAGACAGGTACTACATCCGTACATACCACAATAACACGTAAACCACAACGCAAGCCGCCCAACAGTTTCAGCACCCATCAGCAGCAACCAGCAACAACACTCGTATAAACCGCATACTGTAGGCACTGCTTCGATCTACTGCAATTTAACATCGACATGGGGAAAATTCCCGCGTCGAGGCGCAGACCTGTCTCATCTTACCCTCTGGATCTGGACCTGGATCAACGCGCGAATGGCAGCAACGAAAAAAGCGGCGGGTAAGATTAAATCGACCGCTTGGGGCCGTCATCAGTAAGCAACCGCCAGCGCAGCTGCAGTAGAGGAGGCTCAAGCCAGCACGAGAGCACAGTACGAACAGCTTTCTGCGTTTGCTGTCCCGCAGTGCAACCCCAAAAGACGATCAGAAGAATCCTTTGGTGCCAATGCAGCCCTTCGGACCCAAAGTATGCAGCGAGAGCACATGCCCTGCAGCCTCACCCAATAACTGGCTCACGCAAGCCTGTGACGACGACGACAACGACGAGCTCTCGAATCGAGCAGAGGCCGCGCGAGTCGTCGTCACATGGGGGAACAAGACATGCAGAAAAGGCCTCGTTTGAAATTAGTCCGTACGGATTGCGCCGTCCGCCAACTGTGCGGCACAACTGTCCTTTCCAGCTTGCCGGCTGTTATACGACGACAATACGATCAGACGCCCTCGCATTCACTAGCGGGCCTGGGTTCGCAATAGCGCATTCTTAGCAGCCAAATCGCACCAAGGCCTCGCACACAGATTGGGAAGTTGACTGCGCAGGCGCTGTCATTTTCATTTCTGTTTCTTTGTCGTTGCGGGCGCCATGAAGTCCTTCCATTGGCTCGCTGCAAGCGCCCAAGCCCGCCCAATCAAGCCAAGGGAGGAGAAGCAATAATGGCTAAACGGAACGAGGGAAATACTGCTACAGTAAACCCAGAATTCAGCGTACGGTTCTGACTTACTATAGGACGTGCAGTTGATACAGTGCGACAACTGATGTAGTAACTAACGCTCTTCAATCTCGAGCCCCATTTCTATAGGCATCAAAAGAGTTTAAAGGATATAAAGTATACATTCAGTTCACGCCGATGGCGGCACAAGTACCTATAAAATGGCAACATATATCTAGCCCATGGGATGGGTAAGCAACGAAGTTGGATATCTACCTCATTATTTGCCATCATTGACTACTAGCAAAAGGAGATGGAACAACGAAAATCTGGTGAGATTGGCGAGACAGACGCCGAGCCGCATCTTACCATTGGCCAAGACGTACACGGCGCTATCCCACGTGAAAGTCTGTCAAGTGGTCGGATTTCATGGAGGTTATCGGGGCCTCGGTTGGCCAGGGTGCTACTATAAAAACTGCCAAGAAATGCTGTAAACAGGCCGATAATAACAACTTTATTAGTATATGACTGTCTACTCGTGTAAGATGCAAGGAGAGAGGGGATGAAGTCTAGCCAGCTCGCTGAGTAATGGAAGCATCAAAATGGTCCGCTTAAACTCTACTGCGTCGATTGGAAAAGACTTGGAGATACCTGGTGATTTTGACGCCAAGCCAATCTCGGCTTAAGTACAAGTTGTGTTAAACTTCATTGTTGAGTCTATGAGGGACCCATAGTGGAGTTTGCGACAGCCGGCTGTAGGATTCTGGGTGTCTCTGTTGTTTTTTTGTACGTAGAATTGTATGTAAATGCCAAAAATATACGTGGTGCTTACTCCATAATCGATCGAGTCGATTTTGCGAGATCAGATCCCTAAGTTTGTCTTTCCTCCTATGTAATAGTATATTAAATTGAGAAATGTACCTAAAACAATACTCAATCCCCCATAGGCGAGTTCTCCAAGGAAATACGGTAGTAGCAGTGTTGTAGGCATGCGGACTGTACTGTTGCAATGTTCCTATAAAGAAAAGCTACCTTTTGCACATACTAAATACTTGAGTCTAAAAAAAAATCGCGCTCGTTACAGCGGCGAAGGGCCTTTTGGAAGGTATACTGAAATGGAATCTGTGAGCAGTTTTGCCATGTTGTCTTATAGACGCATTAGCGGGCATCAGCGTTTAGGCGTTATTCAATCTTACTTGTACACGGCAAAGAAGGAATCACATTGGGAACTTTCACAGGTAGCATCAAAAATAACTTCGTACTGTTGGTTTGACTAAAGCAGGCACTCACTACTAGTCATTCTAATGGGCAATCATCTACATTACCATTACAAGTTCGAGGATAATCTGCAAGATCCGAATTCACGAATTTTCCATTGTAAAAAAGCAGAGTGATTCCATCATAGCTTACTGAAATAGGGCGATTGGGAGATACATGTCGCACAGAAGAAAAAGAAAAGAAGGCAGAAAGTGTGTGACCTTTACTCCATCCTGGGTGATATTTTGACTACGCATGGTCTTGGATTGTCGTTGACATTTACTGATTCACTGGAAAGTCTTACAAAGCATCAATTCTCTCCAGCGAGATCCAAGATCTAGGACACGATACTACCCTGATTGATAAGTTCTTTCAGATTGGTGTTACTCTCCAGGACAGTCGGAAAATCACCGCCAGTCACCTCTCTGTGTTGCCACACAAACGACAGACATCCAAAACGGTGTCTTAGTCTAGAGGGCTAAATTGAGACGTACATAGTAAGATGTATTATATGCGAATTACCAAGTCTGCATCGGCTGATTCGAATCTTTGTCGACGGATCGTTCAAACATGTCTACACGTTCAATGCTTGGCGACTTGTTTAAACTAGGGGTCTGCGTCTCCAACAAATCCCATCAGACATCACTCTCATCAACACACACATATACATACACCAACCTAGTCTACCATACTAGAATCGGGAATAGTTGTTGTCAAGGTGCGACTTATGGACGCCTTTGACGAAACCATCAAAGTTTACTCTTTGTCCTAGTGGTATCAAGCAACGGGCTGTGACGGCTTGCAATTGAATAGCGCTCTGAACCGCATATTGCGGTAGACATGGGGTATGTTTCCCGGGATTGAGTGGCAATTAGGCGGATTCGAAGCTTTGGGTAGCGTTGAGGAGTATGGGCCGGCAATACTCTGGCGCTTGAATAAAAGCAACCGGATAGAACTGCAATATAACGCCACGTGTGAGCCCATCAAGACCAAGATGTACAAAGCTTTGCCCCTGGTGAAGATATAAAGAGTAGTATTTATCCATGTGCAGGCCGTGCTTCGTACGCCGTACAGACTTGGTCCTCCGATCAATAATAGGCAGACTTTCTTGCTCGTCTCATAGCCCATCCAGAAAGCTGTCTGCCTGGCGCTTCGCCCGTCGGTCGCCCATGTCCTTCCGGCGCTGCTCGATTTCCCGCCGCCTCGCCGCCCGCTGTTCTTCGCGCTGCTGGCGCTGCCCCTCGGTCTTGCGCCTCTCCTCTTCGAGCGACTCCATCTCCTTGGTCCGCGTCTCTTCGTCCCTGCTAAACTTGTAGAAGCCGACGCCCTTGGTCCGGATCTCGTGGTCCGCGTCGTAGTGCTTCATCTCCGGCGGCGTCTCGCTCCTGTCCCGCTTGCGCGCCAGCTCCTCCATCTTGCCCGCATCGTCCGGCGCAAACGCCATCGCTTGGATCGCGTCCCCGTAAATGAGGTTGCTGGGGGCGCTGGGCCGCGCTGACATGCGCTCCAGCTCCTCCGCGCCCAACAGCCCTCGCCGTATGCGGCGTTCCATCTTGTCTATGTCCGCCTTGGTTCCTTTTCGCGTGCGTCCAAACTCGTCCTCATACTCGACGATTCGTTCGCCATCGCTCCCGTTCCCATCATCATCATCAGAGCTGGTCTCGTAGTCATCTTTACCTTCTACATTTTCGGCCCATTTGCGGTCAAAGTCCACCAGCGGCGCCGCTTCCTTGTCTTTTGGTACGTAATCGCCACGCTTCATCGCAGCGTAGAGCCGTGCCTTGCTCTCCATCTTGCGTTTTGCCCACTCGCGTTCTCGCGTCTCTTCTTCCGTCCCGGTTACTTCTTTGAGCACCAGCTTTTCTGATTTGGCATCTCTTTCTTTGACATCAGCCTTTTTTGACTTGCCAGCAGCGCGAAAGATGTCATCCTTGGACTGCTTGGATGGCCTCGGGCGTCCAGAAGCTGCTGATGCCGATCCCTGGGGAGCAGTATTAGACATGAGTGATGTGAGCTGGGCAGTGAAATCCAATGACGATGATAGTGTCTCTCGTTTGGCTCGTTTCTGTGGCCTTTGGCCGTAAAGATTTGGATCCTGGGGCATCGCGATATATGTCCGTCTTTCTTCTTCTCTGATGCGGTTGAGGTTATCTGTTTGCACCTCCAAATGTCGCGTTCAAGTTTCAAAATTGAGTTTCCCTTTTCAAAATAAGCGTTGAGTAGCACAGAAAACCTTTTATAGAGCTTTGACAGTGATCAAGCCTCAAATAGTGCGTTGGTGGAATCTCAAAGGTGAAATATCGTCATGATGCCGCTGGAAGGTGAACGTCACTGGAGAAACGAAAATGATCACTGTGATGACTAAGCATCGCAAGTAAGCCATTCGCGAGTATACATCTAGGACGACGCAAATGGCAGTTTAGATGAAGATGGAAGGGAGGAGGGGAATTTAGTGCCTTAGAAATATAGTTTACAGGAGTGAATTAATAATAAAAATACAGTCGTAACATAGCATATAGCACCGTTTCAAAAACCGATAGCCGTCCCTTGTCTTATGGCGCGAGTGCGTTCAAGACAGAGCGCTCACCACTATTAACCAAGGACATTAGTAGTAGTGCATTCAGATGGAGTGAGCTCCTCATCTTCAAGAGGCTCGTCAAAAGATCGCGGCTGGGAATCATAACGTTCTGCAGAATCCAAGGCTTACCTTTGGAGAGCTGTCTCCTCCGAAAGCTTATGAGTAACCTGCCTTTAGCGCGTTCCGACGATTCGGGGAATTGGTGTAGGGGTATCGCGTTTGCTTTGCATTTGTTCAGTCTGAGTGCAAGTCTGTAAAAGGTCAGGGGTTCAAATCCCCTATTCTCCAGTCTTTTTATTCTTTTTGCATACTGGATGGCATCTTTATCTCAGAAACCTCTCTTTTTCCCCTCTCTGTAGGGTAGGCTGCCATTATCTATTTTCCAGCAGCAATATCTTGATGCAATATAGCTGGCCTGGTTTATTACATAGTAGATGTAATAGTGTCTCTAGTGTTTACTTGGGAGGGCAACAAATATATCATGGTCAGGAATGTAGAAAATCTGCTCATCGTTCAATTTATACTGAGATGTGGAAGCAACATTCGCTCTGGGCCGCTCGGCTGTTCGTATGTCTAGTAGTTCCTTCAGAATTAAGAGCTAGGTAGATGGCACGTAGTAACTACTACGCGAGTATAAGCGGTATCTCTTTAAATAAACCTGCCGCGAAGGAGAAAGCTCATTGATAAATCACAACAGTGGTTATAAATCTTTGTCCACCATCTACTGATATGCTCTGCCTTACAAAAATAAAGCAGCAAGATGCAGATCATCAGCCAAGACTGTCAAGCTTTGGCGCAGCTGCTAACTCTCTGGACCCCACCACCATCACACCACCCCGCTATCGGTCTCGAAACCCGTCATCCTTCATTTCGAGCTGTGCCTGTTTTTCGCGCTATCTGTACACATACAAGACAAAATGGCCACAGTCAATCAGGTCTATATCGCCATTATTGGTAGGTGCTGTTGTGCTCCATGACTCTCCCAAAGCGCCATCTACAGTTGGTCCAATTAACTCGTCATTATCAATTAGGCGCCGGTGGTGTCGGCAAATGCTTCCTCTCGCAGTTGCAAGCGCTTGCTGCTCGAAAACCATCCCCCAAGCTGAGCCTCTGCTACATCTCGACTAGCCGAAAAGCTCTCTATAATGTCGACTACTCTCCCGTCAGCCTGGACGGTGTTTCCGAAAGCCTCGCTTCATCTACCCAAGCTCCTCCTCCGTTGACGCAAGTGATTGACTATCTGGCTGCCGCTCCAGCCAAAGTGGTCTTGGTCGACAACACCAGTTCCCAGGATGTCGCCGATGCCTACCCTCTGGCTTTGAGCCGAGGCCTCAGCATCGTGACACCGAATAAGAAGGCCTTTTCTGGCTCCTACAAGCTCTGGCAGGACATCTTCACGGCCGCGGCAACATCTGGAGCCAAGGTCTACCACGAGTCTTCGGTAGGTGCTGGTCTGCCAGTCATCTCCACGCTAAAGGATCTGGTCGAGACCGGAGACAAGGTCACCAAGATCGAGGGCGTCTTCAGCGGAACCATGTCGTTCCTCTTCAACTCCTTTGCGCCGACCGAGGGTCAGGGCGGCAAGTGGTCCGAGGAGGTGAAGAAGGCAAAGGCCCTTGGCTATACCGAGCCAGATCCAAGAGATGATCTGAACGGCCTTGACGTTGCGCGCAAGTTGACCATTTTGGCTCGCCTAGCAGGCGTGCCCGTCGAATCGCCGACATCATTCCCTACCCAGAGCCTTATTCCCAAGGAACTTGAGTCCTGCGCCACCGGCGATGAATTCCTTGAAAAGCTGCCGGCTTTTGATCAGCAAATGGAAGACATCAAGGCTGCTGCCGAGAAGGCTGGAAAAGTTGTCCGATTTGTCGGCAGCATCGATGCGGCCACGCAGCAAGTCAAGGTTGGACTGGAGCAGTTCGATCGTTCGCACCCAATTGCCTCCCTTAAAGGCAGCGACAACATCATCAGCTTCTACACTGAGCGATACGGCAGCAATCCTCTGATCATCCAAGGCGCGGGAGCCGGCGGAGACGTGACGGCAATGGGTGTGACGGGAGACCTGATCAAGGTGCTTTCGCAAATCGTTTAGAACCAGGCTCGAAAACAAATAGATGCTTTGATATATATGCGATGAATCGTAAAAGTTGAATCAATCAAAACCAGGGTCGTTTATCTGCGTCTCGCTCGCTGATCGTGATGCTCGGGGCTTATTGCTGAAGTCTTTGTAGATGTCGTGCCGGCTGTGGCGGGGGTCTGCGCGTTTTGCGGCTGGATTGAATGGTTGCTATATGTTCTCCAAACCCATAACAAGATATCGTAGACGACAAAGAGAGCAAATGGCAAACTGAAAAAGAGACCTAAAACCAGCTGTTCTCGAGGGTCAGATACAGGCGCAAGTGGAAAAGGGAGGGATGTAGGCCGTTACTTACACTAATCCAGGAGATGGCATTGACCAGAAAAGCAGAGCCAGGAAACGACAGGTATGCCAGCGGGCCAGAGGCGTCCCAAAACAGTACAGACATGATGCAGAGCTATAGATGAAGATTTTGCGATGGCGGACATTAAAGAGAGGCTTCGATTGTTCGGCAGAGACAGCAAAAAGAAAAGAGGATGACGCTCAGGAGCTGTCAGGCTTTTTTAGGCCAGCTCTTGCGATGCGCAGGGGCTGGCTGAGATTAAGGTTGTACTCGGTACTTTATGCCTCGGCCCTTATCTGGTGCTGTTCTGCAGCATTCCGACTGATCTCGCCATTGCATCTCGCCACTCCGGAAATCGATTACCTCAGATTATCGTGCCGGTGAGCTGACATTCTACTTTGTCGGCTTGTAGCGCTCATATTGCCCGGACTGCGAAAAGAGCATCCATGAAAGACGGCTCAATTACTGTGTACACGTACCAAAAGATTTCACCGTAACAGCAGCAGCCATCTACTACTACTAGTCACTAGTACCTGAGAAGGGCGTGTTGCTTAGATTCCATTTCAATTAGCAGCAATTTAGGGCGACGCTGCCGCTAAACCTGGTGTAACTTTCTGCCACGGAACGCCGACCTTGAATAGCTTCACCGCTTTCCTTTTCTGCTTTCACCAAACTTAACTTTCACCAGCCGCCAGTTTGGAGATCCCATCTCATCACTTCAGTTTGGTATATCTCACAACTCACCACAAGCTGTTGTGAAACAGGCTGGATTCTCAAAAATGGGTAGCCAATCAAATAAGAAAGAGAGGCGAGACAGGTTTCGCGAAAAAAGAGGTCAAGATGGCGTTGTCCTGTTGCCCAGAAAAAAGCTTTATCGCCAGAGAGCACATGCAAACCCTTTCTCAGACCACCTATTAGAGTAGTGAGTCTACCTCTGCCGTATTGATTTCGTTTCTAACTCATTGCAGCCCGATTTCTCCCGAGCACATGGACTGGTCATCATATTATCCTGCTTATGTAGACGAGGAAGCGCCGAAAGAGGATTCTATGCCTCCAAGGATGAAGCAGGATGTTGAGATTGTCGACATAGGATGTGGCTTTGGAGGCCTGCTCGTCGGCCTTGCTCCTATTTTTCCAGAAAAGCTCATTCTTGGTGAGTTTGCCCTCTTGCTCTCGTTTGTTTGTCTGGAAGAACTGCTACTGACATCTTTACAGGCTTAGAGATCCGCACTACAGTAACACAGTTTGTCCAGGAAAAGATATGGGCTCTGCGGGCACAAAGCTCCGGGGCACTTTACCAGAACGCAGCTTGCATCCGTGCAAATACCATGAAGTTTCTGCCCAACTTTTTCAAGAAGAGCCAGCTGAGCAAAATCTTTATATGCTTCCCCGATCCACACTTCAAGACAAAAAAGCACAAGGCGCGAATTGTCTCAGTAACTCTCAATTCTGAGTACGCTTACGCACTGCGCCCCGGCGGCATTGTCTACACAATCACTGATGTCGAGGCTCTACACGAGTGGATGGTGGAACATCTCAACGCTCACCCTTCGTTCGAGCGGGTTAGCAAGGAGGAGGAAGAGAATGATGAGTGCGTCAAGATTATGCTGAATGAAACGGAGGAGGGCAAGAAAGTGGAGCGAAACAAGGGACAGAAGTTCGTAGCCTTGTTCCGCCGCATTGAAGATCCTCCGTGGTGATTGGATGCGTTGAAGCAAGACGGATAGACGAACGAATACCCCTTGGAAGCTCTCGGCCTAAGACGTGGGAAAAGGCGGGATTGTAAGTGTCCTGACGTACTTCTAGGTAGCAAGAGCAGATGCAGTTACTCATGATATCACGGGTTCTATGCACCTGCGTGGAGCTCCACCCCATTGTATAAAGATCATGCAGGCCACTCTCTCGCCAACAAATCAAATGTGAATTGCACATCAGATCAATGTCAGCTCATGTACAGCATCATGCGCTCAGATCGAGTTCCAAGGCCTGCAAGCTAAGGTACAGCCATGCATGCATGCAGAGGGCCGTTGTTGTATGGAGTGCTTGCAGCGGCGCTACGTAATGGTGGGCTCGCCGCCGCTAATCGATAACGGTGGCTCTGTAACCACGCTTGCTTGGAGCGTCGCAATCGCAAGCTACTGCTGCTACTACGACGCTATATGTGCTACTGTGCCCTCGCTCACCGTGTCTTTCAACAATGATGCCCAGCAGGCGACTATGGCCCTGAAGCGAAGAGATGCAGTGCTTGCTGGAGTGGCCTACTTCGTTGCCTGGGGCTATGCCGTGAGCTGCTTCTCGACGCTGCGCTGGGTTGGCTATGCCTTCGTGGGCGGTATCGTCATCACTGTCGTCTCACTCATCGCCGCTCTGGTCTTGGCCACGCAGAACCCTCACGATGGCGATCGAAAGGCGCTGCCGACGAGAGTGGCATTTCTCAGCTCGCGGAGATGGCGCACCGAGGCGGAAGCACTGCGGAAACGACAGGTCTACAACAAGGAGCCCTTTGACGCCAGCGCCCCCCAAGCATCTCAAGCTCTCGATGAGCTTCTCAACCTGATTCTCCGCGATTTCGTACGCTCGTGGTATTCTCACATCAGCAGTAATCCGACATTCGAAAACGAGGTGGACAAGGCCATCCGACAAGCACTCCTAAGCCTGGTTGATTCACTCCGCAACAAAGACTTTGCTGACCTCGTTACGAGCCGTTTCGTGCCCATGTTGACTGCTCATTTTCATGATTTTTACGAAGCCGAGAAATCAGTGCGAGGAAGAAAGCTAAACCGCTCTGTTACGGAGTCTGAAGAGCTGGACCTTGCAATTGCGTCCAAATTCAGGGACGGCCGACTACACCCAGCTGCTTCCTTGTCTTTTCCCGACACCAAGATGGTTCAACAAGATTATTTACGATCATTAGTGGGACGGCTTTTGACCAAGATTCTTCCCAAAAAGATGCTGTCTAGTCGAGCCGTTTCCATCATCGTGAGAGAGATTGTAGGATGCGCAGTCTTGTTTCCCGTCGTTCAGCTACTCGGCGATCCTGATACGTGGAATCAGCTGATAGAGAACTTTGGTCGCTCAACGCTTCAAGATAGGTCCACTGTTCGCAAGCTCAGAGCCGCCCTGGATCAGCATGCCTCTCCTACGCCAAGATCTAGTAAGCTAACCATGGCGCCGCGGCTGGCCCCGGCAGATAATGAGCGCAAGTTCGAAAAGTTCATTCGGGCCATCCGCAGGGTCAATAACTTGTCTGACGCACGGCGATTCCGCAGCGAAGTTGCCAGCCAGCTCAAACGTGATTCTTTGCAGGAGAACCAGGATCCAGTCTATCTGCGTCGATTGGAAATGGGAAAGCGGCTTCTCGAAGAGAGGGTACACCACCTGGCTGCGGGAGGGAACCGTCATTCGCCTCTGCCAACCGCCCCTGCACCACCCAGCTCTACTTCGAAGCTGGAGAATGCATCCCTCGTAGAGCTGTTGCGAGATCCGGCAGGTTTATCATATTTTATGGAATACATGGACCGCCAGCGTTTGATGCCTTTGGTTCAGTTCTGGTTAGTTGTTGATGGTTTTCGAAACCCCTTGGAGGATGACGGCCAGGACGATGAACTTCCGTCTACATTGCCTATGTGGACAGACTCGGACCGCCTCGACTTGTTACAGATTCATCAATCATACCTATCCAAGCCGGAACTCGACGTACCGGACGGGTCCAAAAAGGCTGTCAAGGAGTTTCTTCAGGCGGGAATATCTGCTACGCCTGCTCAATATTTCAAAGCCAGAAGAGCAATCTTGAAAGCTCAAAGTGGGGTATTGGAGACTATGAGCTCTCGGTATTTTGATGGATTCAGAAAATCGGATCTGTATTACAAGTGCGTTGCATCACAAGAGATGTCCCGTGCCACTGTGCAGCCTCCGCCGCCATCCCACCAAGGTCCTTCCATGTCAAGCCGGACCCAGTCATATCAGTCTATTAAAACAAAGCCCATGGCGCGATTTGCTCCATTGGCTGCCGGGCCATCTAGGCGACTTTCTGGTTCGATTTCTGATCTCCGATCTGCGAATACTAATGGTAACGGCTCGGATCCATTGACCTCTCCACGGAGGTCACTCGACGATGGCCGGACGACGAACCCCCTCTTTGACGACGATGACTTGGATATTGGAATGATGGACTCGGTACAGAGCTTGGATCAGGACTTGTCACGGCAGCAAACACCTGACAAGCAAGTTGTGCAGGCTGTTGAGCAGGCTTTGACAAATATTTTGGAAGACGACAGACCGCAGACTGCTGAAGATCTGCGAGCCTCGTTGTTTGATAATGAAGATAACATGTCGAGCTTGTTTTCTAATGATGTTGACTCTAATCGAGGTTCATTTGACGCTGGGAAGCCTCCGCTGCCGGCAAAAGAGGCTGGTAAGCCCACTCTGTCGTCACTGGGGCTTGTCAGTGCCGCATCTCGAATCGGCGTATTCGTAGACGATGACCTTTTTGGAGACGATCATAAATATTTGTCAGATGATGGCGGCGATGTGGACGAGGAAGCGCAGTCGGATGAAGAAGATGAAATCCACGAAGCCGCCCCGGGAGATTTGGGGCTGGCAGAAGCCATCACAGCGCTGACAAACGATATCGATCGCTTAGTAGCGCAAGATGCAGTTATAGACTCTTTGACAAAGAAGGCAGAGCTCACCAACAACGCAGCAGAGCTGCGGATTCTGAAAAAATCCAGGACAAGCCTACAGAGAGAGATTAGGCGCAAGGAGCTCCAGCGACAGCAGTACGTGATACAGGAAAGCGACAATAGTCTCTACGGACGGTCTGAGATCAAGATCAAGTCCATCCAAGTGGGGCGAGAAGATGATGGTCGAGAATTTGCTTTGTACGTCATCGAGGTTCATCGGGATGCAGGCGAGCAGATGCCGGCGTCGTCCTGGGCCATGATGAGAAGATATAGTGAATTCCACGAGCTACACCAGAAGCTGCGGTCAAGGTATCCTTCAGTACGACACTTGGATTTTCCCAGACGCCGCGTCGTGATGAAGTTCCAGAGCGATTTTCTTCGTAAAAGGCGGACAGCCTTGGAGAAATACCTACGTGAGCTCCTACTTCTACCTGAGGTGTGTCGCAGTCGCGAACTACGAGCTTTTCTATCGCAAAGTGCTATAACGTCTGGCGAGGACGCGATGGACCGAGAGAACAAGAAGGATATGATGACTCGCTTGTATGATTCGGTCGCTGATGGCATGGAAGACATCCTGGGCAATATCCCAGTACTACCTCAGCTGTCGGTTGCGGGGCAGAACATCATTTCGGCGGCAACGAACCAGCTCAATACGATGCCGCTCAACGTTAGTGAAGAAAATTTCCCTGCTGCAGAGGCAGAGGCAGAGCTAGATGCGTTTGAGAACAAGGAGCTGGAGCCGTTCATCAAGCCTATTTGCGATATATTTCTCGAAGTCTTTGAGCTCAACAAAGGGAACAACTGGCTGCGAGGGAGAGCAGTTGTGGTGGTATTACAGCAATTACTTGGCGGGACAATCGAAAAGAGGGTACGTGAAAACATCAAAATGGCAGTACAGGAGGAATCGCTCCTACGATATATGGGCATGCTGCGAAGCGCACTATGGCCAGAGGGAGAGCAGCCTCGGGATCGAAAACCACGCACCACGGCAGAAAAGAAGAAGACACGAACAGAAGCCAGCCTGATGCTGGCGACCCTGGTACCGGACCTAGCGGGAAATGTTGTAGGACGGGTCAATGCTCAGGCGGCAAGCCGACGCCTCTTTGCAACGTTTAATAACTCTAGGCTCAAGTAGGACCCCCCTTTTTTGTTTCTGTTTCCGTACTTGTAGGACTATGATGCTAACTGATATATGTGCAGCTCTCACTTGGTATTTACAATACTCGACGAGGTTGTGTCAGTCATGTTTGATGAGACTTGAAGCGTTCTCTTGGCATCCATTGCGTGCGTTGATCCAATATATTTATCTCTGACATTTCGGCATGGCGTGGGCGTAACTTATTTGATCATTCCAATCCTTTTCCCTGCATTATCTACCCTCGGTATCTCTTCCTGTTTTTGACTTTTCAAGCATGCCGCGCTATGTTAAAAGATGAGGAATGTTATTTTTAGTGGTTTCGTTACGTGTGAAAATTTACTTTTTGAAGCACACTTGCAAGAAAGAGCAAGCGAATATAAACCAAATTCAATTATTTGCTCATCCAGAAACAAGCTGAGTAGTATATATTCCCATGTGCCCTCACAATCTCAGTTGCCTGCTACCTTTATCTTATCATAACTCATATCGCCACACCGAGCCGGTTCAAAGGCGATTGGCTCGATGATGAGCAGATGCATGCAATTGGAGTGGCAATCATCTACCAGATCCACCAGTTAGAGCCACATGCTGTGGAAGAGGCATTTGCATGCAGCATTTTGTCGGTACACCTCATGTAACCCCAGCCTTTAGAAAAGCAGCCCCACGATGCCAATGCTAGTATGTAGCTTGATTCAATGTTTGTACCAGGATTATTCTGTATTCACGCATAGCAATCAATATACAGCAGTATACAACAAGGAGATGAATGCAAAAAACAAAAAAAAAAGTAAGAGTGTCTGGAAGGCGCAGTCAGGGTATTTAGAGAAGAAAGTAAGGCAGTATCGATACGCTGCATCACGAGTCGAACTTGCACAATATTCAGCCCAGTCTGCGCAGAGCCTCAATCTTGACATGCGCCTCGCCTCAGGTACCAGAGATGGCTTACCTAATCGTAGCCCGTGCCTAGGCGGTGGGGTTGCCTCGTTCCTTGAAGCATCCGCCATTCAGTCGAAGCAACACCCAGTCCGTAAAGCCACCTCAGGCTACACAAAAATCGACTCCCCTTGCAACGCGAGATCGGGCGGCTTTCTGCCCTTGTGCCAGCGCCCTCGATAACGCTACGCCGAACCTACTTGCCGAGCGCCACACACTGCAGCTTTTTGCTGGCTCCCGCCATAGCCCTGGGACCCTCAGCCTTGCAGCTCCGACCTTTACCCGCAGCCATTCGGCAACTTTCGTCTCTCCCTTGGTTCAGATAAGGACGGTGACGACGACCTCCAGAGCAGGATATCGCGAGCAGTAGAGAAACATCCCCCGCCTCGCCAGAGGAGACTGCACAACTGTCCTTGCTCGACCGCATCATTTGCCATCCACTGTTGGGCCATCACGGAACCCCCCCGAAACCGCCAGGATGATGCCATCCGCGCACGTCTACGGCCACCACCAGTTCAATCCCCAGGCGGATTCGGCCTGGATGCACCAGCAGGCCGGCCATCACCAACAACAGCACGCACACCAGGCAGCTGCTGCGGCAGCCCAGCAGCAGCAGCAGGCCCAGCAGCAGCAGGCTCAACAGGCCCAGCAACAGGCTCAGCAGCAGCAGCATCAACAGCAGCAAGCTCAGCAACAGCAAGCCCAACAGGCTCAGCAGCAAGCTCAGCAGCAAGCTCAGCAGCAGCCTCACTATGGGCGCATGCCCGGCGGTCACGCCAACGTCAACAACAGCCTTGCCGCTGCTCACGGGCAAGATGGTGGACATGACAACATCTCGGAGGACAATAGGCGGACAATGGCATACATTGCGGACCTTTTGAGCGAAAATACCAGAGAGGCAGCATTGCTGGAGCTCAGCAAGAAGAGGGAACAGGTGCCTGAATTGGCTCTGATACTGTGGCATTCGTTTGGTATGACTCCCTTTTTACCCTCACTCTTTAACTCTGCCCCTCCTCCGCCGCCCCCTTGGTTGTATATTCTTGCTTCAACCCCTTGAATGCGTTGCTGACCTCGGTTCTCACAGGTGTCATGACATCCCTCTTGCAAGAAATCATCTCCGTCTACACGCTTCTCAACCCATCGCAACTCACGGCAGCTGCATCGAATAGAGTATGCAATGCGCTGGCTCTTCTCCAGTGTGTGGCATCCCACAACGATACGCGGACCCTGTTCCTCAACGGTAAGCTACAATCAAAGCTCCCTGGCAGTCTGGTGAAATCGCAGATAAGGTTACAGCATCGCTTACTGACACCCCTGGCAGCGCACATACCTCTCTTCCTCTACCCTTTCCTCAACACGACGTCCAAATCACGACCGTTTGAGTACCTCCGCCTAACAAGCCTAGGCGTCATCGGGGCCCTAGTCAAGAACGACTCTTCCGAGGTCATCAATTTCCTCCTCACGACGGAAATCATCCCACTCTGCCTCCGTATCATGGAGACCGGATCTGAGCTGAGCAAGACTGTTGCCATCTTCATTGTTCAGAAGATACTGCTAGACGACAATGGTCTGAACTACATCTGTGCCACATACGAGCGCTTCTACGCTGTCGGCACAGTCCTGAGTAATATGGTTGCTCAGCTCGTCGAATCCCAGACCGCTCGCCTGCTTAAGCACGTGGTGAGATGCTTCCTTCGGTAAGACTCGCCCAAGGGATTCCCCTACTAGGATTATCACATGATGTTTGAGGAGAGAGCGCCATTCTGACAAGTGATGCTACAGATTGAGTGATAATGCTAGAGCGCGTGAGGCCCTTCGACAATGCCTTCCCGAACCCCTACGAGATGCCACCTTTTCGTCTGTTCTCCGTGACGACGCAGCCACTAAGAGATGCCTTGCTCAACTCCTGATTAACCTCTCCGACAATGTGGTAGATCCTAATTCTGCCGGCGTTTCTGCGCTATAATCGAAACGAAAAGAGGAAAAGAAGAAAGAACAGACGAAACAAAAAAAAAAAAAAGCCAAGCAGAATAACCGGCACCTTCATTTGCATTGATTGGGGAGATTTACAAGGAGTCTAGACGAACGGTTTTTCACGAAAATTTATGGACGGTATAAATCAGTTCACAAAAAAGTAATCTGCATTATTGATACCCGCAGCTGCTTGGCATTTCCACCGCAGCAAATTTCTTTACATCTTCTTCCAAGGCATCTGACATGGTCTTCTGCCTAGGCGTGCCGCGAAGGATGCGGGAATCTTTTCTCAAGAACCCTAGATGAAATCTGGATCTTGAATGTACCAATTTTTCTTCTTCATAGCCAGGGGTGAGATGGTTCATGCATGCACCGGGGTTGCTGCTTTTCCTTTCCCGCTATGATTTTTTTTTTTTTTATCTTCTTTGTTATTTTGTCCTTTTCATCGTTTCCATCTACGATTCTTACTTCTTCTCTCTTTCGTGTTGAAGAAGAAAGACGTATATTACTGGAATCGGTTTGCATATTCTCGGAGCTTGCGGTATATGATTCTTTTCGAATTACGGGGGGATACGGTGGACGGGAGGACTGGAAACGGCAGCGAACCTAAGCTCTGCTTTGATTTGCTCATTGTCAACATGGGTATCCTGACATGCCTGTGCGCTTCAATACACTTGAACGGTGTGAAAAGAGCTGCTTTGGATGGCGTCAAGGCGTTGAGTAGCATGGGAGGGTTAGGGACGGAGGTCTTTTCGACAATGCCGAATAAAAAGAAAACAAAAAAAGGTGAACCGGAGTTGGGGGACTCGGCGAGATCGGAGTACATGGAGGGTCTAGATAGGTATGTATGTACGAGTGTGTGTATGTATCGGTAGTGAAAATGTACGTTGTATTTTGTCTGGGTGGATTGGTCCCTATACTCATGGCCTCGCGCGTTTCATCGACCTGCAACGTGCTGTGATGGTGCTCTGCTGATTCGTCTACAGAAAGATCCGGCCCAGGGTCGAGACGACAACGTGGAGAAATCGTGCACGATTCGACAGCATGGGATGGGGCCTGCTTTTCGAACGGGGGCGCCTAGATACGTGCCGTGTTAGTCAAGAAAACGGAGTTTCACAGGGAAGAAAGCACATCACATCACTTTATCTCGCATCGCCAAGTTGAAAAAAGTATGTATGTCAGATTCCACGTTCCATCTCCCTATCCGGGCTAGTTTCACTGGGTCTGGCTTGTCTCTGTCTCTATTTCATTTGCTCGCTTGCTGATTCAACGGTTTCTTGCTTCAAACAGGTAGTAGTAGTAGTGGTGGTAGTAGTAGCAGCTACTGCTGGGAAATGCTATTTCCCACATTTGCCCCCCTCCCCCTCATCGGGGATCTTTCTTGGACTCTCTTATCTTGCCGAAGAGGCAAGACTTGGCGGAAACAAAGCCGTGGCGAGATGGTGTGTGATTAGTGCGGATCACGAAGGCATGACACGGAAGCAGTTGAATGACTAGCCGGTTGGGTTTTCCTTGTGAGTACAGAGGGGGAGAGCTCGGCCTTGTCTAGTCTGGGCCATGGGCCGGGTATGAGGATGCTTTACCCGGGGACAATCAATGCCCATCCACTCGTTCATCACGCACACTCACGCCACTGCGATATATGACACGACATGGAGAAGGAGTATGGAGGAGGGAAAGCGAGTAAGGGCCAGAGGGGGAAAGGGGGGGGTGTATGCTTGTTACAATTGCTGCCAATATTCCCTGATTCGATGGGAATAACATCAAAGCTGGCAATGGGTCCCTAGGTATGGGGTCTGGAGTACGATATGTAGGTGATGGGGGTTTGAACCAGAGAGGCTAAAGAGCTACAGATTTTCGCCTTTGTTCACCTCGGAAGTCTCCCGGGTTCCGAGACGCCTAATGGGATTCCGATGGGGGAGAAGGGGGGCGTGTGCTTTTTCTTGTTTATTGTATACAAGCGTGTCTGCAAGAACTTGGTATAACTATCGTCGACTAGGAAGGATCTGAAGAGAGGAGGGGGGCCAAGAGGCAAAATATCAGATGGCAAAAGGAAGGACAAGCAGAGTGGAGAGACAGAGATAGAGAGACCAGACCAGAAAGAGCAATGGCAAGTTTTTTTGTTCCCAGTTGAAGGGTGGGTAAGGGGGGGGGGGGGGTGGAATTGGGGGCCGTTTTGTTTTTTTTTTCTTACCTTGATCTTCTTTTCTTATTATTTTCGCCTCTAGCCAAGGTCCCTTTTTAGCTTCTGTTTTTGCCTCCATCGTAGGCCTTTTTTCACACATTAGCGAATCGCCTTTATTGATCTGCTTCCTTTGAAAGTAACGGGTACTTACAGAGAAACTCCATTGAGGGAAAAAAAAAGCAAAAGGCTCGCCTTACTTATACCCACAGACTTTTTACTATTATTATATAGGCAAAAGCTTCTTGTATGAAAATTGTGGAGTGGCCTGAACTTGGTTCTTTGCTGGCTGGGCGTTGCCTAATATGGCAATTCTGATTACAAGCGAGAATGCTTTAACAAACAAAACAAAAAAGTGAATTATGATTCCACAAAGTTTAGGGAATTTGTCTCAAGTGGCCTTTTCTCTAAAGAAAAACAAGACTATACTTGTCCAACATTTTTATCGAATACCCTAATGCAGGGCAGTCAAAACGGCGTTTGTATGTATGGAAAGGAGGGGCAAGAAAGAAGAGGAAGAGAAGAGAAGGGGGGGTGCATATGCTTGCTTTTCCGTCTTTTTTTTCCCTTCTTCTTTCTCGGTGTATTACATTCTAGACCCATGCAAAATTCCCTCGTCTATCGAACCCTTTTTTCCCCTGCTCTTGCTCCAAAGCTAGAGCGAGGAAGAGGAGCCCGGGGAAGCAGAGGCGGCATATACCTAGCAGAGAGGTGTGTGTGGTGGTGGAGATGGAAGAATTGAGAGAGATGTCACTGCCAAGGAGGACTGGCTTTCTCGTGTGTTTCTTTTTTTTTTCCTTTCAATCTGTTTACATGTCCTTTTTTGTTTTGTTTTTTGAGTGTAATCACATTTCTTTTGCATGTACTACGTGCTGCTGCTGCTGCTGCTGCTACTACCATGTATCATCCGTTCCAGCGTAACATCATCTCGCCATCTGGATCTATTGGGGGGGATACCGGGTCCAAATCTACAAGTATGCAAGGCTCATCCTGTTGCCATGCCCAGGCCATCCATGTCCGTTCCGGGCTCCTCTCGTATATGAATGGCCGTATAAATTATTGCTTACCCGTATTGGACTCGGATGGATTACTCCGTGGACCGCCTGGAACCTCTTTTTTTTTTTTTCCCTTTCTTATACCCCCCGTACTTTGTAAAAAAAAAAAGGCCAGATCCTCAAGGCAGATGCTACCTGTACTAGTATCAATTGAATGGAAGAAATGCTGGTGAACCGAAACATCTGCCGCTTCCTAGGGAGGTCTAGATGCGTGGGTTCTTTTTTTTTCCCTCCTCATCACGGTGCCTTTCTTTTGTTTCCCGTATGGACCAGCACAGCACGGGCCTTTTTTTACACTTTTGCCTTTGGCTCTCGGCGATTGCCTTGCAAGAAAACATACAGGAGAGAAAAAAAAAAGGTGTCGGCGATGAAAGACCTCGTTTTAAATGATTCTTCATAGGAACTTTGTTTTAGCAGCAGCAGTACCTTGGCATTACGGTGGAATGTCCTCGTTTTTGCGCAAAAGGACACCTCTACCTTGCATACACTTACAAGTAAGCGTCGGCTGTTCAAATCTCGCGGGAGGATCGGGAGGCCTTTTTGCAAGAAAATCCCCCCCCCCCCTTGGAGATTCAGTTCCAGGGACTCTTGTTCACTAAAAATCCGAACCAAGCGCGACAAGGTGAAAATGCTGCCGGGATGCTACAGTACAAATGTCGGGGGAGAGAAGAGAGAGCGAGGAGCGAGTAAAAGAAAAAAGCGAGGTTGGAACGGGACAGCGGGAGTGACGGACGGGCCCTGGCGGGACCGGGCGAGCGGCAGCCGGGACCGAGCGATGGGATGGGATGGGCGCCTAGAAGGGAAAAAAAAAGACAAAAGAGATATGACAGTGGGTGCAAAGTGGGATGGAGTGGGCAGCAAGCATGAATTGATTGCGTCTTGGCGGGTTTTGAAGGAAAACGGAGGGCATGGGGTTTGGATGCGTATCCCTCGCAACGGTAGCACTGCATGCTGCACTGCACGGACGTTGTTGTTGGAACAACTGTCATGATGGTAGCATTCAGGGGACCCGGCCCTTGCGTAGCATCTCTTTGTATCTTGCATGAGGACAAAGTCGGGGGGTCTGTTTTGACGCACTCTCTTTCTTGTCTGGTTGGAATCGAATGTTGTCTCCGTTTTGCTGCAAAGCCGGGGATTTACTCGAAGACGTGTGTCAGTTGTATGATTTGATAACAAAACCACTGTATAAAGACCGTTTGGAATAATCGTATTGGTAATGTTCCGTAAAATGCCATGTAATACGCAACTCATGTATACGACATCTCCTCAAGCTCAATGTAACTTGAACAACTTACACATGCATGTACGCGCTCCGAAACAGCATCACCGCTGCTCGTACCCATTCAACCACTAGTAAAGACAGAAGAAAAGAAGAGAAAAGAAAAAAGCCCATCTTTTCATCCTCGCCATTTCATGTGTTACAAAAGCACAAGAAGGAAAAGTGCCTAGCGCCATGATCCGAGGCAGGCATCATCTGCTAGATCCGGCGCTCTCTACGATAGCGTGAGCTGAGATTGGGGGGAAAAAGAAAAAAGAGGGTGTGAGAAAAAACAAGAATCAAGCCAATACGCAAAAAAAGACACACACATACAATGAGGCATTTCTGTCAAAGATGCAATAACCCACCCAAGTGGCCTCCATTGTTCCTTCCAAAAAAAAAAAAAAAAAAACTGCAAAGAAATCCTCCCCTCTCTCCCAGCCACAACTCAAAAAAAGAGAGGGACGACCGTTGTGCAATTTGTAATT